ACCACCTACGTACTCCGTACTCCGTAGAAGACGAAGTGGCCCCATGCCCATGCCCATGCCCATAGCACATAGCCCATAGCCCATTCATTCATCATGTACCATGTAGTAGTTAAGGCGGAGTTCTGCAATCGCACAGTAGTCGCGTGCCTGCTGGGCGCTAAAATAAGCTTGGTGGCATGAGGCGACTCAGACGAGGAGGATCCGCGTGGCATCGATTAATCTAGGGGAAAAAAACATTGGCGGAGGACAGCGGTTGGTGCATCAATCAATTTGCACATTGATTAGTAAATATATACTCTAAAAACCACACACACACACAAACACACATCGTACCATACATGTCAAGGGTATGGGGCCACCGGGAAAATCAGGGAAAACCAGTGAGAATCCAGGAAAAACAATTAGTCAAGGCAGAGAGGGAAAGAGGGAAAGATTAGATGAATCGTTAACAGTTAAGCATTAGATAATCCGTCAGGTGGGAAAAAAGTTCTGGAAGAGTTCGATCTCCTTTTACTCCGTAAAAGGGGGGGAGTAGCAGGAAGAGCGGTCAGTAAGGTTTTCTTCTTCCCACGTTTCACACAAGGTTATATATATATAGATATATATATAACCTGAACCTAATAAGAAACCTTCTCCTCATAAATAGGAGGTTGGCCCTTATCCATGTCCCAATGGATCTTGTTCTTCTCGTCCAACCAGGCATCGTCATCCGTGATAGGGATGACCCGCGAGGTATGCTGGATCTCCTGCTTGCTGATCCCCATCTCATCGCGGGGGATCCACAGCAGCGGCACTTGCGAGGTGATCGAGGGATGGAAGTAGGCGTCGCGCTCCACTTCAGGAGCGTACGCGGCGACATCGACCGCGTTGGGGACCAACCGCCGCAGCGTGGCGTAGTCCGTGTACTTATCCGGTCGCAGGTATTTGGCAAACAGGTTCGGCTTCTGGTGCGCCGGAGGCAGCACCGTGTTGGGCAGGCCCTTCTCCGCAGCGTCCATTACGTCCTCGACACCGTTCCCGTTCCCGGTCCCGTTGTGTGCGGAGCTGCTAGGGGCCGCCGCCTTGTTGTCCGATTCGACACCCAGCTTGGGGCGCTCCTCCGCCAGGAGAGACTCTTCCTCCGCCTCCAGGTTCTTGGGCAGGTAGTGCACGAGGGGCTCCATCGCCGCGTTAAGCGACATGTGGTACAGGATGCAGAAGACAAGGAAGATGATCATCAGCACCAAGGGGCCGACAGCCATCGTGTTCGAGGCCGATCCAATGGCAAACAGTCCAATCAGACAGACCATGAGCAGGTAGCATCCCACCAGGGTGTGCTGCAGGGCACGTGCGTAGATCTTGCCCTGGGTATCGATGGTGGCATTCGATACGTACAGCAGGTTGTAGCGGTAGGCAAAGTAGAATAGGTACAAACCAACGGTGGCGAAACCAAGAACCAGGGGGGCGATGCATGAGTACGTGATGGCTAAAAGGTTAGCAAGAGTTCCTTCTTCAAATTAAGAGAAAAAAAAGAAAAAGAAAAAAAAACCTACCAATAACCAACAACAGAGAGATGGCCGGGACGATAGTTCCCCAACCAAGACCGGACAGGTTGGACCAACGGTTGTACATCTTACGAGGGGTGCTATCGAAGAGTTTGCTCAGGATCATGCCCACAATGAGGCCACTGATCTGCAGGAGAGCACCTGCAGCAAAGGACAAGCCCTGCAGAACAATGTAGGAAATGTAGAAGTTCGAGGCCAGAGGGATGTTGTTGGCCAACAGGTTGGCGGCCGAAGTGGGATCTTGGATGATCTTGGTGACGACACTGGAAGCCGACGAGGCAATGGTGACCACCAGGAAGACCTGAACGACCTCGAAAGCAAAGTACCAGTTCTGGACGGTCAACTCGACCTCAGCCAAGCTGGCGGCACCGCCCATCTTGGCCATCAGACGCAGGAAGATGGGCACCAGGGCCATCAGGACGGCCATGAGGATGGTGGGGAGATAACCGGTGATGATACCAAGCAGGAAGGAGGGCAGCTTGTTGATGAAGCTGAGGAAGTGGACCTTGTCGGTCAGGTAGTTGATGTTGGAGATGGAACCCACCACGGCGACTGGAATGGCCCAGAAGATGATCATGGCAACCACGAGGGCCATGGTGGCACTGTAGCGAACGAGGCGCTCCCACCACTTGATGCGCAGGTTCGACCAGATGACCTGGTTAGGGTTAAGACCAATGTAGCGGGGGGACATGTGGAGAGGCAGATTGTGAGCCACTGAAAGAAATTAGCAAAAAAAAAAAAAAAAAAAAAAGTTGGAGCAAAGGAGTGTGGGTGATGGGTTAAGACGTACCCGACTGGTAGGCGCTCTGGGCATCGGTTTGGCGGTGGAATTCGACAAAGACGGAGGAGATCATATCGGCATCGCCGGCGCGGTGCTTGGCCTGGAGTTCTTCGATTTCGGGGCTCAGGCGCTCGATCTCGGAACGGGCCCAGTTGATGGTGTCTACCTTCTTTCCGATGAGCATGGTGAGACGGTGGGTGGGACGGTCTTTGGGACGGATCCAGCGAGCAGCGATGGAGCCTGACTCGTCGTCGGCCTCATCGCTGGCGGCATTGTCAAGAGCGGTCTGATCGGCATGGCCCTTCTTGATGGCTTTGAGGCGGGCCGCGTTGGCCTTACGGATCAACTTGGTCTCGGCGGCCTCGAGCTTCATGGCGGCGCCATCGCGCTGCTTGACCTTGTCCTCGAGGTCGGAGGTATCCGTCGCGATCCAGACGTTCTTGACCTTTTCGGCGCCAAACATCTGGCGGATCTTGTCGCGATCGAGGTAGTCCGGGGTGACGGCGGTGAAAAGGACAGTGCGGGAAGACATGCGGCTGGCATAGGCGGGAGAGAGGGCATATGCCTGGCGCAAGGTGATGAAGAAGATGTACTCTCTAGTCACGGTGTAGAAGATATATCCTGGAGGTGTCAGCCAGTTTCGAGGGCTTGAGGTGGAAAAAGAGAAAAAAAGAGAAAAAAAAAAAAAAAAAAAAAAACTTACCAACATAGGCCCAGGCGCAGAAACAGTGACCGTAGTAGCGGGCAAACTGATCCTTGATGTTGGACATGCTGAGGATATCCAATTGCTTCTTGGTGCCGCCGCCGGTGGCATTGAGGGGGAACAGAACGGGCCAGGTGATCAAACAACCAACAAGACACATGATGGAGGCTAGTTTGACGAAGCGAAGGAACAGGTATGCATCGAGCGAATGATGCTGCAAGACATAGGTGTCTGGCAGCTTGTACATCTCCTTGACCCAGTTCCAGAGACCGGTCGGGGTGGCGGGGGTGCGCTCATGCTCGTCCAGCACGCCCAGGTAGGTACGGGGCATATACTGTCTGCGATAGCTCCTACGCAGGATGATGAAACCCACGACAAAGGCAATTGCAGGAATGCCCGACAGAATCAACGTTGTCACCAAGCTCGAGGCCGAGCTGGAGGTCGAGTCCACCGAGGTCGACGACTGCGGATCCAGGGTCAGTGTCAGCCTTGTGGGAACCAACGCGACCACGGCGCGACTTAGGAGCTCAACTTACCGCACGAGCAACCAGGTGGTGGACGCTTGAAAGACCTGCATCGTGCAGGGAGATGGTGCGAGACGCCATCTCTCACAATAAATCTCTTTCCCCCCCAAGCGAGTTCCGAATGGATTCCTGATGGGAAAGGTAGATAGAAGGGAGGGAGACGGGGGGAGTCGAGGGGGTTGGCAAGGGAGGAGGAAAAAAGAAAGGGTCGCGGGGGGTTTTCAGGGAGAGTTCCGTTCCCACCACCAGGAGAAATAAGCTCAGATAAATACCAGAGGAAGCTGCAGTGGGTACACCGTAAAAAAAAAAAAAGAAAAAAGAGAAGCAGATGCTACGACAAGCGATACCCCCCCAAAAAAAGAGAGAAAAAACCAAACGAGAGGGGCCACTCAGTCCAGACAAGGCTGAGAGGGAGAGACTGTCCACTGTCCACTGTCCACTGTCCAGTGTCCAGCGTCAAGAACAGCTGGTGATGGGATGCTCGCGCTAATCCGTTTCCTGCTCTGGCTTGTTTTGGAGCTGTTCGGCCATTTCCGATGGTTTTGCTCCAGCCACCGATCGCAGTCGATGACAACACGATGAAATCATCGCAGCAGCCAATCGCGGCGCTAGTCGGTGCTATCTGCTTGCAAGCCACAGGCGAGCCACGGCACACAGCCACAGCCACATTCTCGTGGCTGGTATTTCAGTGGTATCCAGTGGTATTCAGTGGTATTGATGGTATTGATGGTACCTAGGTAGGTGATAAGAATGATTACTACCTCGTCATGACTCTGTCGATCTTCTACATACGATGAACAGGTTTCTAAGTAGTATAGATCACTACTAATTAGGTAGGGAAATCGCATTGCTCAACGCACTGGCACGATGGTTTCAATAGATCGGACACTAGCTCTACGCAGTGGCAATTTTCAAGCTTAGCTCCAGAGGACCGAGCTACTAACTATCTACTAAGTATATAGCTACCAACTAGTCCCCCGGCTAGAGCAGTCTTCTGGCTGAAAACTCAACGCTAGACCGTGCGATTACCGATGCAAAATCAAACTCGGGCACTCACGAGACGAGACTCGGCCACTCCCCAAGCAAAATGGGAGGTAGACCGCCGGATCGCTGCATGGGTACAGACCTACCAGGACGCGCGGCAAGCAAAGCAAGCGCCCACCTGTCTCGGGATGGGTGAGGAACGAGCTCGATCTGCAGTGCAGTGGTGTTTAGAACTGAGCTCGGACCGATCTGCCACTCGGTTAATCTTGCCTTTTGTTCTTTGATATCCTACAGAGTACCTAGATACCTAGTAAGACTACTACCTAGGTAATTAATCTACTAAGTAGATCCTGCTGATCGTCGACAAAGAACTCGATAAACAGGGTATTTTGTATAGTGATTATATGGAGGACGGAGTACCAAAGTTGAGGACGGGGTAGATCCAGGGTTTCACGATTGCCCTGGTAACCATGGAACTCCTGCCTATCCGTACCTTTTCCGGGCAACGCACCAGTTGGCGGCATTTGCCATGACGTTCACCATTTCAAGCATGTGACTGTCAACAATATTCAATTCCACGTTCTCGGAAAGATGCAGGTAATTTGGAATACTACATGGCTGGCTTGAATATAGTAAATTGTACTAGGTAGTTACTATTCATTACTATATGGAATATTTATATGATGTCCAGTTATATTGGTTGAATATATATATCAAATCGGACGATAATTGGTAGAGTCATGCCTTTTTACCTTCTCAAGATGGACATTCAATCTAGATGGACATTCAATGCGCAGCGGCATTCCATTCCACCTGTCATACCTTAAGAGTGTAGCCTTGGTGTAACCCTAAGTAACCCTTGTAAACCCTAGGCAATACCCAACCCTAACAACCCCAATAACCCTAGGGTAAGCTTGTATTAGGTAAGCAAATAGGGTTAGGGTTACGGCAACTAAAACCACTTTACGCGCAGAGATCCAATTCCAGACGCGTTCGCGTCTCCCACGCGTTCCGCCGCATCTCACCGCCAAACCTCCTGCCAACGCTGGATTTCTCCATTAATTTTCTCCAACCCGCCATCGACATCGACATCAACATTGATATTGACGTTGACGTTGACCCTGCGACGCCGCCACCTCTTGGCCTACCGTGAACTTCTCGATCCTAGATTGCCCTCTGCGGCTTTTCCCCCCCGCAGTGTGCTCCGTCTACCACCATGTCCTCGCTCTTCGAAGCTATCGCTTCCCAGTCCGATCTGGGCTCCTCGGCCGGCTACCAGGGCGACTCCAGGCGTCTCCTCCACTCCGACCAGCAGCTCCCCAGCTCGCGCCCACACTTGCCCTCCGAGAGTAATGGGCCCATGAGCGATGTTAATGCCGCCTTTCCAGACGATCAGGTTCCCGGAACGACCAATTCCACCGTCAGCCGTCTGCGCAATCCCTATGTCGCCGGCCCCCCGCCCTGGGTCGACCTGGCGGGCGAGAAGGTCCTGCAGACCTTTGAGGAGTTTCTCGAGACATATATGGAGGAACCGTCCTCTTCTGCACCCCCGCCGTCCTCGGAGATCTACAGCGACAAGTACTACATCGCCCAGATCCATGGCATGGCCAAATTCGAGCTCTCCACCCTCTACGTCGATTACACCCACCTGACCGCCCTCGATAACCCCATTCTCGCCAATGCCATTGTCGAGCAGCACTACCGTTTCCAGCCCTATCTCACCAGGGCCTTACATAACCTGATTGCCAAATATGAGCCAGACTACTTCATCTCTCACCGTCTCGCCAAAACCGCTTCGTCGCAGGCCAGTACCTCTGCCGCCGCCCATGATGGCAGCACCGACAAGCACGACCTGGGAGACCGCATCCAGGAGAAAACCCGCCATCAGCAGACCGACAAGCTGTTTGCCTTGGCCTTCTACAACCTCCCGCTGGTCTCTCGTTTGCGCCAGCTCCGCACCGCACAGATTGGACGTCTGCTCTCCGTCTCCGGTACCGTGACGAGGACCTCGGAAGTTCGCCCGGAGCTTTCTCTCGGAACCTTCATCTGCCAGGACTGCCGAACCGTGTGCCCCAACATCGAACAGACCTTCAAATACACCGAGCCGCTGGAGTGTCCCAACCCCACCTGTGGAAACCGTGTGGGGTGGCGCCTGGATATTGGCAAGAGCACCTTTGTCGATTGGCAAAAGGTGAAACTGCAGGAGTCTTCCCACGAGATCCCCACCGGTAGCATGCCTCGCACCATGGATGTCATTCTCCGAGGTGAGATGGTGGATCGCGCAAAGGCTGGTGAGCGCTGCATCTTCACCGGCTCCCTGATCGTCGTGCCCGACGTGAGTCAGCTGGGCCTCCCCGGCGTTCGGCCAGAAGCTGTCCGCGATTCCGGGAACTCTCGCAGTGGCGATGCTGGTGGTTCTGGCGTCACGGGTTTGAAGTCGTTGGGTGTGCGCGACCTGACCTACCGATTGGCCTTCCTCGCCTGTATGGTAACCCCCGACACCACCACGCCCGGCCAGCAGTCGAACCAACACTTGAACGGCCAGTCACAGAACATCCTGGCGTCGCTGAACCAGAACCAACAGCAGGAAGTGGACGAAGAAAAGGCCCAGGAGGCCCTCCTGCAGAGCTTCACCCCGTTCGAGGTTCAGGACCTCAAGGGCCTCGTCCACTCGGAGTACATCTACTCTCGTCTGGTCGATTCCATTGCCCCCATGATCTATGGCCATCGTCAAATCAAGAAGGGTCTGCTGCTTCAGCTCATCGGAGGTGTCGCCAAGACCACCGAGCAGGAGAGCATGCAGCTTCGTGGTGACATCAACATCTGCATCGTCGGTGATCCCTCCACGAGCAAGTCTCAGTTTCTCAAGTAAGACCTCCCCCCCCATTCTTCTGGTACCTATTATCCCCAGTTACTGACTTGTTTCTCCAGGTATATCTGCTCCCTCCATCCTCGCGCAGTGTATACCAGTGGTAAAGCCTCGTCCGCTGCAGGTTTGACTGCTTCGGTGATCAAAGATGCCGAGACGGGCGAGTTCACCATCGAGGCTGGTGCTTTGATGCTTGCAGTATGTGAATTTCTCTTTTTTTTTTTTTTTTTTTTTTTTTCACTTTCTTTCTCTGATAACTGACGTTTACAGAACGGCGGAGGTATCTGTGCGATTGACGAGTTCGATAAGATGGACGTGAGCGACCAAGTCGCCATCCACGAAGCTATGGAACAGCAGACCATCTCCATCGCGAAAGCCGGTATTCATACCACCCTCAATGCTCGTGCTTCTATCCTTGCAGCTGCAAACCCAATCGGGGGCCGGTACAACCCCAAGACTACTCTGCGCGCCAACCTGAACCTCAGCGCACCCATCATGAGTCGATTCGATCTATTCTTTGTCATTCGGGACGAACCAAACGAAGCCGTTGACCGTAACCTGGCCGAACATATCGTCAATGTGCACATGAACCGAGACGAGGCCGTCGAGCCCGAACTCAGCACCGAGCAGCTTCAGCGGTATATCCGCTTCGCCCGTACCTTCCGCCCCGTGTTCACCCCGGAAGCCAAGGCGCTGCTGGTGGAAAAGTACAAGGAGCTCCGTGCCAACGACGCTCAAGGCGGCATCGGCCGATCCTCCTACCGGATCACGGTCCGACAGCTCGAGTCGCTGATCCGTCTCTCGGAAGCGGTCGCCAAGGCCAACTGCGTCGAGGAGATCGTCCCCAGTTTCGTCCGCGAGGCCTACGATCTGCTCCGCCAGAGTATCGTCACGGTCGAGAAGGACGACGTCGAGGTGGACGACGAAGAAGGCGGCGCCGGCGCCTCCCTGGCAGAAGACCACCAGGACGACCATGAGATGGTCGACCGGGACCGAGAAGGCGACAGCCCGATGCGCGATGACGTGGAGCAACAAAACAAGCAACAGCACCAGACCCAGCCGCGACAGAAGACCAAGATCACCTACGACAAGTACATGAAGATCCTGAACATCATTGTCCGCCGCGTCAACGAAGATGAAGCCCGGTCCGGCGAGGGTGTCGAGCAGGAAGACCTGATCCTCTGGTACCTGGAACAGATCGAGTCCGAGCTCAACAACGAGGAAGATCTGCAGCGCGAGCGCGATCTGGCCACAAAGGTCTTGAAACGGATGGTGAAGGTTTGTCTTCCCCCCCATTCTTTCTTCTCTCAGTTCCATCCATTCATACTGAAATACTAACCTGCTTAGGACAATATCCTGATGCCCATCCGTGGAGAAGGTCTCGTCGATGCCCCGGAGAACCAGAACGAGTCACATAAGGTGGTTTATGTCTTGCATCCTAATTGTGCCGTTGAAGAAATGTAAATTTAGGGGGGGGGGGGGTCTTTATTTTTTACATGATGTCTTCTTTCTCTTACTTTTATGCATGTATCGGGCGGAATTAATCGGTGCAGGATCATGAATGATGATATCCAATTTGACTGTTTCATATTGTTATTCCTCTTCTTTCTGTTTTCCTACTGGGTATACGGGGGTTTCATACCTGGTCGTCAAGCTGATAGACCTCGCAGGATGAACTGACTTGATGATTCAACAATTGCTTGTCTTATGCTGAAATGATTATGCCTTAACAATGGAATTCACCATCTTGGGTCTTATATCTTCTCACTTGAATGTTACTTCAACCACACGATCTATCACTTAGCCTAGAACTGAATATATTCGCATTACCTTGAACGCAAGTCTCACCTCACCTATCTCTCTCACCTATCTCTCTCACCTAATGGAAGCCTGATTTCTTCCAGTATAAGAAGCCTCCTTTACTCTGTTCCTCTTTTCCCTTCTCACATGCCATGATGAATGATTCCCGTTCCTTCCTTGATTGACCCTTTTTATATTTCCTTCACATTGAATACTTCTTGTGCATTTGTGTCCTGCTGCCTATAAGCCTTTCATATAGATATCCTAAAAACTTCACTCCACCAGTGACTCCTCACCATGGAGACCTCTCCAGTTCCAGCAGGCGATGAGCTAGATATCGACCAACGCCTAGAGGAAGCAATCGATGCCCGTCGGAACGGAGCGCATTCCAAGGCGAAATTACTCCAGGCACGTTTGAAGGCCCAGGAATCGGTGAGAGGCGATACCGGTTCCATTCCGGATTCGTCTGCAACGGCATCTTCCCCTCCTGGAAACCAGTCGTTGCCATCTTCACCGCACCCTGCAGTGCAGATAGATCCTGCCCAGGACGTAAACGGGCTAGAGCCATCTGAGGAATGGAACGATATCCCAGACGATGATGACGACGAGGAGGCGTCCAAGTGAGTTTCCTACTTCCCCCCCCTTTTCCACTATAAATTGCCTTCGAATCTCATCTTGTTCCAGGTTCCTGGAAACGGAAAAGTGGTACCGTGGGTTAAAGAGACCGACTGTGCACGACGATCTACGATACAGACACGCCGAACGAACCGAAATCGTCCGGAAATCAGCCCTGGAAAGCCGCAAGGCCCGTGACCGGCTGGACGCCCAGTGTGACGACAACGAGATCTTCGTCAGCAACCATGAAGAGTGCGAGGCACCGTGCGAACGGGTGGTGCAACCGCCGCCGAAGAAACGGAAGCAGCCCAACCGGATCTCCGCCCAGGACAAGCGAGAGAGTATCAATAAGGGTCTGGATGCCGCGATCCAGAAGAAGAACGCCGCGGCGAAGAAGGGCCCCCCGCGGAAGAGCAGCTCCAAGAGCGGCGGCGGCGGCGGCGGCGCAGGCGCAAGCGCAAAGCTGAATCCCCAGCATAACCAGCTCAGTCTGGAGAGTTTCTTCCGACATGATATCATTGCCAACGCGCAGCTGAACGCGATGATGCCCGCGATTCCTGTCTCGGCTCACAAGGACAAGCAAAAGGCCCTCACCGAGCTGTTGGCAAGTATCCCCACGGCGGACCAGAACGAGAGCCGTTCCGACAAGGCGGCCATCCTGGAGGCGACGCGGAAGTTGGCCTCCAAGGCTAGAGGGGATGGGAAGGGCCGGTGGAATATTAAGGGCATCAAATCGCCGTTATTCCACCATCAGGTTGGGCTTCTATCGTACCTTACTTGGAAAAAAAAATCGTTACTGACTGTTTTTCTTCTTTTGGAACAGCTGCTTGGAGTGGGTTTTATGGTAGGCATACTCTCTACGTTCTTTACTTTCCCTTCTAATTCTACCAGAGAGACCGTGAACGATCCCCTGAAAAGCCCTTTGGAGGGTTTCTTTGTGATACGATGGGGTATGGCAAGACTCTGCAAGTCCTGGGTATGTTTCTCACCTCTTCCCTACCTCCTTTCTCACCTCTTCCCTACCTCCTTTCTCACCTCTTCCCTACCTCCTTTCTCACCTCTACTTCCTTTCTCACCTCTTCTCTTCTAGTCAATGTCATAGATGGCAAGCCAACCGATGACTCTGATCCGTTGAAAACGACCTTGATTGTCGTGCCCTCGCACCTGATCACGCACTGGTAAATGCCCTACCGGATGATAGTATACTTCAATCTGATCTTCTCAGGCGAAACCAGATCCAAAGGCACTGCCAGGAACAAGCCGTCGGACGTGTGCTGGTATATCACTCACAGGCGCGATTCCTGTCTCTGAATATCTTGCAAGACATGCAGTCTTATAGCATTATGTGAGATGACTGCCAAGAGTCTCTCGTTGAAGATCACTAATACTGACATCCTAGTCTCACGACTTACGAAGAGATCAGACGCTCGTATCCGAGTTTCGACCCGCCCGAGGAGCTGACAGACGAGCAGGAGATGCAGAAATGGTATGCAGGCGTTTACCAGGAGAAAGCAGGGCCTCTGCACCGGATCAACTTTCGCCGAATCGTTCTAGACGGTAAGCTGAAGCTTATTACATTCGTTTGAGATGCTAAACCCGTCCAGAGGCGCATATGATCAAGAATCCACAGTCAAAGGTCTCCATTGCCGTCCGGGCCTTGACGGGCCATTTCAAATGGGTCGTGACTGGGACGCCGTTGCACAACGGCCCTGAAGAGTTCTATCCGTACTTTGACTTTCTCAAGGTGCCGCATACGGGGCGTTATGAAACGTTCATCAACAACTACATCGATGTAGGACTACTTCAGTATCTTGAAATCATATATGACATGTATGCTTCTTTCTAACAACTATGGTCTACCAGGGAGGAGAAGATGGCCAGCTCCGTCTGACCAACATCCTGCGAGGGACGATGTTTCGTCGTACCCATGCCAGCCGTCTCTTTGGACGACCAATCCTGCAGCTACCGGGCATCAGCCAACGGACCGAAGCAGTCGAGCTATGCGCCGCAGAACGGATCATCTACGATGGGATTATCGATTTGTTCACCAAATACATCAACGGTATGCTTGTATACATGGGGCTGCAGGGAAAGAATTCAATATGAAATATACTAGTTACTGACTGACTAGGCTTCGGCATGTCAGAAGACAGCACGAACCAGTTCCAATGCATACTCACAATGCTGCTGAGACTTCGCATGGTATCATGCCACGTGCTCACCGTGCAGAATATACTGCAAAAAGTGCTGGACAACGAGTTCATGACCAAGTTGCGCGCAGGAACTGCCGGCAAACCCGACGACGACCCTTCTACCCAGATCGTTCGACTACTAAGCCTGACGCGCTCTATCAACGGTCCACCCGACAATAGCCCAGAGACACTCGGGATCCTGGATCTAGAGGATCTAGAGGAAGACTCCGAAGCCGGGAACCCGGTAGATACTCTCTCCTTGGTCGGCTCTCAGATGCCGAGTGCGAAACTCTCTCGCGTCCGCGAGATCATCGCAGGGTGGATTTCCGAAACCCAGGATGTCAAGATTGTTGTTTTCTCGCAGTTCATCGGCTTTCTCAGACTGGTGGGACTTATGTGTCGCCGAGAGGGATGGGGGTTTGGTTGTGTAAGTGCAGGAGACACAGAGGGAAAATCTTCATGCTCACTTTGTCTAGTTTCACGGCAAAATGTCATTTGCAGCCCGAGAGGAAGCCCTGGTGGCGTTTCGAGAGAAACCCGAGATCAAAGTGTTTGTGACCTCGTTGAAAGCCGGTGGAACGGGCCTGGATATGTCCATGGCGAACAAATGCATCATGGCGGATCTTTGGTGGAATGAGGCTATCCAGGACCAGGCAGGCACTCCTATTTATCAGGCGCCCCCTCCTTTTTTTTTTTTTTTTTAATATGCTGACACGTTTGTATCTAGGCCTTCTGCCGTCTGTTTCGCATCGGACAAGTCCGGGACGTGGAGTTCGTCAAGCTGATCGCTGCGGAAACAATCGATCAATACATGCTTACCCTGCAGACGAGTAAATCAGCGGCAATCGAGAACACAATGGGCAACGACGCGTTGCGCGAGCGGAGCACGGTCTTCGATCTCGTGCGGATGTTCGCTACGGTGCGAGAATCAGAGAGCGGGACATTCACCATCGTGCCGGACTCGGCGAGCCCGACGTTCACTGTCCCGCAGGGGAGGAGTATCTCTACTGGGAATGAGGATGGTGAGAATGAGGAAGATGATCATGAACAGACGAACTTTCCTGCAACCCGTCATCCTACCCCTACACCTGAAGGTCTTTCAGTTGAAGAACAAATTTTCCGGTTCCTACCTGCTGCTACTTAGGGATCAAGGAATGCGTTGGCAGGGTCTTTAGATATTTAATTTAATCTAAGATACAGTATTCCATTATCATCAAGTCATCTTTATCATAATTAGAGAAGCAGACGTCACATCGTAACTGGTAGAACTTGCAAGGAAGACAGACGCATTAGGAATCAATAGGAAGAAGCATAGTAACGGCAAATACATTAGAAACATGAAATGAAATAGAACTTCAATTCGAAGAGATGCAACGGAAATCGGAAATAGAACTTCAGTTCAATAACGTTATCATAAACTCAACGGGAAAGGACACAAGAAAAAAAAAAGCACTCCTTGGGATTGAGAGTAGTGGCCGACTAGAACTCCGAGCTCACGTTAAAAGCTCTAGGTCTTCTCCGCCGACGAAGCCTTGCAGTCTCGACAGATGAAGCAGTCTGGACAAGACGAGTCTCGGCAGGAGGCTCGACAGGGGGAGGAAATGTGGTTGTAGAGCGGTACTGGAAACGGCGTGGGTCGGCGTTGAAGGAAGGAAACAGTCTTGCACGCGAGGTATTAGAAGAAGAAGAGGAGGAGGAACTGGATCTGGTGGTAGCGACGGTGTCGATTTGCATTGCTTCCTGTTCAAGCGCAGGGAGGTTGTTCTCGAAATGAGAACGGGGAATGGTGCCAGCTGTAGGAGTCTGCCGAGCAGCTGCGTCAGGGACACTCTGCTGAATACCTGTCTCAGCGGGCTGAGCTGCATCGGAGATAACGTTGGACTCGTCATCGGTGCTGAGCAATTCAAACTCCTCGTCGAAATTCTCCTTTTCATCACTTAGACTGGATGCCCACGACGACTCCGCAGAGCCCGAGGGAGAGATCTCTTGATTATGACTATTGTTGTCTCCGTCGACATCCATGCTCTCTGGGTCTTCGTAGATAATGAAGGAGGAAGAGGAGGTAGCAGTCCGGGCCTGGCGCGATCTAGTCGCTGAACCGTCGGCGAGGGTGTCTTGTGGTAGGCCGGAGAGTGATTCGCGGACCTCTTGGTTCCGAGCATGCTGGACCTGGCTTAACAGTTGAAGGTCTCGCTGAGAGACAATGGCGTCTTCATCGCTCTCATGTCGAGTGTGGGATTGGTTCAGGTTCAGGTGCTGTCCGGCGGCAGCTCCAGCGGCAGAGCTGACGGGGGGAGTATCGAGCCACCAGGAGTGAGTCGGGGTGTGAAGCCTCGTAGAACGGGCAGGAGGTGAGGAGGAAGACGACGATGAAGACGACGATGAATAGAGCGAGGGGGCGTCCTCCAGAGAAGGCCCAGGTTCGTCGGGGTCGAATTCACCGGCGCCCACCCACCGGCCGATCGAGGAGAGGCGTATCTTCTTCCGCGGGGGAGGCGCCATGCCGGAGAATGCCAATTCCCTGAGGTCGAGCTCGTCGCGGAGGTGAACTCGTCCAGCCGTCGTGTCTCCAGTGTCTGCGACGTTTATGTTGTTGATGTGGACGAGAGCTCTCTTCGGGAGCATCAGAGCATCTTTGTACCGCTGGACAATGGCAGCCTGTCATGTGCACTTCCTGTTAGTAAGGGGACATCACCATCGATATAGAGAGGAGGATCTTCACTGACATGATGTTCTAGAGTAATACACAGCTCAACTTCCCATTCAGCCATATGATTAACTGACTGGAGAGTCTGACACTTAGAAAATATTAAACAGAGAATGTTCTGCTTCTGACTTACCTCGACAACGGAGGGATCGAGAGGAGGTGCTGGCGTCCAGGCCTGACGGGCTGAAGACTGTGCGGATTAGCTGGATTAACTGGGTCGAAGAGATTGGAAATGGTTGGCAGACCTGCTGAGACATGTTGAGTCGACCAGATGATTGTACAGGATGAACAGAGAGAGAGGGAATAGGAGAAAAAGGAGGGGATTGTTAGGAGAGGAAGAGAACAGAAGAGGGAAAAGGGAGAAAAGAAGAAAAAGAGAATAAGAGGAGGAGGAGAAGGGAGAAAGGAGAGATTTTATGACAAGTGAGAGATATTTAGCTGTAAGTTCTATTATAAACATCCTCAGTTGTTTGATATCACTATTGTATCCATGTTAATCAGAGACAAAGAGGCTGGGAGGCTGGTTTTCCATTGATGAAACAACTGAATAGGTATTCAGAAGCAGTGAATGACTTTCTTCTCCCACCTTTTATTCATCTTGAGACAATAGACCACTCAGCTATCCAAAGGGAGTGGACCTATTGTCGAGGTTGCCAGGGTGGACATTATCTATAGCTGTGGCTTACAAGAGAAGTAGATATTGATGTAGTGTAGGATTGCTATCTGGACAAGATGGATAGACTAGATCGAGACTCTCGAGGATTTTCCTAGATGAACAAGCCACTACACCATCTCTTTCTCTGGAGTCAAGTCAACAACATGTGTCATCGGTCTCTGAGTGAAGGCTCACCGCGCCACGTCTTGCCCCCCCCCGCCGACTTTCATGACACATACAGCAAGAAAAGACAGGAAAGGAAAGGGGGAAAAAAAAAGATACATCAACATGGGAACGAGGCGCATTGGTTGAACAATCAGACTTCAAAGGGAGGCATTTGGGGGGGGGGGAACCTGATGGGAACCCATAGAGAGAGAGAGTAGTAAATAAAAAAGAAAGACAAGGCGCGGGAGAACTACACCAGAGACCAAGACGATTTCCACCAGTTGAGACTTATCTGAAATGTCCAGGTCCAATCATGCCGCCTCGGCCATCGCCGTTAGCCTGACCGAACATCTCCAGCAGGTGACGCGAGGACGGGGGCGGAGCGTGCGGACCGGGTTGGCCGCCAAAGGGAGGCACTTGTGCCCCATGGGCGAGACCCATCAGGGCATCTGGGTTGGGAGGCATGGGTGGAAATCCCGACGGCGGGGGCCCGTTCATGTTCATGTTCATATAGCCCGGAGGAAGCATCATGCCGGGAGGAGGTCCGAAGACAGCAGCACCTGCTCCGCCACTACCGCCACCACCACTGCTGCCTCCAGCAATAGGGTTGCGAGGGAACTGTTGACGGTCATTCATTGGAGGCATGTTTCCGTGAATAGGCATGACGTTGTTGATAAAATTGGGGTTGATCCCCCGTGTCGGGGTCGGGATCCCCGGAGGCGGGGCAAGAGGGCTGGGTCCTCCTCCAGCACCACCACCTTGTTGAGGATGGGGAGGGGGAGGCGGAGGGGGAGGGCCGCCAGGGGCTTGCGGTCCGTTCCAACCGGGAGGAGGAATGTGATCGAACCCAGGAGGACGCTGAAGACCCATGGCAGGATGATGGCCTTGGCCCTGAGGAGGAGGCGGGGGGGGAGGGATCCGGCTTCCACCGGGGGTGATGGGCATTTGGGCACCCTGTGGGAATGGAATCTCGTCAAAATAACCCATCGGAGGAGGCGGGGGAGGAGGGGGAGGAGGGCCATTGGTCGGTGGTGGCCGACGACGGTGTTGGTCAACCGGGCCACCGTCTGGTCGCTGCATGTTGGCAATGGCTGGGTCGTCGATGAAGTTCGGCGTCTTCTGAACCGGAGGCATGCCCGGAACATGCCGAGACAGGCCTTCGGGGAGGTTCAACATGCCGGGGATAGGACCTGCGCTCTGGGGTTGCGGGTGGTGATTATTGCCCTGCACAGGGTTGGAGACAGGTGTGACTCTCATCTGCTGCATGAGGCGGGCCAAGTGTTCCCTATCCCGAGCCTGGGCTTCTTTCATCGGGTGGTGGTGCGCCATCATAGCCTCGGGAGGAGCAGCAGGTCCAGTTCTGAGTGCAGACATGTAGTCTTGTCGACCAAGAGTCTCTCGCGACGGAGAAGATAGCCCAGGAGGACCACGTGTTGACTCTAGCTGTGCAATCGGAGGAGGTGCCGCCGTAGGAGGAGGAGGAGCAGCAACAGCAGCAGCAACAGGAGGAGGAGGAGGAGGAGGAGGAGGACCGGGCTGCTGCATCTGGTCGATATGTGGGGTAGCATTGCGAGATCTCGCTGTTCCTCCTCCTCCTCCTCCTCCTCCTCCTCCCCCGCCGCCGCCGCCTCCCAGCATCAGTAAGATGCGTTGAAATCCCTCCTGGTCCGCATCATGGGATGGCAAGGCGGGTACACCTGTGACAGGTAGCATCATGTGGCCATCGAACTCCTTCTCCCTGGATGGGCTCTCGGGAGGGGGGCTGAAGAGACCCGCGAAGCGAGACGACTTGACAGACCGAACGGTGCCGTTGTCTTTCTTGGCCGTGGCTATGGCAGTAGCCATGGTGGTGGCAGCCGTGGTGGATACGGAAACCGATTCCGTCGAGGTCGGCGTGCTGACTTCGGGTACCGACTTGATGTCGCCCAGCAGACCGAAGAACCTCTCCATCCCACCATCATGCGGTGTAAAGGAGGCGTTACCGCCATGACTGAAAGACTCGCCTCCACCTCCGGCTCTACCAACATTCTCTGGTCTGTTGGCAGTCGGGGGCTCCGCAGCAGGCATCTCACTGTTCCTAGACTTGATCTCCTCGACGGGTGTCTGAGCTGATGAACCGGCCTTCATCCGTTCTTTCCAACGCTCAAAGTCTTCCTGAGTATGCACCCGGCGGTTCTCATCGCGATCACCGGAATCGAGCCATTCGGGGTCCTGTTCAATTTTGTTGCCACGGGTCCAGTCACGGTCAGCGCCGTGTCGGTCTCCTCGCCGCCATTCCTTGCTCCGCATAAAGGGCTTGTCGCCGTCGACTGCGTCGGCAGCTACCTCCGAAGAAGGAACAGGTGGGTTGACTTCATTTTCCCGGAACCAGCTTCCTTCGTGGCGGGCGCGGGTAGTGGCAGGAGTCTGGCCCTCTCGCTTGACCAAGTACCGTCCGTCTTTGTCTTTGAGGGTGCGTTCGGCGTTGAAGTCTCGCGAGTCACGGTCCCCGCCCCCCCAGCGCTCGGGGTCGCCGTTCCGCTTGGGTTTGCGTTCCTGCTGGTTCTCCTCGCTGCCAAAGGGCCGGCGGGACCGAGCGTTGTTCCAGTCCTCTCTGTCTCCGCGTCGGCTGGTCAGGACGCCGGTCCGAGTGTCGCGCCGGTCCAGCTCCTTGTCGGCGCCATCGCGGTCCTTGTTGAAAAACTTGTCTCGAAAGTTGTACCGGTCCTGCTTATTCTCGTCCGTGTCCGGTAACCTGATCGACCGGTCAGTGGCATCAATCGAGGTCTTGCCGGGAGTCCGGGAAGCCGACGCAAACGCCGTCTTGGGTGGGCCTAGAATGATATCCTCTGTGTCGAAATGAGTCAACAATCCACGTCCGTCCGTCCGTCCGTCCCCTTGTCTAAACGAATCCCACTCACCTGGATTGGAGTTACGTGACGTATGGCGCGGTTCAAATATACTCCCTCTCCTATTCGAAACCGGCTCGTTTGGGTTGTTATGGTTTGTAGATTTTCGTTGGGCGGTTGGGTCGGGGATCGGACTGCTCAACAACCGTCAGTCTTTTAATTAAGAATTCCATCCATAGAAAACAATTTTTTCCCCCTCGCTTACCCCATCCATTCTTCTATCGGCGGCAGACTCGTCGGCTTAGTGACCAGCGGCGAACTGCGCAGTACGAGCAGCTCGTCGATCTGGTAACGTCGCGCCATGGGGCTGGCTGTGTGTGTGTGTGTGTGTGTGTGTGTGTGTGGCGGGAACCAGTGCGAGGAAATGTTCAGAACATCGGGCCAGCAGCACGAAAAAATCAATAAATCTCAAGATAAGCTGCTCAGTGGATTGAGAGAAACGGCCACGGTGACTGGCTGGCTCTCCTCGAGCTCGTTCCTGTTCCGAGGCGGGCAAGGCCTTGGCCAGTGGCGAGGCGGAGAGGCGAGGGTCGAGGCTTTGAGGAGGGGTTGGAAAACGGGTGAGAACCGAAAAGAGGCGTTGGGGGGTCAGCTGGGGAGTCGGGAGACACGAGGCTGATGAGGTGAGGTGAGAGAGACTGGGGATAAAAAGCTGGTGGTGGTGAGTGGGAGGGGGGGGGGAAGTCGAGAGCGGTGGGAGAAGAAAGTCGTGGTCGGGGCGGGCAGCAGAAAGAAGTTGATGAGGGCCCGAAAGAGAACAAACAGCACCAATAGAGCTGGATTAGGGAGAAACTGAGGTGGAAAATTAGGATTTGAAGGATTTGAATGATTTCAGCTATCTGGTTTTTATTTCTACGGGTACAATTTCACGAGTCATACACCGTAGCTGAGTACATGGATTAACTAGTGACTAGTGACTAGCTTCAGTATATAAGTGGTATGAGTCAATGATATAGAGAGTAGATGGGTATTGAGAGAGCAAGGGAGCAAGTTAAGAGGTCACTTGCTTCACCACACGAGCCAGAGACTCCCCGCTCCAGCTCGCCAGCCTCTCCTGGTCCGCCGACCGGTACAGGGCAGAGGCCAACGCCGCGACCGTGGCGGCCTCCTGATCCTTGACGAGCGAGATCTGGCTCTGGATCCAGGCAAAGATCGCGGCGCGGGTCGCCAGCGTGGCACTCCCGCCTACCTGGGAGGCGCGGTATACCAGCTGGAGCACCTTGCGTTTAGCGGGGACGCCCACGGTGGGTGACTCGTAGAGGGAGAGAAGGCGCTCGAACACGTTCGCCCGACGGTAGATTTCCATATCCTAAACAGTCAGTGAGAAAGGGGGTTCGACCATGGATAGTTGAAGGAATGAACGTACAATGTCGGTGCGGAGTCCTTTGAGAAAGAGATCCAACAACCAGCCCACCTCTTCAAAGTATCCGTCGTCCAGCTCCGGTTCGTGAAGAAGGATCTTGTCGATCCAGAAGGAAGGGATCTTCTCGACCTCCCAGGACGGAGCCTTCTGGAGAAACTTGTTGACTTTGCCGTACAGCTTGTGCATCGGGTTCGTCAGCACCGCCAGACAGCTGGCAGCACACTCGCCCACAACCCACGGAACGGGCGTCTCAAGACCGAGCCTTTGAACGGTTTCCAGCAGTTCGCCGGTGAGGATGTAGACAGTACGCCATTCAGTGTAGTTTGAATCCTTGGGTGGGGGTGAGCAAGTGTAACAAACTGGATGGTATCAAAAAAAAAGAAAGAAAAAGGAAAGGTCTTACCTTGATCTTCAGCATAAAGCGAGAGATATTCACAAACGCCTGGCGTCGCACTTCCTCGTACGAAGAACACAGACACAGCATCAGCTCGGCAATCCGACCCTGCTCAATAGCGGCCTCGAGTTCCTCTTTCTCCCATCGGTGCAGGGCGTTGTGGGTTTTGCCTTCGGTGGGCATGGTCCCAAAGATCTCCTCCAGGTCGACCGTCGGTAATTCACGCTTCGACTCTGGCTCATCAATTTCCATCTCGTCGGCGTCAGAATCGTCTTGTTGTTCTTCTTCTTCTCCGTCTGCCACTTGGTCTGTATTTTTCAGGGCTTTCTTCAAAACAGACTTGGTTTTCTTCCTCTCAGTCGCATCGAGCAGCTCATCTCGTGCCCTTTTCAACGCGTGGCGGTCTTCGCCTGAATGCTTTAACTTCCCTAAGAACCGAGCAATCCAGGAGGCAACCGCCGATTCCACCGCTTCATCTCCATTCTTAACGACAAAGGGCCACTGTTCCACAATGGCTGCCACGAGAGGGCTGACAGATCGCAGGTCGCTTGTGGCCATGGAATGGACCAGGTCCTGGTAGTGAACGGGCTTCTTCGCGACCCGACAGACGCAGTTGTCGAGGAAAGCGAGCTGGCCGGGCAACGAGGCAGAGTCGGAAACATCCAGACTTGACACCAATGCCTCAAACGATGCAGGGGCATCATAAATGACGGAATTCTCTACCAACACACTCCTAAGGAGACTCTGGATCGGGAGAGTGGCGTTTTTATCAGAGGTAGCAACGAGAACTTTGAAAACTGACGAAAAGGCAGAGTATTGCATGGTGGCTAGATTGTGTTATTATCATCATAGATAAAAACAAAAAAAAAAAAAAATGGGGGGAGGGGAAAGGGATATTTACCAGGCTGCTGCCACCAACGCATGGATGCAGACCGCTGTGCGATCTTCATGAGATGTTGCAATTGACTGATCAGCGATTCCGAGTCGTCAGCACTCAGACCGTCTGTTTCCAGTCTCTTCAGGACGTCCACAAGCACGAGCGAGACATCGAAGCCCTCTTCAAAGGCGATGTCTGGCATCACATCGTAGAAGCACGCCAACAGTTCTGTCACGGCCTCTTGTTGCTGTAAATCTTCCTTGGCGGTCCGCCGGAACAAGAGAATCACATCCTTCATGGCTGCGCACCGACGGCAGAACTCGGTCACGAGCTTCGTAGCGGCCTGATTCCAAAACGGCTGGCCAAGGCCATGATCGGTGGCGCGGAAGACCTTGAGCACGGCGCTCAGCTTATTGAACGCCACCGTCAGCAGGCGGACAGCGAACAGGGTGACGATCTCGGTGTTTTGGTTCAGACACCGGGTCAGGATCTTGTGCGTCAGGGGGCGGGGGAGGACGCTCTCGATGACGACGGAGACCGGGGGCGGCATCGCAGGTGTCTTGTCCTTCCAGCCACAGTTCGTCGGGACGGGCAGCTGAACCGTGGAGAAGAGGAACGCCGACTCGGCCATCCACGAGGAGGTGGGTTTCGGATCCGACACGAACATGGTCTTCTTGGTGAAGAAATCGGCGACCAGCTCCGGCGCGGCCTTGAAGATGGTCACCAGCAGCTCAATCTGCAGGTTGTCCATATCAGGCCGGAGCACCTGGGCGATGTGCGACAGATTCCCGTTGCGAACGGGCACCGACTCTCGGTATCGGTCAACGTAGACCGCCGAGTCGAGCCCGAGCTCGATATAGCTATCGTCGTCCGTCGGGAGAGTTTCCGGGTCACTGCCGGTGGGATACCAGCCGGAGTCGGGTAGGAGAACGCCCAGCCCGGGTGTTTGGCAGATGTTCATCAGTAGCTTGTGCACCTCGTTGGCGATCAAAGGCCCCTCCGAGCTCGGTTCGTCGGACTCCCGGTCGTACCCGTACAAGGTGACGAGGCGCTCCAGGTTCCAGCGACTGAAGAACCTCGTCTTGGCACTCCGCGACAGAGCCGCGTCCTGGACGATATCACGATCGACCGCCTTGAGGATGTCGAGGACCATGTCTCGCGGGTCCTTCCGGACATGTTCGAGGAAGGCCCGGATGACCTTGTGCTGTTCGATGATGTCGCTCTTGGCCGACACATGCTGAAACCGCAGGTTGGCAAGCACGTACTTCTGAGCGTTCCGGCGCAGCGTCGATTTCCTCGAGTCCTCGGCCGCCTCCTCGATTTGCGCCTTGTTGGGCGTGAGATACACCTCAATGCGCTTGAAGGTGATGTCCCGCTTCGCGTAGAGCAGGCGTGCCACGGCGCCACCGTCGAAGCCAACCACCTCCGTCAGCAGGCGCAGGCATGGCGAGATCAGATGTTCCTTCGACTTGATGGCCGTCAGCCCGCGGTTCAACAGTCGCAGCTGATCCTTCTGCAGCAGACACTTGCACAGCGCCAGCCCAAAGTCGCGAAACTCCAGCTGGCTCGAGATCGTATTAATGAAGATGGCCAGCGTCGACGGAATCACGGTCAGCAGAGACTCGTTGTTGCTGCTCTCGGCAAAGCTCCACATCTGGAGCAGATCAGGGAAACACTTGACATCTTCCTCCTCCCCTTCCTCTCCCTCTTGCTTGGAGGAGCGTTTGCGGGAGATTTGCGAGTCGCAGAACGCCTTCAGCTCGCGAAGTCTCTTCGCCTTGTCTTGCTCATTCTCGGCCTGGCCGATTGAAAACAAAAACTCCTTGAACTTGTTCACTCCTAATTCGTATAAGTATCTTTAGAAAATAGATCTCTCCAGCTGCAATCTTACTGTGTTTGGAGTCTGTGGCGTTTTGCTGGAAAACCAGCAGCTCACGCAGCTGGCGGTGGGAGGTGATCTCCTCGTTTCTTCCTCTAGACGGGGCATCATCGCGATCCAGCTTCCTCCGCTTGTTCCGCGATGCGTGGCTCTCCGAATGCGACATGGTGGTGATGCGCCTTTGACGGGCCTCTTTTTTTTTTCGCCCTGTTGCTCAGCAAACGGATCTTTGGAGCAGAGTTTTGCGGGTCCTCATTGGCCACCAGCGCCTGCTGCTAGACAACGACTGCTTGAGGATAGAAGAAGCAGTAGAAAAGATCAAACTGGATAAAACAACCGTCGGATCTGATGGCTGCACACGACTTACAGGCAGCGGCAACTGTTGGATGGTGGAAGAGTTGGTTCGTTGAAGTCGAGGCTTCTTTGGGAGGGCAAAATTCAGCCGTGGTGCCTGGAGCATGCCTGAGGCATCAACTTTTCGTTGATACAACAAAGAATGGCTACAGAGGACTATGGAAATGATTCAGAATTCATAATGTGAGTATTAGATTCTAACATCAGGGGTTGGTTTATTATTGGAAATTCCATTGGTGTGCAAGGTATTGTTTCTATACTCGCGCCATATCGTTAATTAGCTAAATCGATGGATTTATTATCACTACAGGATAAGATAGCTGGGAATGGCTAGAGAAGATGGAAGAAATGATATGCACCGAACCCAAATATACACTGGCTGAGGAGATGAGATGAAGAGGAAGAAGCTCTCAGCCCCATGTTCCACCACCACCACCTCTGCCCTGGCGTTTCTGGGCGGAGATACGCCAGTCGTCCTCGCCCTGGAACCGGTTGTACAGGGGCTGGATGCGCTCTGCCTTCTTGCGCTTGGACAGCCGGTCTGTGGGGGCGACCTTGAAGAAGGTCGGGGCGGCGTCGACGAGCCATTTGGGCTCGATGGCCGTTGTGCAGTGCATGTACTCCTTCGTGGTCAGCACCAGCGTGTGGTAGATGACGTGTTCCGTCGGCTTGCCGAACAGCGCGGAGCTGGGGTGCAGGTAGACCGGCGTGCCCTCGACGAGCGTCTTGTATCCCTCCTGCGGGTCCTTGCGCGCCGCATTACGGAAGAACCCGGTGCACAGCGCCTGGCGCACCATGAGGGTGTTCCGGCCGCAGGAGACGATCCGGTGGTGGTAGCGGTCCATGATCCCCAGCAGCTGCTGGCGCACATCCTGCGCACGTCGCATCTGGCGCGCTTGGATGAAGTTCTCAAAGCACCAGGCGTTGCTGAATTTGGATTGCTTCCATCCGTTGTACACGTTGAGCAGCGTCAGGTGGTCACCATGCGGATCGTGGAACTTCGACTTCTTCTGGTCGGCCTGCTGTTGCTTCTCCTTTGGCCGGTAGAAGACGGACTGGATGCTCAGCATTGCCACGATGCTCAGCATTTCTTCCGAGCAACTCATGTCGACCGAGGCAATCAGAACCTTGGCGAGCGCTGGCTCCATGGGGAAGTCGGCCATCTTCCGTCCAAGCCGTGTCAGAAGCCCTTCGTCATCCAACGCAGACAGGGCATACAGTTCCTCCAAGGCTGTAAGCATGGTGTTGGTGGGCGGCGGATCCATGAAGTCGAAGTGCAGGAGATCGTTGATGCCCATAGCCTTGAGCATGAGAATCGTGTGCGACAGATTCTGCCGTTGAATCTCGGGAATCGTCGTGGGCAGCATCTCGGATTGATAGGCTGCCTCGGTGTACAGACGGAAACACTTGCCAGGACCGGTTCGTCCAGCGCGGCCAGCTCGCTGCTTCGCCTGGGCCTGTGAGATCGGGGTGACCACCAGAGAGTCCATACCGAGTTTGGGGTCGTAAGCATTCTGCTTCACAAACCCAGGATCGATCACGTAGTAGATGTTGTCAATTGTAATAGACGTCTCGGCAATGTTTGTGGCAATCACGACTTTTCGCCCACCAGATGGCGCGGGCTCGAAGATTCGACTCTGCATCTCACTGGGTAATGCCGAGTAGACTGGGAGGATGACCAGTTCTGGGACCGTGGACCCAAGAGCCTTCATTCGTTCATATAAGATCTCGCATGCCGTGTCGATTTCTTCCTGACCGGTCAAGAAGACAAGGATATCACCGACCGGCTCCGTCAGGTGGATCTGCATGACGGTGATGAGAGCCGCGTCCAGGTAATCCGGCTCAGGTTCCTTGGAGTACATGATCTCCACGGGGTACGTTCGACCGGGGATCGAGAAGATGGGGCATTTGTTAAAGTACTCGGAGAACTTCTCTGCATCCAGGGTCGCCGACGTCACGATCAGGCGCAGATCTGGCCTCCTTATAATCGTCTTCTTGAGCAGACCGAAGAGCACATCGGTAGAAATGGTTCGCTCGTGGGCTTCGTCCAGCATGATGACGGAATACTTCTTCAAGTTCGGGTCCAGGAGAATCTCTCGCTGGAGCATTCCATCAGTCATATACTTGATCTTGGTGTCCGGGCTGGTGCAATCCTCGAAACGAATCGTGTATCCGACCTCTGCCCCGAGTTTGCAGCCGACTTCCTCCGCGACACGCTTCGCAACGGACATGGCGGCCACGCGGCGAGGCTGTGTACATCCGATGATTCCTTTGTTTCCGTATCCAGCCTCGGCCAGGTACTGGGTGACCTGCGTCGTTTTGCCCGACCCAGTGTCTCCGACCACAATCAACAGCTGGTTGTCACGGACAGCATCTAGCAGCTGGTTGCGGAACTTGTAGACGGGCAAACTCTCACGTTGCTGCTTGATGGTCATGTTGGTCCTCTTGCCAAAAGATGCATTCTTGCCCATTGTCACCCGTTTCCATTCAGGTACCGTGTCGTCTGGTTTCGCCTGCTGAGCGGTACGAAGATCGGAGGCAAATTTACGGTCCTCAGGATTGATCATGGGATCCTGCCATTGAGCATTCAGATCAACTTCGGCCGCGCGTTCGGCGGCCTTATCTTGGGCTTCCTGCTGTCGCAATTCTCGCCTCTCCTTGGCAAGGTTTGTCCCTGCCATTGCAGCACGGTTCATCGAGCCATCGGGAGCCTTGACGACCCGAATGGGAGACAACTCGAGAGACAGTTTGGTCTGCCCCGCCAGGAACGGAGGCTCCTCGTCTCGAACTTCGATATCCACGTCTTCCTCCTCCTCGAAAGTGCCCTCTCCAGTCAATGTGGCGTGGTACTCTTCATCGATATCCGGGTAGTCAGCTGCGGAGGCGGCACCGGACGCGATCAATTGCTTGATCTCCCATCGTTCGGGAGACGTCATCCGTTTTCGGTTTTTCATCGGCCTGCCGTTTGAATTTTCGATGACCGGGACTTCTGAGCTTAGGTTCCCATATCGATCGTTGCTTGATGAGCCATCGAGGCGTTCCATGTTCGCGCCAGACGCCAGACGGCGCTGGGGGATCAGGTCCTGGCCGGTTTGCTGGTCGACCTCTTTCATGGACAACCCGATCCGCGAGCCCTGGATGCTGATCACCTTGACTTTGACGGGCTGCCCTCGCGAGACCAGGTCTGACGGGTGGTTCACGCGAGCGCCTTCTTGCATTGCGGACACGTGTACGAGACCGTCGACTTTGCCTTTGACGCCCAGCAGGTTCACGAACGCCCCGAAATCCTTCACCCCCGTCACACAGCCGTCATACACCTTGTATATTATCGGCTGGTCGTCGAGTTCAACAGGCGGGGGACGCTTGAAGTATTCGTCGTCGTCGTCGTCGTCGTCTTTACGTCTGCGACGCTCGGTGTGGCCGTTGCGATACCCATCCTCTCTCCCGTATTTGCCCTTTGTCGACCGGCCAAATTCATCCACATCATCTTGACCCTTGTGGGTATTGTGGGATCGAGGCGGGGTGCGCGATCTCGACCTCGAGCGATACCTGTCCCTCCGCTTGCGGTCGCTCTTGTAGCCGTTATCGTTGTTGCTGTAATCACCGTAGTAGGGACTCCTGCTCCGTTTCCTGGTGGCCCTCTCCTCCCGACCCCTACGGGGCCCCTTATCGTCTGGAGCTTCCCTCGGCTTCCCTGCCAGGCCTTCTAGCATTGCAAAGGTATCGTCCATTGCGCCCGCTTTCGCGTCGTCCTCGTTTGCCCGCTCCCTTTGCTCCTCCTCTCCCTCCCAACTGGGCTCCTTATCTGGCACAGCAAGCCCCTTGAACACACGCGCCTTCTTCTCCAGCGCATCAAAGACGTCCATATCGTCGGCACCCTCGTGCTGTCCGTCCTTCCCTTCCGCGTGCTTCTTCCCCTTCTTGTACTTGGGATGCATCGTCAACACCAACCGATCGATACTCTCCATCAAACTCCCGGGAAACTCGGCGCCCATCTCCTCGAGACTCTTCCGGAACTCGGCAAACGAGCCACATTTGAGATGCTGGTCGATGACGAATTCCGCCAGGGTCTTGTCGCTCACGCCCAGGTGGTTCTGCAGCTCGCTCGTGATACGCGACACGAGCGAAAACAGCTCCAGCGACTGTAGGTCGTCCATGGCAGCTCAGCCCACTGGGGCAGTGGAATGAAGCCGGTTGAAACGGATGGAATATCGGATAATCACTGGAAGCTATCGGCTTGAAAGGGGGGTTGACCTCGACAGGGTAGAGGGAAACCGCGGAAAATTATGTGGCGGGAGATCTGAGTTGAGGACGCTGAGGTCGCCACCGATAAGATAAGTCCATACAAATGGAAGAACATAGTTATATGTGGTTATTTTGTTATTTTGTTATTTTGTTATTTTTAATTTATGCATTTGATTTCCATGATTGAATAGAGTATATAGCGTATGATACATGTTGTACAAGTCTATTGAGTGATGGGCACCATCAGTCTTGAGTAATATACAGAAAGCCACACGCGTTCTTAGGCATTAGGTGAAGAAGACGAGACACCTCTGTCCGTCTCTTCGATGAAGGATATGTCCGGGTTGGATTCGGAGTCGAGACCGAGCGGCATCTCGTCTTCTTCGTCGGGGTCTGTGTCATCCTCGGCGAGGAGCATCTTCTGCAGGTGGATTTGCTTGGCCAGCGCGATCTGGCGCCGGAGGGAGGCGTCCTTGCGAAGCTTCAGGCTGGAGGAGAATTCGGCCAGCGCACACATCATTCGCTCCTCGACCAGTTCTTTGACGTGAGACGCGAGGGATCGGTCAGTGAAGACCCCGCCGAAGCGGAAACTCAGCCACAGGTACAAGATGAGGGACTTGTGTAGACTCTCGAGCTCGGTCATGTACGTCTTGAGGCCGGAGACGGGCTGCTCGAGCACCTCCAGGTGCAGCTCGGAAAAGTCCACGAGACGACCCCCGGCGTGCTGGGACACACATCGGATGAAAGCGGTCGCGGCCTCGCGGGCATCCGGGTCTCTCACGTACAAGGGGGCGGCCAAGAAGGTGAGGTGGTCCTCAATTCGGAGATCTGGAACGGTGTCCAGGATGGTGGCATTCATCAGCTGGTTTTGAGGCTCGCATAGGAAGAACGGCGAATTCACCCGTGCAATACCCATCACCCGCTTGACGAGGTACTGGATGGGGACGTTGCGCGGGAAGTATTCCGAGAAGCGTTGATAGACCTCATCCGGAGGGAGGATTCCCGCGGCCTGCAGAGGCGGAGGCTCGACATCCATCGCCTGGCGGATATAAGGGAGATCTACGTCCTCCAGCGCCGTCACCCAGCCCACGTTGCTGTTGTCGTCGCCCGCTTTGTTCGATCCTTGGGATTGATTAGCCGCCCGGTATCGGCCAGCACGCCCTCCGATCTGCTTGATCTCAGGCACAGTCAGGCGGACGAGGCCGCTGGCATTTCGTTTCACCAGTGTCTCGAAGATCACACGCTTGCAGCTCCTTTAGCCAGTCAGTTGGGCGCGTTGACAGCGCATACAGAGCGACCAAGAGAGCACTCACAAATTAAGACCCATGCCGATTGCGTCACTAGCAACCAAGAAATCATAGTCGTTGTTCGGGTCATTAAACAAGTTGGCCTGCTGTGTGCGGATCTCGGCTGGTAACCCTCCGTAGACGATCGCTGCGCGCCGGCCGGTCATCTTTTCGATATCGGATTTCAGCGCATGGATTCCGACCCGGGAAAACGAGACCAGGCAATCTCCCTTTTGGAGGTTATTGAGGTTACCCTTCAGACTCTGGCCAGCCACCTTCAGCGGGTTCAGTCTCTCGTAGCGGTGAATTTCGAGCTTGTCGCCCGTTAACGCAGCCAGTTCCCGGATGAGAGGCACCGATCTGGTTTCACCACAGAGGTGTAGTTCTGCTGCACGCGAGCCGAGCACCGCTCGCGTCCAGGCCCATCCCCGATGGGGGTCCGCGATCATCTGAATCTCATCTATCACGCCGACATCGTACTGGTCGGCAAAGCTCACCATCTCGACTGTGTTGCTCACAATCCTGGAGTGGCCTTCCTCCGGGAGCTTGACCTCATCGCCTGTGACCAGACTGCATGGGACACCCTTATCCTTGAACCGATGGTACACCTCCTGTGCAAGTAGACGCAGCGGTCCCGCGTAGAACCCGTTCCGACACTGCTCCAGCCGCTTCAATGCATGATATGTCTTTCCGGAGTTGGTCGGCCCAACGTGCAGATGGATTACCCGCTGCATCGAGCGAGCCTGGGGATACCACTCGGGGGGGTAGCGCAGGTCGGTAATTTTCCGGTGCTGCTCCAAATTCGGCGCCGAATAGTTGTTGGTGAATTCCTCCGCTTTATAGAGTTCCTGGAGCGCCTCCGACACTCCCTTCTGTCCTCGTTCCATGAACGCCTGCTGCAGTTGCGTTTTGGTGCTCAGCAACGACGACCATTTCCCCCTATGTCGCGATGCGTCCAGCTCGCAGGCGTTTGTGACATGGCGTTCAAACCGCGTCCATCCCGCCATCGACGGATCTTTGCGCTCGACCTCCTTCTGGAGCTCGAGAAGAGCAGACTGGACAACATCCGGGAAGGCTGGGGTAAGCGTTCTCCTCCCGAGCGATTGCGATGGCTTTTCAGCAGGGCTTTTCTCACGACCCTATTGACAATGGACAACAAAGATCAGCTTGACTTGTTCATCTCCACGCAGCTCATTCATCCCCATCGACGTCATCACGACTTACCTTCTTCCCCTTGTGCTTCAGCCTCGCTCCTTGCAGCCCCAGCGACGTCGTAAACGCCCGCTGCGCCGTAGACACCGGAGGACGGAACGCACAGAACAGGCAGACCGTGCCTCTGCTTCTCCATAGCTGCATTCCTAGATTCTTGGGTGTTCGGTCTTCAAAATTTCAGGGCACTTGAAACGCAGTCCCCGCCACCAAAACCGGGTCGACAGTCAAAATCAGACACTCTCCAGGAGACCATCGATCGAAAGCGAGAAATAACAGCCGGGTTCCACGCCACACCGTTCGTGGTTGTCGTTGTAGACCAGGCCAGAAAAAGAAACAAGATAGAAAAAAAAAGAGGTCGCCACTGAGGGCGGAAAGACTTGCTCAGGAGCTTCCGTCACGTTTATCTCCGCGGTGGGGAACAACTCGAATCTCCAGGAGTGTTCGCTACTTGGTGAATGGAGACCTGCTACGTTTCAATTTCTCCTCTGCCTGTCCTTGCGTCTGATTGTGCCTGGGCGGTTGATTTTTCTATTCTGCCCCCGTGTTATAGGTGTTCTTTCCTCTGTCTGATCCCGTGAGACCTTGGTGTTTCTGTGCCGTTCAGCCAGGATGAGCACCTCCATCATCACCATCCAGCAGGAGAGTAAGTTTGCTGCTTTGTTTGGGTCTAGACAGACTGCTGACTAGTATGTAGTTATCCTGAATACGATCCGTCATGCTGGCGGTGACGAGGTATGGCTGGCGTGGTCCTCGTTTTGGCTGATCGCGACTGACGGTGAGGGGGGGATGACATAGTGGAAAGTGTTGGTGGTGGATGAGACAAGCCGGAAATTGATCGACAATGCGGTCAAGCAGGACGATATTCTCAATCTCAATGTGACGAGTAAGGATGAGACCGGCTGGAATTGTCGTGATGGACAGACGAAGAGCTGAGACACCCCGCAGACGTGGAGCAGATCGAGCATCGACGACAGGCAAACCCGGACATGGATGCTCTGTACATCCTGTCGCCCGCTTCTCATATCGTCGACTGTTTGATGGCCGATTTCGAGAGGAGGAGATACCGGAGGGCGTTTGTAGTCTGGACGTCTAGTCAGTCATCCTTGTGTCCTGGGTCGGAGATCGCTGTTCGTTGGTTCTAACAGCACTCTTATGTGCATGAAGTCCTCGACCCTCAACTACGCAGCAGAATCGACCGTTCGCAAATGGCGCGGGACCAGATTGCAGACTTTCGAATCATGAACATCGACTTCTTCCCAAGAGAATCTCATGTGGTGACTTTCCGAGACCCGTGGAGCTTTCCGATTCTGTTCCACCCGGCGTGCAATAATCTGGTTCGGGAACATCTGCAGGGTCTTGCGCAAAAGGTGAGACAAGGGAAAGAGTATAGAAGGATACAATACAGCATACTAAACCAAGGCGTTGTAGGTGGTATCGCTATGCGCCTCGCTTGGGGAATACCCTATTATTCGATACTACCGGCCTAGAGTCCCGACTCATGAGGCCAGTGTTCTTTGCTCGCACTTGGCACGATTCGTCCAGGAAGAGATGGATCGGTTTGCTCAGTTCCAGCGAGATTTTCCGCCCCCTTCTAACCGTCCTCGTGGCGTACTGTTTGTGGTGGATCGTTCAATGGATCTCTTCTCGCCGCTGCTTCATGAATTCACGTATCAGGCCATGGTCCATGATCTGCTCCCCATCAACGATGGGGACAAAATCACGTATAAAACTGTCGTCAACCAGGGCGGTCCTAACGAAGAAGAAAAGGAGCTAGAGATCGGAGATCATGACAAGGTGTGGGTGGACTACCGCCACATGCACATGAAGGACGTCTTGGGCAAACTCGGAGAGGACTTTGCCAAGTTCCGAGCCGCCAATGCTCAGTTTGCGGACGAGTGAGTAGTAAAATCCATATTCTTGACGGGCTTTGGCTAACCTTGCATAGCGACAAGCAGGTCGATGTGGACCGGATCCAGGGCATGTTGGCTGGTCTGGCGGACTTCCAAGAAGGCAAAAACATCTACACCCTGCATCTGAACATGGCGCAAGAGTGCATGAATTACTTTCAAGACCGCAAACTTCTTGAGGTCAGCCTGGTGGAACAATGTCTCGCAACCGGTCTTGATGAGAACTACAAGAAGGTCAAACATATCGCCACACAGCTTGTACAACTGCTGGACGACGAATCCATCAATCGTCCGGATCGACTGAGACTCCTCCTGCAGTACATTATCTATCGAGGTGGTTTGCTAGCGGGAGATATCAAGAAGCTCATGGCTCACTCCCAACTACCTCCGCAGGACGGAGAGGTTGTCTACAATCTAGATCTTCTGGGCGCACGGGTCGAGAAACCGCTGAAGGACACCAAAGCCGCCGTCCCCCCGCTGTTTACCAAGCGACCGCCTTCTGCCAATCCAGAATCTGACGAGGCGAGCCTGTCCCGGTACGAGTTGAACGTGAAGCAAATGTTGGAGGAGCAGATTCGAGGCACTCTAGACACGACTACTTTTCCCTACACCAGACCGCAGAACGATGCTGCGGACGGCGCGTCGGCGGCGAACGGCATTTCGCAGGCCTCGCTGCGCAGCGCGAAGCCTACGTGGGCGCGCACTCGCTCCGCCGCGGACCAGCCGCGACAACGGATCATCGTGTTTATGGCGGGCGGGGCGACATATTCGGAGGCGCGGGCCTGCTACGAGATCTCCCAAGCGCAGGGCAAGGATGTGTTCCTAGCCACGTCACACATGCTCACCCCGAGCCTGTTCCTACGCCAGATCGGTGATCTCAGTGTCGACAAACGCCGGCTCGACATCCCCGCCGAACGGCCCAAGCCGACGGCCCCCGCGCATCTCTTCGAGAAGGATCCTCCTCCCCAGCCAGCACCACCGTCTGCAGCCTCTGCACAACCATCTCCGGCCGGTCATGCACCTCCCACGGCCGCGATGGGAAACATGTCGTTGGGCTCAAGCGGACACAACACTCCACCCTCCAGCGGCAGCCATTCGCTACCCTCTGGGGGAAAACCGAAGAAGGAAAAGAAACGGCACCATTTCTTCAAGTAAATCTCCCAAGAGCCTTATAATCTCGCAGCGTCTTCTGTTGTCTCTTTCGCCCCTCTCTCTGATTGCGTGCTACTCTTCATTCCTGTCTGCTGGTCGGCGCCCCGTGTCTCCTTGGCTGTTGCTAGCGATACCATCTCTGATCTGGATTCAAAGTGCGGTGTATAGAATTAGCAAGCTAATATTCTATTACTTGGTAAAATACTGCGTGTCTAATAAACTCGCCATGCCATCATATTCTTGTTATAGTCGTAATTCTATGCCTGGGTATCAGCCAACACTTTGTAAAAAAAAAAAAAAAAACAAACGCCGGAAAAGCAGTCTCCCTCTACTCCCCCAAATACCGCTGCACATCGTCGTTCTGAAAGAACATTTCCCGCAGTCTATCGCTCTTCTTCTGCGCCCGAGCGTACCCCATTCTCGCCTGCTTCGCATTTAACTTCTGTGTCTTCTGCACCTTCGCCGCTGGTTTAGCCTTCTCTTTCTCTCCATCGGCATGCCTCTTGATACCTAAGCCGACCGTATCGTTCTTCACCTGCGGCTTGAGAGGGTCGCGAATTCCCTCCCGACCGGGGGCGCCCAGGCCTAGCCTGCTGTCTGGATCCCAGCCGTACGCAGAGAGATAGCGTAGGCCGTGTCTCGTCCGGTCGAGATGCGAAGGTGGGTGCGAGTGTTCCAGGCAGACCTGATGGGCGAGAGATGATTCATGGGGCTTCGTTGTGGACGTCGTTCTTTTGGTGCCTTGATCATCATCTTCTTCTTCTCCTTCGTCTGCGAGAGGGAGACGGCACACTTCACATCGGCGAACTGGAGACGACAGCACAGACACAGTCTCTTTTTCCCCCTCTGCGGAGGGCTTCTCTGGTAGCACGATCGATAGGTACTTATTAGCGATCTCCGTTGCGGTTGTCGCGGGCTGGATCGAGGAGGAGGTGGTCGTAAGATGTTCCGATGATGGCACAAACTGGACTCGTTTGCGGCTGATTCCGGCACCAAAGACGCGCTGGTCTTCAAGGGGAAGGAAGTAATCTTCGTCCGTCATTTCTCTTCTTCCTTCGCAGTAGCATTGCTGCTGCTGTTGTTTATTGTAAAGCGAGTGGTTGTCGAGAAGAAAGTGGCAATCGCCGCTTAACTCCGTCCTACGTAAGCTGCTGAAGACCTGCCATCTTTCTGCGTGTCCGCTTTTTTGAACAGTTTTCCTTCCAAAGCTTCCCTCGACATGCCCATCCCTATCATCATCAAGGGGATTACCGAAGGTCTATCGTCGATCCCCCATGCGTACACCGTGCTCAAGACGGCGCCATGGGTGCTGCTGCTGGTCGCCCTGAAGATGTACTTTGGGGGAGCGCGGAATCAGTCAGAGCGACTGATGCACTCCAAGGTGGTCATGGTGACTGTATGTTTTTAGAGAACACCCTACAATTACTATACTATGGTTCTTGCTAATTGTAATAGGGCGGTACATCCGGTATTGGAGCGAGTGTTGTGCACGAACTCGCCCTGCGTGGTGCCCAGATCATTCTACTCACCCGACAGCCACCCTCGGACGGCTTCCTGGCGGAATACATCCAGGACGTACGGCAGAGGACGGGGAACCAACTCATCTACGCGGAACAGGTGGACCTATCCTCGCTGCACTCGATCCGGACCTTTGCCACGAAATGGGTTGACAATGCCCCGCCGCGCCGGCTCGACATGCTCATTCTGTGCGGCGGGCTGGCCGCCCCCTCGGCGGCGAGAGGGAAACACTCGCCCGACGGGCTCGACGAGGAGTGGCAGGTCAACTACCTGGCTAATTTCCATCTGCTGAGCATCCTTAGCCCTGCGTTAAGGGTGCAGCCGCCCGACCGGGACGTGCGGATCATTTTCACCACGTGTTCGAGCTACATCGGAGCCAAATATGACCTGAAACAAATCACGGACCGCCGGCCGGGAACAAATGGAAAGGGGAATACCAATAAGAAGAAGAAGAATGAATCTGCGAAGAAGGAGGAGGAGAATACCCCCGTCCTTCCCTCCAAGGCCAACATCTTCGGCCTGAGCAAGCTCGCCCTAATGATCTTCGCGCAATCCTTCCAGAAACACCTCAACGCCTACGCCCGCCCGGACAAATTCCCGCCCAACGCGCGCATCCTGGTCGTGAACCCGGGCCTATGTCGCACACCCGGCACGCGCCGCTGGCTGACGGGCGGCACGCTCTGGGGGCTCCTGGTCTACCTGCTCACCTGGCCGTTGTGGTGGCTGGTGCTCAAGTCCCCGCAGCAGGGGGCGCAGAGTATCCTGTTCGCGGCGATGGAGGCCCGGTTTGGTCGCGGCGCGGGCGGCTACATGATCAAGGAGTGCGTGGAGGTCGATGTGGCGCGCACAGAGGTGAAAGACGAGAAGCTTGCAGAGGAGCTGTGGAAGGTTAGCGAGGCGCAGATCACCGAGGCCGAGAAGACGGCCGCTCTGAAACGGGCGGCCGACAAGGCTGCTACGAAGGAGAAAACCGACGACAAGAACCAAGAAAGCCAGGGGTCGAAAGAGCAGACGGCCGGATCGAGACGGAACCGGAAAAAGGCAGCTTGAGAGATAGAAAACTAAAGACATACAGCATACCAATGTAGAATCTAATCACCTATACATTTGAAATTATCTACGCTCAAGTTTAACTGCATGGCATGCGTTAATCATCTAAATTGAAGGTTTGCCTTCACGCTGGTATCTTTTTCTTCTTTTTTTTATTCCCTCCTTCACTGCTTCAGCTTCTCCAGCAAGGTCGCCGGCGGCTGCTGTCTGTATCCCTCCGGGTTGTTCTCGGTCCAGAGCCACAGATCCTCACACGCCTGCTCGAGGGTACGCTCGGCCTTCCAGCCGAGCTCTTCGTTGGCCCGCGTAGGGTTGGCAGTCAGGTTGAGGACGTCGCCCGCGCGGCGGGGGGCCACAGTGTAGGGGAGGTCCCGTCCCACGGCGGCAGAGAAGGCGCGGATCATCTCGTAGACGGTGCTGCCCTTACCCGTGCCCAGGTTCCAGGCACGCACACCCGGGTTTTTGGCGCGCAGGTAGTTGAGCGCCTTGAGGTGGCCGTCCGCCAGATCAAGGATGTGGATGTAGTCGCGGATGGCGGTACCGTCGTGAGAGGCATAATCTATTAAGAGGTATATTAGTATATTTGGATAAGATATTGTTTGTTTGTTTTTTTTTTTTTTTTTTTTTTAGGTGGAAAACCTACCATCGCCAAACACGAGCAGCTTCTCCCGCTTGCCCGTGGCGACCTGCGCCAGCAGAGGGAGCAGGTTGTAAGGGACACCCTGGGGGTCCTCACCCATGATGCCGCTAGGATGGGCACCGGCAGGGTTGAAGTAGCGCAGCAGGGCACCGTTCCACTTCTCGGCCTCGGCGGCGTTGCCGGCCTTGATGGCATTGTTGCGCTGGGCGTTGATGACGTCGGTGATGGCGGTCTCGACGGCAAACTTGGTGTTCCCGTACGGGTTTGTCGGCCCCAGAGGACAGTGCTCGGGGATGGGGATCATGTCCGGGAAGCGGGTGGCGTCGCCGTAGACGGTGGCCGAGCTGGAGAAGACAATGTTGGTGACATTGTGGCGCACCATGGAGCGCAGCAGGCAGATGGTGCCGTAGACGTTGACCTGGTAATAGTCCAGCGGGCGCTCGCCAGACTCCCCCACGGCCTTGAGCGCCGCGAAATGGATGACACTGTCGATGTCCGGGTGCGCCTCGAACACGCGGTCAAACGCGGCCTCGTCCGTCACGTCCAGCTGCGCGAACTCGGCCTTCTTCCCGCAGATCAGCTCGATGCGGCGCAGGGCCTCCGCCGACGAGTTGTACAAGTTGTCGGCCACAACCACCTTGTAGCCCGCCTCCAGCAGGGCGAGGGTGGTGAAGGAGCCAATGTAGCCCGTACCACTATAGAGGAGGGTTCAAGTATTAGTATGAGCGAGGTCTCCGACAACCCGGCAAATGGAGAATGAAGCAGAACTTACCCGGTGACGAGAACAGAGCCGGTAGACATGATGAAATTGAGGATCACAGAGGCAGTAGATGAGCAGTAGATGAGCAAACAATGGTTGAAAGGGAGAAGGAGAGAAGAGGAAGACGAGGACGAGGGGGAAATCGGAAGAGGGAGGAGGCGGGGTGGGATTCTCAGGCACTCAGGCAGACATAAACAGTAGGCGTTGCTACAGCTTACAGGATTTACTCTGTACAGACCACAACAGACCACTTTTACTGGTATTACTCCTTTGATTAGTCTGGTTTAGTAACTACTACTTACTATCACTATATGCCAAGCATCGTATGTCATTAGGATAAACTGCTACGTTGCAACTACTACATGTCTTGAAGCTCAACACGATCATCATCCGATGGCGCTCAGGACGGGACGCCATGTTTCAGCTGGTCCCACTGGCTCCGTAGCAATCACAGTTGAACCCTGGGCCTGTGTGGTAATATGTAGTAGGAAGTGTATGTGAGAATGGACTGGAGTGACGCCTTTTGGACGGTGGATACGACTGAGCCGTACTACCTTGTAGTGGACAGATTGTGGACAGATTGTGGAAGACAAGAGGCCCGATCTGTCGGTTAATATGGCCACTATGGCGTATGGCTTGATTGCTAGATATAATAGCCGATATTGACAGGGGGGGAAGGTTGACTGGAGAAGTGAAGGTACATTGACATAGGTATTTATTAGGCTACAGACATTGCCTGACAGATACATCCTGCCCCGGTGTCAGAAAAACACTCACTGACAGACAGGGCCGTTACGCAGGGAGGGATCGAATTTCCCTGATGACCGGATATTAGCATGAAGACCCAGATGACAGATAGATAGATACATTTTTTTTAATGTAAAAAAAAAAAAAAGCAGAGCGTGCCAATGGAAGACATCAATAGGGTGGTGGGCAGTAGGATGTCCCTGCGTTGGCAGAGAGAATATAAGTCTCATGCGAAAAAGGTTCAACGTAATAACTAGGTGGCGTCTATCCCAAAAGCTCAACGTCGAGCCCAATGGCGCGCATAAACAGGTTGACGTTGCCTAGTCGTTGACTCGACATATCGGCGGGGAGGGTTTTGCTATATGCCACCGTCTCCATCACACGGTCCCTGATGGGTCAGTATAAAGAAAATAGAGTAAAAGGAGAAGAAGAAAGAAGAAGAAAGAAAGAAAAACTCACTTGACTGCAATCACTAGACGTTGCTGTTGTTCTGGGCTGGCGCCGATACCGATGGCAGCCAGGAACTGCCAGACGTACATGTCGTCGCCTGCGTTGATCGCGCCGGGGAAGATATCCGCCAGAATGGGCTCGAGAGTGTCGAAAAGGACGTTGAATTTGTCCACCCACTGCTGCCAGTCGCGCTCCGCCGCCTGACCAGCCTCCTTGACGATCTCGGCCCGGCTGAGCAGCATGGTCAGGATGCCGAGGCCGATCCGCGTCTTGGCCACCACCTGCACCTGCGTCTGGGCGATCACCAGGCCCAGCAGGCCGATGATGATGTTGAAGGGTGCCTCGTTCACATACCCAAGGAGGCTGGGCATCACGGCCTGCGAGAAGAGTTCGATCGCCTCCCGCACCGCCGGCGGGGGTTGGACCTCCCCGGGTACCGGGTGCGCACGGCGCACCACATCCAGCGCATCCAGGTGCACGACAATCATGGTGAGGATGGTCACGCGTTGCTCCTGGTCGATATGGCGGAAGATGCGCGGGATCGCCTTCTTACCCTTCGGGTATGAGAGGAAGGCGATAAAGGGGTGCGGCGTCGTCGCGCCGGGAACAATGGGCTCCATCACCTTAAGCGCCTGCCACAGCTTCTGGTTGAGCGCCTGGATCTTCTGCCGCCACTCCAGATGCCGCTGGATGGCCTCCGGGTCGTTCTCCTCCGGTGGCGGCGGCATGGTGCGCTCCATGTCCTCCATCATCATCAGGGCATCATAGACGTTCTCGACATTCGTCAGTATCGATTTGCGGTCGCTCACTGACAGTTCCGTGTGAGGCTTCTTGTGAACCGGCTTGATCCCGTCCGCGCTGTCGGGCCGCTTGATGTTGAGGATGGCCTTGGGTGCCTTGGCGTTGCTGAACGAGATCTTACCCAGGCTGCCCTCAATGATCAGCTGCTTGTTTTTCGGCTTTGCCTTGGCGGCTTCCACCGCCCGCTGCACCTGTTGCTGCATGCGCTGCATGTGATTGTCTGCGCTCTGGAACTGTCGCCGACCGCCGTGGCTGCTTGGCCGGTTGCCCGTCTGGAAGAGATACGTCTGCGCGAAATGTCCCAGCGGCTGATGCGGGTGCTGGCGAGGAGCACCTCGGATCTGGCTGTACACCTGATAGTAAAAATCCTCCGACAGAATGGCCTCCGGGTCCGAATCTCCCATGTTACCGGCCGCGGCCACCAACTGCTGCAGCTGAATCCGAGTGATGAAATTCTTGTCCTGGGGCGTCATCAGCCCATTGCCCTTGGAGAGCAGAAAGATTTTGTGGTTCCGCTTGGCGCGCTTAGCGTCTTCTACCAGGTATGCCACGCGTTGCTTCTCCGTCAGGTTCATCAGCTGTTGCGGGTTGGTGATCATTGGCAGAGCGCCGTTAGATCCGCGAGCCGCGTGCTGTGGCTGCTGAGTGCCTCGCGGGGGTTGCGCGACCTGCTGAGGGGCATTCTGGGCGGGCATAGCATGCATCGACGCTGCGGGGGGTACATGCGCGTGCATGGAATGTGGTTCCGGCATCATCTGCGGCTGGTGGTGCATCATCTGCTTCGAAGGTAGGCCAGAATTGGCAAACTGAGCCTGCTGCTGCTGATACTGTTGTTCGAGTCGCAACAGCTCGGCGGGGGGAAGCTGGGGGAAGCCGTCAGGGAGTACCGGCATCTGCGGGGGTCGTTGCAGCTGCTGAGGGAATTCCGGGGCCCGGGAGACAGCCGGAGGGGCCATCTGGGGACGTTGCACCTGGTTACGAAGCTGCGCTTCCACCTCCTCCAGACTCATCATCTTCCTCGCCTGCTGCATCGTCATGATCGCCTGGGCAGCGGGGGCGGGGGCGGGGGCGACCGGCTCAACAACGGCCGGGTGTTTCTGCGTGTAGCCCCAAACGCTTGACTTGGCCTGCAGATCTGGAATGAAATCGGGGTCACTGTATTTCTCATAACCGGTACGCCGGGCCTTTTGCATGCTCGCCGTCGCCGTGGCTGTCGCCGCCGCTACAGGAGCAGCCGCCACGGCGCTCGTCCCGGCGACAGCCTGAGGATGCTGCAAGCTGTAGCGAACCTGCTCCTCGCCGATCACATCTGACACCTGCGCGGTTCTTCCAAAGAAGTCAAAGTCTTTGCCCACGGGGGCGCTGTCGCCGCCGCCGCCGCCGCCGCCGCCACCAAAGGTATCGTCGTTGAAGGCATCCTGGTCATCGTCGAGTTGGTCGCCCAGTCCGTCGTACGTATCTTCGAAATCAATCCTATAACCCAGTCAAACCGTCAGCAAGCTCTATCTCCCTCCCCTCATGACGTTCTAGAGAGTCTCACGCGTCGTCGTCGTCGTCGTCGTGGCGGGCGTCCAGCTGGGCGCGAGCGACCTCCGCAAAGGGGTCGGGGGTCTCAAAAATTCCCCGGTTGCCGCCGGGTCTATCACCCGGCAGCGTCGTGTCGAATCCGAAGAACGACATGTCGCCAGAGAAGGGAGATGGACGAAGACAAGAGACAGCGAGAGCGCGGAGGGGCGCAGAATCGCACGATGGAGAAAGTTGGCGTTGATAGCAGAAGCGAAGGCCCGTGCATGATGCCTGAGGCAGACAACTTTCCACCCAGCTGGTACCCTATAGTTACTCCATACTGCATATGTCTCACAGCATGGAATAAGAATATCTATTATTATATCTATGGTTTTATTTCCTCTTCTACTGTCTATATCCATTTTCAATACTGTTTACTTCTGATTCTAGTCGCCTATGAAGAATAGTCCGATATGCCTCACACTGCCACGTAATGCTCTCTAGAGTCAGAATACCCTAAATTAATAGGCAACCAGAGCATCTTTACCTGATCTTAACTGTCTCAGAGTTAAATACTACTATACTCCTTTTAAATAGTTGACTAACTAAGTGAAGAATGCGTAATCAAATAGAAGGCAGTCAATAATAGATGGTTCAGAAACACAGTTGCCGCAAACGTCTTGCGTGGCTTATGGGACTAGCCCACGACTACCATATTCTTATTATTAGGTACAAGGGGAATTTATCTCTTCAGGCTCACCAAACCCTTCTTTTTTTTTTCTCACACAACCCCTTTATGATTCTCCTCTCGTTTATTCTTTGATCTTATACAGTTTAATTCCTTGTGTCACCGTGTGACGGTGTTGCTGTCTGACTGCAGTTCCGGGGCGCTCGTATCGTGTCCTCGAGCCTTCGTTGCCTCTCTAGACCTGCCTGGTGAGATAGTCCAGACCGTCGACCGCCTGGAGGAAGGAACAGGCAAGGAGAAGACAGCAAGACAGTGAAAACGAAGCGGAATCCGTACTCTGCATATTTCACTCGTTTTTCAGCAGAACCTTTGATTCGAGACTGCGAGACTGCTCGTTAGCCAGGCTGCCTGCGACCGACGCCTCCTTTGCTCATCCTGGTCTGCCATCAGACGAACGGCTCGTTAAACCGCCATCATGTCGTCTGGTCCGGCGAGGTATATGCGGTACCTGCTATTTGCAGTGATGGTAAGTCTATATTCCCTTGAAAAAAAATAATGTCGGGATGTTACGTCGTGTGGCTTTTGCTGATCCTGGCCCGATGTAGGGGTTAGCGGTCTTTTTCTTCATCTCGCGATCCTCCATACCGCTCGACACGGCGAGCTTAGGCTCGCGTCTCAATCAGGCGACGCTCAAGACCCCTCCCTCATCGCCCGCCAGCGATTCGACGGTGCAAAATGACGCCGGATCGGCTGCGGCGGTGGTGAAGGAGCCCTCCACGGGTGGCTCAAGCAGCGCTGGCGCTCGCCCCGTAGGGGCAGAAGACCGTGTGAATGCGACCTTTGTGACGTTGGCGCGCAATACAGACGTGTGGGAGATTGCCAAGTCGATCCGGCAGGTCGAGGATCGCTTTAACCGGGAGTACCACTACGACTGGGTGTTTCTGAACGACAAGCCCTTTAACGACGAATTCAAGAAGATCACCACGGCGCTGGTCTCGGGCAAGACATACTATGGGCTTATCCCTGAGGAACACTGGTCGTACCCGGAATGGATTGACCAGGACAAGGCCAAGAAGGTCCGCGAGGAGATGGGCCGCCGCAAGATTATCTACGGCGATTCCGAGAGCTATCGGCACATGTGCCGGTACGAGTCTGGCTTCTTCTTCCGTCACCCGCTGATGCTCAACTACGAGTATTACTGGCGCGTGGAGCCCAGCATCGAACTCTACTGCGACATCAGCTTCGACCCGTTCAAGTACATGAAGGAGAACAAGAAGAAGTACAGCTTCGTACTTAGTCTGTACGAGTACTACGATACCATCCCCACCCTCTGGGACAGCGTCAAGAAATTCGTGGCCAATCATCCCGAGCACATTGCTGAGGACAACTCCATGGGCTTTTTGAGTGACGACGGAGGGAAGACCTACAACAAGTGCCACTTTGTACGTACCTCTTTTGACCCTTTTCCAATTCCAAGAGGTTTCCTCTGCTGACTGTCTAGTGGTCCAACTTTGAGATCGGCAGCCTGGAGTGGCTGAGATCGAAAGAGTACATCGACTACTTTTCCTCCCTCGACCAGGACGGCGGCTTCTTCTACGAGCGTTGGGGCGACGCCCCGGTGCACTCCATCGCCGCGGGCCTCATGCTCAAGAAGGAAGAGATTCACTTCTTCAACGAGATCGCCTACTACCACGTCCCCTTCACCCACTGTCCTACCGGCGAACAGACGCGGCTGGATCTGAAATGCTCCTGCAATCCCAAAGACAACTTTGACTGGAAGGGCTATTCTTGTGAGTCTCTTTCTTTCTTTCTTTCTTTCTTTCTTTCTCTCTCTCCATAGAAAAAAAAAACATAAACTGACCATCAGGCACGTCGCGATACTTCCATATCAACGACATACAGAAGCCCGATGGCTACCAGGACGAACAGGATTGACTAGCTATTCTTCGACGCGGCGGTCTTGTTCTCCTTCTCCTTCTTTTCACCTTTGGGATCTGTGTGCGATCCGGTGTCCGCACGCGCATTCTGCGCCGGTTGCGCGGCGTGCGAACCCACAAGCGCGTGCGAGTCATTGCCGTCACTGATCCGGAAACGAAATTTTTCAAAATATAGTCTTGTTTATTCTAGGATGGCAGGCTCAGAGGCTTTATTTTTTTTTATACCTACCTACCTGCTCATTTTTTTGTCAGGAGTCTTTGCAGGACAGTACCGGATGTATTCTATTTTTTTTTTTTCAATTATCATGAACAATCCCATTGAACAATATAGTGATAATGTACATGTAGAACTAAAGAAACAAATTAACTCTTGACGAATTAGTCCTTCTTGGGCTTCTTCGTGCCGTACTTGGACCGACTCGTCAACCGGTTTCCAACGCCGCCCTAAGCGTTAGTTAGCAGGCAAATAATGGACAGGTAGAATAGAATGAAGGAAAACGTACCAAGTCCATTGAGCCACGAACAAGAGTATACTTCACACCAGGACAATCCTGCGCACGTCCACCGCGGACCAGGACAACGGAATGCTGCTGGACATTATGGCCTGAGATGTAAGTAACCATCCAACCATTCAAATGGCGCCCCGGGGGGGGGAAATGGGAATACCTTCGCCCGGAATATAAGCGGTGATGACCTTCCCTGTACTAAGCCTAATACGCGCCGTCTTGCGTTCACCAGAGTTGGGCTTCTTGGGTTTCGTGATACCGGTCTTCAAGCAGACGCCCTTCAGCTGCGGCATGTACGCCAGCGCGGGGGAGCGCGAGCGGCGGGTACGCTGGGATTTCCGACATCCACGTCTGACCTGGTTATATGTTGCCAGGTGCGAAGGGGTGGAGGAGAAGCAGCGGGCCGAGGCAGCCGTCGTGGCGGCGAGGATGGCGGACTGGGAGCGGAGGACGGGGTGGAAGGAGGGTCGGGAACGATGAAGCAGTAGGGTAGGTGTTTGGATTTGCGGTTTCGGGAGGGCGAATACTGCCCTCGTGGAAGGGGCTGGGACGAGCGTCCGCAGGGCGCGAAGAGCTAGCGTCGAGAATGGCGGCATGGTGGGTTGAATTGATGCTTTTCTATGCAAGATTGCCAGGCCGAGAAGGAAGTCGCGGAGGGAAATATTGGATGTCATGTGACATTGCGAGAGTGGTCTGTCTGCGTACCCGTAGGAGCTACGTTGCCAGCTGCCTGCCTACAGTATCTTGATCTTGACTACTCCGCACCTCTTACAATCTAACTTGACCTTTTCTACTCATCTTCTTCCTCATATCCTCATCCAACAATCCAACAATCATAATGGTGAATAAACTTCTAAATTTATTTCCCAAGATAGCGAGTTAACAAGACACAGTCCCTCCGCTTCATCCCCGGTCCCAACCACGCCTCGCAAACGAGCAACACGACTCTCCGCTCCAACGAGCCCGTCTCCCTCCCACACCCATCCAAGGGCGCCCCCTCGGCGCCAGGCCTCCCCGATACCCTCCGCAACAACATCACGCTCGCTGCTCCGCGCGGCCCGCCCTCCTCGCAACCCTCGACTGCTGTCTCGAACCATCCGCTCGAAGCTCGCCTGCTCGCCTGGCGCGCCACCCATGACGCCATGAAGATGGAGTCCCTGCGTCGTACGTACGGAATTGCAGAGCCTGTCCGTCGCGGCATGGAGCTGAAGATTGTTCGGGATGGGACTTTCCGGCCCATGATGCTGGGGAACGCCGGAAATCTCCATGAGGATATCTTGGTTCTTGGCGGGAGGGAGGCGGAGCTCGCCTGGGAGGATATTTATACCGGTATTCTTCTACATATATATATATATATGTGTGTGTGTTACTAACTTTTTAGGCGACGAATTCCGGGAACCGCCTACTCTACACGATGAAATGGAAAAGCGACTGCGCATGGATTGGTAGAGGGGGGGTTGAGAATAGATAGCTACGGGTAGATAATGACATTGCCCTTGCACTGATTCATCTTGATCGAATTGTCCCGGTCCGTAATTGCCAGATTGATTTGTCTGGCTACATACATTTGAAATGAAGGCAACTATGTACCTGACGGAAATAGGGGGAAACGGGGAAAAAAATGAAAAATGGAAAAATAACAATAAGAAAGGTAGGAAATAAAGATACACCAAGACAGACGTGAGGAATAGACGGATGAGTAGGGCTACGGAGGGGTCATTGACAATGGCTGCTAAAGGAGAGGAAGCGCGGCAGAGCTGGGGGAGGGGGAGGGGGTATAGACGGAGACCGAATGATAAAGTAGAAGGTAAAGGAAAGGGTAAGAAAAGGGGCTGATATGGATAATGCAGATTCATACAAGCCATAAACCTGTCCCAGAGGAATGATAGAGGAATGATAGGAAAGAAAAGTCCAAACGCCCCAGCATGGCTACCGAAACAGATAGTGTGAATGATGGAAAAGCAAAAAGTGGGCAAGACAGACGGGCTGGCAACTATAGAATGATGCAGCGACAGCCAGGGCTGCGCTCCGAGGCTTCTCTCTCGCGGCCGAGCTGGTTCTTGCCTCCCTTGGCGTCTTCTTCGTCCACGACCTCCTGAGGCTTAACCGTCATATGAATCACGTTTGGCGCATCATGGCTAAACTTGGAGTCTAAAAGGGTTAGCAGGATATTCGTTTTATTTTTCCTCTTTTGGCGGAGACATCCATACCAGACAACGGCGCATTATCATCCAACAGCTTCCCGAACGAAATCAATCGGATCGAGCTTGGCGATGAGGGACGAGGTTCCCAATCTATCTTGTTAGTAGGATAGAGAGAGAGAGAGAGATAAACTAAGTTCACAAACATACCTGACCGCCAATCCCTCCAGATCAACTCCTTCAACGTATACACGCTCATCGCGAACGGGTCGTGGTCCGGCACACTGACGGCCCGTTTCCGCAGGTACTTCCCATCAATCTTCAACTGGTGCCTCGTCCCCGTGATGAGGAGCAGTGTGATGGTAAGCGACGGGCCGGCATCTTCCACCTCCTTGACGGCTTCGGACGGCGCGTCGGTCGCAGCAGGACCAGCAGAGGCCGAGGCCGGGGTAGGCTTGTGCTCGTCCGACAACACATCAACCTCTGAGGTTCCTTGAGTTGGTTCTGTCTCTGTCGGCTCTGTCGGCTCTTCTGTTTTTTTTTCTTTTCCTTCTTCTTCTTGTTGTTGTTGTGTTGTCTGCGTTGGGTTCGATCCTTCAGAAACACTGTTGCCACTCTCCTCTTCCTTCTTGTCCGTCGTCGTCGTTGTTGTCGTCAGGTTGACGGCGGGGGTATCCTCATTGTCAACCGGCAGCGCACTCTCACCAGCCGGTGATGATTGCAACACAACAGGGGTCGTCGAAGTAGTATTATTGGTAGTGGTAGTAGTAGTAGTGGTGGTGGGATCGGACGCCGCAGAGACGCCGTAGTTGTCGGCGGAGTCCATTCTTTCGATGGAAACAATCGAATCGCAAACGATTCAAGAAAGGGGGAAAAAATTTAAGAATATACAGGTGGCGATAGCGAAGGGATAAAAACAATTTTTCGAAACCGTTTGGAGTACAGGGCGCCGCAGTCCTGTATGGAGTAGCAAGGATGGACAGGGCGAGACTTTCAGAAAGGGGCCGATCGGTTTGCGATGACGGAGAGAGTGGAGACCAAGTCGGAGGCTAGGAGGGAAAAAAAAAGACAGAGAGACAGGAGTAGAGGAAGAGAAGAAGAGAAGAGGAGAGGAGAGGAGAGAAGGGAGAAGAAGAGGAAGAACACAGAACGGACAGAGGATAACCAGGGAAAACGATGGAGATGGGGAGGCCAAAGTTCTCGGATATCCGCTTGGAGGCGAGGATCAGTAAGTGCAGGGAGCCAGAAAGAGGGGAAAGGAGAAAAGGAGAGCGCTGGAACACCACGGCGGGGATCTGCGTTCTGATCTTGATCTTTTCCTGTATTGTGGATAGATAGAGAGGATTTATTTTACTATTTTAAAGATAATGGTGAGTCTTGTTTTCTACGGGGAAAGTCTTCTATTAATCTAGCCTTGTGGTTGTGGTGAAACTAGTCAATCGTCCATGCGGAGTCACAATCTACTCCGTATCAGCGAAATCAGGTTTATCGGGAGCTCTACAGCGACTAGATTGGTTTTTAATCCTTTGGCTGATGATATCTCCTTTCTCTAGATTAATCTTGATATCTATCTCTGTCGATGAGAAGCTCGTCGGTGTCTGTCTGTGTCTGTCTGTGTCTGTCTGCTGTCAAGGTGTTGTCTTCATGTGATAATTATCCATTAACCGCCGTATCGTATCCTTGACCTCATTCAGCCACATCTGTAGAGACAATATCAGACCATTATACAGGGGATTAATGCTAGAAGGACAGATCTGGAGATGTGCCTTTATTAGTACTTCACCTCAAGAAGCGTTGGTCGTCGTAAGTATGACTCTGGGTGTATTATCAGACAATTAGCTGACAATCAAATTGATATTTCTATATAACAGAGTATAGTATATACCCAGGTACCTGTCTATGTGGTGGCTGAAGTATTCGCAAGACTATAAGTATTGGGGAATATGGTTTCTGTATTCTATATAAACCAGTGTTATACTGCCATAAGTACAGACAAATACTCTTGCAAGAGCAGGGTGCTTTCTCGGAGATGCTCCAAATGCAATCAACTACTCCAACCACCCCCGATACTGCTCGAGATCCTGGTTCTTCACCCCTTCAGACCCATGGCGCACCCCGAGCAGCCGAACCTTGCCAATCTTTCCGCCAAAGTCGTCTTCGACGCCGCTCGTCCACGTCTCGAACAGGCTGTTGAGCCGTGCGATCACCGCGGGGTCGTCGCGGATCAGCAGGGCGATGGCGTCGTACCCTCCTGCTCCCGGGACAACCCCCCCAATGACTCCCTCGATGGCCGACGCGGCGTCCAGCAGCTCCGTCTGTACCCGGGGCTCGATGGGGACGCCAGACTGCGCCGTCATGGTGCGAATGTACTCGCGTGCGCGCTCAAGGCAGGTCCGGACGGTGTCAAAGTCTCGGGTTGCGGCCGCCGTCAATTCCTCCTGGCTCCCGTGCGCCAACTGCTTGAGCTCCTGGCGCAGCTTCTCGTTGTTGTTCTGCAGGTTCGTCCAGAGCAGGTCGGCCTCCTTCTGGTTGTTCTTGCGCCACTCCAACACCTTACGGACCATCGAGGGCGTCTGGGAGCCGCAGTCCACGTCCGCCAGCACGAGCTGCATCCCGCGCGGCAGCTGCATGCCAAAGTCGACACACTCGGCATCCCACGGGTGCTCGGACTTGATGTTCTCTACCACGCTGAACAGGCGTTCCTCGAAGCCCGGGGACCCGGCGTCGCCGAGCGATTCCAGGATGGCAGGCGAGAACCGCCGGTACAGACACGAGCCATAGACGGCGGTGGCCACGTCGAAGCCGGATCCGACTTTACCTTGAGCGGCGCAGTGGGCAGCCTGGGCAAGGTTATGGAGCTTGTCACGGCCCAGACCCAGGTCTTCGGGCTGCATCGTGCGGTGGATGACGAGCGCCGAGACCAGCGCGGTGACCAGAGCGGCGGAAGATCCCAGCCCCGTCTTGTGTGCTTCAAACAGCGGGACGCCGAAGTTGACGAAGCGGCCGCCTCGAGCCTGCGCGCCGGGGCCCCGAGATGCGGCCGTCTCGGAATAGTAGTCATTGTCCGCCAAGATGGTGAGCGAGAGCGATCCAAAGTCCTTTGAGTCGGCCACGTAGCTGATATATGTCAAAGCGTAGCTCAAAGACGTCTCTACAAACGAGTTTTGCGGTCTATCTCTTGGTTAGTACAGCCAATGCGAGCAACCACCACTACTCAGTGCCTTACCCCTCGTTCTTCTGAACCACCTTGACTCCACCGCCAGCCGTGCATCGTTGTATTCGGTACTTCCATACCGCGCCGACGAACTGCGGAGATCGAACAACAATGGTGTCATCACTCTCCTCGGTGTCCTCTGCTGCTGCATTCGCATTGTCGATCGACCCTGACGAGACACCCCGACGATGGGTCTTTTTCAACTGCTGGACTACCACATGGATGCGGGCATCCAGAGCAATCACGGTGCCGGTGTAGTTTCGATCGAGCACAAGATAGCCGCCGGTCAACAGGACCTTTCCAGGGGCCGACAAGGCCGTAATAGTTGGTGTTGACATGATGCCTTCAACCATACACATTCATAACACTAGGAGAAGAAGATAATATGAGCCCAGCAAGATGATCCCCCCTTAAGAATGACTGCTTGCTATCTAGACTTCTAGAGGGGTAGTTGCACCCCACCAAGACCCCCTAAGACCTGTAAGCTTCTCACGAGATGGTTTTCGAGCAGAGACTGACCTGCAGGCGTGTATAGAACAAGCTATGACTGAGATGGCTGTGTTTGTGAACGACAGCTGCTGCCAAACTCCCGACGATTGTGTATTGGTGATGAGAGCTGTCGATTACTTCCAAGACTACCTTATTATTTAGGCAGGTACTACTGACTGCTTAATGTGTGTGGCTGGAGCTCATGGGCTGTGGCTGATAGGTGGCTGAGCTGATAAAGTGTCTAGTCTGTTATTGGTTAGTATGGTATTCTTATCAATTATTCTTATCAGTAGACTTGAATAGGACTTTTGCACTAACTAACTACCATACTACTACTACAGAGTACTTTCTACTAGATATCTAGTTACCTAGTGAAAATTCACTACTTCTCCTATCTAGGTATGTTCACATGGCCTGAGGTTGAGGTTTTAATCATCCGGAGCCAGGTATAGAGTACGAGTACGAGGATGAGCGTTTATTTGGCTCATCGTACGATCACTGTCTCTAAGCTTGGTAGCATTGAGCAATGGAAGGAGGACATCTGTAAAGCAGGCCTAAGAAGGTACTAGGTAGTTTGTTAGTTAGTAGGCAAGGTAGTTAGAAGGTAACTACTAGATAGGAGGTAGACACATTATTGCATTATTGCGTCAGATGTTTGCTCGCGTGACTGCCTGGGAGCCTGAGCTCACCAAGACATAGCCATTTACTAGGGATAACTACTAGTTACTAGGTACCTAGTATCTAACTAAGGTATCTAGGTACTCCATGTAGGTACAGTATGAGCTAGTAAGTAGTACCTAGGTATCAAGGTCTATTTACCTACTAGGTACTCCTTGATGAGATGAAACAAGATACCAATGTAGGATTAATCATTCTGACACATGTAGAGTAATATAATATTAAATCAAATATAGAGTAAATATTAAATTTAATATTAAGTACGAAGTATAATATTAAGAATTATTTTTGATTGATATTAAATTCTGTAGAATGGCAATACCCAGTAGGATGAGGCATCATACTCCGTATACGGCTAATTCACTCACTCTGGCTGGTCAAAATTATAACTAATCAGATCACAAGAAAATCTCTCAACTCAATCAAATAATCATCATAGGTACCAACTAGTAACTAGTGACAGGTACTCCGTACTACCGTATAATTATTTTTTACAATGTACATACGCAGTCTACGGAGAAGTGACTACAGTAAGCTTCCTAACTCCGGTCCGGAGGAAAGGCAGACATACCAAAATACTCCAGGCTAGTACCTGTTCGGACTAGACAGCCAGGGTACACGCTTACATAATCCAGCGCGACCCGCTTCCCGCGGACTCCGTGGCAGTCCGTGGCTGTGAGTGGCTGCACCAGGGCCCCGCCTGAGAAAAAGAGTCGGAGAGAGAGTGACGAGAGTGAGCAGAGTGACTCACGCAGTTCCTGACCTGTTCCTGTTCTTTCCTACGGGCCCAGCAAAAGCACCGCCGCAATTGGCCCGCCGTCTCGGGATGTTCTCTTTGCCCCCTCCGAGACCACCTGATCGGATTTGATCTGTCCGGATGCCCGTCGACGGAGGACGGAGTACGGAGTATACGAGGCTTACCAGTTAAGTTACCAGACTACCAGCAGCTTCTCGAACGCTTCCACGCGTAATTTTCTGCTAGGGGTGGGTTAAAACCGGATGGCTTTCGAGCTTGCTGCCTGCTCTGCTCAAGATTTTTTCCTCCTTCGCAAGCCTACACGCTCCTTCACCGTCGGAATCTGTCTGTTGACCCTCTCCCCTCTTTAGGACCGAGAGGACAATCTAGACACGGAGAAACACCTGCCCACGCTAACCGTTTCGGGGACGCTGCCTCAGGCACCGAAAAACCACCTCCGTTTCACTGTTATCGGCTCTCGTCCAGACTCATTTTTCCTCCTTCCTCATCCCCCCTACCTATTCTCAGCGCGTTTGTTTGACGACAAGGTCGTCAAATGAACCTGCACTTGTTTTATCGATTTGGTAGCAAGGTATGTCAAGTCCATTTGTTTCGAGATGAAATTGAGATGAAATCGAGATGAAGGATAGAGGATAAAAAAAAGAAGAAGAAGAAGAAGAAGAAAACTAACGCTCACAGCATCGCCTCTTGTCTCTGAAGAGGTACCCCTCCAGATAAATGGTGTTTAAGCCGTTTACCCATCTCGCCCGGCAAAGTTTCACCAAAGCTTTCACCCATGGCTACGCTCAGTCGGTAGTCGCCGCCTCGCAGTCCTCCTACGCCTCCTCCACCACCCTAAACCAGCTCGCCAGCCATCCCGCCAAGTTTACGCGGACTACTCAGCTTCAGAATGTCTTCCAGAATGCCTCGAGTTCGTCCGGCGCCGGCGGGGCAAAGGCCAGCCAGGGCGCCTCTGGCTCCGGAGATTTCGGTCTAGCCGCCTACTACGCCGCCTGGCAGCATGCTCAGCAGACCGGCGACGATAGCGACTGGCGTCAGTTCCAATTCAAGCGCCGCATCGGCTGGAAGCCCACGGGCGATGAGATCGCGGACGCCGCCGCCGCCGCCAAGGATGGCGAGGAGTTCGCACCCACCGAGCCGCTGCGCTCGCCGCACCTCACCAAGGCCTCGGTGAACGAGGATGTCAGCGTGCAGGTCGAGGAGGCCGTCGCCCGCGAGATCCAGATCCAGGAGGAGCAGGCCATGGCCGAAGAGGAGGCGCACAGCCACGCTGCCACCGACGCCACATCAGGACACCACCCGCAGCAGACAACGGAGGAGATGGCCCGTATCGACGAGAAGGCCCAGGCGGCTTCGGATCACATCGTCGACCTGGTCTCCGCCAGGAAGTTTGCAGAGGTCCCCTCCGCCTTCGAGGCCCTTCTCAAGGATGGCCTCACCCCGACCATCGGGGCCTACAACGCCCTGCTGGTCTCCGCCATCGAACTGCACGCCAATGCCTCCCAGTCGATCACCAAGGCCCTCGACGTCTACTCGGACATGCTGCGTCGCCGCGTCATCCCGAACGAGGAGACCTACAAGATCCTGATCCAGCTGCTGGCCACCCGCGCCCACGATGCCGTCCTGGCCAAGGAGGTGCTCGAACAGGAGCGCGTCCGGTTCGGCGGCATGGAAGAGCCCGGTCGCTTCATGTTCCATTCCAGCGAGCTCGAGTGCGATCTCCTCGTCGAGGACCACTCACTGGCCATCGCCGTCAAGCTCTTCACCACCGCGACCACCCGCCACGCCGCCATCGTCTTCCCGCTCGACATCTACCGCCATCTGATCACCGCCTGCGCCGCCGAGGGTCAGGTCGAAACCATGATCCGGGTCTACGCCCACATGGAGGCCCACAAGGTCAAGCCCCACGCCTCCATCTTCCCGCCCATGATCGACGCCTTCGCCGCCAGCGGCGATCTCCAGAGCGTCGTCGAGACCTACAACGAATACAAGTCGCTAGCCGTCTCCGACGACAACGGCGTCTTCAGCATCGTCGACCGTCTCGATGGCCAGGTCTACGCGGCCGTCGTGCGGGCCTACCTCGCCTGCGGCAAACAGGAGGCCGCCATGCGCTTCCTCGACCGCATCCGGGCCTCGTTCGACGAAGTGACGGAGAACCGCGAGGCACGCAGGGAAGCCATCGAATCCATCATCGTCGAGGGTGCTCTTGTGCAACACGCCATCCGCAAGGGTGATTTCGGAACCGCCCTGGAGCACGCCGAGTCCACTCAGCGTGGTCCCGCCCGCAATCAGGCCATGTCCCGCCTCTGCACCGCCGCAGCAGACGCAGGCAATCTTACGATCGCCTCCCAGGCCTACGACCGCCTGTCAACTGAAGTCGACGTCCGTCAGGGGGGTGCTGTTTCACTGCTGGCCCTCCATGTGCGTCAGGGCAACGTGTCGGCTGCCCGCCCCCTTTGGATCATGCTCACCACGGTGGGTCATGCAACCCCGGATATGGTCCAGCCGACCGCCATGTATTCGCTCGCCCTGATCAAGAGTGGGCAGATCGAGGAAGGCTTGGCCGAGGCTCGGAATATGTTCTCACGCATCCGCAATGCTGCTATCCCTTCCTCCTCGCCGTCTTCCTCCACCAACCTCGCCGCTGCCGCCAACCTTTCCCCTATCCGTGAACAGATCAATGAAGCTCTTGACCTCCTTGCCCGCGTCCTGATGCAGACCGCCGCCGTCATCTCGCCACAAGCTGCCATGACTCTCCTCTGGTCCATGGTGGAGAATGGTGGCCTAGTGTCGCCCGTCGCTGAACATGCCGTCGCCAGTCTTGGCCCCGCCGGTATCTCTCAATTGAATTCTCAGGATCTCACTCTCGCCCTTCGTGTCCAGGCCGGCATGCTGGTCAACACTCCTTCTTCTACCAACAACACCACCACCACCACCACCACCACCAACCACAACAACAACAATAACAACAATGGCGTCAGCAACATGCTCTTTGACGTCGCTCATCCCATCCGATTCGCCCACATGCTGGATGTCGCCCTGTCCACCGGCCTGCCGATGGATTCGGTCACCACGAGCATGGTCGACCAGGCTGTCTCCAAGCTCTTCAACAGCCGCCCGGACATGGTGAAGCGCTGGCAGGAACATGTCTCATCCATGACGGCCTCGTCGCCCTACATGTCCGATCGTCGGACGACCCCGGTCTCCGAGTCGTCGGTCGCCGGCAGCCCGGCCTCCTCCACCGACGACTCCTTCGATCCTTACGCATATGCCACCGACTTCCGTGGCTCCGCCATGATCGCGGACGAGCTCGAGACCACCGGTGGCCGCCCAGAGTCCCATCTCAACGAGGCGCTGATCCGGTTCCGCAACATGCGCCGCATCGGGCGGCACCCACGCTACATCACCTACGCCAAACTGATCACCGCTGCCGCCAAGGTCAACCGCACCGACCTGGTACATGAGATCTTGAGCATGGCGCGTCGTGACGTCCCGCTGATCCCCCATTACCACATCGTCAAGTACGGCTGGGTCTCGATCCTCGATGCCATGGTCGCCGCCTGCCTCAGCCTGGGCGACCGTGGGCTGGCTGCCAAGTACCACCAGGAACTACTGGAGCTGGGCTCGGCTCCCTCGGCCAACACCTTTGGGTTGTACATCACGACGCTCAAGGAGTCGACCAAGACGTTCGACGAGGCGACCGAGGCGCTCAAGATCTTCCATCGGGCCGTGGCCGAAGGCGTGCAGCCGACCTCGTTCCTGTACAACGCGCTGATCGGCAAGCTGGGCAAGGCCCGTCGCATCGACGACTGCCTGCTCTACTTTGCCGAGATGCGGGCCAACGGGGTGCGGCCGACGAGTGTGACGTACGGGACGATCGTCAACGCGCTGTGCCGAGTCAGCGACGAGCGTTTCGCCGAGGAGATGTTCGAGGAGATGGAGTCGATGCCCAACTACAAGCCGCGCCCGGCGCCCTACAACTCGATGATCCAGTACTTCCTCAACACGAAGCGCGACCGCAGCAAGGTGCTGGCCTACTACGAACGCATGAAGGCGCGCCGCATCCAGCCGACGATGCACACGTACAAGCTGCTGATCGACGCGTACGCGTCTCTGGAACCCGTCGACATGCCCGCCGCCGAGAAGGTGCTCGAGACCGTCCGGGCGGCCGGCCAGCAGCCCGAGGCGGTGCACTACGCCTCGCTCATCCACGCCAAGGGGTGCGTGATGCATGACATAGACGCCGCACGCGCCGTGTTTGACCGTGTGGTAGCCGACCGCCGCGTCCGCATGCAACCCTGCCTGTACCAGGCGCTCTTCGAGGCGATGGTCGCCAACCACCGGGTCAGCGACACGGCGGCCGTCATCGACGAGATGAAGCGGCGCGGGGTCGAGATGACGGCCTACATTGCCAACACGCTGATTCATGGCTGGGCGGCCGACGGGCACGTCGAGCGCGCCAAGGCCGTCTACGACAGCGTGGGCATCGACAAACGCGAGCCCAGCACCTACGAGGCCATGACGCGCGCGTTCCTCGCCGCCGAAGACCGCGACGGCGCCGCCACCATCGTCCAGGAGATGCTCTCCAGGGGTTATCCCACCGCCGTGGCCAGCAAGATTCTCGACCTCATCGGCGGCGGTCCTGCTGTCTGATTCGTCTGAGCTTAACTTTATGAGACTTGGTTTTTTTCTCCCCGTCTACCATTTGATATTTCGTTTAATCCTGGGCTGGATCCCATTCTCCAGTGTCAGAGACACCTTTTTCCCTTTTTCTTTTTTTTCTTTTCCTTTTTTCTATTGCATTTCGCATTGCCAGGTGGCACGGAGTTCAGGCTGATTCATAGCACATGTATACCATCTTGTCTTGACTTTTGTTCTGCCATAGTGCCACCATAGACCCATCTCTACTCTCTGCTCGCCAGAATATAAATGTTGCAGAATAATCTTATTGATGTAGATTTATAATGTAAATTCTTTCTTCTTGTAATTGAACACTGTATTACTACTACTGCGGGGCACAACCCCGCCTCATATGACGCTGGATCCGGCTCTGCCTTGACTCATTAACTTCAGCTTTCAACAACGATTTCATCGAAGACAGTCTATGCTTCTGTTTCGGCCATACAGTCCTATCATTCGATTTACACGCACAATGGCGGAGCATCGCCGTCCAAAGAAGCTGATTTGTAATCATTCCATCTAATGCTAATGCCAATGCCAATGCTCAGCAAGACTGATCTTCTAGTTGCTCCTGGTGATATCGAAACAATGCTTTCAGACTCTGCACCAGCTGCTGCTTCTCTTATAGCTGCAGCTACAGCTGCTACCGTAGCAGCAGCAGACTCTGGAACGTCGACCCCCTCCTCCGCAACAGAAACGCAACTCCTCTCCCACCCCGCACGAGCACACCAGTTCATCACGAACCCCCCCCTGACAATCTCGCAAATGCACCGGACGAATCCCCTGCATCAGTTCAATTCATGGTTCCGCGACGCACGACTATCCCCTTCCTCTGCGCCGGAGACGTGCACGCTCGCGACGGCCGAAATGCCCTCTGGTCGGGTGAGTGCTCGGATCGTGTACCTCAAGGAACTCGACGAACGGGGCTGGGTGGTGTATAGTAATTGGGGGAGTCGACAGGGAAAGGGAAAACAGGTGTTTGGTCTCGAAGGGCCGGAGGAGGAGATAGGATCGATTCCCGAGCCGGACAGTGGTTGTACCTCTGCTGGAAACAAATGGGGGGCTCTTACCTTTAGCTGGGCGACTGTTGAACGCCAGGTGCGTGTCGAAGGCCTCCTGGAGCCGTTGAGTCGACAGGAGAGCGAGCTGTACTGGCGTACTCGCGAGCGAGGGAGCCAGATTGGCGCGTGGGCAAGTTGGCAGAGCAAGGTTTTGTGGGAGACTGACTCTATCGGAGAACCGGGGGAAGAAGTGGATGGAGGACCAGATGAGGGTGGTTCTTCTTGTGCGGAGATTCCTCGCGATATCGATGAAACGGACGTCGAGGACGGACGGGCCGTGCTCGAACAGCGTGTTAAAGAGATGGAGGCGCGCTTCGCCGGCGTGCAGGAGATCCCCCTGCCGCCCTTCTGGGGGGGGATGAGGCTCGTCCCGGAGTCGGTCGAGTTCTGGCAGGGGAGACGGAGCAGGTTACACGATCGCTTTCGATATGTTAGGCTTGCTGAGAAGTGGCGGATTCAACGCTTGTCTCCTTGACCACCTTACACTCGGTTATACACTCTATTCATACACGCACTACACTACATACACTTACTACATACACTGCTATATACTTCTATTCATAGTAATCTCATATCTGTTTGCAGATCTTAAGTGGTACTAGGTCTACGCAGGGTATCTTATCAAGACACATCAACCACCACTCTGCAATACACATACTCTGCTGCAATTACTACATAACTGCATCAAGTGTCACTATAAATTGTCAATAACTGTGAATAACTGTCAATACTGTCAAACTGTCCATACTTTCAATACTGTAATCATTGCCAGAATATACTATAATCACCTCATACCATGGCACGCTGGATCCTCCTCGCCCTTGCCAGCGGCGCATTCGCAGCCTTGAACGGCTTATTCGCGAAGCTGTACGAGTTAACTATAAATATCTATACATTTCGTTGATTAATACTAATTACAATGCAGGACAACCGATAATATAACCGCCTCAATCGCCAACTCACTCTCCCTCCCAGAGGTGGTCGTCAGAGCGGTACGCCATCCGGAACTGAAGATCAAAAATATATGCAATACTAATAAATACTGATGATGCAGGTCTTCCTCGGCTTGAACTTCCTCTGCAACTTCATCATGTGGGCGCTCTTCACGCGCGCGTTGACGGCTTCCCCCTCCACCACAAAAGTGAGCATCACCAACGCCTCGGCGAATTTCCTCCTCACCGCTCTCTTGGGGATGGTCGTCTTTCGTGAGAGTGTCGGCGGGCTGTGGTGGCTTGGGGCCGGGATGATGGGGGGGGGATGCATTCTTGTGGGGATGAGAGAGGAATAGTATTATCATTATAATCATAGAAGCCTGAATTTACTCTATACACTCTATTATATCATCTATCGCCCAGTTCAACTCCTTGAGGACGCGAATATCCCTGTGGACGTCCCTGCCGCGGGAGCTGGATCCGGCCGGAAAACATGCCTGGCAAGCTCGCTACCCATTGAATACCCGCCCACACTCGCTCTTCCAGCGTCGACTCCCGCTGCGAGGACGGCCCCAGCCCCAGTGTGCTGGGGTGCTGCGACGCCGCCGTGGCCGCCATTGCGTCCTCCTCGGCCTCGACTTTGAACTGGTACTTGAGGCAGTCCTTGACCGTGACCAAGCCCGTCACGCGCCCGCGGTGCTCAACCAGGATCACCCGGGGGCCCATCTTCTTGAAGAGCTCCATCACCGTCTCCAGCGGTAGCCGTGGGTGCACCGTCAGCGGCGTGTGGTCCACGTACAGGCTGAAGTCGACGTAACCCGCGCCGACGCTACTCTGGATTCGATCAAAGGTGTCCGGGGGAGCCAGCGAGGAAAAACTGTTCACGGATATCCGCGAGGTAGAAGCTCGCTGCGCAAGCGTCATCTCCGCCGCCTGCTTGGTGAACACGCATTTGGCGTTCGGCGAGACCAGGCCGGCGCTCCGGGCGCGGTCAATCGCGTACCGCAGCTCTGTCCGTCCGATATATCCGACCAGGGTCTTGGTCGTGCGGTCCTCGACGATCGGGAAACCCTGGAACCCGTTGTCGTTCAGCAGGTGCTCCGCTTCCCGTACGGGGAAGTTCAACACGGGGAGCGACACCGGATCTGTCGTCATCGCGTACGAGACGGGCACGTTGAAGACGTGGTCCTCTTTGTTGTCCAGAAAGGGGAACCCGTTGAACCAGATCATTCGATCCGCAATTCCACCGTTCCCGAACCGGTCGCCGATGGCTTTGGTTATGCCAACCACAATCTAAACAAATAAGCATGTCATAAGGAAATTAATTGGCATGTTGCACTTACCATGGTGGGCAAAATATACGTCAATGCCCCCGTCAACTCGAACATGATGACCGTCACCGAGACGGTCAAGTGCATGATCCCACTGAGAGCAGCGGCAGCCCCCAGGAAGGCGTAAGTGCCTGGTGTGATACACGGAATGTCCGGTTCGCAGGAAGCAAAGAACTTAGAGTTGGGATACGACTCGTGCAGCGCCTGAACTAGAATCCCCACCATCCGGCCGAACGACGCGCCGATGGCCATGGATGGCACGAAGATCCCAGCGGGCACTTTGCAGCCATAGGAGATAATCACCAAAAACATACGCAGCACCGTCGCGATGAATAGTGACAGGACGAGAGACCACCGGTGATCGGCTCTATATCGTGTTAACCACTTTGATTTGACTTCACGGGGTATCAGATCAAATCAAACGTACTCGCAAATACCGTCGTAATCATGCGATCCTTCGCACTCGCGGAACAGAATCTCCATCATCTCGGTCATGTTGAGGCGAAGAAACATGTTGGGATAACACAGGAGAGCCGTGGCGCCTGCAAGAACCACCGACTCGATTACTGGATACTGCGTGAGATACTTCTTCCGGAAAGACTGGACTCGGAGATTCCATTTGATGACGAAAGCGCCGTACAGGCCGCCAAAGATACCGAGTAGCACAAAGAAAATGAGCTCAAAAAAGTGCCACGTTCGGTCATACTGAACCTGAAACATGACGAGTTGACCGGTTCGAAAGGGATTCATGGCCTATGATTGACATTAGATGGATATCGGATTGATAGAAAGAAACATCACCACTTACCGCCAACACGCTAGTTGCAACTAAAGCACAAAAGTAACTTCTCCAGAGAGTTTTGAGAGGAAAATACGTTGCGACTTCCTACCTTGATTCAGTAAACCGTCCTCGAATGTTTGAGGGACTAGAAAAATACCTCTAGAGAGAACAAGACGCCGCCGATAGGGCTGCCAAAAGCGACGGCCACACCAGCCCCAGCGGCGGCTGTCAATATCTCTCGTGTCTTGCTCGCGTTCTGCTTGTACTTGTTGAAGAGTCGCGATATGACGTTGCCCGTACAGACGGCGAAATGCACACTGGGCCCTTCCTTGCCGACAGATAACCCCGAGGCAATGGCCAATGGCAGTCCAATAGACTTGATCAACAGAGTCCATGCGCCGAGAAAGCCCTTCATGACAAAACCAGCAATAATGCACTTTATTTCGGATATTCCGGACCCGGCCGCGTAGGGGGCGAAGCACTTGACCAAGACGGCGGCGATAAACGCAAACAAGATCTGTTCTGTATAAGCCGAGATTCACCGGGGTTTACCGGGCGCGAGTATTACCACCACGTACCGCGAAGAAGAAGTATACAATGTAGTTGATCAATTCGAAGGACGTCCATCGTTTCCATTCCGGGCAGCCTATCCAGCAAACCATTAGCGTAATTTTTTTTAAATTATATCTTCACCCTGGTCGGAAGAATATATACCTCCTTCAGCCCCCCAGCAGCAGAACTGCTCATTGAGATAGAACGCTGTTGTGCAGTGCCCAAGCTTGATATCCGACAGCCACTCCGTCACGATATTCAGGAACGCAGAGTTCAATCCGATCGCCACACCAACCAGAGTCACGACCAGCCAGGCCTGACCGGCATCGTACGACTCGCGTACCTTGCGCCGCCATCCCAGAGTGCCGTCGCGATCCCAGAAACCAGACCCTTCCTTCCACCTGGCCCGCCGCCGGGCCTGCTCCAGCACCGCATCCTGTACCCAGTCGATCGTCGTAAAGTCCTCGTACCGCTTAATCTTCTTAATCTCGCTGATTTCCTCGCTGATAGCGGGCGCCGGTGTCTGCTCGTGCTCCCCAGCGTAGGTCTCGTCGCGCGGCCCTGCGTCAACTGGCGAGACGACCGAGAAGCCTGATAACCTCCGTGATCCGCGCCGCTCCCAGGCGAGCGATGGACGGTAGGCCGAGGAGGCGGAAGGGGGATCAGTCGGGTTGCTCATAACATCGGCGGTCGTCTTCGCATAGCCAGGGAAGAATGGGTGAAGACCGGGTTAGGACCTTTGGTAGTTTGCTGAGAACAATCCTCCTCGATCCCCGAGAAACAGAGAGTCGAGAGTCCAGACTGAGGCGGAACCACGTGAGACGGAGCGTGTCCACTAATTATCCAACGTCTGCGGGGATATCAATAGAAATATTCAGGATTATCAATGGTAAGGTCAAGATAATGTAATTTAGTAGATGTGGTCTGTAATTCAGTAAACAGCCCTCGAGACTTTAAAAGAAATTAAGCTCGTGGTTGAGCCGGGGTTCTTCGCCATGCGCATACGTAGTGTACTCCATCTATCGCTTCACGTCGCGCGCGCCGACATTTCCTCTGAACAACATGCGTTGACATCCATCTCCACACATCTCGGGTTGGATCTCGCGTTTTCAGCTCTGTAGTTATTTGGTCTAGCTTTCTATTCGACATATCGAGAATCAACAACGCTCACGATGTCTCCCAAGCAGAACACTGGCGCCCAGGAAATCACGGGCCAAGCAGCTCTGCCAGGTGGGTTTGCGTACTCATTCGAAGGTTCATTAACCAGGCGTGCTAACCCTACTATTCGGCAGTATCAAGGATAAAAAAGATCATACAGCTGGACGACGATATTGTACAATGCTCTCAAAACGCGACCTTTCTCATCAGCGTTGCTACCGTGCGTGGGTCACGACGCTCGCGAGGCCCGCCCCCCTACTGACGTGCTGCTGACAGGAAATGTTCATCCAATACCTCGCCGAGCAAGGCCATAACGTGATCAAGTCGGAGAGGAAGCCACGGAAAATCATCCAATACAAGGACTTGGGTACGTTGATACACGCTACGATCGGAAGAGAGGTGGTTGAAGATGCGCATGCTGACAGGCACAGCCACGGCGGTATCGCGGATCGATAACCTCGAGTTCCTTTCGGACGTCATCCCCAAGACGACGACCTACAAGCAGTTCAAGGAGGGCAAGACGAAGGAGGCCCCGCGCAGCGGGCCCTCCGCCGCCGCCGCCGTTGAAAAGGGCCAACGCACTCTGAACGGCGCCCTGGCGATCGACGATGATCACACACAATCACCGAACCGCAGACCCCCGACGGTCACTCATGCTTCTGGTTCGTTGAGCACGCTCATGGTCGATCGCACGGTGGACTCGTCGACACAGGGCTTGGACCCGGACGTTGAAATGGCTGACTAGAGAGGCCGTTCGGCTGCCACCACCACCATCACCACTACTACCACCATCACTCTCATTATATCAAATATATTATTACGACTTGCACTTGCGGAGTTTAGGGCTGGGTATACATATGGGTTTCGTTTCTTTTCCCCAAGGGCTTGGACTTGTTGCACGGGGGGATCGGATGATGTCGGCAGGAAATGTGTACTCGAGTAGATCACTTAACCATAACAACAATAATACAAGACGACATTTCCGGTAAATTGATACTTCAAAACCATCAAACAATTAAAAATAATGAACAAGCTCCACTTCCACAAGTATACGTCTCCAAATAACTATTCCAGGTGTTGTCTGAGGTCCTTCAGTACCAGTTGATCTCCAGCCAATGAGGCGCGCCGTGATTCCGATCGCTAGCGAAAGCTCTACCGCAACGCCCCGGCTTCAACCTCCAACCTCAACCTCGACCCGGTTGAAAATCCTCCCTCAATCCCACCCCCCTCCCCCCTCTCGCACTACCTGCGCAACCCGCCCTCTTCCTCCCCGCTGCAATTGCTGCAATTGCCGTCCGCCATGTCTCTTGCATCCGCTTCGAGCTCGCTTCTGCGCTCCTGCGCCAGACAGCAAGTGCCTGCCGCCCGGGCCGCACTCGCCTCCTGCCAGCAACAGCGAGGCGTGGCCGATGCCTCGTCCAAGGCGACCTTTGCGAGCCCCTTCGACAACTCGACCACTAAGATCCCCAACTTCGGCAAATACGCGTCCAGCAAGTCCCCGCGCAGCAACCAGGTCTTCTCCTACTTTGTGGCGGGTGCTATGGGTTTGGGCTCCGCGGTCGGTGCCAAGGCCACTGTTCAGGGTAGGTCTATCTCGCGGTGAATTACGGTTATAGTTGAGGAGGAAATACACGGGCGCGAAGGAAAGAGGAAAGGGGGACAGTGTCGGCCAATTGGCCTTTCTGGCCATCTGGTTCATCTGTCGTCTGATCCGTCTGATCTTCTGGGTTATATATGGGATGGAGATCTTGGTATCAGGATTGGATTGCTGATATGTGGCAGACTTCCTCGTCAACATGTCCGCCTCGGCAGATGTTTTGGCCCAGGCTAAGGTGGAGATTGCTCTTGACTCTATCCCCGAGGGCAAGAACGTACGTGCAAACAGCCACCATCATTGCAGGAGAACGAATGAGTGAGATTCTGACCGACTCGAACAGGTGATCATCAAGTGGCGTGGAAAGCCCGTCTTCATCCGTCACCGCACCAGCGGTGAGATTGATGAGGCCCGCGCGACCAACTGGGAGTCCCTTCGTGACCCCCAGTCCGACGAAGACCGTGTCCAGAAGCCCGAGTGGTTGGTTATGCTGGGTATGTCTCCCGATTCTCTTCCCCCTTTCCCTCCTCCCCCCAATGTGTCTAATTTCGATCAGGTGTCTGCACCCACCTGGGTTGTGTCCCGATTGGTGAAGCGGGTGACTTTGGCGGCTGGTTCTGCCCCTGCCACGGTTCTCACTACGATATCTCCGGTCGCATCAGGAAAGGGCCTGCTCCTCTGAACCTTGAGGTCCCTGCATACAACTTCCCTACCGAAGAGACTCTTGTCATTGGTTAAAAAAACGTCTTCCTATGAGAAATCTATCCATGTTATATTATCTATCAATTGTACTTCTGAATGGCTAGATTCTCTCTTTCTGTGTGTCTCCCGTGTCTCCGTGTGTCTCCGTGTGTCTCTCTCTCTTTCCTTTCCTCTGTTTTGACAGGGATGGGAAAGGCTGTTTTATATTAGAAGCCATCCTATCTTATGCGTTTTCGTTGCTGTATCAAGACGTGATTTACTATGGACAAAGACTAGACTCTAGATCCGTCTAAGTAGTCAATTCATATTTCTAACACTTTTCCCTCTATTTCTATTTTCAATTCTACTCATGTAGTCTTTCTCGCTTTTTAGATGCATTCTTTATATACCCTTGATTTCTATCCATAAAATTATTTGATATATTTGATACACTTTGCTATACAAATCATCCTCGGGAAACCTTTTGACAGGATATCTAGTGATGCAGTATCTACAAATATCATCTCATCTGATTAGAGCGATGATCAGGCCCGTCAATGCCGCACCAGCTGCAGCACTCTGGATCGCCACGGCGGTGAATTCCCGGCGGGAGAGCGAGATGCTACGCTCGCTGAAGAGGTCGAGGTCGTGCAGGTCGTGCGGCCAGGAGTTGAAGAGGAGGCGCGACAGTTGGGAGAGTTGCGATTGGCTGGTTTGCAGGATGTGGTCGATTATTTTGGTGGCGCTGGCTGGTATAGCCTGGGGATAATGCGAGATCTCCGGTTGAACGGTGTCAGGTACTGCTGTTGCTGACGTTACTGTTGCTTGCTCTGGCTTTGGGTCTGCCTCTTCCGGAGGATCGGTGACAATCTCAGAATCAATCACCTCGGGGATTGTCTCTTCGATGATGACAGGCTCGGGCTCCGGCTCCAAGACAGCCGGAGGAGGGGTAGGTGCCGTGAAGCTCTCCGGGATGGCGCTCTGGATGGCAGAGGTGATCTGGGCCTGGCTGAGGGCTTTTTCCTTCTCGAGAGCCTCGATGACTTTTTCCTCGAAGCCACGCACGAGCCGGCGTCGCCGCCAGGGCTCAACGGCAATCTGAAAGACAAGGAATAGCAGCACGTTGACCCCCATCAAACCCCAGGTGCCCCAGGTACTCATGCGGCGGATCTTGTCCGACCAGACCTGTTCCTCGTGGTAGCGCGAGAGGATGCTCTTGCTGAGCTGCGTGGCGGCCTCCTCTGCCTCCCGTTCGGCGGCCGACAGGGCTTCCTGCGCCTCGTGCTCTGCAACCTCGTTCGCGTGGTCGTTGCGGTACAGGTGCGTGAACCGTTCCAGGTCCGGCGCCGACCATGCATGCTTGCGCTGCAGGAGTTCGTTAATCTCGCGCTGTGAAGTCGACCGCTCGTTGATTGCGCCAGCGTAGGCCAATTTCGTTTCCTGGACTCGCATTCGGCATGCACGCACTCGTTCCTCTGAACAGCATTAGGCATGAGCATTAAACCAAGAGACGTTATAATGATAAGATGAATCCCTTACCCTGCTCTTGGATATCCCGTTTCAGTACTTCGATGGCAGAGTAGCCTGTGAAGTCGTTCAATCTCTGCCCGGCCACAAATACGTTCGATTGCAAGTTATCCATCACCGAGGAGAACCGCTTGGAGAGCTGCGACCTCCGTTCGTCCAGGTAGGACGGGAGACTCCCGCGCTGCGTTGCCGGATCATCAGGGCTTTCCTCCCTGGTTTGATTTTTCTCTCCTTGTCTTAATTCCTTCTCCTTGGTCTCCTCCGCTATTGTGTGTCGAACCTCTCCCGAGTCGACAATTGGTGAAGAACTTCCATTGTCTGACAGCGAGGACCAGGAGGACGTATTCACAGATTCGGAGGGGTGGGCTTGTGGTTCTTTTGATTTATTCGATTCATTGTCTAGGAATAGAGAAGGGTTTGTTCTGAATTGACATCGCAGGCATACCGAGAAACTCCTCAATGGTTCCCTGCTCCGGATACGGGCTGCTTTCGCTGGGGGGAATTGCGGCGGCCGTAACGGACGGGCTGGTCTCGTGGACAGGGTCAGACCGGATCGTAGCGATTGCCTGAGGAGCAATGGCACGGACTGCATTGCCGCTTGGAGGGGAAGTGGGCGTGGTCGTCCAACCTGTTAGCTGGTTGTTGGTGGTGGTGGACACTTCAACATTTGTCCGAGGTGGGCGGGAGCTGGTTGGGGCGGAGATGCGGCCCAGGCAACGAGATCTGATAAGACTGAGCGACAGCTTTACGAGAGCTTTCTAAGTGATTATACAGAAGTTGTGTTTTATGAGAGATTTATACTAAGCAAATAATATTTAATATGTTGTCTTCTAGTTTACTGATTGAAGTTACTGCGTATTCTACACACACACATATATATATCTGGAACACCAAAACCAACATAATAAGACAGAAGGTAGAAGGTAGAAGAAATCCTTGAACAGGCTTAATATTCGCGCATCCTAACTAGACTGACACAGATATAATAAAAATAAACAAGTACCCTATTTCATTACGTTCATAAGTCTTTGCAGCATATACAAGCCACGGCTAAAGCAACAGTCCACCTGCAGAAAAAACATAAAAGACAAAAGTATCAGGCACATTCGAGCGATCTTTTGTAGGAATCATGCACAGTGTAATAGAAATGACATTTTCCCAGAGCAGCTCCGTATAGGAATGGTCTTGTACGTGTCATGATCTGGCATCGAGTGCCTACCATGATCGCCTAGTCCTGGGTTTGTATCTTGTGATCACCCTTGACCGCTTCGGCATAAGTAGGTGGCGGATGAGCCTGGCTACTGCTTTCTTGCTCTGCCTCATGCGCCTGTTCTGCAGATGGCGATGGCCGAGTGGCTGCCGGGGGCGCAGCAGGAGCAGACGATGACGATTCCACTGTGCCATAACCTCTCTGGCCTGGACGCTGCCCGATCTGCTGGTGAGAAACATAATAGTACGTCGCACGGCCATTTTCCACGTCTCGTCGCTGGCGACCATCCTGGGAGAGAGGCTGGTAGTTCGGGTCATCGTAATCGGGTTCCGGATACTTCAGGATAATGTACCATGCGTGCAGTAAGCCGGGAATATAGCCGAGGCAGCAGAGAGCGATGTTAATGATCGAGTCCGCGGTGCAAATTCCTACTTTGATCCAGACTAAAGTCAAGTCAGCGACCAAATCATCAGCAGAGGAGAGGAGAGTGAGGGGGGGGGGGGTTGCCTGAAATCGGGGGGAAAAAGACTGCCAGAATGGCAAGAAAAATATCAGAGCTGCACATTGCAATGATGGCCACTTTCGGCAGACTTCTTTGGATACCCAAGAATGCAAAGCAACAAGGTCAGTAGGAAAGTAAAACTCAGGGGAGGGCAATGGTATCTAGAAGGAAGCGAGTGGCAGCCTGGACTCGTATCATATCATATCAGACGTCACTTGTCACAGGCTCGTGGCTTGGCCATCACGTGTTATATATGGCCTGAGGCACCGAGTTGCCAAGGATTGCCACCAACCTGATAATACCAAGTCTGTCAGCTCAGTGCCTTTGATATCTATCTTATAATCTAATTCAAATCATTTAGTAATATTGAGTATTGTTAACAGACACGGGTTTTGGAGAAAATCCAAAGTTAGGTAGAGGGAATGCCTATATATAGAAGTGGCTGACTGAATTAGCTATCTAGTACGCCTAGCTGTTTATTATATATGAATACAATAGCTCAATAAGATAGGGATTAGTTTGTCCAGATATTCATAGAGGAAGGTTCTTCCAGCAGTATAGCATACTAATAAAAAAATGAGACCAGCTCCTAATGCCTATACCTACCTCCCACCGAGAAACACTGACAGCGGAGCGTCAACTTGATTCATATCAACTTCAAGTCTGTGTCCAAGATCAAGATGGGTTCCGGAGAATGAGATCCCGGACTCATGGAGTCATGGGCTTGAGCCCCTGGTCGACTAATTCTGGCACATCCGAGGAATACAACCGACTCAGATCCCTGCAAGGACCACGGTCCTGTGTGGATCAGGTACTCTGGCACAGAGAGTTACACAGTCTCAAGCACATTCGCATCCCGTGCAACACGACACACTTGCTCATATGTAGTCGAGTGTCTGACTTCAAGGTCTTCCAAGTTCCAATGGTATTCCATCAGGATCCGGGCGGACGGGCTGATTTTGATAAGGGATCGACTAGTTCCGACTATGGCTATTGTTACCGGTGCATTCTGCCATTTAGAAACAAGATTAGCGGAATAGAATGAAAACCAAAAAATCTAAAAAAATAAGATCCATCTACTATTATTATTAAAATATTCGGGAGACAAGAGCTCCTTATCCTGGGACGCCTTGCGTGCAGCACCCAGCCACGTAGACAGGACTCTACACCGAGTTGTCAATTGACGAGTCAATAATGGGGTCACCGTCACTCTGTAATAATAGTAGAGCTCTTAGACTCGAGGATCAAATAATCCGTAGACTCTCAAGACTTACTCCGTAAAGGTTCAAGAGTCTTCGCGTGGAGATCGCGCACTGTTTACTTTTTGCCGTGTCCGTCGCTTCTAGACCCATCTCAAACCGCCGTCCGGGACACTAAGCGGCCCTCGAAGGAGGTACAGAGGAGGATTCAATGACCATGTCAATGACAATAATGAAAAATCACAAAGAAAAAACGATAGTCATCGGAAACAATGGCCACTGATCACTACTACTAATAGTCATCCAGCTCAGCAGGTGGATCGCAACGCTGGACAAACCAGTTTGCCTGCAAAACCCGCCAAACGGGCAGGCACACAGTTGGGTGGAGTCTTCATTTTAAGCACAGGCAAGCCCCTTTTGGGCCGGCAGGAAGAGAGAGAGAGGAAGAGAGCGAGAAAGAGACCTGACGCTGGACGGACAGACTAGCTAATATGGAGCGACCGACCGGCTACTACCACTACTACTGACGGATTGATTATTACAGCAGTTCGTTCCTGGTCCCTGTCGCTTTGCTCTTCCCCCTCGCCTTAGACTGTCCTTGGGCCCTCCACGCGCGCGACCAGCAGCAGTAGCTCGCCAGCAGCTGTTTCTCCTCATCGCCCCCCCTCTCCCAGCCTCGTCGGCGCGGTTCGACTCTTTCGTTTCTTTCCAGGCCTGATCTCGCTTTGTTGCTCTGCCTTCCTGGTTTCTCTCGTCGAGAAGTCGAGTCACTCGTTAACCAGTTTGTTTCGCTGCCGCGTCTTTCGCTTCGCCTGCTGGCCAAGGGCTCTACTACATAGAACCCTCCTTTTTATTTTATTTTATTTTATTCTTCTTTTCTTTTTCCGTGGTTTTAGTGGCCTGAGGTCATTTGATTCGATCCGAGAGTATCTTTCGACCGTTAGACGTTGTGAGACTCAACTCGTGGCCGCTGGGACCAACAGGATGGTCCGGTCGTGCTTCTGGTTTACCGTCTAAGAAACTCGAACGCAAACCCATTGATTGATCCCTTTTCATTTCGCTTCCACAGTCAATTGAGGCGTACGACAAGACCGCCCACCTTACTGCGAGCTAGGATGTCGGACACTTGCATATCTCTGTCGGAGTCGACAGCTTGTCCCGCCTTCAACGCCTCTTCTATCTCAACCAACTCTACCCTTTATGCAGACTTGTGCGTGTGAACTTCAGAATATCGCCCGCCGGTGGGCGAAAAAGATCTATTAGCGCTGACCGTGGCACAGTCCCTTCTTGCAGTATGTTTCGAACGTGACGGATTTTGATACGCAGTTGCGCAGTTATGTGTCGGAGGCCTACGTCAAGGCTGAGTGCGTTTCTCTATTTTCTTTCTTTCTTTCTCTATGATTTGTGTCGATGATAAGCTATACTAACAAGTCGATGATATAGGTATGTGGACCTATTCGGGTGCCAGGGGGTCAATCTCACGGATACTGCCGACTACTACGCGCGCTATACTACCAGTGTAATTTGTAATGGGATTGTTCAGAGCTCAAAGAGCGACTGCCATCTTTCGACAGATGATTCGATGCCCCTGTGTGCTGCAACATGCGTGAGTTTTGCCTCATCAACTCATTGGCGCATTTACAACTGACCGTCGGTCCCAACGATATATAGGCACTCAAGGCGACGAGCGAAGAGGAAATTGTTGTGAATTCAAATCTCTGCCAAAATGTGAGCAGCGACTATATGAGTCAGGTCCGCGCGGATTTTACGGTTTGCGCCCTGCCCGCCGACTCCCTGACGGGCACTTGTATCTCTGGGTCAGACAATGAGCCTAAAAACTGTGGATATGGTCCAAATCTCCTGGGCCTTTGCCAATACTGTGATGCAACCTCGACAGATTCATGCTGCACCGCCGCTAATTCGACAACCCGCTGTTCTAACGTCACGATCCCCTCAACAACAGCCACCATTCAGCCAGTCATCCCAACCTCATCAACGTCGACGGCTACCGCTGACGCATCCCATTCACATGGTCTTTCCGGTGGCGAGATTGCCGGTGTTGTTGTTGGCTCCGTGGCTGGCTTTGCTCTTCTCGCCGGCCTAGCTGCCTTTCTCATCTTGTGTCTCCGCCGGCGCCGGAGGGCAAACCGTGAGATTGGGCTCAACCAGCCCAACCCGCAGCGGAAGGGCATGTCGGCCATGCAGTATGTTCAGAGCCCGCAGGGCTATGAAGTGGTCCCAGGCGGGCGAGTCGCCAGAATGTCCGCCTTGCGTGAAGTTCCTAGTCAATCGCCCGCGCGGTCTCGCAACTCGGCCGCTGTTTTCAGCAGTGCCAAGTACAGCGACACATCCGACTCGGAGGGATACCGTGCCAGCCCGGGAACAATGTCCAAGCGTATCCCTCCCGTCACAGGGAAACGAAACGGGTCGCTCTCTAGCAACTCGATTTTTGCTGGTATTGATAGTGACACCTCGCCTCGCTCCGGCACGAACGGCCAGTTCTCGTCGCCAGAGGCTGTGACCAGTGGCCAGTCGGAGCAGCTTCCCTTCTTCCGTGACTACTATTCTCAAGACGACATCTACGCTGGAGACCAGGTTGCAGTGCTGTGGGCGTATCAACCACGTGCAGGTGATGAATTCGAACTCGACCGCGGCGAGATGCTCAAGGTGATTGGCATCTGGGATGATGGATGGGCGACTGGCGTTCGCCTGCCCGAACGCGCTGAAGACTTTGATGCTATGCATCGAGAACAACGTGATAGTGGCGTCTCCCATGGATCGCGGAGACTGGCTGTTTCTCCTGCGCCCAGTGGGGACATCAAGGCATTTCCGGTGAGGATTTATTCCCCTCCTCTCTCTTCCAGTAGTGCATAAACAATAGTACTAACTCAATATAGCTGGTTTGCGTATGCCTCCCCCAACACTGGAGGAAAATCGTTGAAGGAGAGGTACCGGAGGAAGACGAATCTTGACGACCGCTCTTCCTACAAAACATTTTCTTCACGTGCATTGATGTCTTCACGATAGCGCCTATTTCACGTTCCAGTCAGCCTACAGCAGTCTTGCGCCGGACGTTCGGTCCCAACCATATGCTCAAACTCGTTTCGCATTCCCTATTGATACCTTCACAAACACACTTCGCTCTTGGTTCGGTTTTCCAATTTTCGGGTTGATTCGAAGACACGGTACCGATTCTCGACTGCTGTGAGACGATTCTAACATTCCTTGATACTTCATATACCCCATTTTACGGCATGGATTTGCTGTCTGTTTTTTTCTTCTTCTCTCTTCAACTTAGACAGTTGTTCAATATTTGATACTTAGTGATAATTGAAAATCAACCGGTGATACAGCTCAACCTGACTTATACTTTGTGTGTTTCAATAAGATATTTCATTTAAGTCATACGAAAGACAGAGATACTAGATAGATCTAGAGGCTAGATCTTCGATCTATCCAACCCATCCGAGTTATACCTGAAGCCAATTCATTATACGCATTCGTGGACGGTTCTGACCTACTTCTTATTCAGGGCAGCCCTCTTCACCTTGGTCCTGTATGCGACGGCCTTCTCGTCCCAGATGAAGTTGACACTCTCGTGAGCGACGACAGCGGAGGACCAGCGCGAGAACTTGGGCGACTGGGCAAGGAGGCCCGGCAGGGCGGGACTCAAGAGGCCATGTTCCGGTTTGGAGAAGGCGAGGATACGCAGAAGGAAGGATCCGGTGAGGACCTCCGCGAGGGTGAGGCGCTCGCTGCCGCCGAAGAAGCCCGATTCAGGCAGGAGGGGCTCGATGTCCTTTGCGATGACGGCAGCGAGGGCCTCGCTGGCTTCCTGGCGGGCCTCTTCTGACTCGGTGCGCACCGCTGTGTGGAAATGCGGCACGATCTTGCTCACGAAGGTGTCGACGAAGAAGGCGATGCGGGCGCGGACCAGGCTGTTCTCGGGGTTCCCGGTTGCGGGGATCAGGTGCGACGGGTGCGAGTCGGCGAGGAATTGCGCGACAATGGCCGATTCGAGGATGATGTTGCCGTTATACGAGAGACTGGGGACAAGACCGCGCTGGTTTGTTAGCACTTAGTTCACCTCATATTAGTCCAATGGGTATTTGTCTTACCGGGTTAACCTCCAGATACCATGGCTCCCGAGGCTTGTTCAGATCAATGGTGATCTCTTCGTAGTCAAGGCCGAGTTCCTTGAGCGCAATGTGTGCCCGGTGAGCCCAGGGACAGCCACGGTTTGTATAGAGGATGATCTTGGCCATGGTGGGATAGTAGCTTGAGGGAAGGTAGGTAGGTGGTATGAGGCTATCTGGTGTTAGTTTCTCTTTGAATTGAGTAGGTGATGATTTTATACAATAGATGACGTGAGATAGATTTGAAATCACGATTGAGGGATTTTTGGGAGGACTGACAGGGGAGATAGAGAGTAACCAACGAGTTGACTTCCCTTAACTAAAGATTATTAATGCTGGGAGGTCGGGACTATGTAGGACTCAAGAAGATTATTGATAGCGCTCGCCATCGGGATATCCCCGCAATTTGTTACCGAGCGGATAATTCATCTGCAGGAAGACGCATATCAGCCTTATGATAATAATAATGCATCTTTCCCTAGTTATTCAGATGAGCCTCGTTTCTTGGCTGACGGCATACTACATAAGTACTATAAAGTAGTGAGTGATATATGCCTTTTAAAAGTACTATAGTCCTCTTATCTTCGACTCTCGCTGATATATCTCGGAATATGGCGGGTCAAGGTTAGGAACGAGACTGCTTGATTTCTCAGGTCAAAGCCGGTTTGGGACCATATCAAACCATCTAGTTGGGTATGGAAATATAGTAGTAACCATAAATGTGATCAGTCATGGTTCAAAAAACCCTTTGCGCTGTGTCCAGGAACTGCCCTTTAATCTGTATCTAGAGGTCAATATCTCAATCCTGGACAGGATATTCACAGGCTTGAGTAGCTGACGATCAATACAATAGCGTTCTTATGGTGTTTCTCTCTATCCGTGTTTATCCTTCTGCCTACTTCTGTCCATCCTTTCTTGTCTTCCTTCGTCACTCCTGCAAAGTTATTTCCACTCCTTTCAGTCCCTTATCGCATTCCTTGAATCGTTCCTCGAATTCTAACCCCTCATATAATATAGCAAAGTTTGGATCGAGTCGTGTGGGAAGCATTGTTGGCGGTGTGTAGCACATAAAGAGCGTCAATATGTAGACCAAGAGGAATTCTTCTGGAAATGGTGTGATTATGGCCTGCTACCTGAAGCACGAGGCATGGTATTCAGTAAATGGTGGTTAGAGAGTACCTACCTAGATACCAAGGGTACAGATCGTCTGTCGCTTTGGCACTTGCCAGGATAGTAGTGCCATAATATCAATGGAAAGTAGGCAGCAGACAGCAGACAGGTAACAGGCAACGCTGTTATTGATTCTGTAACCTTCCTTCCCTCAAGTCTTCCTCCCCGCAAATATGAGCTGCTTGAGTCTGAAGGTTGGGCCTGAAGGGTCAGGATGTAGGTTGCAAGAAGGCGCTCGGCTTCTGAAATTTATGAAGTGTCATATAGACTCAAGTTGGATCGCGGGGAGTTTTCTGAACAGTATTTGACCAGCTATTTTTGGCCCACGGTTCCGCCTCTCGACCTGGGAGTAGTACGTCAGTACGTCAGCGGAGATAGGCAGCATCTGCAGAAGCAGGACAATGCAGGCAGTGGCATGAATCTGGAGCAGTACCAAAATCACGAATCTCAAGTGACGAGACTCCAGGCATCAGGAAGAAGAGATTTCTGTCAACCGTCAAGAAGACACCTGCATATTATTTAAAGACGTTCTGCTCCCTCGCACAGTCCCAGGCCCCGTTATTATATCACGTGTCCCTTCCCAGACCACCCACCCCACCACCGCCCGTCAACAACGCAAGCACAATAAGTACACTAGAGCCCCTCTATCTCCAGCGCCCGTCTCATTCCGTCTCCTGCTCTTACTCTACCATCATCCACTTCTCACCAACTCCTTCTTTTGAGGCTTTGTCTCATCTTCTTAGAATTTGTTGGGTTTACTTAATTCCCTCTACAACCTGTATGTTCCTTCCCCAGGATGGCTTTTAGTTATAACAGATTAATGACATCGCTGGTGCAGCCTGCCCCCCAACCCCCCACCATATTATTATATTAATCAACCAAGATCGCAATCATGTCGGTGAGTTGACCTGGTGCTATGAACAAAGATTCCAGTTCTATGCTAATATGATTTTCTTGATTTATAGCTTAATTCAGGGTATATCCATGCAGCCTTCATTATTTAATAGAATGATTATAACCCAATCCTAACCAAACATTGACTAGTGTTTCCATCAATGATGAGTGCGTCACTTCGTACAAGGAATTCAGCCTGAGCCGTGGCAAGACGAAGTACATGATCTTCAAGCTTTCGGACGACAAGTCAGAGATCGTCATCGACGAGTCCGGCGGTGAGAAGGATTATGAGGTCTTCCGCAACAAGCTTTGCGATGCCAAGGACAGCAAGGGCCGCCCTGCTCCCCGTTATGCTGTCTACGATGTCGAGTATGAACTTGGTGGAGGCGAGGGCAAGAGGTGCGGCCAGAATATAAAACATCACATCCAAAAGTGAACACACAGCTTACCTTTCTCGCAGAAACAAGATCATCTTCATCTCCTGGGTTCCCGAGGAATCGGACAGAATGGTGAGCCCCTCAGTTCCCCCCGCCCCTCAGTCCCCCCAACATGCCAAGTCAGTGCTGATGTTTTGCTGTAGCTGCGCATGATTTACGCTAGCACCCGCGAGGGCCTGAAGACCGCCCTGGGCCCTGCTGCCTCGATCCATGCCGATGAGAAGGGCGATATTGAGTGGAACACCGTGCTTTACGAGGCCAGCGGTGGCAAGGCTGGCAAATAAAAGGCTTGCACCGGCTGGGTCCGGTCGCGGCGTCCGTTTTGCAGTCTTTCTGTCTGCATAACAACTCTCGTCACCAGTCATGGAATACCTAGGGATGACTGGAATACCTGGATTCGGTCTGAGACACTCACGACTCGTCTAATCTCCGTTTCTGCATTCGGGTGGATGAGCGTTGGAAGGAGAAGCTTTTCAGCGTTTTGATTGTACAGAATATCTTTGCCTGAGCGGGAGCCTGACTTCGACAGTTTAGTGTAGGACTAGGAATCTGATGTCACCTTCCTTTCCATCATATTATTTTCTTTCCTCTCCTCCTCTCCTCTTATTCTTTTTCTTATCCTTCTTATCCTTCTTATCCTTCTCGTAGGCGCCGATAGGTGTACTCGTAGGTCGCTGATGACAAACATCGTCCCATATGCGGTGGACGAAAATCGATCGGAAGACGGCCGTCTCGCTGAGGGTTCTGGTCGAGGGGCAGCGAACATCGATCTTGCGGCGCGAAACCACCGCGTCAGTGATTCCTCTGAATATTTATAGTCTTCTGCCAAAAGCATTAAATCATCGACGGCCAATGCCACGTGGATGGACTCGTCCTCGTCTCGTTCTCATGGATCATGTCATGATCATGAAGGGGGCAGGCGGGCTCGGGTAGAGGCGGGATGGACCAATCAAAACGAAGGCAAAACGAGCTAGGCTAGTCCGTCCGGATAACTCGACTTCCACCTCAAACCATCTCTGCCTCTGTTGCTTGCCAGTCTCAATCACACCCAACCACTCCCCCCCCCACCCACCTCCCTCTCTAGAAACAATTGTGTGTCTGCCTCTGTTCTGAGGACCAGGCCCTTTTCCACTCCCGGAGGGTATTTTCTTCGCAATTGATCGGTTTTCGTCGCGCCTCCCGCCCTCTCGCACAATGTTCCTTCGCTCCGTCGCCCGGGCTGTCCCTCGCAGCTCAGCCCTGCCCAGCGCGGCCGTCCGCACCTATCGCCCCATGGTCTGCCAGAGTGCTCGCCCCCAGTCGATTCAGCAGCAGAAGTCCGTTGCCGCCCAGCAGACCCGCGCTGCCTCGGAGCATGCTATCTCGAATCCCACCCTGGCTGGTATCGAGAAGCGCTGGGAGGCCATGCCTCCCCAGGAGCAGGCCGAGCTGTGGATGCAGCTCCGTGATCGCATGAAGGTTGACTGGCACCAGATGACCCTGCAGGAGAAGAAGGCTGGTACGTCAAGAATTTTTTTTCCCCCTTCCCTTTCCTCTTGTTGCATTCTTGGGGGACGTTTTCCCCCCGTTTGAATCCGTGTTGGATGTGCTCGGTTTGAGCGATTGAGTGATTGCTGATGTTGCTCAGCCTACTGGATCGCTTTCGGTCCTCACGGCCCCCGCGCACAGGCTCCCAAGGGCGAGGGCCTCCGGATCTTCCTCAAGGTCACTCAGCTGGTTCTTGCCTCTGTGGCTGTGTTCGGCGTCATCCACTACTTCGCCAAGCCCCAGCCGAAGACCATGAGCAAGGAGTGGCAGGAGGCCTCCAACGAGTATGCTAAGGTATGTATAAAATGCGAAAATGGAGCTGGGGGGGTAAGAAGGCAAATGCTAATGTCTTCCGTTTTAGGCCGAGAAAATCAACCCTCTGTACGGTATCAGCAGCGAGGGTTACCAGGGCCAGGGCTTTGTTCAGAGCGCTCCCGCCGAGAAGTCATAAATCTCTGTTGTGAAGGATCAGTGCTGGAGGAAAGGGGGTGCAGAGAGTTGTCTGAATATGGGATAAGAGGAGGGATTCATGATGGCCGACTGGCGCATCCTCTTCCCAGAATGAACCTCGTCGGCCATCTGTCTTGGTTTTCTTGGTTGGGGGATATATGCCATTTTCCATTCTGCCCTCCTGCATGTCCAGTTCTCAGGTTCAAAATGTCATGTATCCCGTACTGTGCAATAACAATGTATCTTTCTTTTGTAATCATAGAAAATTTTTCCTATTTCTCAGATCTCTTCGAGATTTTTTTTTTAAAATAGCCTACTCCTATGTAGCAGAGGTCTACTGCAATTGCTCATTCCCATCGGATGCCGGGGCTGCCTGACATCACAGCTAACATGGTGCCTCGCTTCGACCACCTAGACGGCGGTTCTAACCCCAATTGAAAACTAATAATACCTCAATGACGATCTATTTCATCGTCCAGGACTCTTTTTTTTTTTTTTTTTTTTTTTTTGAAAAAAGACTACCCCGGGATTTTTTAATTCGTCTACGGAGCATGGGTTCTTCTTGGTCATAAATGACTCGTAAGCGTTATGCCAGCTGGCATCTATCGAATACAGCTGACGGGCACAATTGAGATCAGCAATTGACCAAATTTTTTTTCATCCATGTATACAAACTAGAAATCCACTACGACAGATAAGCTAGAATATTTTATAGTTCATAGTCACTCTATATTGGTCGTTCGCAGTCCTTCAACTGAGGTGGTTGCAGCTCCTTGCACCCGGGCGCCAAGACTGGGCCCCGTTTTGTGTGCGATTCTCACCGGGCAACGTAGGAAGACACCATTCCTAGAGCCTCTCTGGGAGATTCACCCCATCCACCAGGAAAAAAATTAGGCCATGTAGCACCGAGAGAAGCAGCACCCCGGGTGTATCACTCTGTCCAAGTAGCTGTAAATAAAAGGACCTTGCTAGTGGTGTTTTCGCTGCACCAGCCTCATATTTTCCTCCCCAGCGCGTTGCTCGGTACATCACGGGATCGTCGGCAAAACCGCCCCGGAAAGGCTAAGCCGGCCACAGTCCGCCCGTGTCCACCTCAACCTCAATCAACCTCTTCCCTTTCCCTTCCCTCTTTCTTCCCTCTCCCCCATCCTCCGTCCTTTGACCTCTTCCCACCCCCATCTGCTCTTTAACACCCTCAAAATGTTTAAGAGGTGAGTTGCTCGCCCAATCACTGCCCCCATCGCGTTTTTGTCAATTTTTGCGCGTTGCTGACAGCTCTTTTCCTCTCAACAGCGGTCTTGCCCGGACCTTCGGGAGGGCTGCTTTTGCTCGACCCTCGGTCGCCCGCCGCGCCGTCGAGCCTCTCAGATCCAATGCCCTTCCGGCCCTGACCGCCAGGTTCGCCAGCACCGAAGCCGGCGCTACTGGCAAGATTCACCAGGTCATCGGTGCCGTCGTCGACGGTACGTTCGCTGTCCTCTGCCCCAGACGTTTTTTCACTAGGGGAGCTGCTGCGCAAGCGGCATCGAGAAAATCTTTTCCTCATCCCAATTCCATCGAATACTTGTTCCATTTCGTCTCAATGCATCCTCTACGGTCGCCTTCTGACTAGTTTCTTACAGTCAAGTTCGATGGCGACAAGCTCCCTGCCATTCTCAACGCCCTGGAGACCGAGAACAACGGCCAGAAGCTGGTCCTCGAGGTTTCTGTACGTATTAGGCCTTTTTCCAAACCCTTCCCCCCCTGAATCTCTCTCTAATGAGAGAGACCAACCCAACAATCAAGACTGACTTCATCGATAGCAACATCTGGGTGAGAATGTCGTCCGTACCATTGCTATGGACGGTAAGTCTCAAACCTGCTATTTATACACCTGCGATCTCCCACTAAGACTTTTGCAGGTACTGAGGGTCTGACCCGTGGTGCTGCCGCTCTCGACACCGGCGCCCCCATCAAGATTCCCGTCGGTCCCGGCACCCTTGGCCGTATCATCAACGTCACTGGTGACCCCATTGATGAGCGTGGTCCTATCAAGGCCACCAAGTTCTCCCCCATCCACACCGAGCCCCCGGAGTACGTTGAGCAGTCTACCACTGCCGAGATTCTCGTCACTGGTATCAAGGTCGTCGACCTGCTCGCCCCCTACGCTCGTGGTGGTAAGATCGGTCTCTTCGGTGGTGCCGGTGTCGGCAAGACCGTGTTCATTCAGGAGCTGATTGTACGCTTTCCACTCCTTTCTCGTTGTCTTGATATCCACTTGCTAATTTTTCTCAGAACAACATCGCCAAGGCCCACGGTGGTTACTCCGTCTTCACTGGTGTCGGTGAGCGTACCCGTGAGGGTAACGATCTGTACCACGAAATGCAGGAGACCGGTGTCATTCAGCTCGAGGGTGAATCCAAGGTCGCCCTTGTGTTCGGTCAGATGAACGAGCCCCCGGGTGCCCGTGCCCGTGTCGCCCTGACTGGTCTGACCATTGCCGAGTACTTCCGTGACGAGGAGGGTCAGGATGTGCTGCTCTTCATTGACAACATTTTCCGTTTCACTCAGGCCGGTTCCGAGGTGTCTGCCCTTCTGGGTCGTATTCCCTCTGCCGTCGGTTACCAGCCCACCCTGGCCGTCGACATGGGTGCCATGCAGGAGCGTATTACCACCACCACCAAGGGTTCCATCACCTCCGTCCAGGCCGTCTACGTGCCCGCTGACGATTTGACTGACCCTGCCCCTGCCACCACCTTCGCTCACTTGGACGCCACCACTGTCCTGTCCCGTGGTATCTCCGAGTTGGGTATCTACCCTGCCGTCGACCCCCTCGACTCCAAGTCCCGTATGCTGGACCCCCGTATCGTCGGTGAGGACCACTACAACACCGCCACCAAGGTCCAGCAGATGCTCCAGGAGTACAAGTCCCTCCAGGATATCATTGCCATTCTTGGTATGGACGAACTGTCTGAGGCCGATAAGCTCACCGTCGAGCGTGCCCGTAAGCTCCAGCGTTTCCTGAGCCAGCCTTTCACTGTCGCCCACGTCTTCACTGGTATCGAGGGCAAGCTTGTCGACCTGAAGGACACCATCAGCAGCTTCAAGGCTATCATCAACGGCGAGGGTGATGACCTTCCCGAGGGTATGTTTTTCTTCCCCTTTTCCATTCTGTTGATCATCAAACAAGTACTAACTTCTTCTAGCTGCCTTCTACATGGTCGGTGACTTCCAGTCCGCTCGTGCCAAGGGTGAAAAGATCCTGGCTGAGCTCGAGGGCAAGGCCTAGATGTAATAATGTTTCCTCCCAAGCGCTTCTTTCACTGTGTCTAGAACCCGGGCCTTCGTTCTCTTTCCTTTTTTTTTTAAACTGATGTCCGTTTTTTTTTTCACACACGTGTACAATACTCGTTGCAAAAGAAAAGAGAGAAGGATTCTGAAAAAAGAAAGAAGAGAGAAGAGCAGCAAAGGCCCCAACCCTGTCACAGGGAGAGATGTGAAAACACCCTAAATCTCATCACCCATCCCCCTCTGGCGAGCGATGTTGCGGTCTCTGGACGGGGGATCTTGTTATACTACTATATCTATGTGCTCATTATGTAAGTAACTGCCAATGACCACAGCCAGCCTCGAAGATACCCTCAGGCTGGGACAATTGTATTTCTTTTGTTGAATTGTGCATTGTCAGCGTAGTCATGTGTGTGTAGAGTGTAGTCTGTCTTTTATCCAGTTCGTCGTAGTCCTGGAGTACACTTGTGGAGATCGACGTCTACGAAGTCGGGATGGACCTTGATATTCATGCCATACGGCCAGATCAGAGTGTTGACAGCGCAATTTACTAGTTAAATTGGGATTTGGTCATATTGGGTTATATATGTTGCTAGGAATTAACGCTTCGTATTGAATGGGATATCTAATACACTGCCAATTTGTTACCAGAAGCTAGATGTTCCAACTCGTCGTGTTCTTGTTCTTGTGGTCTGACTTAGAGGGTATTTTCCAATGCGAGGACCTAAAAATGTTAGTTTTGAGAAATTGACGGACAAGAGAAAGAGAAAAAAAAATACCAATGCTGTCCTCGTGGGAATGTACACCTGGAGGGAGTTGGCTCTGTTATTCCACGCCTCGTTGGTGGTAAAGAAGCGTGTCTCTTTGAGGTTGCGGCTGAATCCGCCAAAGTCCTTGTCGTCCGTGTCGAGGACGATGCGGTAGGTACCTGGCTGGTCGACGCCGACGCGGTAGTCGGTGAAGCTGTCGGACGGGTGGAAATTGAAGACCCAGAGGAGGCCTGCGCGCTCGAAGACGAGCACTTTGTCGCCCTCGTGCTTCAGGCTGATGTACGCCTGCGGGGAGTGCAGCCAGCCGTACTTTTCCTCTGTGAGCTGCATCGCACGGTCGAACTCGTTGAGGAAGCGGTATCGTAGTAGGTGGTCCTCGGTCAGGTTGAGTTGGCGCCGCGCGTACCAGAAGGAGTTGTCGTTGCCCTCGCGGGGGAAGTCGAGCCATTCCGGGTGCCCGAACTCGTTACCCTCGAAGTTCAGGTAGCCTTCGCCTCCTAGTCCGTGGGTGACCAGTCGAATCATCTTGTGCAAGGCCATGCCGCGCTCGATAATCGGGGTGAAAGGGCTGAGGATGGACATGTTGGTGTACATTTCCTTGTCGCACAGCCAGAAGATGAGCGTCTTGTCACCCACCAGACTATGATTTTCAGTATGTGAACTCCCTTGGGGGCCTCTACTTGAGAGCAGGTAACTTACGCTTGATCATGGCTCTCAGCATAGGCAATCGTCTTCTCTCCATGACGACGGTTGGTCAAAGTGAATGCAAGGCTGCCCATGTCCCACTCATTATCTTGCTTTTCCTTCAGCCATTTGATATACATGTCCGGAATGGCCATGGCTAGACGGTAATCGAAGCCTACACCTCCCGTGGCGTACGGAAGGCAGAGTGCAGGCATGCCGGAGACGTCTTCGGCCACAGTAATGCAGTCGGGGTAGAGAGTATGCAGCATTTCGTTGGCGAGAGTTAGGTACATGACTCCTTCGTCGTCTACTGCAGGGCCAAAATATTCATGGTAACCTCCGGAGAAACCACTGGAGAGGGTTAGAGTGGGACTTATCCCATAGTACAGGCCGAAAAACAATGACTCGTCACTTACGTTCCAATGCCATGATGAGTGTAAATCATGCTGGTCACGCCATCAAACCGGAAACCGTCGAATTGGTATTCCTCCATCCAGAAACGCAAGTTGCTTAGGAGGAATCGCAACACCTCATGGTGCCCGTAGTTAAATAGGCGACTGTCCCAAAGGCTGTGATTTCCTTTGCTTCCCCCGTGGAAGTATAGATGATCAGTCCCATCAAACATATTCAGGCCATCATCGACGTTCTTGGAGGCATGGCTGTGTACAACGTCAAGTAGGACCACCAGACCCATGCCGTGGGCAGTGTCAATGAGCTCCTTGAGGTCTTCCGGAGTGCCATAACGGCTACTGGCAGCAAAAAAATTGTTTACCTGATAGCCAAAGCTGGCATAGTAGGCATGTTCCATAATGGCCATCAGCTGAATGGCATTGTATCCTAGATACTTAATCCGGGGAAGCATGTTCTTGGTAAACTCCTTGTATGTTGCGACTCGAGTCTCCGGAGAGGAGATCCCAACGTGAGCCTCATAGATCCGCAGGCTCTCAGGCTTCTTTGGCCGTGGGTGCTGTATTTTATACTTTTCGGATGCCGGTGGGTTCCAAAATACAGCCTCATAGACTGGCGATACATCCAAGTCCTGTACCACTCGCTTGATCCATGCAGGGATCCGAAAGATACGTTCGCCGCTAGGAAGAAGCATTGTAACCTGTGTATAAAAGTTAGTATCCAATCCAAAAAGAAAGAAAAAAGAAGACGGAGATCCTTACCTTGATTTTGCTGTTGTGGGGAATTGCTGGAGCACCGTTCTTCGCCGGTAGAGTAACGTCCCAAACACCGAAATCGTTCTTCTTCATTGGTGTCGCTGTGGCATCCCAGTTATCTGCTAGGTCTCAGTTCACCGATCCTGCGCAGACTTTTTTATAGCATAAGACGCACTAAACTCTCCAACAAGGCTTGCTTCAACTGCATTAGGGGCCCATTCCCGATATGTGATATCGCCATTGTCTTGGACATTGATTCCGAAGGTCTCATATCCCTAAGGCGCATGAATCGAGCCATTAACCTCCGGTTCCTTTATCAAAAATAACAGGATTCTTTCCGCCAGAGATGCCACGTACCCTGCTAAACTTCTCAAGACCACCTTCTGTTTCGCGGATCGTGTTGATCCAGCCCTCGACGAAGCTGAATCTACGCTTCAGCGCATCACGAAACGGTTCCAGCCATGGATCTGACTGGATCACCCCTACTAAAGTGTCAGCATTAAAAGAAACAGACAATATCGTCCCCAAAGCACACGATCATCAGAAAGCAGATTGAAATCAAATGTCCTGACCTGTTCCATCTGGAGGGGTTGTTCGGGAGTTGTCTGGAGCTTGAGGCGTGGCCATAGCGACGCTTGAGGCGATCAATATAAAAATCCAAACCAGCCTTTCGCTACAAAATAGATAAGAAGGAGTCTGCAAGCACCAAATCTCTCAGACTTGCCTCGGGGGGGGGGGGGGGGAGATGCGAGGTGTCGTTGAAACTGGGCGGGGGAAGCTCCAAGACCTGGCGCGGCTAGAGTAGCAATGACATAACGTCACCCCTAACCAGCTCCCCTCTCTAAGACGTCTAGACTCTTTCTTCTTCCCCCTGATTGTCCGTTTCTTATTATTTTTTTCGGACTGATAATAAATTGGCAAAGGCTTTAGGCGAATGCTCGTCTTCGTCATTCGTTACATACAAATATCCCTCCGAATACGATACAGCTTAGAGCTAAGAAGCCAATTGAGTTTAGATGAATGCCTGCCTATCCCAAGTCCACCCTGAAGGGCAAGAAACGAAATATTTAAATCTTGCTTGGCAATTTTCGCAAATGGCCAGCATAAGAAAGTACAGCTGAACGGCAATATTTTTTACGACGCAGGGCTAGGAGGCAGCTCCCCGTCAGTCCAGTTGACGGCAGTGGCACCAAGCTCGAATTCGAGGGTGCCGCCTCGCGAGAAGACATCATCCCAGGTCAGCCAGTTCTTTTTCCATGCTTTGCCGTTGACCTTGAGGCTCTGGACGTAGAAGTCGGAGTCTCCGTTTCCATCGCCTCCCGTGGACGTGATCTTCAGTTCTTTACCGCCGCCGAGATCAATGGTCATCGAATCGAACCAGGGAGAGTGGATCAAGAAGGTCGTCTGGCCGGTGAGAGGGTACAGACCGATCATGTTCCAGAGAAGCCAGGTCTGCATGGCGCCGGCGTCACTCTCGCCAGGGAGACCCCCAATTCCAGACGTGTAGTAGGTCTTCGCAATGCTGCGGGAATAGTTGACGGACAGATCCTGTCGGTCAAGGAAGTTGAAAAGATAAGGAACATTGAAAGTTCTGATAAAACCGAATGTTAGTGAAACCCAATCTCAAGTTTTCGAGATCGTTCTGGGCAATAACTTACGGCTCGTTGGTCGGATCGTAGATGATGGAGCCGCTGGTACCGTCGGCTCCAGGAATGAACATGGTCTCCAGACGTTTGATGGTGGTCTCACGGCCACCCATCATTTTAATCATCTCAGCCATGTCATGCACGTCGGTCCACGAATACTCCCATGCGCTGGCCTCATAGTACGGGTCGGTCCAGTATCCGTCAGAAGTGAGCATGTTGTACGGCATGAATCCAGACTCGTTGATAGGAACCACAAATCCCGAGAATCCTAGAGAGGTCGCATCTGGGTTCCAGTGGTTCCTCCAGTTGCGGGATCTGTTCAGGTACTTTTCAACATAATCTTTTTTTTCCATACCCAGAGCCACTTGGTACAGGCCGAAGTCGTTAGCTGCGTAATCCACCGCTCGGCTGACTGAACGCGAAAACCGAGTGGTGATGTAACCCAGAGTCTTCCAGTCAGGGAGGGCGCTGCGGCCATCATGGGTGGATGAATCGGGAGCCAACCAGTCGACTGGATAGTTGGGTGGGGTGATTTCAGCGTCCTTGACCATGGCCTGCCATCCATCGTCCCAGTTGACTGCACCGCGGACGCCCTTGACATATGCATCCGCGAGGATGTTGTCTGCATTGGATCCGCCCTGGCTCCGGCCGTTGTAATTGGAAGAGCGGGCGTCGGGCATATATCCCACATGGCGCCAGATATCGATCAGCGACCGAATCACCTCTTCATGGAACGTGGGCTGCAAGACATGCCAGAGAGAAGTACTACAGCGGAAGAGATCCTGAGTTTTTGAACGTCAGCCCTTAGGTCTGTCCTTGAAAAATTTTCAATGGCCTGACTCACCCAGAATGTGAAGAAGTCCTGGTAGTACGGTTCGGTCGAGTTCCATCCTGGATTCTCACCAGTCTGGTTGGTGGGAATCAAAGACATGAAGTACAGCGATGAATACAACAGAGAGAGACTAGTCTCGTTGGTACTGTTGATGGTGATCTTGGACAGAATTTTGTCATTCCACTCAGCCTTGGCTTCTTTGACCACTGTATCAAGGCTTGTGCCTTTGGGAATCTCATCGTGGAGGTTCTTGCAAGCCTTCTCGGTAGACATCCAAGAGATGCCCACACGAGACGTGACTTGTGTAACGTTTCTAAATGTAAACAGACTACCGACCCGAATGGCACGGTCAGTTGAACTTGCATATCCATTGGGCTGCGCGATACTGCCCGTTTTTTCGGTGGCAGAGTATGTGGTATTCTTGGTGGCTGGCGTGTCAAAATATCCACCTTGACAAAAAGGTCAGTTCAGAGCCTGTCACATACTCCCCCTCCAATACTTTATAGGGTCCTGCTCACAGAAGTAAATAGTCCAGTTAGGAGCCTCGTTCCATCCGTTGTTATAGGTACCATGCCCTTCATAATGGCCGTCGGAGAAGACTCGGATACTGCCACCTTCATAATGCTGGCTGAGGTTCATTCCCCTATAAGAGGGCAAAACATGCGAGACATCGACCAACACATGTGCTTCCGACTTGGCCGGGAAAGTGTACCGATAAATTCCAGCACGAGCAGCAGCAGAAAGCTCCACCTCCACACCCTGTGCGGTAGTGGCGTTGTAGTAACCGACAGAGCCGTGATCGGTGCCAGACCGACCAATGGTCAGGTTGGACAGGGGCTGGCTCACGTTTCCAAGGAGTGGCAGTTGCGAGACGGTGCCGTATTTGGGGGCACCACCGGTACCCTGCTCGTGCATCAAGCTGAAGCCCGAGAAGTTCCCGTTGACTAGAAAGCCCGAGTAGGAATCGGTGCCGTCAACCCATAGATCTGGGCCATTCTTGACCATCCCCCAGGGACGGGAGGCACCAGGGAAGTCATTGCCCGTGGTGGAGGCGCCCCAACTGTGGCTGTTCAGCCATCGATATCCTCACCAACACGACTCGGATGGATACCCACAAGACATTTACATGGGACGTATAGTCCACGTTGGAAGCAGACACAGCGACAGCCTGGAGAAGCGGCACTGCGAGCAAGGCATTACGGGACACCATGGCGAATGCACAGTACCACGGCGGTACTCTTGAGCTGTGAGACGAGCAGTGGACCCCGGGGGCACACAACAGGAAAAGAATGGAAAGAAGCGCAGAACCGCCTTGTTTGTTTCAGTGAGAAAAAAGAGAAATGCCCTCTTCTGAAGGGTTTCGAAGACCGAGTTGATCGACCGGCAGAAGAACAGTCGTATTTGACAACCACAGCCCAGGTCAGATGGGACTGGTAATGGCTCACGGAAGGCAGCCGGCTTTGTGCCTGATCTTTATAGACTGGAATATCATACCATGGACCTCATCATCATCATCGTCGTCGTCATGATCCCCCAGGATTTCCTCCAAGACCAAGTTCTCCGTGGAAGGAGTCTATGCTCTACCAGGATTCGGAGATGAGCAGGATCGACTGCAGGATTATGAGGATGTGCACCTGCTCAGATTACTGGCAGGCAATGCACCCTTCTATCAGTACTCGTGGGGTCCTGGAGAGTTGCATATGAAGTAAGGATCGGCATCCCAGAGTGGGAAGGGGGGGGGTGTCAGGAGAGGGTATCGGATAGTTGCAGTTGCAACCCTTGTTTACAAGCTACAGAAGGAACCCAGATTCTCTGTGTATCTAGGTAGGTAGGAATCATCCCTGCCAGCACTTCTCTACGGAAAATACAGCAAACACCTTATGAGGTCTGTACTACATTCCGCAATCGCCCTGGCGACAAGAACAATCCAGACCATCCTATTCTTCAGGAAGTCTCTTCGAGCTAACTATGGCTACGGACTGATAGAAAACATTCCTTGATTTTTTTACCTACTAAAGCCTTCTTCAACTATATTTACGCGGTTCCTGACCCAGTCCGATATTGCACCCCTCAAACCATGGTCCTTGCTGGAGTCCTTATCTGATCAATAGTAATATGGGCAGCATGCCAGTCTCCTGCCTGGATTCCTTGGCTCCTTCCTTTCCTTCTGTTCCGCCGGAGATCCATCATGGATATGCAAATGCCAATGGAAAGTAGATGAGCAAGAGGTGAACGGCCATGCGCTGCTTATTGGCCATCCATCGAGTGATCGACACTGGATAGATGTGGCCTTGGCAGAACGTGGCTCGGGAGGGGACCGGATTGGAGGAAGGCCAGAATTATAGTAAGCATGGATTTCATCCCAGGGATTCATAATTAATATATTCCGTATACTCCGTAGAAGGCTAGGTAGCTTACAACAGGTATCTGGGTGGAGTAGATGAGGGCTTTGATATGTTGGGTGTAGACATAGTGACTTGAGAGGACAACAGACGTCGATAATATTAGATTCACCGGCAATAATATGTATTAATCAAAGCGATCCATCAGAGCGTATCTACTATCTCCGTCGTCGGCTCAATATATCGCCCAAGGGTTTTCCTCGCCTGTGTGCGCTGCTCAAACGCATACGCCATCCCGATCAGCATCTCCTCGCTCCATTTGCGGCCTAGAAAGCTGATTCCGAAGGGAACCCCCGGTGCGGCCTCGACCATCCCTTCCGTCACGACGACGGGCGTCCCATCCGGCATCGCCCCGAGCGGCACCGTGATGGCCGGCGTGCCGGCCAGAGCGGGCATATCTGGTGCAAACGCCGTGGGCAGGATCACGGCGTCGAGGTTGTCGCGGTCCAGCGCGCCGGGGACGCCGCCTTCGATGCCCATGGCGAGCATTTCCTGGTACAGTGGCCACCACTGGGGGGAGGTGTTGTTGAAGCCCTGCGCCAGGGCAGCGTCCCATAGGGCGGTGTTGCGCAGCGGGTACTCTTCTGCGGGGAACTGGCGGGTGAAATCGCGGACGTCGGCGAGGGAGTACAGCTCGTTCGGGTTGGTTTTCAGTTGGGACAGGTACGTGGCCAGGTCGGTGATGAAGTCGGCGGAAATCACGGCCTCTGGTACGCTACTGGTTACATACTCAGTGTACGCAGTGAAGTTGGCACTATCGATGATGGTTGCTCCTGCGGCAGCGATCTCAATGACGGCCTGCTCAAAGGCGGCAATGGCGGGGGTGTACTGACTTGAAGAAGACCAGTAGTCGAGTACGTTGTGTGGGATGCCAATCCGCTTGCCCTGCAGACCGGATGCATTCTTGCAGGCGGCGACGTAGTCTGGGAACCCATCGGCGAATGGAGAAGCGAGCGTGTAATTGTCGCGCAAGTCCTGGGCTGCAATGACCTGCAGCAAGCTGGCGGCGTCGCGCACCGTCCGGGCCATCGGTCCGATGGTGTCCAGGTGTTCGCTGACTGGGATTACCATGTACCGCGAGGTTAGGCCCACGGTCGGTTTGATCGCCACCACGTTGTTGACGGAGCCGGGTAGAAGGAGACTTCCACTTGTCTGTTGAATAGTTAGCGAATCGAGTATATGGCTGGATAGAGTAGAGGGCGTTTACCTCGGTCCCTAACGTGGCAAATGCAAGGCCCAAGTCGCTCGACACTGCGCTACCACTGGAGCTGCCATTGGGATCTTGATCTGGGTAGTATGCAGCGTAGGTCTGCCCCCCCTCGGCATTCCATCCATTGGTGGAGTTGCTCGATCGAGAGTTGGCCCATTCAGACAAGCTGGTCTTTCCTAGGATTATGAGGCCCTGTTCTCGAAGTAGAGCTGCTACCGTCGCATCTTCAGAGACCTGGGCATTGTTTAGAGCATACGAACCCGCTAGTAGTGAGATAGTACGGTCAGTAGAAGGAGCGCAGACGTACTTCATTACATTGAAAAGCTCTACTCACCAGCAGTGCGCATCTTGTCGTCAGTACCGATTGTTTGTTTGATCATCACTGGAAGACCATGGAGCGGCCTGTTATAAATAATCATGTTTAGCATCAGTAGAACTGTTTACACGAACAAGGAGCATAACGAACCCGCGCAATTTCCCATTACCTCTCTCCAAATCAAGACTCTTCGCTACCTCGAGCGCATCCGGATTGATATCCAGAACCATATGAAGAGTAGAATTGACTTCGTGGATTCTGGCCGTATATGCCTGTTCCAAGTCAGCTTTGTGACAAGTCCTGACCACGATGAAGAAAGAGATCCACACATTTACCAAGTCGACACTAGTGAAGCAGCCATCCTCCAGACCTTTTTGCAGTTCCTCGCCAGTCGCCTCGATCAACGAAGGATATGAGCAATCGCTGCAGCACGCGGCAAGACCCGTGAAGAAGAGTAGTAGACACGACGGTAACACCGGCTGTAGTAGCATTTTGCCCCTTTACATGCATGGAGAAGAACAAGAACTCGCAAGAAGTTGACGAGCTGGTGCAACTATAACTTATAAACCACCCTGATGCCTTGAATAAAGCCTAGTCAGCTATTGACAGTCGTTGTCACTATTTTTATTTATTTTTTTTAAAAAAGTAGATGTTACATGCAAACCCACATGGTCCACCTTCCCATCATATAACTTATCGTATCGTCGAGAGTCGGCTTATTGACTGCCCTTATTGAGATTATTGAGCTTATTGAGCTTATTGAGTGATGCAATCCGGTTCCAGAAGGCGAATAGAAAGCAAGACTGTCTCAATCCATCGTTTGCTTGAAGACTGGCCTCGACCGGGCCGGCAGATAAGCCCCTGGAATGTTGAAGCCGCATTATTTTCGACATATGCTCTTCTTGGAGATGGAATATGAAGCAATAAACGGCCATCAGATGGAATGAAGAGTAATGAAGTTGAAGTGTTGTTGACTGTTGATAGCCTCAGAATCTGTATCTACATCCCAAAGCGGTTTAGCGTAATCTACGCAGAGGCGGGCCAAAAGTGCTTCAAGTATGGAAATTAAAACGTCACGACGAAGTTTCGGATTGCCTCAGGCTGAACGCGAGTGAGTTTATCTGTTGAAAAAGCCCTGCGATTGTCATACTGTCGATTATTGCTCGCGATGGACAGCCTGGAGCATTCTTGTGCCTCCCTGCGGGCCCAGATCGCAGCCACGGAAAAACAGTTGGCGGGGTTGAAACGCGAGCTGGAGATCGCTGAAAAGGCTGCTGCCGCGACGAAGACAGGGCATGAGAAAGAAAGCTCGGGGAGGAAGTGGCCTTTACTCGAGGAGGAGTACAAGCGGTATGGCCGACAGATGATCGTACCACAGCTGGGACTGCCAGGCGAGTTTGCTCTTTTTTTCCCCTTGGTCTTTTACTATGTGGTTATAAATATACCCATGGCCATAGAACAGCGACTGACCAGCTTTTGCATACATCCAGGCCAATTGAGACTTCGATCATCCAAGGTTCTACTCGTGGGGGCTGGCGGCCTGGGGTGCCCAGCTGCATTGTACTTGGCTGGTGCTGGCGTGGGGACAATCGGCCTTGTGGATGGGGATACTGTCGAATCGTCGAATCTCCATCGCCAGGTTCTGCACCGGAGTCAAAACGTTGGCAAGCTCAAGGTCGATAGTGCGATTGAGTATTTACAAGAGTGAGTTTCTGAGAGGATGTTCATAAGGTGGATGTGCTACAGTTCTGCTCTCCTCGATACTGACGGGTTCCATCCTGGGTAGATTGAACCCACATTTAACGTATATCGCCCATCGATCCCATCTGACGCCTGAAGATGCTCCGACGATATTCAAAGATTACGACCTGATCCTCGACTGCACGGACAACCCTGCCACCCGTTACCTGATCTCAGACACAGCCGTCTTGCTGGGGAAGCCGTTGGTGTCTGCTTCCGCACTGCGTACTGAAGGCCAGCTCATGGTGTTGAATAATCCGCCCCGAGCTCCAGGCGACAAAACTGGTGGGCCTTGCTATCGCTGCGTTTTTCCAAAGCCTCCACCGGCGGATAGTGTCGTCAGTTGTGCAGACGGAGGCATCCTGGGACCAGTGGTGGGGACAATGGGCGTTCTGCAGGCACTGGAGGCGATCAAAGTTCTCTCGGTCCCGCCGGTAGATAATCATGACGAAGCAGGCAACCTTCCTGGCAGTTCGTCCTCCCCCTCTCTTCTCATTTTCTCAGCCTACTCTTCACCTCCGTTTCGAAGCATTCGTCTGCGCTCTCGCCGAGCCAACTGTGCAGTGTGCTCAGCAGAAGCCACCGTGACGCTGGATACCATCATGGGCGGATCAACGGACTATGTGTTCTTCTGTGGGTCGACGACCCCCCAGGCCCTGCTCGCTCCTGACGAGCGGGTTTCACCACTTGAGTACCGACAACGACATCCGACCGTCGATTCTCCCGAAACGATAGAGAAGAAGTCTCATATCATGATCGATGTCCGGGAAAAGGTACAGTTCGACATCTGCAACCTGGAGAGTAGCATCAATGTTCCCATCTCAACTATTCTCTCCACATCCCGATCAAATGCCGCCATCTCCTCTGAGGACCACCCGCCGTTACCTTACTGGGTTCCGGATGATGTCAAGTCTGCAGACCCCAATAGCCCGATATACGTCGTTTGTCGACTGGGGAATGATTCGCAGATTGTAGTGAGGAAGCTGAAGGAGTTGGGACTCGATCGAGACGGAGAGAGGTATATAGGAGACATCCGCGGCGGATTCCATGCCTGGCGACAACAAATCGACCCTGAATGGCCGGAATACTGACTGTATGCTGAAGTGTACAAAGGGATTTATTTATTAAAGCGGGGTATTTCTAGGGTATCACGAACACTATAAACAAGAGATAGACGGGCTAAGAAAACCGCCATCAAGACACCGTGACCGGCGGTGTCTCCAGCCATGACCATTCGACAGTCACCCGGCCTAGGTCCACGTTCGCCAACTTCTTAAATACCGACTCGGAGACATCCAGACTGGTTTCCGAGCATCCGACACCTGGTTCATCATAATCGGATTAGTATTGGTTTAAAACACTTCAGTACTCTAAGACATAGAGGGTCACGCACATCGATCAACAATCTTGACATCCACGGTCTTTGAATCCCGCTCAATACGTAATTTCAAGCCACAGAGTGGATTATCGTTCGGATCTGACCCCGAGTACGCCGCGTCAAACAGGACGTGTGACACCGCAACGATCATCTCGGAACTTGTGCTGGTGATCCCGCACGCGCCGAGCCCCGGATCGTAATATGTCAAGTCGCCTGTATACGGTCCGCCGTATGAGGAAGAAAGAGAGCTTGAATGATGCCTGATTGACGGGTGTCATTTAGCGTGGTTCATATTAACCATGAAAGACGTAATTTAATAAAAAAAAGAAAGGAATCAAGAGCTACCTCTTGCCCACAGTTAATCCAACGGCGAGACCGATTATGAGCGCGAGAAGTACGACGACTCCAATAATGATGCCGGCGATGATAAATGTCCGTCTCTGCCTTGGGTTTGCATGGTTCGTCCAGGAACCCCATTTGCGCTCAAACCAGTTGCCCGATGCTAGCGCAGTGCTGGCTGAGACCTCTGCGGCCGGGAGAGCGGCGGCTGTCGACGACTGTGTAGGAACTGGTTTCCGCTTAGGAACCAGTGCTGGAGGGAGATGGGTTTGTGTGTTGTCTTCAAGATCCTTGAGGGTGGGCAACTCTTTGTCGACATCGACATCACCAGACGTGTGAGGAGGGGTTGGAGGGAGATCCTTTTCTTCCGGTACAACCATCATTCTGGCCCAAACTTATGGAGAATAATGGTAGAAGGATGGATTGGGTTCCAGTTCTCTCTTCGCTTGGCTATTGCGAAGGACTGTATTTTGCCGCGTGGGGTAGGAGCCATTGACGGTTTTGTCGGAAGAATCGAGAGCGCTAGTCTGAATGAGGTGCAATGATTGCATCAGTGTCATGGAATCCATGTTTGAGATAAATAGACCCTTGATTCTCAGGGATCTGGGGAGCGTCGGGTGGGTTGGGCGGTTCGTTCAGGGGTCGTCGATAGCTGTGGACGAATCAGTTTAGGGAGACCCAAGCGGATGCAACAGCGGCCTTTGTTTACCAGGTTCCTTTCTCTTAATCAACTTCAAAGATAGCAGTAACTCTCTAGCATTAGCTATACCTATCAGGTATACTACAGAGAGTACAGGTAGAGATTCTGCGGTGGTTAATTTCTAGCTGCCACGTGAATATGGCCTGTCACAGACTATTTAGTACTAGGTAGCCAGGTCACGACCCCTGCTACAGAAATATAGCTACTTGCATTTCAACTGATCAACACTCTACCTTCAACTGTCCAGCTCTATTCTGAGATGCCCTCAAGCGATACAGGTTGAAATAGGATAGTGGCCACTGGTCAGTCTCTTCAATTCTAACTGATAACTAGTCTCCAAAGCTAAAGTTGACTCATTTGCCGATCCAGACCAAACGGACACCAACATCCTCCTATTCGCGCAACCATTCCGAGCCACGATGATTACTATAACCAACCCTGCTGCCAAATTTCTGGCACACAAGGAACGAGATCCTGTACACTCAAATCTGCCTGTGTACCGTCAAGAAGCCGTTGAGAATCTTCAACAGCTTTGTGGGAGGGAGACTGAGTCGGAGTGTGTCCGGGGAAAGTCAGGTGATTTGACCCACTCACATCAACACGCTTACGTACTCCGTACTGTGGCACTTGATAAGAGAGAGGTAACTAACTGACTAATTATAAATTAGTAGTTTGCATACGGAGTAGTTGAAGATCGACAAGCATCTTCTTACATCACTCATCCCCCGCCTTTTATTCAGCGGAGGTGCTGTCCTCTGGAGGCTGGAAGTGACCTGGATGTGCGAGACATACTATATTGCTGATCCAGTCTGGGCCTGCAGCGCTTTGTGCAACATTCCTCGCCACGTGCCGAGGGACTGCACGCGATACCCGGAAGCAAACTCCTAGCCGAATCCACAGCAAGAACAACGGGGATCCAGCTGCTGTCTGTTTACCAATGGAGACGAGGGGCAGCTCCAGCGACTCGGTCGCCTCGTCGGGTACATCGCTATCAGAAGAGGATGTGAAAGAGGAGCAGACACGGAAGGGAGGCGCCTTGAGTGGTCTGAAGAGCGGGTGGAAGAAGTTGGGGCTGGATATCCCAACGGTGCTATTGATGATGAAGTACGTTCGGGACACCCACGAAATCTCGGCTTATGATGGTGGATGTGAACAGAGGCTAATTCGAATCAACAGAGGCGGTCTTGCGCCGACAATCGCGGTCTCCATGTATGATGTCTCTTGCATCAATAACGTTCGTCAACAGGCGACTGACTTCTTTCTTTCCCCCTTCTTCTAGATACCAAACGGAAGCAATTTCCTCGGAGTATACCACTGTCGGGTATCTAGTAGCCATCATTTCGATTCTAGGATTTGCCATCATGCCTCGAGCCAAATTCATCCAGATGTTGGTTCTCGACATTCTCTTTGTCTGTCTGGCGGCCGCAGTCGCTCTCCTGATGATTTATTCCAGTGTCAAAGCAAGAGACCATACTTCTTCCAATAGCAGCTCGGTCTATAATTCGTCCGCCTCAGCTGTCTGCGGAGTATGGCTCTTCTTTCAGATCTATGTGGTCCACTCCTACAGGGCAAAGTACCCCCAATTCCAGTTCCCAGTGGTGATGTATTCGATATTTGCCAGTGTCAGCACATCTTTTGGCACAGAGATTACCACAATGGCCGCCGGTGTCGTTTTCGTCACAAAAGTTCTCAAGGCCTTTCTTTTGGGACTGGCATTGTCGGCTGCTGTCTCGTTCATTGTCCTCCCTAACACGACACGGAAGGTCGTTTTCGGCCAGATGGCTGGCTACATTGGCGGACTCCGCGCCGCTCTCAAGACTCAGGCCGTGTATTTCGAATCACTGGAACAGAATGACATGTTCGGTCGGGCTGAGACTTATGATGAGACCGTGGAAAAGATTGGCAAGAAGGGGAAGGTGTGGAGCCCGGAGGCCGCCGCTGTCAGGGCTGCAGTGCGCAACATCACTGATCTTCACGGGAAGCTCCATGGCGATCTGACCTTCGCCAAACGGGAGGTTGCATATGGCAGACTGGGGCCTGATGACTTGCAAAATACTTTCCGCCACTTACGCCGAGTCATGATTCCCGTGCTTGGTCTTAGCTTCGTCGTTGACGTGTTCCAACGGCTATCGGATATTAATTTGTGGAACAGCCCGGCATATGAAGGACCGGTCCAACGCAGAACCGGCGAAATGAGGGAGCAGGCGGTGCATGAGTGGAATGCAATTATGCGATCTGTCCATGAGCCATTTGATGCGGTGATTAGATTGATTGATGAAGGTTTGCAACATATAAGCTATGCGATGACATTCGCCAAACCGCCCAAGAAGCCTGCTCCTGGCAATGGCTCATCCGCTGAAGCCGATAATCCCGATATCGAGGCATCTGCTGTCAGCACAGCCCCTGGTGATCCCGGGTTTGCTGCTTATTTTGAGGAGAAGTTAGAAGAATTCAAGGAGGCCAAACTGATAGCACTAAGAACGTGGTGTGAGGACAGGGGTTTCCGTATTCCGGCAGACTTCTTCGACCACCCATCATCTGTGTCTCCTGAATCTTTCACGTCTACCTCCTGGTTTAGTGATGGCAGCAGGAGCAGTCTCTTCTTGTTCCTTTACGTACGTAGGAGCATGTTCAAACCCTGACAGAAATAACGCTAACCTGCATTTCCAGATGGAGCAATTGCTGTACTCCACCGGCCAAGTCGTGCTTGATTTTGTTCGGTTCGCTGACGACCGGGCTGCGAGCGGTAAACTGTCAAAGAAGCACCTGATCATTCCTGGTTCAAAGCGCCTGAAGAAATGGGTCCGAAGCACATTCTTGGTGGAGGATTCCCACGAAGATGACAACATCGGCGACGTACATACGCAGAGCAATATCCTTCAGCTCGGTGAGGCGTATCGGCACCGGAAAGACCCTGAGCATCTTCCTCCGGTGACTAGATTTCAACGCATAGGAGACAAGATCCGATTCATCCCGGCTTTCCTCCGTTCGCCAGAATCAGCATACGGCTTTCGGGTGGCCTGTGCGACGATGACCATTGCTATTGTCGCTCTTCTTCATGATACCCAAGCTTTCTTCATCAAACAACGGCTGCTTTGGGCGATGATCATGGTGGTTCTGAGCATGTCGCCCACATCCGGACAGAGTCTTTTCAGTTTTGTTCTTAGGGTTCTTGGGACCACGATTGCCATGGTATGTAGTCTCCTTGTCTGGTATATACCGGATGAGAAGACACCAGGCGTGATTATCTTTCTGTTCATATTCGTATCCATCGGTTTCTACATTCCCATCAAGATGTTTCGATTCCGTGTCATCGGGATGATAAGTATCGTCACCACGACCATGATCATCGGATATGAGCTTCAGGTTCGCAAGATTGGGGAACAAGTTGCCACGTCGAACGGGCAGCCGTATTATCCGATCTACCTTCTTGCACCTTACCGTCTGGCTGCTGTTACTGGCGGTGTTGCGGTTGGCTTTATCTGGACCTTCTTCCCTTATCCGATCTCTGAACACTCGGTGTTGCGGCAAAGCCTCGGGGCATCTCTTTATCTTCTAGCGAATTACTACTCAATTATCCACGAGACGGTCGCCGCGCGTATGCGTGGTGATGAAGGAGATATGACGTTGAAAAGCTCCGCAGGGCGAAAGCTCGAGAAAGCCCGGAACAAGGTCTTTTCCAAACAGATGCTGATGTTGAATGGCCTGCGAACGTACTCGGGATTCCTCAAATGGGAGGTCCCCATCGGTGGTCGGTTTCCGAAGAAGCAATATGACTCGATCATTCTCAGTGTTGAAAAGCAAGTATTACCCGTCATTGCATCCGCTTATTACCCCCCATTCTAACGGGACGTTGGATTCAGTATCGCCAACTACCTGAGTTTGGTCGGCTACGCTTCCGACACCCTCATGCGCCTTGGAAACGACGACGAGAACTCAAACTCGGCCTGGGTCAACGACTTCAAAAAGTTGATTGCCCACGCCAATGTGACGTCCCATCAGATCACCTCGTTGCTTTGTCTTCTGTCCGCGAGCATTACAAATAGACAACCGCTACCGCCGTATCTGAAAACACCGAAGCCGTACGCCTTCACAAAACGCCTCCAAGAACTCGACAAAGATATATTGAACCTCAGCCATATCGCTGAGCCCGGTTTCGCTGCCTTTGCGGTCCTGCAGATTTCGACGCGGTGCATCGTCGGAGATATGGAGCGATTGCTGCGGTACTTGATCCCTCTGAAATTCCCTACCAATCTTTAGAGAAACTGACTGACGCTTCCATTTTATTATACAGAGATGTGAAAACACTAGTTGGCGAACTCGACTTCTCCTTCCATGCCGTGAGCACAGCGGATGCTTATAGTTCAAGAAACACGAGTGTGAGCGGAGCTGGGCCTCTTCACCCTTCAGAGCGAGATAAATTGGATTAAATCCACGTTTTACACCCATGACAAGCACTTCATGACCAGTCATTTTTGGCTTCAGCATTTCTTGTTCTTTTATACCCCCATATTGTTTATGGATCCCTCAGTACCTAGGTAGCACTGCATCTTCTCTCCATATGCAAAAACAGTCATCCAACCCCGGCAATCCTTCATGCGGGGTACCAGCATGAGGGGGGATGATCCTCCTATCTGCATACCGGAGGAAGTCCGGAGATAGATGGACCAGAGCCAAATGTTAGGATCGAGTTCTCTGTTTATGGGTTGTTTATTCTATTCACGTTCAACAAATAGTATAAAACGAGGGTTTCTTTGGCTTTTTTTTTTTGGCTTCTGCTCTTCCATCCATCCTGCGATTGATAAAGACCATTGAGATTAAATGAACCAAACTACCCCGCCGACAGCAGCCAGTATGCCTGAAGGTCATCTCAACGCCCTGCTCACTGCAGTGGAATCTAAAACCGTCATTATCACCGGCGGCGCGAACGGGATCGGCGCAGCAACCGCCAAGCTCTTTCACGCTCACGGCGCGAACGTGGTGGCTGCAGATCTCGAATCAAGCAGAGGCGCAGCAGAAGCGCTGATAGAATCACTGGGGCAGCCTTCTAGAGCTAGCTTTCTACCTGCGAGCGTGGTGGACTGGGCGCAGATGACAGCCGTTTTCAAGGAGACACTCCGTCAGTTTGGTCGGATCGATATCGTGGTCGCCAACGCAGGGATCATGGAGACACAGCCCGTCCTGGACATGGAGGATCTTAACGCGGACGGCGAGCTCAGGGAGTCGCTTGAGGCGTCCCGGGTGATCGACGTGAACCTTAAGGGGACATTGAACAGTGCAGTCCCCGTCTAAGTTTATCGTATCTAGCTAACAACTGACTTGCTACTTTATAGCCCTGAGGCTCGCCATGTTCTACATGAAGGAATCTCCGCCAGATAGCCCTCGCTCGATTGTTCTCTTGGCCTCGACGTCGGGGTACTTTGGTGGAACGGGCGTCAGCGCCTACATCGCTTCCAAGCATGGGGTGGTCGGGCTGCTGCGAGCGTCCCAGTCAGCGGCAAAAAGATATGGAATCCGAGTCAACGGGGTTGCTCCCTTCTTTACCCCAACGCATATCACTGCTGGGTTTGCAGAAAGTTGGAAGGCCGCGGGGCTGGAGGCCAACACGGTCGATGGTGTTGCGCGGGTTATTGCCCGGGCGGCGATGGATCCCACCAACGAAGGTGTTTGTTTGCTGGTAAGATGTATCAGCAGAAAATTTCCAAAGTAATTGCTTCTAATGGATTTCTTTGCGAATAGACTGCGGGAAAACATGTTCGAGACCTGGAGTCCACACGGATGCAACTCCTACCATCATGGCTGGGCAGCGATACAGCCGAGTTCATGGGGAGAGCGATGAGATTTTTTACTGAAATTGGAGGCTACGTTTTGCCAAAGGCACGGACTGGGTGACAAGATATCATTTCTTTGATGGGATAAGTAGGATAGGTCAAGGTATGTACTCTTGGTGAGAACTTCCCTGGCTGGTTTCTAATTGCTCTACCAGCGGCAGCAGGGGAAGAACTATACAGCTTGCGATAAAGTCCAATGCAAAGAATGAGCACTGTTGAATAGAGAAAAAAAACCATAATTGAGATTTCATTTCCAGCTAAGCCATGTGTAGATGGCGCCAGTATACATCCCTTGATTGAAATCTACATTCCACAGCGATGACAAAGATCAACCAAAATAACATTCCTGCCATTGCCAATGAGACCAGCCTGGAGGAAAATCTGTTTATCGATTTATTCCAATACACATCACGGATGCAGCCGACCAAAGACCCTGTTCTGAACGAACCTACAGGGCCGGTTGTCAAGCCCTCCTGTCTCAATGGGGGCCTCCAGCTTCAATGTCATCTCTGTCAAACACACGACATCTACTCAAGTTGACGAAGCAGAGAGTGTCAGAAGCAGCAGGAGCTTGGTCGAAGAAGTAGAGTTTGACCATGCGCATTATGGCGACGAGTTCGAACTGCTGGAGCGCGACAGCTTGACCACCAGTCACCAGTGGACGCTGAATCTCAAAGACTGGCTGATTTTATCTTGTATTGCGCTTCTCATGCTGATGGATGGATTCAACGCGACGGTGCTGATACCGATACTTCCGGTGAGCGTGGAATGACGAGGAAACCTATCATAAACAGTGTGGACAGTTTTGACTGACTGCAGATGCTTGCTCTCTCAAGGATCTCTCGAATTCGCTTGACACGCCGTTCAGCGGCGTTCTGTGGTGTCAAACCGCATATCTGCTTGTCAATGCCGTGAGCCACTGCTTCTTCACCATGCTGTTAGAAATCTTCGGCCACGGGTCGCTGCTCTTCAGCGCTCTGATCCTCTCCACCGTCGGCACGGGCATCGGCTGTCGCGCAGGAAGCCTCTCTCAATTGATCGCAGGGCGCATCCTGCAAGGAATCGCTGGCGGCGGGATGACCAGCGTCTCGCTCCTTTTGATCTCGGACGTGATCCCACCCTGCAAACGGCCGGTGACCATTTCCTACCTCTTCATCGCGCGAGTAATAGGGGCCATCTTCGGCCCGGTGGCCGGGGGGATCTTCGTGGACCGGGCCAGCTGGAGCTGGGCCTTCTACATCAACTTCATCCTGTGCGCTTTGGGAATCGTCCTCGTACCCTTCACCATCACATTCCAGATGAACCGGACAATCGATCTACGTCGGATCCGAACCATGGACTGGTCTGGCGCGACGCTGATCTTTCTGAGCGTCGGGACCTTGCTGATCGGTATCTCGTGGGGAGGAACCCTCTACCCGTGGCATAACTGGCGCACATTGCTCCCCATTGCCGCCGGGGGCGCTGGCATCCTTGCTCTCATTTTCTATGAGCGCGTATGGGCGGTGGATCCGCATTTCAAACTGACCGTGCTTCAAAGCAGCCGGTCTTCGATCGCAGCGTATATCGGTTGTTTCCTGCAGGGGATTTTGGTATGTTCTCCTCGTCGCTAGCACTATATAAACCTGGGGTATTCTTTCTTACTGATAAATCATTCTCAACAGATCTTCACCAAGCTGCAGTATCTGGCCCTGTATCTCCTGTCCGTTGGATACATGACCCCGACTTTCGCCGGGCTGAGCCTCCTAGCCATCACGGCGGTGATCTTCCCCACGGCCGCGATGGAGGGCACGCTGACGGCCAAGTCGCGGCGGTTCCACTGGTCGCTGTGGGCCGGGTGGATGATGACCATCCTCTCGACGGGCTGCTTTATCCTGTTGTCGGCCAGCATCCCGACGGGCGGGTGGGTGATCATGTTCATTGTGGCGGGGATGGGCCACGGCCTGTTGATCTCCGGATACAACATCTGCCTGCACGCGTGGACGAACGAGGAGGAATCCCACCACGCAATGAAGATGTATTCTCTCCTCCGCACACTGGGCATGTGCGTCGCTGTCCCTGTTGCGGGCTGCATCCTTCTCAACCAGGTTGTCCACCACATCACCCAGCTCGGCCTGCAGGCAGGTGTCGTCAACACTGCCAATGGCTACATCATCCTGCTGAGCGAGGTAGAGCTCTCCAAGGCGGAGCGTGCAGCTCTAGATGCCGCGTATACCGCTAGCTTCCGATTTCTCTGGCAGGTCATGTCTGGCGTGGCGGCCTTGGGTGGCCTGTCGTCTTTTTTCATCGAGGCTCCACGGTGATAGTCATCTCTTCTGTTTCTCCTTTCTTCTCTTTCACTGTTCTTTTTGAAGAAAAAACGGTACTGTAAACTATAGGAAATAATAGTAATAATAGCAAGGGTTCTAATTCTGACCTAAGTTGTAATCATTCATAGCTATAATCTTGATATCTATCTACAGTACTTCTATATCTATGACTCTATGTCTATATCTGAGTCTATCCATAAATTCGAAATGCAATCATTAAATCATAGACTCCATCACCAGACGATCCCGAATAAAGAACTCAATCTCTGCCTTGTCACAAGCCTCCCGTAGAGAGCCCGTCATGGTTATCACCTGCGACCGGATCCGGTATCCCTCGGGGACAGCATCGCTGGAATCACCTGCATCCTCTGGGTCCTGATGGAAGAAGCCCTCGACCTCGATCCGATTCAAGTTCGCCATTTTGGTTTTCCGATGCCGGACTAGAGTCTCCAACTGCGAGATCAGCATGGGTAGGCTCCGCTCGTCACAGCCCTCGATGAAGATACGTTCCAGAGACCCCGGAAGAACATCTATTAGAGGCATGGTCGGCTCGCTGCGGTATCTAATGTCAATCAAGTTGGGCAGCCGCACGCGCAGCTCCGTCAGCGCAGTAAATCCTTCCAAGGAGCCGAGCCATTCGTCGTGAGTGTGGTTGAGGCCCGCCATGGTGAAGGGGAGGTGGGTGCCGAAACTGTCTAGCCAGAGCGTTTCGAGCGATCCCTTGCTTGTCGACAGAGCTTCGGAGAATGCAGAGGGGCAGTATGCTCTGGATTCGAGATGCGAGTCTGAGTGCTGGTATTTGAACGAGGCGAGGTTGCTGCAGCGGGCAATGAACGAAGCCATGCCCCGGATGCTATTGCTGCAGGTGAGGTCAATTTCTGATATAGTGGATCTGCTAGTTGGCATTGTCGGATTTTCGGGTTCTGTCGGTGTCTCGATTACCGAATCGGCTGAGATGGTACGCATGGAGGGGAAATGGAAAAAGGGGAGGAGCTGCGAGGAGCAGAAGACAGGCTGTGAGGAGTCGGTGTTACTGCTGTCGTCGTCGTGATGGAGAATTTTCAATGAGACGGCTTCCAAGAACCGCAGGACAGGCTTCTCAGCGTGGAACGGTTTCACGCCTTCCATAGCTCGCCGGAAGGTCCGATCCAGATACAGACTCTGCTTTGGATAGACGAGATCAACTCGTCGCAGATTGCACAGCAATGACAGCGGCAGAGCCATCCAGGCTTCGTCGTTGCCGGTCTTGAGATCATTTTCCCATTTCTCCTGCTCCTCTTCTGAGTGACTTGCACCTACAAGCAGCTGTCGGAACCGATCACAGCTAGGAATCCCCTCTTCTGCAGGAGTGGGCTTCCAGCAACGAAAGTCCAGGGCGCGAACCGACCGAGCCAGCTCAGGTCTTCGCAGAATGGCGCTGGTAAAGGCATACACCCCCCTTCTATTCTTCAACGTGGCATGTCGATATAACAGGGGCAGGAACAAGTCATGGAACTGCCGAGACGCAAAGATAAGATTCAATCGGTCTGGTTGATCCTCGATCCAATCTCCTATCGACAGGAGGACGTCACTGGAAAGGGGACAAGACATGCTGCAAACGCGCATGCAGGAGGTTAGAATACGCCAGATAGTGTAGCCATGCAAGAAAAGATGGAGGAAGAGGGGTGAATATATGAAAAAGTCTCAACTTTTTCGTACCTCAAGCAGAGAGAGGGTTCCTGTTCCCGCATGGAGTGGAGATATCGAAGTCGAGTGGGCCAGCTCTGAATTTTTTTTAGCAGATCAACCCACAGCAGGGGACAAATAATGGAGGCACACGAGGCGACTCGCTCCACCCTGAGAAAGCTGTGACAGTTTCCATGGCTTCGAGAAAATCGGGTGGATCGTGTTAACTTTTAAGCCTGGTGGGTCGGAGGGGGGTTTCTTGAGGAGATTCTACAGAAATTAAGACCCCTCGGCTACTAAGATTGCCATGACAATATTGAGTAAGGCATAATAAAGTCATTTAATTCGTGATAAAAAGTCATTCAATAACAAAATGTAGCTATACTCGATCTTCTTCACCTGTATCCTTATGGTTGGGTTGTAGGCTCTTCTACTCTCCTCTACTTGACCTAAAATATATGTAGTGGAGCTGATCAATTCTAGAGAATGGTATAGACTATCTATATGCCCTTCATTAGCTATACTATGGCCTTCTACAGCTAATTATCATTTACTATTGTCTTATCCATTTGTCGTCATTAAGAACTGATTTAGGCTTAGTCTCTCATAACTGCCGTGGTTGCCTGTTGAATAATGAGTCTGTGTTGAAGACCAAAAGATGAGTCCACGACTCTTCCTCTTCTTTTCCCTCATCCCCCTCTCTCCATTGTTTCATTGAATACCTGATCACCGCGAATATGGTCCTGGAAGCCACCTCCTCGTCGCGCTCGCAACATTCGAATTCCGACCCCCCGCCTCCGTATGAAAAAAGTCGCTTCCAACCCTCATCCTCGCCGTCTCCTCAACTCACTCTATGAACTTCCTGGCGGCACCGAGACAACTACCAAAGCAACCTCTGATATTACACTCTCTGCCTCCCTCTCGAGCGATAGTGATGCCCTCATCTGTCTTCTTCGCCAGCAAATGAGACTTCCGCCCCGACCAATACTGAGCATCTGTGGATCACACACCATGACTACCTACCACGGCAAAGAAGATGAAAAGAGAACAGTGACTGTCCTTGATTTTGTTATTGACCTTGATCTCGCCGAGACAATGTTGACAGGATGGGAGGAGATGGCACCCTCAGAGGAAAAGGAGTGGGTGCAGGCTGACATTGTCCGGGATGGAGATGACCGGCTCTTGTTTCGTGGGGGGAATCGTCGATCACGAATGCATAAGCCTCTTCGTGGAGCTGCAGAGGAGACACATATGGATGGTTCCGATATCGATCCTGATCTGAGGCTGTGGTGCGAGCGGTTCTGTCGAGACCCCTCGTCTGTGAAATCGTATACTTCATGACCTTCATCATATGCCCTGCTCACTCTTTCTAACTATTTTCTAGGTTCACCTTTTATTGAACACTCAATGGCTTTAATGACGCCGCCCTTTCCTGTCGCCTGAAATCCCATATCCGCGCCCTCAACTATCAGGGTGCTATAGCTATATCTCTCTCCCTTGCTCATAACTCAGTGACTATCTACTCGCCGCACTGGATTAATAAGCTACGCAGAAATAGGTTTATTTGGTGGATGTGTGTGCTGTTGCAGCTGTGGATAATTACATGGCCAGTCATTTGGCTACTTGAGCGGCGTTACGAGGTGCTTAGAGTGCGTTGGAATTCCTCTCTTGCTGAAGAGCCAGAGGCAGGAGGGAAGCGCTGCTATGCACGAGGTGTCTCCGAATCTGCCCTCGCAGATTATTGGGCTCCAGCAGTCATGGAGTCTGCATGGGAAGAAGAGGGAGTTACCTTAGCAGCTGGATGGGGGGGTAATGGCTAGAAGCACCAACAAAAATCTATAATATTCAATGTAGGTAAGTCAAAGCTACCCACTCATAGAGCCTAGAAAGTGGGAGGGAGATACAGGATGCTTCCACTCGGAAAGAATGTAAAGATCAGGCCTAGGATTTAAACAATATCCCCCCTCTTATAGTCTTCGTCCCGAAGACTCCTATCCCAACCCTGCCGAGGAGTGCCCTGGGGGGCAGGGGGCGGGGCTGCGAATTGAACCTACTAGTTAGTAGACTGTCCACGAGGAGAAGGGGGGACCTCTTACCAGAAGACCAGGGGCTGTTGCCTAGCGCACGTTAGTGACAAGCCACTTTCAGTCAACGAAACGTAACCATAACTCGGCCTTTCTCATCCTCTGAGCCTCTGCAGTCTCGTCCTGTGTCCCGTCTCCCGGGGCGGGCGGGGGTGCGGAAGAAGGGGGAGCGATTTCATTTGGTTCTGGGGGGGATTTCCTTTGGTTCTTCCGATATTCCTGGTTCATTAGCACTACTATATAGACATACTAATGATGCTGAACATCATCAGCTTACCGATTGATGGCCCTATCTATGATTTTTCGAAAAATAAGAATTATATGGCATATTAGAAAAACAACTAGAGAAACTATCCCTGAGTGCCAGTCTAAGACAGAGCTGGCACCCAGGGCAGCTGGTACAGTCGGCATTGTCGCTGGTGGGTCGATGGACGTTGTGATTTGTGGTTCAGGGTAAGCAGGACCATCGTATTTTAGAAGTGTGGTCATTATCTATAATCATTAGTATAGTCATATATATTTGATATAGAGTACTATACGTACTATACCGGATCACCTACTGATGGTCGCGGGGTGCTTCCATTAGGTTCAAATTGCGTCACGAGGACACCATATGATTATGTCGTACTAATTGTCTTGACAATCTTTAGTGATCGTTCTTTGGCGGCTAGCTAATCTGTCTTGGCTCAGAATATCGAAGCTGGATATAGGCCTAGTAGATTGAATCCCATAAAATTCATGATATCGTCTTCATTATAGGGGGTGCGGGAGATGGAATAAAGAGCAAGGCACAGACAGAGAAGATGTGGATAGAAAGAAGAAATAGACTGTCGTAGAGGAGAGGGAAAGAGCGAGGAAAGATAGAAACGAGGTCCTGCCCGTAAGAAAAAGGTGCCTGCCTAGTTAGTACTTGCCTATTAGGTCAGTTCCTGCAGAATTATAGGCATCAAAGTATTACTACCTGTTTACATATACAGTGACTACCAGAATAAGGGCTTAGTCAGTATTTTACTACACTCAGATTATTCCAGAATCACCAGTGAATAGAAAAATAGAGAATAGAGCTAATTAGTTAAAGGCGTAAAGAATATATCCCTCCAAGGGGCGAAAGGTCTAGAACTGGAATGAGATTATTCAAAAGAGGGAGTCTAAAATCAGTTTTATATGTAGGACTAATAAGGATAGTATTATAGATGGTCTCATTATATTTACTATGAATCTTTATTATGGTAGCCCTTTCTTGTTCTATATATTCTTCCGTAGCATTATCCTAGCAAGATAATTAGACTCTTTGTGTTGCTATCCAAGACAAGTTTATAACCACTTCTTAACAATTTCACTCTCACCAACATCTAGAATATGATAGATAGGTAGAACAAGTCATCTAGAAACTGGCAGTCTCTTGAATTAGGCATTCGCTGATGTCATTTCCGCCCCTCGGGTTTTGTGAGCATCTCGGGTTTTATCCTCGGGTTTTACTATTGAAGGTATATAGGATAGACTATTGAACGATAGATATGATCATTCAAACCATATATTTCTCTCAATCCAATGTGAGTAGAAGGCACAACCTTAGTTGGCACGATAGCTGATGATTGCAGTTCATAGATCCAACACATCAGCACAATGACCTCGACCGAACATGTCGACGTCCTGATTATCGGCGGCGGGATCGTTGGTCTGAGTATGTCACTCTTCCTCTCCCATCATGGCATCCGCTCCCTTCTCGTTGAACGGCATTCCGGGACATCAATACATCCCCGGGCACGTAGCGTCAATGCACGGACAATGGAAATCTATCGCGGCATCGGAATCTCCCAGCTGGTCCGAAAGGCTGGGGAATCGCTGGCTCCTAGCTTTGGCATCTATTCCGGGTCTTCCCTGAAAACAGTCGTCGAGGCCAAGGCCCGGACTGAAGGAAAGAAAAGAACTTCACCGTTCCAGCGTGCGTTTGCAGATGTAGGGCCGGAGCCTGGCACCTTTGTGACGCAGGACATGCTTGAACCTGTCATCTTAAAAGCCGCCAAGGACAGAGGGGTGGATGTCAGATTTCGTACGGAGTGTCTCGGTGTGGAGCAAGACAAAGACCAAGTCACGGCAAGAATCAGGGATCGAGAAAGCGGCACCGCTGTCACTGTGACTGCGTCGTATTTGGTTGCAGCTGACGGAGTGCACTCTCCCATCCGCTCTCAGCTTGGCATCGCCACAACTGGTCGTGGCTCCATGGGCCATTTACTGAATATCCTCTTCCATGCCGACCTCAAGCCTCTTGTCGAAGACCGCGAATTCAGCATCTGCGTTATCGAACGCCCCGAAGTAACGGGTGCCTTCACAGCGATCAACAACAGCGACCGTTGGGTGTTTCATATGTGCTATGACCCTGCCAAAGGCGAAACACCAGAGGACTTTCCGCCAGAGAAATGCAAAGAGCTACTGAAGATCGCGTTGGGGATATCGGAAGTCACAATCGAGATCATCTCCATTCTACCCTGGGAGCCTTCTGTCCGTGTAGCGACTCATTTCCAGCAAGGCCGTATCTTCCTCGCTGGTGATGCCGCGCACCAGATGCCTCCCTACGGCGGACAAGGTGCCAACACCGGCATCTCGGACGCGCATAATCTGGCCTGGAAGCTTGCAGCCGTGCTCCACCGCCAGGCAGATCCGAGCTTGCTGGAGACGTACAACCTCGAACGGAGACCGGTGGGCAAGGCAGCGGCAGAAGCATCGGCCTCGCCTGCTGACGAACGAGGTTTGATATCTGTCCGACTGAGCTGGAAGACAGTCTCAGGCTTCGCGAAAATAGCACCATTAGCCAGTGGATTTGGATATCTCTACCCTCAAGCAAGTGCCGCAGTGGTGGAAGAGAACCGGTGGCCACTAGGGGGCTGGACCTGGAAAGCATGGAGTGTCCCTTCCCTCTGCTTCTCTTTGGACGGCCGGCCTGGCTCTCGTGCACCGCATGTATGGGTGGAAAAGGAAGGACAAAGGGTATCCCTCCTCGATCTGTTTGGGAAGGGATTCGTCTTGCTGGCTGGCAGTGAGGGCGTCGCTTGGCTTGAAGCAAGTCAGCAGGTGAGGGAGACATTGAAAGGACTGGAGCTTGCTAGTTACCGTGTAGGACCAACGGGCGACATTGTCGAGAAGGAGAGCAGGTGGGAGACTGCAGCTGGGATCTCACCGAATGGCGCTTTGTTGGTAAGGCCGGATGGGTTTGTTGCTTGGAGGCAGCGCAGGATGCCAGGCGATGTCTTCAATGCGTTGCTCAAGACTATGCAAGCGATACTGTGTCAGTTGAGTAGTAATTAAGTATTGTTGTCTTTTCATTGAACAAAAATATATCAACACTGATCTAAACCATCTTCAATCCTTGTGAACCAGAAAGACCCTGCCTGACCTTGGAAGTTTGTTGGCCAGTACAACTACTTTTCCTTTACCTCTTCTTTATCGCAATATTCGAGGTTCGGATATTATTAATGGGAATACGATCTATCGACTTGATTGTATCTCGCAATTACTGTTGACGGACAAGAAGCTGGCCACTCCACCACGGTCAAGTGTCAACAGGGTAAAGGAGTGAACTCTGCAATTATTATTCTTATTCCGGTATCTCTTTTGAGGGAGCTTTTTGTCTAATTAATAATTTCAAGAGATTCTTATTACGTGATGGTTGGTTTAGCTGCTTATAAATGATGTGAGACGATCTTCGATACAAATTGATTATAAATACCCCAGCATTGGGTATTTTGGATCGCTAGATCACCACGTCAAAGATCTTCTGCTCTAATTCTCTACTATTGACGATGGCGCTTAAGTATCTCATCACTGGAGCTACCGGGGGTCTCGGGTCTCGGGTCCTGGATTATCTCGTCGCAAATGTCCCTTCGTCTGAATACGCCGCCGCATCGTCGAGGGAATCGAGTCGTCAGCAGTTCGAAGACCGAGGGATTGCCTTTCGCTTGGTGGAATACGATGATCCAAAGTCACTAGACGCTGCCTTTGTCGGCGTGGAGAATCTGTTCTTCGTCAGCACGAATACATTCGACGTTGAGAAACGCACCAGGCAGCACCGGAACTTTATCGATGCTGCAAAGAAGGCTGGGGTTAAGCATGTCGGTGCAGTCTTGCATTCTCATTATACTGGAAACATCTTGATAGCTGATTGTTGGCTATGAATAGGTGTGGTATACCTCTCTGGCGTTTGGTGGATTCAAGTCCGATTCCACTGTTGACGTGCAGAAAGCCCACTTGGAGACGGAAAAGATGCTGAAGAGGTAAATAAATAGACCCTGAAATAAATAGAAGCTTCTGTCAGATAACTGATCGCTGCATCCTCGCTAGTTCTGGAGTGACTTTCACTTCCATCCGCGAAGGGATCTACACAGAAGCCTTTCCCTTGTTCCTTGGCTGGTATCCCAACACGCAGACCGTCTACATCCCCTCGGACGGCCCGGTGGCCTTTACTTCTCGCACTGAGTTAGGAGAGGCCAACGCTCGACTTATGATGCGGGGTGGGTTCGAGAACGAGATCGTTCTCTTGACAGCGCAGGAGGCCATTACCTTTGCCCAGATGGTCAACGTGATCAACAAAACCACCCAGAGAAACGTGAAACTTGAGGTCGTGTCCAGCAGTCAGTACGTCCAGTTGAATGCCGCCCGTGACGAGGGAGAGAAGCCCGCTGCGTTCTTTGAAACCCTGGTATCCTGGTATGACGGCATCACGAACGGAGACGCAAGCGCAACGCACCCTTTGATGGCTGAGATTCTGGGTCGAGATCCCAAGACGGCTACACAGGTAGTCAGGGATCTGTTGACGGAAAATCGCAATTACATTTGGCACCAGAATTATACCGACCCAGCCAAGTACGCAGCCATCAAATTGAATGCCTGAGGCATATATTTATGCCCCGGGAAAATATTTCTTCCTCAGGCAGTAAATAATTAGTGGCAACGGCAAGGCACGTGACACCCTTTTCCATCTTCCGGAATTCCTGGGCGACCGGCAAAACGCTTCCGTCGCCTTTCGGACAGCCGAAGAGACAGAGAGACAGCGCAACGACGACTGGAAGGGCTTGCAGTTGAAATTAGGCTATAACCCCTTTTTAAAGGCACTGGAGAACTACCTACCACTGATAATATCTATTATTTCCCTCTCGCCGACAGCCAATAGTGAATAAGAAAGCGTCTTCGTAGTTATCCCCCAATGCTGCGCTCGCCGTGTATCTCCGACGCTTGCAATTAGCCACAGCATGATTGGCGGGATGGGCCGCTGAGTCAGCTCTCGAACCCGACCGTCAAACCCGAGGTAGAGACGGCGAAACATCCTTGATTTGCAACTTCATCTTGTCGTCGCTGTCTGCTGGGCACGCAATTCGCGGGAATACGTGGTTGAGAAGCTTGCCTTCAGTCTCCTGCCTGTATTTCTAGCCGCTTCCTCTCCTCTCCTCACTCTCGCGTCCCCCCCCCCTTCCCCGTGCGACCACGGACTTCCGTCAGCCCGTCCTGGAGCGTGAAAAATAAGGATCTCCACGTGTGTGAAATCGACTTTGTTGTGTCTGCCCGCCCGCCATGGCTGCCCTGCGTTCTACCTCGCGTCTCGTCGCCTCATCACGGCCGCTGTTCCGTCCTGCCTTTGCGTCTCGCAGCTATGCCACCGTCGGCGAGCCCGCTCCCTCCGAGCAGCCCAAGATGAAGACCTTCCACATCTACCGCTGGAACCCGGATGAGCCCGCCGAGAAGCCCAAGATGCAGAGCTACACGCTGGATCTGAAGAAGACCGGCCCCATGATGCTGGATGCGCTCATCCGCATCAAGAACGAGATGGATCCTACCCTGACTTTCCGGAGGAGTTGCAGAGAAGGTATCTGCGGCAGCTGCGCGATGAACATTGACGGTGTCAACACCCTCGCTTGCCTGTGTATGTCCCTTATTATTATTCTTCTTCTTAAAAAAGACCCTGCTCTAATGTCTTGCAGGCCGTATTCCCACCGATACCGCCAAGGAGTCGCGCATCTACCCCCTGCCTCACACCTACGTCGTCAAGGACCTGGTTCCCGATCTCACCTACTTCTACAAGCAGTACAAGTCTATCAAGCCTTACCTGCAGCGTGATACCCCGTCTGAAGATGTAAGCAAGCGCAATTGTATTTTTTAAAATATCTTGTGTGTGTGCTAACGTCTTTCTTTTTTTCTTTTAGGGCCTTGAGTACCGTCAGAGCCAGGAGGACCGTAAGAAGCTGGACGGTCTCTACGAATGCATTCTTTGCGCCTGCTGCTCAACATCCTGCCCGTCGTACTGGTGGAACAGCGAAGAGTACCTCGGCCCTGCCATTCTCCTGCAGTCGTACCGTTGGTTGGCCGACTCCCGTGATGAAAAGACCGCCGAGCGCAAGGCCGCCCTGGATAACAGCATGAGCGTGTACCGTTGTCACACCATTCTCAACTGCTCGCGGACTTGCCCCAAGGGCCTGAACCCGGCCCGCGCCATCGCGGAGATCAAGAAGATGCTGACTTCTCACTAAAGCCACGGCGTTGATTAAAAAAAAGAAGTTTCTATTTTCCCCCTTCTTGACTCCTTTTTGATATACTCTTTTTCCTTATTTTTCCCCCTCTGCATGCCTTGGCAGTCTTTTCTTTCTCATTTGTGTTCTCAGAGCTTTTCCCTCTCGGATGTCTCCATAGGTGTAAATTGTGTGCAGTGTGTCCTTTATGCCATACAGTGATAGTGAATTTAACTGTATTCAACCAGGATTTTGGTCCTTTCCAGGAATATAAGTTAGATGCGACTTCTTGTGGTTGATGGAATTCACTGCAGGGAGTTGCGGATATATAAAATTTAAATATGGCGAGCCTCCCACTCGCTGCTTATATAAACCCATGCAATGGTTTTGAAATTCCTCCTGTCTATTAGATTTAATAATCTACTTTCTCAGCTACTACAAGTATTTATTAAAGAAATGCCAAACTGCGGGGTGACAATTAACCAGTCATCCTGCCTTGATGAGATAATACAGCCTGTTCTAGTTACGGAGTAAGTCAAATAGTGGACCAATGCATATCTAATCCAAAACACCACCACAGCCATTGGCCAAGTCGCTAATAACCCTGTGAGAAATATAGCAAACCTTATTGATCATAGAGTCAAATATGTTTTTTATGAAAACACTACCAGCTAGGACCCTCGCTGGAACGGTCTACGACAGGATGGAGCATTGTTCAAGCAACCTACAACGAAAGCACCAGGTAGGCCAGTGAATCCAATTATAATAATAGTAGTAGTATTAACTAACTATCTCCTCAGGGGAGTGGTGATTAATTATCATGGCAGACGAGGAGACGGCCGAGTTCACGACATTTATTCCTTCCACCAGCTTGACCTGATTGTTCACCGAGAAGAAAAGGACGACCGACCGGTTATTCCCTGCCATATCAATCCATCAGTATCTGTTTACTCCGTATATACATTGAGCAGATACATGGAGGAATGCTGATATCGGTTCTGCATATTCACTTGGAGGAAATCGGATTCCTCAGCATGGGCAGCTCTACGATTCTGCTCGTCACGCACACGCGAATATTTGTCCTGTCCGAATATCACGAGGCCGGTGAGCTGGAGTACAGATCTACACCTGGGCCGGCTCTAGCCTTTTCATCTGGACTGCATTGAAGGGGTAGACCGTGCGAGAGAGTCTGCTGTTCTGCAGTTAGGTACGGAGTACTCTGTACTTTGTACTCCGTATGTGCCTTGGGAGAAAATCATCACCACACTATTCACCTGGACTCCATCTCTCAAAACGGCGTGAAGACCCGCATATGCAGAGGGAGATGGGAATCTCTAGACTACGGGACTGGAAATTCCATTCCAGTCCGTTCCTTGCAGCTGGCGACAGGCAGAGCTTGGAGGAAGCACGACATTGGTTTTGTCACTTCTCAGTCCAGATCGAAAAGTGAGCACAGAGTACTGAACCCCCAGCTTGCTGCGTCTGCGAAGTACTCTGTATGGTACTTTTTATGAAGAACTCTAATTTTACCCCGAGTAGGACAGCGAGAACGAAGTTGCTGTTGCTGTTTCTGTTGTGCAAGAAGCTCCAACAGGTCGGTGAAGGGTTATTCGGTCCAGCGATCAGTGGTTTCCTCGAACCTTTTCAGGAAGAGACGATGGGATCCTTGGAGCGGAAAGCAAAATATTGATTCATTCATCGATTCATTGAGATTGAATGCGGATCTGAGAGGTTTCCTGGCAAAAATACTCTGGCAGGGTACATCGTACCCCATACTATTATATCAGTATGGGGTATTTCAGTGCCGATCATTCAATAAAGCTTGCAATAACTGCCGATGATCATTTGACTGTCCTGTGCGTGATCTTCAGGGATACCCGGGACGATCGGCGGCTTGCAGCAGACAAGACAGATCATGACTTTGGAGGACTTCAGAGCAACTCTGAGTATACGGGTGCTCGCTTGGGTCTTACTATCTATGATGCACTCATACGGAGTGGCTAAACTAGCATCTCTGGATGTTCTAATGTAAGTGGCGATTTCTATTTATTTCCGGGCCAGATGAAGTGTCCTAATGGCATAGTGATCTTGACTTGTCCGGCTATATTCAAACGTTCGAGAGAGAGAGAGATCGTTCCTGGCCAGGTACACATGCAAGCCCGAGAACCCTTGCTTTGGGACATCGATATACGTGTCACTGTAGATCTGCTGCACTGTGATAGCTCTCCTGATCATCATCTACTCTTCTGTTTTCGCGACATGCAAAGGCCTCTAGAGACTTCTGAACTGGCGTTGGAGCTACAGCCACATCTATAAATACCAGGAGGGATACTCCCCATCATGGCTTCCTCTCCTAACCAGCATCCAACGGTCCATCCTCCAAAGCCAAGAAAACCGAAAAAAAATCTCCTCCCCTTTCGAACCTCCTCCAAACCTGCCAAAATGCGTGTCTCTACTCTGTCTCTCGCCCTTCTGGTTGCCTTCACCACGGCCGCACCTTTATCGCCCCCCGCGCCGGTTGAAAATGGAGTTGGTGGTGCTACTGAGGGACTTTCTGGCTCGTCAGACCCCTTGAGCCTCCCACAGAGTAGCCAGCTCGAGAAGGGCGACACTGGTAGCAGCATCCTGGACACCGCTACCGCGGGCGCCGAAGGCATCCTCGGCGGCAAGCGTTCGGACATTTTGCCAGGCGACGACAAGGAGGAGGGCAACCCGGACGAATACAACCCCGCAGCATTTGGATGGCCTTCTGGACTGCCCGTCACTCAGCAGGGCGATGTAGTCCCGTCCGGCCACCCGGGGCTTGAGGGGACGGAGAACGGCTTGGGAGGCGACAGCCACGGAAAGCGCGGCGAAGAGCCTTCCGCAGGTTCCTCTGAGAGTAAGGAACAGCCTAAGAGCGAGTCGCTGCCCAAGATTGACTCGCTGCCGTCAGAGGCGAGCCAGCCGGTGGAACAGGAGACCAAGCCTGTGGAGCAGGAGACCCAGCCCGTGGAGCAGGAGACCAAGCCCGTGGAGCAGGAGACGCAGGAGAAGGCTTCCCCTGCTACTCAGCCCGCCGCCACCCCCGTTGTGAACAACTACATCGAGTACCCGGCTCAGACTCCCGCCCAGAACGAGCAGAGCACTGCCGGCTCCTCCAAGGGCCAGCAGGGCGACCAGGACACCCAGGGCAACGGCAACGTCCTCACCGGCGACCTGAACAACCCTCTCCAGAACGTCTCTCTTCTGTAAATGCGAGACACAATTTTCCCCCTCTACTCGAATCGCTTTCCTGCTTTGGAGGAAGCTGTCAAAGTGATGTGTACGAGGATGGTCGTGGATGTGGATATGGATATGGACATGGACATGGGTCATTAATTTCTGAATATAGTCGCTCTTTCTAAGTGGATAAACTAATATTGAACCTATTAACTAATAATACGACTACATACCATGCGTCCAACGTTATCTTGATGCCTTTTCGTTTATTCCCACCATAGTCATAGTTGTAAGTACACCTCAATCCATCAGTCTGCCATTCCCGTCGAGCCCAACATATCCATACACCTCTCGACAGCCTTTTGCATGGCATTGGTGGTCTCTTCAAGGAGGGTGGTCAAGGGCACGCGGCCGGCCATCTCGCGCTGCACACGCACGTACTCATTGTTGAGCACCTTGTTGATGTTCACTTTGGCCACTCCGCACTCGATACATTTGCGGAAGATCTCCTCCGTAAATGGGTCTGCGCCATGAAGCACCAGACGGACCTTATCGCCCACCGTCCGCTGAATAGCCGCCAACCGGTCATACTCCAGCCGGATGCCGCGAGGCCCATACTCGCCGTGCACGTTCCCAAAAGCCGGCGCCAACCAGTCGATCCCCGTTTCGACGAACTCGACACTCTCCTCGGGAGTGGTGAGCAGGCCCTCCAGATCCGCCGTGTTCGCCACGCCGTCCTCTCCGCCCTCGATTCGCCCCGGTTCAGCCTCGGTGGCGATCCCGCGCTCATGGCAGAACGCGACCAGCTCACGCGTCAGCGACAGGTTCTCCGCTTTCTCGTAGTGCGACATGTCGACCATGATGCTATCGAAACCGCCCATCTCGGCCGCCCGCCGGATCATCTCGGGGCTCTGCGCGTGGTCCATGTGTACCGTCACGGGCACTGAGGCGTTGCGTGCTGCTTCGGCTGCGGCGTGCACCAGCACCCCGTCTGCGTATTGCACTGCCCAGGGGAATAACAGGATCATGGCCGGGGAGCGTTTTGCTTCTGCCGCGCGCACCGTCGCCAGGATGCCCTCCACGTTGTAGCAGCACATGGCGGGCACGCCGTAGTGGTGTTGGGCTGCGTGGTCGAGGATGGCCGTGGGGCTTCGAGGAAAAGGAGGAGGAGGGGGAGGAGCCATTTCTAGCAGATATTCCCAAATTCGTATATAGAGAGGTCTATAGGGATAAAATGAAAGAGAAACCAAGAGAAGGAGGAAGGTTAATAGAAGGTAGAAATAGTTGACTGTAGTGCTTGTACTTGTATCTCATGAGGGGCTGATGTCACTTCGGAGTTGGTCCGATACTAGTATATTGCTTACTAGAAAGTTTTCGGATCTTACGGTATACTCTATACTGTACTGACTATCTGCTAATTGAAAATACGAATCACACTGGCGCTCGATTGGTCTCCTTCCGCCCGTTGAGCAAGAAGTAGCAGACTCAGCGCCGCATGGCCCAAGTGTAAGGGACAGGTGACGTCTCTGCCGGCTTGGATTGCCTTCTCCAACGCTTCGGTCACGGTACGTAGTCTTACTGCTCCCTGGGTTGCCTTGTCACCGACCCGTCCCTCGATCATCTCCAGCCCTTGAGTGGTGAAGATGCGACTGGCGCCCGCAGCGTCGTTGACCAGTTGGTAGAACTGGTCGAGGTCGACGTTGAGGAAGCGTGCGAATGCAATTGCCTCGGCTGCCGCACAGAGGTTGGTCGCTCGCATGAGATCAAGGACGAGCTGTAGTGCAGCTTCGGTCTCCACGGCTGACTTGCTCGCCGATACCTGCTGAATGGGGTCTGGGAAGTACTGGCGGACCATGGCGGAGTCATCTCTACTGCCGAATCCCTGCGACAGGGCAGCGAGGTAAATTTGTTCGGCGGTGGAGGAGAGAGGGGTCGGAAATTGATGTTGACGGGCAGAAGCCGTGATAATACCCTAGAAAACAGTCAGTAGTGGTTCACGGTTCTAGTTATGTACAAGAGACAAACATACTACATCCTTCAGGATGATGGTTAGAGCACTTGCACCGGGATTCCAATCCTCCTCTAGCATACGCTGCAGCCGGTTCTCATGCATCCACGTCCATGCGTCTGAAGATTTGATGGCCTCTGCCACCTGTGTCGCATCCAGGCCTAACCGGGCAGCAAACCCCATCGCTTCGCTGGCCCCCAGAATATGGATCGCTGCCAACACTTGGTGAACCATCTTCATATTGCTGCCGGCCCCAACCCCGCCGGGAACTAGATACAGCTTGTTGCTGTCCGACAGCGTTTGAAGCAGAAACTTCCCACGCTGGAGTGCTTCATCAGATCCCCCTGCCATGATGGAAAGCGTGCCGTCGGCGGCACGCTTTGCGCCGCCGGAAACCGGACAGTCGATGAAGAAAATGTCGCTGCGTCCGCGCGACTGCAGCTCCGCGGATACCGACTGGGCATAGCTGGCGGGCACGGTGGAAGCCAGCAGCAGTGTTGCATTCGGAGGTAGAACTAAAAAAGGCATAGAGAGCACTTAGAACAACAGACCACAGAGTGCTTAGGAAGTGCATAGATAGTTGTTGCCCCACCATCGACGATCCCCTCTTCACCAAATAGAACCGACTGGGCCTGCGGTGCAGAAGCCACCATACACACGTAGAACTGCTTGTCTCGGGCGGAATCGCGCAGCGAGGGAACGGCAATGCCTCCTGCCGCCTGGAACCGCTGGACTGAGGGGGCGTAAAGGTCGAACCCGTAGACGGGGTAACCCTGGCGAACAAGATGTGTGGCCATGCCGAAGCCCATGGCCCCGAGGCCGACGAATCCGATAGCCGGCTTAGTAGTAGACATGACGATTCCTCAACAAGAGACACAGGTGTAAAGATGCAAGATGAGGGGGAATAATCTCCGTCATATTAATGAATATAAGAGCTTGGGCAATCGGCCGTCCTCGCAGAACTTCCGAGTGGGGGGCAATATTTAGTTCGGACTGGATGCCGAAGGTCATTAGCCGTATACAACAATCAAACAAGGCATCTGTTCTGTCGATCAGCATCCGAGAGACTTCTGGGATTAGCAGAGAAGAGGACGAAGTGAGGTCAGAATGTCTAGAATTTCGCTAGTTGTGCAGTCACCTGATGCACGTTGCCGTTTGATCTTCGAAGCAAACAGAGAGTCACCTGACAATGTTCAGCTCCAGCTTCCAGTTCTGAAGCTCTGATTCTGTCCATAAATACCAACTCCCATCTCTGGTTCTGACCTTGGCTTGTCTCCCTTTCTTGTATCCAGTCAAACTACTCTCATCATGGTCGATTACGGGGCCAAACAGTCTCGAGTCGCGCAGCACGATTTCGCCCCTCCTTCCAAGTTACGCCTGATGTTATATGTCTGCTAAACCGGAACTTCGTTGAATCTGGCTGTATATAATTAGACGGTAGGTCAAGCCCTCTGGAAATTGACCTCAGATGCTAATGTTTGTCAGGAGTACATAAAGATAGACTATATATTGAGGAGCCTTTGCATATCGTCACCCTGACCATATGACGGATTCACTTGCGATATCCAGATCGTCCTGTTCAAGTTTATCTGCCTGATTATATATGTTCTTTATATAAAGATCCCTATCATGGAAATTCCTATATAGCCGGCGCGACTGGCGATCTCGAGACCAATTAAGAATCAAATTCTCAGAAGGTAAGAGATCATTTTTCTCAACTAGTTAGATCCAGTGCTCATCTTAGAAAGATTTATTCCAGAACTTTCCATTCCAGGATGTTCTCTTTCTGGATCATTGCTTCTATTTGTCATTGTGACCAGAAATCCATACCTCTCCTTTGGGGACGGAAAACTTGCTACACAATTTTTTTTCCAAAGTAAGGATATCGAGATAATCTTACAGATATATTGCTGATAAATAAAATATAAACACCTCAAGCCCGTCATTGTATATTCTTGACGACAGTGGCCGAGTAATTGGACATGATCCAATATCTTTCCATCAACTCTAGAACATCTGATAGCTTCAAGTGGTCTATAGTTATGTGTTTCAACAGTGTATATTCTAATGCTGTGTTGCCTGCTACTGCTGTATGTCTCCGGTCTATGAGTTGTTTGAACGATGACTGACATTCAAAAGCTACATTCAGCCTTCGTTGAGATTGAGATCCACGCTACATTCTCTGATTTTCTTTCTCTAGAGACACGATGCTGTTGTCTGCCACACTATTGTTCCCCTCAAAACGAGAGTGGTAAAAAACTCAATACTCTTGTTTCAAGGATGTTGTTGGTTCGTATGCAGAGGCTAAAGACATCAATTTTGGCTCATCTCCCATCTCAAAGCAAAGGCTCTCCAGTCAGCCCAGTTGTTAAATCTAAAATTGACGAGTTGATAAGGGGTCCGGTGAGCATTGCTACGCTGACCATGGACAACTTCCTAGCCATCAAGCGACATTGACATAAGTCTGCACGACAAGGTATATAGTACCGATTCATTTGCCTGGAACCGCATATGACTTGAAACGGCTCTTGTAGAGTCAAACAACATGCCTTGCTGTCGCTCCTCGCAACAACATACAGTGGGTTAAATACAATTTCTCCGACTGAGTATTTCTACCCCCGTCCCCCAATCCCCTGACACTCAGCTGATCTTGGAAGTCTCGGCTCTTCTACTCTGCGAAAAACTTGTGGAACTAAGGGCGCCGATACACAATCTGCACAAGGAACAGGATGATCTACGTGTCGCATATATAGATTTATGTTCACTTACACAGAGAAAAGTAGCCCGGCTACGATTCCGTTCCCAACCGTGATCACCCTGAAAGGCCCTGAGGCTCATGCGATCTGGATCCCACATCGCGCAGTCCCTGTAAGCCGACTTCAAACGGGCCACAATGGAGGCCCAAATCGATGGATACCAGGGCTGCCGAGATGGTGGCCTGGGAGGGCTTTTGTCCCGTTTCTCCCTGCCTTCAAAACCAGTTGGTGCACACACCACCATTCATCGATTGTCAGAAGATTCAGTATCTTGCCGTACCATGTCACGATGCCCTCGAACATTCGATTGAAGACATACGTCCCGGATCCTTCCACCTTTGACCATCGAATCTTCTGATGATTTTTCTCCGAGTAGGTTCATTGAAGGACTTGATGAGATTTATATCCTGATTACTTTGTACGCTGCTAAACCATCGCTAGATTCCCTGGCAATTACATCTGGCCTTTGTCTTTGCGATTGTGTACCAATACTCTTTTGATATTTTTTATATGTTCTGAATTTACCTTGTTTTTTTGAAGCCTCCCATGGCCTTCTGATTCTTCAAATTCAAGTAAATAGAGTGCACAGAGTAACTTGTAGAGACCTCTAATCGGGCCATTTAAAAAACTTGTTCGGAAAAGAATCATCACAGCTCTTGCCTTGGTCCGTAGGCCTGGTAGGAGGGAAACTTGGCCTCACACGCTTCTTTGACATACCTTTCGTCATCAAATCTCTATATCACATAAAATCGTCCGTCGTATATACAAGCATCCACCATGCGAGGACCAACAACACCAATATCGACAGAGGTTGGAAGCGGTGGTCCAATACCTGTATAATGGGAAAGCGCTGGAAAGAGACTGGGGGCTCCTTTCTCCTGCTGGGTGAGAAACGAGCTCTGTCTGTTCCACCACTTCCACACCCATTAGCAAAGTTGTCAACTTCGAATGAAGAATATGCAGACTGCAGAAGAGATACTGAGATTTGGGGTATGCGTGTTCCTTCCTTATCAGTGAGCAGTAAGATGAATGTGTATCTCCGCGTCTCTTTCCTCCTTTCTTCATGTTGTCTCTGCACCATGCAGTATTCTTCCAGGTCGTATCCAGCTTGTGAAATCGACTCGAGCTATTCGTCAAATACATTCTGGCCATCAGTGTTGTCCGCCAATGAGACCAATTCACCAATGACTGTAAGTGGTGTGAACAGCGGGTGAGCATTTCGGGATACATCCGGGGTGAAGTGATGGACATCTTGGCCTTTTAGTTGGAGAAGAGCCTGGAGGACAGATCTGCTTTGATTGAGGATAAATTCTTTCCCTCTCAGCCTTGCGCATCCCCACACATGTGCTTCGCAATGAAGAGCTGTAAATCCCTCGTACTCTTCATTATTTGAACTTCCGCTGAAGGGAGAGAAGCGACCTGCTTCAATGAGCATATGCACCCGTTCAGAAGCGTCTCCATAGTAGAGCCGATGGAAGATTTGATGCTGCAAGATCGTGTTTCCTGACTTGTTACGGTCTTGTGGATGAACTAAGAACTGGTCTTAGTGAACAAGGAATCTGAAAGTCTCTGCTGAGCCTTGGTAAGAATGAATGATGCCGTTGAAGATATAGCTTTGGGTAGGGTCGACTTCGCCCTTCTGCACAAAAAGGCGGGCCAAGTCGATATGGGTTTCATGGCGGGGATTCCACATGGCATAATGGAGGGGGTTTCTAAAATTTTTGAAAGGCATTAGTAAGCTCATTTTCGAAGGCTCAAGGTCGATCATGAGCATACTCCCCGCTGTCGTTCTCTGCATTCGCATTGGCACCCATTTCAAGCAGGTAGCGGCATAATGCTGCATTTCCAGACATAGCAGCGAACTAGAAACTGATGTGAGCATTTGAGAATTCTCATTTAGAAACATCAAAAAACTTGATTGGCGTACGTGAAGAAGGGTCTCGCCCATGGGTAAGGTGTCAAACGGTGATGCAAGTCTCTTGCTGAACAATCACTGGACATTAAAAAAGTCACCCTCCATGCAGAAGTCGAATACCAATGCGTCTTCACTGACAATGTAGATTGGTTGAATCTGGTAGGCCCAGCGCTGCCACCGACGGAGGGCGATCAACTGAATACTGTGAGAAGAGAGCCACTCTGCTGGACGAAAGATGATGGCTCGTTTCTGATTTATGAGTCCACAGGCACTAAGTGAGCAATTGCAGGATACATCCTGACTTTTAACTGTGACACTGCCGAGCCAGAAATTATATGTTTCTTTCGAGAATTCTGCGGCATCATGATGTTGAGGGAAATCTCCGTTGCTTTGATCGACTTTTGTGGATGCGACTGCTACATCGCTGGATAGATTCCAGGGTTCGGCATCAATTGTAATTGCAATCTGGTCCTCAAATTTTGTAGACGATTTCATTTGTTCGGACTCCAATATCCGGGGGTATGTATGTAACAGTCTCTCCAATGTGAGAAAGGCCATTTGTCTGTTGTGTCAGCTGACAATAAACAATCAATCGAAGATAAACTTACTGGGAATATTGTTGATATACAAGCATCAAGGTAAGCTTCGTGCGATCGAATTCCCTTAAAAATCATTGAGTCTCTGCTTCTTGACCATTATCACGAGAGATCTCCAAGAACTCTTCTTCTCAGTCGTGGAGCTATTAGCCCCCCGTGGCCTCACAATATCAATGAGCCTCTGAATAGACGAGCTGCACAATTCTAGAGCTTTTTGCAGCAATTCGGCGTCGAGTCCATCTGGATGGTGTGCACAGTCTTCAGAGATAGAATGAACGACATTATCAAGCACCATCAGCACTTCTTTAATAATTTGATACTCCGTTTCTGCCTGGCGGATTGAGTCGATGAAGGCATAAAGCTCTTGAATGCCGCTGCAAATCTGTCCGGCTAGAGACAAAATGCCAGCTACTGATTCCGCAACGCCTAGAGCTTCAGTCATGGCAGTATTGAGGGGCAGTTACACCCAGAAGATACTCCGATGAGACAGTAGCGAACATGAAGTAGATTGATAGAGGTGATCTGGAAGTATAGAGCCACTTTGAGGCCCAAAGCGGCCGGCGGATGCCTTTTCTATAGGTACGACCCTCGAGGGCTGAGTAGAGAGGCTGTTCCATGATTGCTCGTCTGATTTGATTTGCGTGGACAAGGCTTAGAAGCGAGGCGCGTATCAACCTCCAGAGAATCAATAGAGCGGATTTGATGAGGTCGTCTGTAATTAATGTTTGATTCAGATGAAAAGAGGTATAGGCAGGGACTCAGGGTATTGATAGAAAGAGTAGTACTCTATAGTCTGCGTGCGTGTGAGTTGAAGAACGAGCGCGGTCATTGAGTGAACGGAACATGAGCGTTGTTTCTGGCCTACCAGAAATACAGCCAGCGCCACCAGCGTCTAAACTCGACTTCCAAGGGTACTGCCCAACATCCCTGCAATTCTGAGTGCATGCACTCAGAATGATGTTGGCCGGAGGTCCATTTATTGCGAGGATAGCTCCTCATTTGGTTTTCACAGACCATACTTTCAATGGATACAATAGAGGAGATCTCACGAGGCATCTCACGATTCCAAAGACTGTCAGCAGAGAACCCGAGGGCTTTGATTGCCCATCGAAAAGAGCTCGAGTCTTTGTATCACATAATCTCGTCACTGTTACAATTTCCTGATCAATCGGATTGTGTCCAGGAAAATGAATCAGCGAGTCCACCAACTAGCGGGAGTCCTCAGACACCTCCGAATCCACTCTCTCAAGTTACTCGCATCGTGAACCATCTCGAGAGACAGAAAGTTGCAATCACAGAATTTGGTGCACGATCTCCAGCACATGCCACCGTTGATGAATCGAACAAAGAGGACTTTCGTGTTCGAGACGGCAAACGAGTGTTGGGAAGGGGGAAGAGGACGATGAATGAATTCTTCAGAGCTGGGCTGGGCGCATGTTCACTCGCAGAAGACTTCTTCAAATGGGCAAAAGATGCCGGTTATGCTTCGAAGTTGGATAAAATGTTTGAAGGTGATTCCAGGACAGGAGGGAACTATCAGAAATACGTGAAGGCATGTCCCAATCTAATCGATAAAGATCAAGCAACTTCATTGATCGGGATCGGCGTCAGGTTCAAATTCATCGAGCGGGCTTGCAAAAGACTCCTCCAATGTCCTTCTCCTGACGCTGAAAGCTTGTCCTCACCCTGCTCATTTGTCTGGATAACCTTCTTTGCATGGAGTCTTTTTAGGCGTTCCTCTAACGAAGCCCTACGAGAAGTTGCAGCTCGCCTTACATCTAGCCACGATTGGAACGTCCTGGCACGAAGTAAGAATGACTGGATTGAGAGTTGCTTTGCACAATACGGCACCTCAAGTCTCTCTACACATGCCCAAGTGACCAAAATATCTTCAGCTGCAAACAAGTCTACAGGTCACCCGCCTTCTTCCTCTGAGACTACGGGCTCCAACACAAATGAAGTTGCCAATAATCCTTTGACGAAGTCTGGACAATCAACCTCACAACCGCTGGAGACTAACCGAAAGAGAAACCGACCTCATGACAATGTGTCCTATGGGCCACAGAAGCGACGGAGACCTTACAGTGCGACTCGTTTGGGAGAGGTCGGTACACCGGACCGGACTGTCAACCCCGAGGCATCACCCACCGATTTTACGGAGGCCGCTTCTTCTTCACCAGCAAGTACGGCATTTGCCCAGGCTCGAATTGTTGACAGCAACCTCCCTGTCGCGAGACCTCCCGTGCAATCCTCCAGTGTTGAAACATTGGCATCTGTTGATATCAACATCCCTCGGTGCAAACATGACATACCTGGATCAGCCCTGTGTTTGGAGTTAGACAGACCGTCCCCTGGTCCCATCATGCCTTTCTCTGATCCTGCAGGGGAGATGCTCCAATCATCACCAAGCTCCTTTACTGAGATAATGGCATCTATTGATGTCAATGCCACTGATTTAATACATGAAATACCTTTATCAGTCCTGTTCCCAGATCAAAACACATCATCACCCGCCCCTAATATGCCTTTTTCTGAAGCTATGCAAGGAATATTTGAACCATCATCACTATACTCTACTGAAATATTTGCATCAGTCAATATTAATATTCCTTGTTGTATACATGACATAACCTGGTCAGTTCTTTTGCCTGAAAGAGATGTATTATCACCTACTTCCAATATTCTTCTCCCTGCTGAAACTTTTCCAGAGATAGATTTCCTATATTAATTACTTATGGCTCTGGTGTCCCTAACCTTACTGTAGGGAGCTTACCAGATCTTTCTGATGAATAGTTGGCACACTCAACTCCTCAAGGCATTAATCACCCTTCCACAGGACCAATTTGGCCTCTGCTATATGCGAATCAATATTGAATTTACAGCGTGTCATAGATCATGAATTATGATACTGGTTTTGGAATCTTGGAGGAACAACTCAAACAAGTGCCCGGGTACATATCCACATGATTCCTTCAACAGGTCTCAGATTTTCGTAGTGACATTATTATAAGATCAACGTTGTCGCCCAAGAGCCGTTCTATTTGTGTAGTGTAGTGAAACGATAGGAGAGGCTTCTTTGGTAGGAAGGTCGCATTTCTGTTCAAGAGGATAATAATTTGGTGACCTGTTCTGTTCTGGATAATCCCCCCGCGCACGAGGTGACATACTTTGCAATTATAGACCTACAGGGCGTTAGGAATCTGTCAAGCAGCAGATATCCCAAGGAAATCCTACCGTGTATCCGTTGATACTCAGTTCATTGGATAACGTGCGGATTTCCTGATCAAGCTCTTTACTAGAGAGCTCCCAGCCACTGCTGGCCTCGCCTTTCTTGCCTACAGACCCTTCAGCGATAATGTGTTTGATTCGCCCAACAACCGCCTTGGCTTGATCTGATATTTCTTTGAAAGTGTTTTGCTGGGATTCGATTTGCGTCATTATGGTGAACAGCCGGCCTAGCTTGGATTTGAAGTCGAAATGATATGGGTGGGACTCATGAAATGAGGGGGACAGTAGGGTTGTTATTCGGGTTAGCCTGATTTACTAATCACATGATGAGATTAGGCTAAGTCGGCTGACTCATCGTTAGTACAACCTCCATGATGATTGCAGATCAACCACTTCGCATCTTCAATACAAGTCAATGTATCCGGTGGCATCTGCCTCTTTTGTTTCTATTCGGGCAAAACTTGCAGTTCCGCCTGCAATACAAGTATTCAAAGCCTTTTCCTGGTTAGTACTGAGTTGTTCAAGTCCTGTCATTGCGAACAAGGGTGTAACTCGGGGCCTATACCTAGTAGTACTAGTATTCTCTAAACAAGATAGACTGACTTTTGCTTCATACAGCAAATGCTTAGTCCTTAAACTGCACCTAGAAAATGAACAATCAATGGACAGATTCCTTTTTCCAGGGCTGTGAGCCGCGCATTGCTCACTTGAGAAATGAACCTGTTCTCCACCCGGAGGATTTGAAGAAATTCCAATGTGATGATGCTTGGGAACTGGGGCGACGGATGCGTGCTGATCTGCCAGGGCTGCATAGCATCATGGTGTTGCGGTTATATGTGAAGGGAATATCCAACCTTGTGGCAAAAACTGAACGTGCTAATATGTAAGGAATCAATCATCACTGACCAGCGACAGTTCTTTGGGAATGAATTTTTCGAGTAAAAAAAACAGCTGGACCCTTTTCTAGATGAAAGTCGACCTTACGAACATATTCTCCGCAACTGCCCACCCTCCAAACTATCCTATTTTCCAACCTACTTTGGTGTTATACTAAATTTGACACGCGAAAAGTATCCTAGGAGATATGCATTACGTCCTCGAGCGATAGTACTTGAAAAGGTCAACGCCGATACTTGTTCCCGGCATATATTAAGAACATCTCCACGTCGAGAATTTGACTCATTTGAGGGGTTCGTTGCGAGAATTGATCAGCTACCTCTTAGCTGCTTTGAAAAGGAATGGTATATTTCTTTATCAATTGACCGACTTCAGCGCCTTGCAGCGTTGCATAATATTGGAGTTATGCACCGTGACCTCTGTGATGAGCACTTCCGTCTTCCCCATGACTTCTATGATACGGTCCTCTACGATTTCTCTCACTCTTACACAATCAATTCGCCATGGCCATATGTTAAACGACCTATACCCTTGATAGAAATGATTCGACGTGAACAAAACGAAGTTTTGAGTGGCGTTCTCGACCGGTTAGTGTACCTTTCACCTCGAAGTAACCAGGAGCTTACATATTGCTAGTGCCAGGAAGTCAGAACTTCGTACATATACGTCTACAACATTGAATCTGAGCTTGAAGAGTGTTATCAACTTTTTTTCTCAAGAGCTCCAAGATATAAAGAATAATCTGGAGCTTATTTTTCTGAAGACCAAAAACCGACCAGATAGTGAGTTATCTGCTGTAATTATTCGGTTACAATTGTTGTAACATGCTACAGCTTTCACCCATCCGTCTTTGGCGTCGATTTTTCCTTTTTTAGAATCTATACGCCCCAAAAATTCTCCAGGCTGGCATATCACCCGGGCTCGACTTCTTGAGGATTATGACTCGGCCTGGTTTCTCTACACACCTACCACAGATAAACAGATAGAGCTGATTTCGTTTTCTGGATTAGAATATTTCGCATTTGATTATAATACGATGGCCAACGAGAAGGCTTACTTACTTGCCCTTTTTCCTAGGTCTTGGGATCTTGGGACCTGCAAGCAAAGGCTCTCTGCATTTGCTGGGACTTTTGCAAACAAAGGATGCGATTCGATCATTTCGAAGGAGGAGTTTGAGCAAATTGACAGTGGGCTTGGCCTAGAAAGAGATAATTAAGCTTCGATTATGTTACTTCAATGGGATATTCATGGACACTCATTATCCTAAGGTTCTCGTATTTTCTCCGGATTACAGAATGAAGAGGCTGTCATTCAACATACACAGGTCAGGCTGTCAGGCACAAGGAGAGTACGTTTAATTTCAGAAAGCTGACGGGCTAGGTTTCTGATATTACTATAGCTAAGTGACTTCCCTCCCCTAAGCTAGGCTTGAACAATGGAATATAAATACAGTCTTCCCACCTCATACTCCCTTTCGAAGAGTGCAAAATGGCGACCACTATACTTGATTATTTGACTCAACCAAATGTTACCTTGATCTGCCGCGGCACTACTTCAACACCAACATACAACCCGAATTGGACCAGTGTTGAATATATCTACGAATGGTCAGACTTCACATACCAGAATGTTGTCCAGAGATATGCGTCGGAGCTGGCAGAGAAGCGGGACTTTACAAACCCATGCCGTCAGTATCAGGACGCAGACCTAAACGTACTATATTTGGAACGCAGTATGAGTGATTTACTTGCCGCGACGAACATGCTCATTGTATCGGCGATGCTGCCGAAAGGCCAGTTCATTGCTGACAGCTCTCGAACGACTGAAATGGGAGATATATCTCCAGATTGGGGTGCCGGTGACGATTCAAAGCCTCTGAACCTGTTGAAGCGAACCAAAGCTCTCCTCTATGGAGACACCAAATACCTTTGGTCTCATGAGGATGCGATCAATCTTCTTCAGAGCAACTCAGGCCACAACTACCTTGACGTCGATGCAAAACAGATGGCATCCCTTGCTAATCCATTTGAGCAAGTTCAACACTACGGCATACGGAATAAAACATCTATACACTTTATTATCTCCAATAAAGCTCTGATCCTCGTTCGTCTCCATTTGGCGCCTGAAACAATACAAACATCCCCCAGACAGCTGCGCAGTTCCACCAGGCCGGTCAATCAACGCATCCCTTCTGTGACTCCTCAAACTAGTCCGATATTTTCCGGGCGTCCGCGCATCTCTTCGCTATCTTCCAGTGTTGAAGCAATGAGCATTGATGATACGAGCATGAGTCCCGGGAAAATAAGCTCCAGCACCAATGACCCGTCGGTCAGGCCCCAAGACTTTTGGCCTGACATCGCTAGTATGCATTATACAGTGATCCCTTGGGAGCAAGCACGAAAGGATGGAATGACTGTGAATCTTGCTATATGGGCCGGGATTAGAATCTCAAGCGAGAACAACACTCTTCAGGTAGAATACGACCCGTTGACCCCACAGCCAACACGCGCTATCGGGACACCTCTAAGAACGAGAATCCTCCCGAATGCAAATCAGCAGAGTGAGAAGGGGAAAGCTGCCGATAGAGGGAGCCCAACAGCCACCACTACTCAAACAGGTACGGCCAATGTCCAATACCGCGATGTCAATCTTTTTCTGTCCTCCAAAGGCACAGGGTACAACTATCAAATGGACGGCAAGTGGGTTATCAATGATTCAAAAAACAATTGGACGGTTATTGGTGACAAGCTTTACAACTACAAGGTGAAGCCGTATCTACGCGCCGACAAACTATAGGACAGGGGCCCTTGCGCCTTCGACTGCTTTTCAACATAGCAGATGCAGATTTCAACATGCCGAAAGGCCTGGATATCTTTCAACAGGTATAGTCATCTATTATTCCAATGACGTGTCGCTCCGTCTCAATGCCTGCCAGTTCTATGTTTTATTCTCACTCCTTACTTACCCTATAACCATGTTACTTCAACCAGAATTTACTGCTTAATGAATTACACTACTCTACCGTAATCTGAACATACTTCCCTCTCTATCAAAACTGCGAGGCCGCCAGATTGCGTAGGGGCGTAAAGGGTAATCACATGACCTACCTAGGTACTGAAGAGCATGATGTCAGAAGCCCACCGTAGAGGGCGATGTAGGTTAACTGGCTTGAAAGAAAGAATGAATTACAATAATTTCTCAGAAGGCTTTTCTGGATGGAGATGACCTACATCCTGGAGGAGAGGTTACACTTGAAGACCGAAAGAGGCAAGTTTGATAACCATACAAACACTATTTATGCCTCAGGCAAATATATTGTGACTTCCTCGGTTAAATGTCGGCCCGGTGCAGAAAGTTCGCCGTCCCGATTTGGATTCGGCCTCAAGATTTGTTTCTTGGCCCTGTGTTTTTGCACAAAATAATTCTTCCTGCACCTTCCATTATTCTTCTATTTTTTTCACCATGGGTATTGCCAAGAGGACGAGGAAGTTTGCGCAGGTATGGCATCTTGATTTTTCTGATCAGCGCGTACAGGTTACTGACAGTGTTGAAAATAGGTTAAGCGCACCATCACCCAGCGAGATCAACGAGTGAAAGACACGGCAAAGACGGCCAAAAAAGAGAAGCCTGAGAAGGATGAGCTAATCCGCCATGTTGCCACTGCCCCGTCGAATATGTTTTTTGCTGCGAACACAGCTCTCGGACCGCCGTACCATGTGCTCGTGGATACCAACTTCGTTTCCCATACTATTCGGGCAAAACTGGACTTATTACCGGCGATGATGGATCTGTAAGACTGACTCGGGGTTGGTACATTCGATTTCGAACCATGTTCGCTCATGTGTCTTCTCTAGGCTGTACGCGAAGTGTATCCCTATATTCACGGACTGCACGATTGCCGAATTGGAGAAATTGGGCACAAAGTACCGGCTTGCGCTTCGACTAGCCAAGGACCCCAGGTGGGAGCGGGTGAAATGTTCTCATACCGGAACATATGCAGATGACTGCATTGTTGACAGGGTAGGTCTAGTGCCGGGGGAAAAATGGTACAGCACAATATGCTGACTTCCATCTGTCTAGGTATCCAAGCAGAGAATTTACATCGTTGCCACAAACGACAAAGAGCTGAGTCAGCGAATCCGCAAGATTCCAGGTGTGCCTATTATGAAGGTTGCTAGAGGGAAATACACTATCGAAAGGCTGCCGGACTCTTTTGATTAAGTGAAACGTGATTTCATGGTTTTCGGATACCAAAACGAAACGACATCAAAGCGAGACCAATAGTGCACTCAGCGAGGATGAAAGACGGCACAGCATACGACCGCTACACGACGATCTCTTGCCCTCGGCTCCAAGTGTCTCCCATAAGCGAGTCACACACGTCCATCAGAGCCAGGTCGCATAATGAAATAGTGACACAACCCAAGCTCATCCTTTCCCAACGGATACGTCGGTTCAAGGCTGGCTCACGGAGCTTTCAAAAATTGGTGTCTGGAGTCGTTTCTATTGATAGATTTGTGCCAGAAATGAGGAGAGATGGTGCATGATGACCGCGCCGGATTCCTAACAGCCACTAAATAGGTGTCAGTATTTGGTTGCTATAGCGTATTATCCACAATCTTGATGAATGTAGTCCATGAAACCGCTCCCCCTACTTAATAGTTATGGCTTCCATTCTGATTTTGCAGTAGAATGGTTTGAACGCCTTATTCTCTGGTTACCGACGATACTGTAGATAAGCTGCCACTCAAGCTTTACCTAGGAATTATTCAAGACTACCTGATATTGATCAATCCGATGGAGGAAATTATGGAAGGGTCTGGACATTTACATGATTAGGCTCCAATCATCGTTTACGCTTCTTCCTAGAATGCCATCTGCTTTTCACCTGTACCACATATTCTGCCTACTCACTATTCTGCTTCATTGTTTAGTACTATAAAGCATGGACTACATGCTATTTATATATGTGCTTCTCCTACGTAAGTGTGTACCAGCGCCCATATCTATTCCATTACATATCCTGACCATGCTTAATAGGAAGATCTTAACCCTTATCCAGCAGCTGCAAGAGCACACAGAACCACCATTGTCAACCTTCCAGCAACGCCAATACACGGCCTCAGACGAGGCAAATGCTCGCATCCGTGTTCAGAGCTGGGGTCTCCAGCCGCCAGAAGAAACGCCCGCCGTCCTCTCCGCAGCGATCAAGGCGCAGATTGTCCAGCACAGAGTTCCACGCACAGCGACATGCCGCGCCATGGAGAGCGAGATATCTAGAGTTGTGGCCGAATCGGCACTCCCGGGCGTGATCCTGCGGATCCTTTTCGAGAAACTGATTACGTTCTTTGAATCAGTCGAGCTCATAAATGAGAAACATTGTTCACTACCGGGTGTGATTGATGTCGACAAGATACGCCGTTTATACCGCGATGCCAACCCACGACAGCTGTTTCATGCTCTACGAGATCTGTTTCCGGGACTGAGAAAGCTGCTCGCACGACTCGCTGCACCAGACGATGTCTGCAGGGATGTGCTTCGTCAGCTCGGAGAACGAGGCATTGTCAATCCGTCCCGGTTGCGATATGTGGTTGAGTCCGCGGTGAACGGCAAAGAAAGCGGGATCTTGCTCCCGCCAACACATCTAAGTCGCGTGTGGAATGCTGCTGCACGGTCTCGAATAGCGCCAGAAGACGGCGTGGACTTCCAGGGTCAATCTACCCGTTTTCTATGGCAGTCTAGTCGGCGTGTACGAGACGACTGGTTGCCTCCGCTTACTGAGATGGAAGTCCAAGCCGCGTTTGGGGCCCATGCTTCGCTGGTGTCCCATGGGAATGAAAGACTCCCTTATGAATGCGGTGCAAACAAATACACGCTTGTGGAAGACAGCTCCTTAGTGGTCGAGTGTACGGGAAATGGGTTCTTCATGACTAGTGGGCCATCGGGGACAGCATACCGGTTTCTCAGCCTGTGGCTCGTTCTCGCAGGGGACGCGGGAGAACTGCCAGTCGTGCGCTTTGCGGTTGCGGCTTTGCTCCTGAACGGTCTGCACCATTCTCTCATCGAGGTGATGATGGCCTGTGCACCCCTGATAGGCTGTGAGGCACCGGCCACTCTGCGAGAGATGCTGGAGCAGTTGGTGCCGCATGAGCTGGGTATTACGTGGAGAGGGGGTAGATATGTAATGACCCCAGAGAAGTTTCATGCTCAGCTAGTTCGCCATTTGCAAGAGCTCTTGAAGTAAGGCAACAGAGGGGTGATATGGTGCATACTCGGGATTTGGCAGATGCAAAGGAATGATAATTGATTGAGCCCGCAAAATGCTAATGATAGGTACTTGCTGTATAGTAGAACAACTGGCAATTGAAAATGATACAACGCCGAGCGGGCAGGAGGTCACTCAAAAAAAAACAATGAGGAAAGTCTATCACTGCAACAGCTTAGGCCCGTGATACTTGCGCTCCTTATCATCAAATGAATGCATGGCGCTTTCTGTTCTGATGGGGAAACCCTCGAAAGATACCGCGTACGTGGCCACGGAGTGAGCAATGAGCTGGATTTTCAAATTAGCATGACTGGCAGTAGTGAAGGGAAAAGAAGACCCATACCTTGGTGTTCAGCTCCCAAGCAGTGAGGTTCACATTCGCCACAGTATCGCAGATTTGATGATAACACGGGTCAAACCAGTCGCCAGCCACTCCACCAAACATTTCCTTCTCTTCCTCCGTCTTCACTCCCTCGGCACCAGTGGCAATGCCACCTCCAGGGATTCCATTCCGGATAAACGCATCGTAGTCGCTTCTGCCGTCAAACGGAATAAAGGTGAAGTTCTCTCCATTGGATTTGTAGAAGTCAACATACAACTCCCGAAGCTCCTCCGAGCCAACAGGGTTCTCAGCATTAGTAGCATTGTAGACCTGGTAGGCAAAGTTCGGTGAGGCGAGCATGTCGTAGTCCATGAACAGCCGGATCTTCATATTCTCTTCCGGAGTGAGCTGATCGACATAGTAGTCTGACCCGAGCAGACCCTCCTCCTCGCCAGCCCACCACGCAAAGCGTACGCAGTTGTTGACACTGTACTTGGTGAGGTGTGTTGCAACCTCGAGAAGGGTCAGAGACCCGGAGCCGTCATCGTTGATTCCCGGTCCTTCCGTGACACTATCGCTATGACCACCCAGCATCACACAGTTTTCTGGGTCGCCCTGCTTGGTCTGCGCAATAATGTTGTCGGTATAGATGGTGTTGACGACTGCATCCATGTACGCAATGCCATCGACCTTCTCTCCGCCCTTCAGCTTCTCAATGTACGGCGCAGCATCGGTATCGGAGATGCCAAATGTGGCAACATGATGGGGTGACGGGGTACCCAAGGTGCCACTGAGAGAGCCTTTCTCGTTGTTGTACACCACCGCGGCCACGGCACCGGCTTCTCCTGCTAGAGCGGATTTGGTGCCGAACGCACAGCCACCTCGACTGATCAGGGCGATAGCCCCAGTGGTTCCTTGTGGGTAGTCTGACGCATCGCATCCGAGGTTCGAAACGAGCACGACTGGTGCGTACACAGGTTGCTTGTTCTTGGTTGGGGGCGTCAGCGACATCGGGCGCGCAGACTTGGGCACTTCCTGGCCCAGCACAAGCCGCGACTCGTCCACATTACCGACAACGGCGGGGAAGGTCTGGTTGGAAACGGTATAATAGTCGTCCAGCGTGGTCAGGGTCGAGTAAATATAGTCAAGCGTCGCCAAATGACCTAGGAATCCATCACGTGAGAACAGTCCTTTTCAGGGATGGCTGAGAAACGGGGGCAGGAAGAGTCTCCTTCGCACCTTTGCTCCCAATTACCCGCGTCGGGTGTCCATACTCGTCAAAAGACAGCTCAGCGATGCTGTACAGCTTCTTCGCTCGCTCAAGCAGGTTATCCGCGTCGATATGATCCTGCAGAGATGAGGAGCTGACCAGCTCCTTGTCCGAAATAGCCGGGGACTTCTGGGCAGGCTGGGCAAGGGGTAGCTGGGCTGCGAAAGTCTCCCCGAGGAGCATTAAAGCGACAGCAAGCCATGACGGTGCCATCTTTGCGACGATGAAGAACGACTCAGATCTGGGGAAATGTTGAGAAGGGTGAGTGACGATGGAAAGCAGCAGCTCTGCAAGGGACCAGTGACTCAGTAAGGAGTGGAGATGGTGGCTATCGCCGGCGATAGTGATAAGATTAGATAGCTAACTCTTGACACATTAAGGATTCTTTCTCTAAGAGCCAGAGTTACGGGACGAGCTACTTCAGGTCTATGAAGTAACTACGGGCTGTGTTCGAAGTACATGGGTGGACTGTGCCTTCCAAGGCGCGGCGATACATGGGTCAAGGGTTCATTGTACTCTGTACGAAGGAACCACTAAACATACAGAGAGGGATTGGTGAGATCACACTGGCAGGCTCCGCCACCTCAGTTCCAAATGCCGATCACTGCTCAGCCCTGCAGGGCGTTCGCACTTGGGATTCAAGTTAAATATCGGACGATATCTAGCGACTATGTGGCTAGAATAGGAGTCCTCTTCTGCACATAAGACAGTACAACGACTTCGTCTATAAGTTATTCAAGGCGGGCAACACCTGACAATGTCTTCATATAGTTCTGACGGATATTCTGTCCTGTCGACACATCCTCAACAGAATCAAGGTAGCTATTCTCGCCTCTTCCACGTGAACAAGTCCAGCTTCCAGAGGCACTACGAGATTGCATCAGCGAATAATCAAACACTGCTGTATGGCGATGTTTCGGTGTATACCCCCCATAAACCCGACCTCACTCTCCATGCCGGAACCAACACGCACGCACCGATTGTCGCCGTCAGCAGATTCGGCAAATTGACCAGCACTCTGAAGATCGGCCTCGGCGATCCGAACAATGTGCAGGGAGTGGAGTGGGAGGATCTGAAGAGACAAAACCTTCGGGCGACCGAATACGGCTGGCAAATGACCCTGCGATACAGCGATGGATCGCGTGAACGGCGGGCTTTCACCTGGAAGAGAACCCACCACGCTGCTGTAGACGGAATGACGGCCTCCTCGCTCAGCCCGCGGAACTACAAGTTGGTTGATCCCCTGACGGGGCAGCTACTGGCCGTGTTCACAAGTGATCGAAGCCTTCATAAATGCGGGGATTTGCAGATCAACGTGAACTACGGGCCTGATTTTGATACCATGGTCTTCATCACCTATTTGAGCATCCATGAGAAGGTACGGCGGCGCAATGAATCTGCTGCTGCTGCTGCGTCGTAAGATTGGGGCGCTTGAAGGTTTTGCTGTTATTTTCTTGTATGATATCTGGATGAATTGATGAATGGATGAATATTCGGGTCTCCCGGAGATCTTGGAAGCATTTTTGAAGAATTGTCTCTCTCCACTACTCGAATCTTGTTGAGTCTCTCCTTACATGGGGGATGCATAGACAGAAACTGCATATAGTTACATCCTGCGCCTGCTAAGATCGTAAAGCGTTGCTCTGTTTTCTCAGCTGTCGAAGACGATGAAAGTTAACGACTCTGATGATGGAGAGTAAAGGAGTAGAATGGATAGGAATGGTTGGAGTGGGTTTGGGCCATTTATAGTCAAATACAGCTAGCGATATGAAAAAAAAGGGGAAATGTTGATTTTAAATGGGTGACAAGTCTAGACTGCCAATGTCCTATCTTATCTATGCTCCTATGCAGACCCAGCGCTCTCCAGGCTCATCTTCTCGAACTCCTCAATCGTCCGCTTGTAGTTCTCCGTAGCGGCCTCCGCATCGGCCAACTTCTTGATTTCAGCACTGCGGACCACCTCGCTGACCTTCTCCTCGAAACCCTCGCGCGCGAGTAACTCCTTCTGCTTGTCGATCACACCGTGGCTCTTCTGCAGCTTCGAGCGCAGCTTGGTAATCTCAGCCTTGATATCCGTGATACCAGCAGCAGCGTCAACCATAACAACAATATCCGCCGAGATGACGAAGATAGCGCAGCCCTTGGGGGCCGCGCTCTCCGGTCCAAGGGCAGTCAGCTCGGAAATAGCCTTTCCAGAAAGAGCCTTGATGGCCGCCATCTGGGGCTCGATGCTGGCGAAGCTCTCGGGAGTCGACGTCTTGACGAAAGCACGTCCGTTGGAACGGATGTTGAACTCGGAAGCAAGAGAGCGGATACCTTGCGCGCACCTAGAAGGGAAGAATTCCCCGTTAGTGAGCTGCAAGTAGTCGGGATCAAAGAATCAAAGTATATTGCAATACTCACATCAGTCCGAGCTCGTACTCGAGCGCATCAGCCTCAAATTCCAGGGCTGAATTGAAGCTGGGGTAAGAGGCGAGCATGATCGTGGGTGTGCTGTCGCCCTGTCTGCGGGGCAGGCGCTGCCACAACTCCTCCGAAATGTAAGGCATGATGGGGTGGAGAAGTCTCAGAGCGGCGTCCAACGTCTCGTACAGAGTTTGCTGGACGCTGGCCTGCTCTTCAGGGGTACCATCGGAAAGAATGGCCTTGCTGTTTTCCTATTCAAGAAATTAGTCCGCGCAGAAAGGTACAAGCGTATCGATGGACTTACAATGAAAACGTCGCAGAGTTCATCGTAGAAGAACCTTGAGCAATATCATCAGTACTGGGAGAAGATTATGCGGGAACCCGGTTTACTTACTGGTAAATGATCTTGGTGCTCTTAGAGAATTCACGAGCTTCCAGGGCCTCATTGACACCCTTGACAGCGACGTTCATGCGGTGAAGGATCCAGCGCTCGGGCAGCGAAAGCTTCGAGGTGTCGATCGAGCTGTTTGGCACGAAGGTCTCGGGAAGACGACCCAGAACGTACTTGCTGGCTTGCCAGATCTTGTTGCAGAAGCGACGGTAGGCGTGCATCACCTTGATATCGAAGTTGATGTCGCCACCTCCGGTGGTGTAAGAAAGCAGGGTGAAACGCAAGGCGTCCGCTCCGCACTCAGGGATACCGCCAGGGAAGGCCGACTTTTGGTATTTCGTGGCCCGAGCAATTTCATCTTCTTGAAGGTTGCCCACGAGGAGCTTGGCGTGGAGAGCATCAAGCTCGATACCCCTGATGATATCCAGAGGGTCGATAACATTGCCTTGGGTATGATATTAGTTTCTGGACTTGCAGAGCGACGATGCTCATCGAGAAAAGGGATTCATACCAAGAGACTTGCTCATCTTCCTACCCTCGGAATCACGGATCAAGCTGTGACAGTAGACCTCCTTGAACGGAACCTCGCCAGTGAGCTTGAGCGACAGCATGATCATGCGAGCAACCCAGAAGAAAAGGATATCCCTGAGATTACACTATTAGCAATTTGTCGTTTCACACCCAGGGGCTTTATATTACCATCCAGTTTCAAGCAGGCTGGTAGGGAAAAATTTCTTGAGGTCGCTGCTTTCGGCGTTCGGCCAGCCGAGAGTGGCCATGGGCCAAAGACCACTGCTAAACCATGTATCCAAGCAGTCGGGATCCTGCTCCAGACGGAACTTCTTGTTGGGGAAGCGTGCTTCGGCTTTCGACTGAGCCTCTTCCGGAGTCTTGCCAACAACCCAGGTTGACTGAAGAGTATCCTCTGCGCTCTCACCGTCAAAGATGACCCGGTAAGCGGGAATACGGTGACCCCACCTTAAGAGTCAGCGTCGCCAATAATGGAAACTGAATTTGAAATCATCGACATACCAGAGTTGACGGGAAATACACCAATCGTTGACAGATGACATCCAACGGAAGTAAGACTTCTTGGCCGACTCCGGGGCGATGGTGATCCTGCCTTGTTCCACGGCCTGCACAGCTGCATCGGCCATATCATTCATGCGCATCCACCACTGAGGCTTAATCAAAGGCTCAATGACATCCTTGGACTTCTCGCATAGCGGAATCTTCATTGGGTTCGATTCCTTCTTGACGAAGAGGCCCAGCTTAGTCAATTCCTCCACAACAGTATAACGAGCATCGAATCGTTTCTGTCCCTTGAATGGACCTGCGTTCGCATTCAGAGTGCCGTCCTCGTTGAGAATATTGATGAACTCAAGGTTGTGACGCTGGCCGAGCTGGTAATCGTTGAAGTCATGGGCGGGGGTCAGCTTGACAGCACCGGTACCGAACTCCGGGTCCACGTAGGTGTCCTTGATGATCGGCAAAAGACGACCAGTGAAAGGATGGCGCGCGAACTTGCCGACAAGATGGGTATATCTCGCATCATCGGGGTGGACGGCAATACCGGAGTCACCCAGCATCGTCTCGGGACGCGTGGTAGCAACCTCGATTGTCTCGGTAGAACCGTCGATCTGATACTTGAAGTGAGTCAAGACACCGAACTCCACCTTCTTCTCATAGCCTGGAACGGACAGAAGAGTACGACCGGGGATTTCCTTGTTTTCGACCTCGAGGCCACTCAGAGCAGTGTTGAGGTGAGTACACCAGTTAACCAGGCGATCGGAACGATAGATTAAACCTTCTTCGAATAGACGGCAAAAGGTCTCCATGGTAGCGGCAGTGAGCTTCTCATCCATGGTGAAGCGTTCACGAGTCCAGTCCATCGAACCGCCCATGAGCTTCTGCGCGTTGTTGATACGCTGGTGGTATTCGCCCTTCCATTCCCAGACAAGTTTGGTGAAATCTTCGCGGCCGAGGTCCATGCGAGTCTTCTTCTCCTTCTTCCACAGCATCTTTTCGACAACAGACTGGGTCGAGATACCGGCGTGGTCACATCCTGGAACCCACAGGGTGGAGAAACCCCTAGTAACATGTGTTAGCCACTCACCAAGCACCAAGCAGAGACAGACAGAAGGATTCAATGGCCGACTCACTTCATTCTGTGCCATCGGATCAGAGTATCTTGCAGCGAGTTGGCAAGGGCATGACCGCAGTGCAGAGCGCCGGTCACGTTCGGCGGGGGAAGAGGGATGACAAAGGTTCCAGCGGGCTCCCTGTCACCAAGAGCCTCTGGGCGGAAGAAACCGCTCTTCTCCCACCAGGAATACCAGGACGACTCAACGGCTTGGGGATTGTAGGCGGTGAAATGGGCGTCTTCGAACGACTGGAGCACCTTCTTGTCGCCGAGCGGGGTCGGGTCCTCGAACGCGGGGAGGGCTTCGACGACCTTCTTGGGCTGAGCCTGGGTCTTCGTCGAGGTCTGCTGCTTCAACTTGGCCTGTTTGGCTGCGAACTTGGCAGCCTTGTCGGCGCGCGCCTTCTCTGCCGCCTCTAGTCAAAAGAAAAAGCGCCTGTTAGCGGGGGCGGGCGCAGTGGAGGGGAAGGAGGGGGGAGGAGAGAGTGCAATTTACCCTTTCTTCCCGGCTTTGACTCGGACATGATTGATCGTCTAGCAAGTAGAAGACCGTTAGATGATCGAAGAGCAGCAAATGCTGGGCGGGAAAGAGGGGAGGTGGTGCGAGGGAGGGCCAGCAGGTGTAGCAGCATTCAGCAGCCAGTGGTGGGCATCCCACTTTCTGCACCACAAGTCTTGTGCAGTAGTGACTCATTTGGGACAAGCGGGACAAATTCTTCGGGCGGTACGATCACGTGAGATTTGGGCAGATCGTGCCCCGATCCCGGAAAGGGACTAGTGCACTGTATGTGGCATATCGCTGTTTGCTTGGTTTGTTTTCGATGAGAGTCAACTGGTAAGGCATATTCGAAGACCGACCCCCATCTATTCAGACTTACAACATAGTATCTAGTCATCAGACTACAGGCTGATTCCTTAATCAGAGCTAATAAATCCTTACCTATAACATGCCTGCGACAGATTCTCTCCGTGTGTTTCTTCTCTGCCACAAGACCACCGACAAGTAAGAAGAGGTGCTAATTCGTTGGTCAGAGCCACCCCTGACCCCCGCAGAGCGGGCCATCGTCAAAACTTATGGAGGATGGACCAGTTTCATGAGCAGCTATGGCCTGAAACCTTGGGATTTCGATGATATCGATGAAGCAAAGCAGATTTTGACGACGCTTGCTCAGATGGATGACCAGGATGATGAGAGTGAGCGCTCTAGTGAGTCGGTCCGATAGTTTTGTAACCGTTACTGTACTGCGTTCTAACCTGTGGCCTTCTGGTCGATGATAGGTATACAAGCTTCGAACAAATAGCTTCCATTGCACGAAACGAAATGGAAACAGATTCTACCTCTCATAATAATTTGTACGGTAGAGAGGTTTGAGTTGATTGTTTCACCGTTGACTTTATGCTTGCCCTTTCTTTCAACTCACACTTGCTCAAGATCACTGAGAAATCGTTTCAATCGACACTCAATATGTACTTGAATGAGTATAGGGATACTAATTTGAAGTAAATAATACCCCGAGTCCGTGGTCTAGTAGTCTTCGCTGTACGCCGTACGGAGTAGGTACTATTTAAGCACCATCCGACTTGCATATGTCTAGCCCGATCCGGAGATATAGCTGACTCATCAATGCCAAGGGATCACTCGAATCATTCCCAAAGAGGCTAGGCTCCGCCACGCGATATGGGAACCTGATCAATTGCTTCTCCAAAATTTTTCCTAGCATCACACTCCACTCCCTTCAAATCCCAGCAACTGTCACGACCACGGCAGTGATCCTCTGCGTGAGCCATCTATAGATTTCCAGACCGTTTTCTCAACCGCCCTAAAAAAAATGTCTGCTGACACCTCTGCCGGTAAGCACGCCCTCACCGTCCTGGAGCCTGGTGCAAGATAACTAACGTAGCGGATACAGCCTGGCCTCTTGCCGACGAGGCTCTTACCCAGAGCCTGCTCGACCTCGTTCAGCAAGCTGCGCACTACAGACAGCTTAAGAAGGGGGCTAACGAAGGTAAATACATCTCTCTGTATGGTGATTGTGCCTTGCTAACGAATATCCAGCCACCAAGACCCTCAACCGCGGAACTGCCGAGCTCGTCATCCTCGCTGCCGACACCACTCCTCTGGCCATTCTCCTTCACCTCCCTCTTCTCTGCGAGGACAAGAACACCGCCTACGTCTTTGTGCCCTCCAAGATGGCTCTGGGCCGTGCGACCGGCGTGTCCCGCCCCGTGATTGCGGCCAGCATCACCACCAACGATGCCAGTGATCTTGCTGCGCAGATCCGCACCATCAAGACCCAGGTCGAGAGACTGATGATCTAGACGCTGTCGGACAAGGTACAAGATGGATTTCAGGATAGCTACAGGGAGTTATGTGTTGCTGGAAACGCAACCTTAACTTTTTTTCTTATACATTGAATTCCATCAAGTGTATCCATCAAGTGTATCCATGAAATACAATAATCAGCACTGTGTAGAATTGCTAGATAAAGATATATCCAAACTGCAATCAGGTATCATATCGCAACACATTATATTACACGTCAAGGAAAAGAATAAAAATCATTTAGTAAAAAGCCCACCCACCGACTCTACCGCCCCTTTTGCATTCTTAATCATCGGATCTGTATACCCAGCCGCCGGACCCCCATATGAACCCTGGTCATCCTTTCCACCCCTCTCTGCCCGATTGATGCCCTCCTTGGAAACCATCTTGCCGACGGGGGCCAACAGGCCGTTCTCGCCCACCTGGTTGCCGATCAAGTTGTGCACGTCGTCTTGCAGCTGGTCGACTTGTTTGACGCCTGTTACTTTTGATTTATTCAAGGTGTCTATTTAACTGTCAGACAGATCCTGAGGTATTAGATGTAGGTATGGTAGGTACCCTTTGTAACGTAAGAAGCCTTGTTATCACCCTTCCCGAACCATTTGAGATACTGGTCCTCCAACCAGGGAACCCATTTATCGTACTGCTCGCGGTAGACCTGTTGCAGCCATTCAGAGTAGGATTGTTTCTTCTTTTGCTCGGCGGGGAGATTGTTGTACATTTCGCGGGTTTGCGGGGTATCTTTGACTTGATCCATGGTGATAATCGTATTAATCGAAAAATGGTGATTTGAGATGTCGCCGATATTTCCCTTTACTGTTTACATTGGTATGTGGCTATACAAGTGTTTTTATGTATGATTTGATGGACATGACGTAGGTGGACGCGTTCGCGATCATCGCAGAACAGGCTTTGATGTCATCGAATCTAGGTAGATGGCTCTAACATAGGTACAAGAGAAATACAGACTGATGCTAATAATATCAGATGATGGAAGTATTGGTTGCTATTCTCCGGCCACATGTTGTATACCACCGATCCACGTACGTCATGTCCGATCTATGCTATGTGATCGTCGATATGTTAGTTGAATAGTAACCATTTCGACTATCTTTACCTCAAATTGAATTGAGCGCCTTCTAGATTATTCGACTGCATATTGGAAGTACCCTGGTCCTTTTTGGATAGTGGTCGGGGATCTGAAGGAGATGATTCAAAATCCACTCGAATAGGAAGATGTTTACACCATCTCTCCACCAAGCTAATAGACGTAAAAATTGTGTCTGCTATAGAACATGGTATCTCAGTATATTTCTTAATCTGCATTCACCCCGTGCTTGATGAAAATGGAAGCATCAACGTGACGTCGACATCAACAACCATGGGTGCTTTGATGATAGAAGTTTTGAATAAAGTCGTTAGGTAGCAAGCGTCAATTATCAATATATCTTTTTGGAGTATACTTTTCCCTCCTGCCGCTTGTCTAGATTTCATGCTCGCTCATCGTCCTTTCGGTATATTGTTTAAATCGGTTGAAATTTGAATGCACGCAACTAAATAGCCATACCTCGTCGCTCAAGGGCTTTTCTTCACGTCGTTCCACTCCTGCCGGTGGTACGTTTAGAAGTTACTCCAAGAGCTCCGTCTAATCATTCGCCATCTCTTGTGATCGGATTCTTCCTGACTTCAGGTAAGCCAGGCGCATAAATAGACTTGATGATATCAAAATCCCTCACCGGTGCTAAACCACCTACTATATAATCCAGCGATACCAGTTCACCCTCCTGCCATGGCATTTCCCGGCAATCCGGCTTCGCACTTGCATCGAGGCAACTGGGCAAGCAGAAATCCCGGCGTGGTCTTGGTGTTCGTTATTGTGTTCCTCGTCTCCATAGGAATAGCCTCTCTTTTCGCCTATCGGAAGTGGCTAACGTACAAAGCCTCTCGGAAGAATCTAGAGATTGCTTAGTGTTTGAAAATGGGCCAGCAGGCATTGTTCAAGATTGAAAGAACTTACCTGTCATTGTTAGAGACTCGTCATCTTAAAGAGTAAAGCATCCATGTCTATTTAATCTATGGTGCCTTGTGTCCTTTGTTCTGGCACAATGGGTTTCATGATCATGGCACAAGATAAAGAACCGAGGAACGGCCTCGATAAATCTTCGTATAATGGCCGTTTGTCTGATAATCCACTGTGGTCTTCCGTTGTTCGTTGGCAATCCCCCGTTTCGAGAAATATAAATACCATCCTATTCCATCGAAGCAAGTTGTTATCTTCACTATCCTTCCCCATCCATCAGTATCAATTCAACAAATCGAGTATCAAACAAAATGTGCCTTTACACCTACCACCACTACCCCAGCTGCGGCCACATCGCCAGCTGGTCCATCGATAGCTGCATCGGCTTCACCAAGGGCCTGCGAGGACTTGCTGCGTTAAAGCCAAACAGCACCCAGAAGTACTGCTGTAGTTCGATCCGGGAGACGCACGACCTGCTTGCCTTCTCCGCCCAGTCTCCATGCCAGCAATGCGAATCTAACCGACTCAAGGGCCTGATCCCAAACGCATATGGCCAGCCATCTGACTGGGCCAAGCCCTATCTCGCCATCGAAGGTTTGACAGCCACTTCGCCCATTGTGGACCTCCGAGTCAAAATGATAATTCCACAGGAAAAGCGATTCAACGGTGAAGTAGGAGGAAGCTCCCTGCAGAGCGGCGTGGACACAGCAAGCGAGGCGTGTGATCCCGTGAGCCCTGTTTGTTCGACCTTCTCACCTCCGCCTAAGCGAGGCAACTCTTCTAACATTCTCTTCACAGTCCCCCCTCCTCGAAAAGAAGTTCCTTCAATCTTCTCCCATCCAGTAAGGCCAGGTCACTCTTCTAACATTCTCTTTGCAGCTAATCCTTCTCGGCAAAAAGTCACTTCAACCTTCTCCCGTCCACCCCAGCCAGCCAGCTCCTCTAACATCCTCTTCGCAGCCAACCCTCCTCGCCCTCAAGAAGACCACGAAGACGGCCTCTCTGAGCTGGGTCGCCAGGTGGTGAGGTCAATTTTTGAGGATGATAGCCATGAAGAGGATGAAGGAGAAGAAGAAGCAGAAGAAGAAGAAGAAGAAGAAGAATTGATGCCCGGTAAGCGCTTCAACCAGCCTGAATCCATTACTAACCAGCGACAAGCCCGCCCAGTGACCTTCCTGGACTCTAGCTCTCACGGAAGCTCCTCAACATACTCAGAAGACACCGATGAAGGAAGGCAGGTTACCCAACAGCGTATTCGGCTTGTGTCACCCCCGCCTCCATACCCGCGTGCTTCGCACTCTTCCTCTTCTTCTTCTTCCTCGGCCACCACTACAGAACGCAATCTACGCACTCCCAACCTCCCAGACAACGAGTCGGAGCTCTTCGCCTCCTTCGGTATCTACGACTACATCCAGGACTTTCGAGACGTCTCTGATTTCTATCGCGGAACCGGACCTCGCAACCTAGGCACTAGTACAGCTAGAATTGGCGCCCGACGTGCGCGTCTCCCCGACCACGACGATGACGAAGAGTTCCATCCTAATCTCTGCCCGGCGCCCCTGTCACTGCCGCAGGTGTCTGCGCGCATGACGGCTTTCGCTGACTTCCAGAACGCCCAGACCCCGCTGTACCGCTCTCCCGGCGAATCGCCTGCTCGTAACGGAGTTTATTGGGCATCGCAGCATGTCTCAATGTTTGAATCACCCAGGGTGAAAGCGTTACTTGCCCGGCTGCCTAGACTTTATACGGATCTTTTTTGATTTTTTTTTGCCTTTTGGATATTTCCTTGCTTTCTTCCTCTTTCTGTTTGATTTTGACTGACTTTGAAGTTGATAGTTAGTATATATTGCGTTGCTACCCGGAGTGTTGAATACAAATTGAAAATGATTGGATGATTCTTTTCAAATAACAGTAGCATGGTACAGGACGAACTTATCTCATGTTGAAATTATCGATGCGAATATGCTGTAACAAATCCTATCAAAATGCTGGTTGAGCAGCAACGCCAGTAGGGTTGAACCGTTGAATCTAACGTTGACAGTGTTGAACTGGTTGCCTCCGTGTTGAATTGATTACCAGATCCCAAAAGTGTCTGGGTGGCTAAACACCTCGCTCCTCACAATACTTGCTGACCTCCCGTTGCAACCGCTCCTTCTGAACAGCCACATTCTCCATCATCTCCCTCAACTTCCGGACTTCCTCCTCGTTGAGCTGCGCCCCGCCGCCGGTGAAGACTCCCTCCTCAACCAGAGCCCACAGGCCGCCTTCCTTGCTCACCTCCACCATCATATCTAGCACGGCGCCCAGCTGGTTCGGCAACCAGGTGACAATGGGACTACCCCCCGTGGCAGTCGGGTGCGAGGTTCGCTTGAGAATATATTCACGAGCGAACAGCCAGTGCCGCCAGCGAAAGCTGCGAACATGGTCGAGCACGCGGAGGTACAGCAGGGTGGTTTGTGCGTCGGCGCGCTTCGTACAAAACTCTCGGACATGCAATTCTGAGGCCCGTGAAAGCACAAACCGCAGGAACTCCCGGTGGGGCTTGGGGCGATATTGCCGAAAGTCCCGCAAGATGACGGTGAGGGGGTTCTCCGGCATAGGGATCTCACAAAGGTGGTCGAGCAGCGGTATGATGGAGTCGTTGGCACCCGACTCGCCGCGGAAGAACTGGGGCTTGTCGTTGTACTGGCCTTCATAGATGACGCCATCGGGGAACATGGACTGCGAGGTGATGCCGTAGATAAAAGTACGGTACGTCATATAGTCCTTTGGAAGCGAGTTGGACCACATCTTCTCCATGTTGGCCTCGATGGCGGCCATTGCGCGGAGAATGTGTCCCAAGGCATCCTTGGCAGCGGCCAGATGCAGTTTGGAGGTGAGCCCGGTGGCATTAGCCTGGGCAACGGCCTCGAGGAGATCAACGACACCTTGGACGAGACCGCCAGTCAGGGCGACCATGTGAATATGGGTGAGGATAAACCCAGCCTCGGATGATTTTGGATCGAGACCTTTCTCAAAGGCGCGCACCAGGTGTATATTAGTGTACTCGTCATGACCAGCGGCAGGGTCTACAAGGTAGTAGTTGTAGAGCGCATACGAGGCCGCGTAGGACATGAAGGCCGGGATGTCCAGACTGGGGACGAAAATGTGAGGGAAGAGCACATGACGACAACAGACAGGGATGAGTGAGTACTTACATCTCGGCACACTTTACTAGAGGGCCGGCAATGCATCGAGGCAGAACCTGTCTTCCCAGCCCATATCCGCCAGCCGGGTCAGAGTTCCACGTCTCCCAACATGGTTCCAGCAGGTACGACGAGGCCACAAAGCTGTAGTCCCTAAAGGCAGCCGTGATTGCATGCAGGTCCCGTTCGTCAGTGCCATCGACGACGAGACGGTCAATCTCGTCCGTCAGATCGGGAAGGGCACCGGAATCGATGAGGGGGCCCAGCCGGTACTGCGCCAACAGACCCGGAGAGCCGTCCTGCTTGAGAACCGGCATTTCATCCAAGATGTTACTCAGGGCGTTAAAGGTAGCCGGGAGCCGACGCAGAGGTAGTTTGGTGGGCAGAAACCCCGTCGCGGCATTGACGATGAAAGGGTCCGCCGTGGCCGGGACGTCATCCGGGTGGGAGCGAAAGTAGCGCAGGGGAGAAATGTCTCCGGTAGAGCCCATGGCGATGTATCTGCGATGTGGTTGTGATTTCACTGCTTGGGGGCGGTCACTGTAGTGGAGGATCAAAGAGGAGAAGGAGGCCGCCCCGCGGAGCGGCTGCAGTCGGTGCCTATATAGACGTTGGCCGGAATCATTCCGGCCTCAGGGCCGGAATCACTACATGCAGAGATAAGTTGCGTAATACGATCGGATGAGAAACAACGTTGCAGCGGGGCGATAACACATCGAACCCCCCGCCAGCACCATCTCACCTACCCATACCCCGATATCCCCAGAGGCGTAGCAGTCCGGACGCCGACGGTGGCAACCCTCCTTTGAGATAACCAACGTCAAGCTGATTGCAGCGCTCGCGAGTTGCTTCTGAAGACGCGGATTGCCTGCGAAGCCATGTGTCTGATGAAGAAAGACGTAGTTGTATATAAGCACCGCGATATACCGGCTGTTCCCTGGACGTGAAGATGGTTGTTTCTGCCTCGAGTTCCGATGGCGACTTCCCTTTTGGGGGGCGCGGACCAGGTACCAAATTTCCTGCCTGAGGCACCAGGCCGCTGTCACTTTGTTTGTCTTTGCTTTGATTGGCCAGAGCGCGGCTGCCCCGGCTAATCCATATCAGGCCATCATGTGACCAATCACGTGAAATCCTCCCCTTTTCCTTTATCGAACCGACTCCATAATAATTCGCCTGCGAAACAAGGGCAGTTGAGGGTCATTTTGACAGGCTCCACTCCTGACAGGCCAAGAAATACCAGAGAAAAGGCAGCATATCTTCCTTGATTATTATTGCCTCCCTTAACTCATCAGCTGGTACAGGATCCTAATTAATCCTCATGCAGATCATGATCTGAGCGTTGTTCCGGTGAGACAGCCACACCCACTCACAATCCTCGAGTCCTCGGGCCAGAGTGCTAACAACCCACCAGAAGTAGATCTGACTGGTTGTTGCCGTTAACTAAGTTGATATCCGGGTCCATGATGACGAATATTACCAATACTACGGAGTACATACAGGAGGGTCTGCTGGAATGCCACCGTCGATTCTGACAGGAGATAAACCGACTCAGCTGGGGCATCCCATCCCGGGGCTATCATTCACTCGGATACCTACGGAGTACTATCAAGACCTCATTCTGTCAATCCAGAGTATCTCCGTGTCTTCTGGTGACCAGGTCAAAACAATTTCATGAATGCTGGATGGATTTCTCTCGATCGCTCATACCGCCTCGTATTATCAGCCATGCCCACGGAGTATAGTCCCGAGCCCTACGCTACATATGTAGTAGAGCAATAGTCAACTAGTAACCTGGTGTAATTAACCAACTAATAGGTTATTATCCATGTAGCTAATGAGTTAGTTACCTACTAAACAGCTAGCTAGGTGCTTTGGTCCACCTGTCGCTCCCCCGCCGAAAAACCCGTCGAGGGATCCGCCTGTCGATCGCGTCCCTATTTCATTCGTAGCAGTCCTGGTGCACGGCCAGCTGTTGCATCCTCCCTTTCCTGGCACCGCCATGAAATCCCAGATCATCCCGCCGCTCTTACCGGCTGGTATCACCACTTCCCCCCCAAAGGAACAGCAGACAGTCTGGAACCAGAGCTGCTCCTGCAGGTGCAGGGGTCGCCTCATCACCGACGCCGCGACACCGCCCTGCGACCTGTGCTTGACCAGGGTCCACCAGCCAAGCAAGAGGAGGAAATTTGAGAGGGGATATGCAGACAGCGGGAGCGAGAGTGACCGGGAACTGCTGAAGGCGCTGCTGAACGCTATTGTGACGCGTGATGCGAAAACCACAGAGGATCTGGTGCGCCAGGTCCGACAGCGACGGTCGTCGTCGACGACCGTGGTCAGTTGCGACCAGCTCGTCGTGCAGCCCCCACCATCTCCGGATTCCGGCAAGTCTGTCTTGGAGATCAAGACGGTGGAGCTGAAGCATGATGAGCTATGTCTGCTCTTGATCGGCATGGATGCTCGCGACGATTACCTGTCGGGGCTGTGGGAGACGCTGCTTCGCTGTGAAGAATCGGCCGTGCCGTCATTGCTTTATGCAATCCGCCAGAGTCTAACACACAGCCGTCCAGAGACTCCTTTGACGAGCTGGCCGTCGTCAAAGATCTCGCTGGAGCGGATCCACATCGCCGCTGCCTCGCTGGCGCGAAGAACAGGAGCTGGCAAAAATACCGGGTTGACGAACAAGTCAACCACAACCACAACCACAACAACAAAAACACCAAGACAAACGCTAATAACAATTGTAGAACATGGTAAGCTACATGCGGAGCCGCTGTATATTGTCTCGAATGTGAAGCGGTGGACGGGCGTGGTGGATGATGAAACCGCATCCCATTTGCTCTCGCTTTTTCTAACGTGGGACAATCCCCTGGCACAAGTGGTTGATTCGACGATTTTCCTCCGCGACTTGAACTCTGGCAATACACGCTTCTGCTCGGCCCTCTTGCTTACGATGATGCTTTACTATGGCTGCGTGGGTATCTCTCTCCCTGGAGTGGTTTGTATTTCTAGCTTGACAGCCGTTTCGCTAATGTGGATCTGCGCAGAACTATTCGTATGACCTGGACCGACCGTGGGATCGGTCCGAGGAAAAGGCCACCGCCAGATCTCTGTACGCGGAGATTCAACGCCTGTGGCCCCTGGAGAAGGACACGGTGTGTCTGACAACCGCGCAATCCAGCATGCTGCTAGGGGCGGTTTTTTCTACCTCGGGTAAGGACAAGATCGGATCGCAGTATATTGAGTATGGTGCATTGATAGCACGCAAGCTTGGAATTCACAAGGCCTCGTGCCCGTCGTTTCAATCAGACTGCCTGCAAGAAGCAGAGGAATTGTCTCGAATACAAAAGGTCCTAGCCTGGACGGTCTTCGATTTCCAAGCGTGAGCAGTTTTGATTCGCTTCTGCCCGTCCCCCACCCTCCCTACCCCCTTTTCTTTGACTGGATTTTACAATGTCCTACTGTCTTCCTGCCGTTTACTCCCATCCTTTCTTGCAGGGTTGATGACAAGTTGATAGTTTTGTGGCCCACGTCTACGGCCGAAGGCCTGCTTGGCAATCGCCCCCCGAGATCGAACTGACCAAGGCTGAAGCCGATCTGGCCGACGCAGGCGGCATCTGGTCGCCATACCCATTTGCCTCTCCAGTCTTCAAGCCGTATAACTACGCCGGGCTGCGCGCGAGATACGGACTCAGCGTGGTGGTGAATCAGATCGCATTACTAGCCAAGGAACTGCCGGAAGGGATGTCTCTGTCCCAAGAACATAACAAGCGAGCCATGGAACTTGTGGGCAGGTTATTAGCCTGGAGGAAGTCACTGCCATTGAGTCTATGGCTGGATGTGAATCCTACCCCGATCAACTTTGGGTTGTAGTATGTCCACTGTCTCCGTCTCACATTCTCCTACCTTATCTTGCCACGGTAGGTCAATGGTAACAAGTACGGCAAATTGCTTTAGTCTCTACTACTACACCACCCTCCACTTCCTATGCGAACTCCTCTGCAGCAAGTCCGACACAAAAGACTTTTCCCCTCATGACCCCCATAAATTGTCCACCGCGGCCATTGACTCCACCGGCTCCCTCTTGCTACTCTATCGCAAAACGCATGGATGGAAGTCGCTCCCCATCGTGATGCAGCATTATTTTGCCGTTGTGGGCGTCTTCAGCGCATCAAAGCTTACTCCAACCGTCCCGCAAAGGAGTCATATCTTGGAATGCTGCGTCTCGGGGCTGTGGCATATGAGCCTTTCATGGAGGCTGTGCCGCATCCTTCTGCGGATTCTGGAATTAGTGCTGGAGCAGGCTCGGCCGAATCCCAACCTAATACCACCCACTGTGAAGCGAATCCTCCAAGAGCTACGGTCCAAGGTCTGGAGGTCGACCGACACGGAGAACGTCGAGGCCGAGTATATGATCCATAACCTCCCGGGCGAGGGGTCAGTAGACGGTTTGGAGAATGTCTTGAGGGCCTTGGATACGGTCTCCCTGAATGATTAGAGTCACGGCAAGTTTTGTACATTAAATCTTTCTCCTTTTTCTGTTCCATCCGTTGGGTGTTTACTGTAATATACCATGGGGATGCTATACAACATATACCTCAAGAATTCCGCTTCTTCCATTCCGTTTTCCTGTTTTTGATCTTGCCTGGCTGACAATGGAAAATAGGATCGTCTGCAAGTATTCTTTACACGGATCTTTATCTGATGTATTAGAAATGTAGTGATGGGCAAAAGGAGCAGAGCAAGGAACCACGAGCGATTCTACGACATTTTGAGTCCGCCAGTCCAGTCATTGAGGACCGTAAGTTACTTCTGACAGTTCTCGGTCACTTGTCAGTCACCATTTTTGGGAAACTGAAATGTGACCATTCAATCATGTATAAAGGGTCACAGCAAAATCAATATTTCCATGTTGAGAAGGTCGGCGTCTCTGGCTGGCTGGCAAACAGACCTTCCAGTGCACGAGTGCAATATCACAATGCATCAAGAACAGGCAATTTACGTGCTCATAATACAGGTTTCCAATATAGTAACTGTATATAAAAATAAAACCATTGATCTGAATTGCTTACTCTAGATATATCTTGAAAAAGTCGCTTTGAGCAAGTCACGCCGCAGACCGACTATCCGCCAACAACAACTCGAGGATCGGGCCTACGATGGCCTCTTCATGTCCCAGTCCCATCAAGCGGGAGACAGTGACGTTGATCGGGTTCGCCTTGGCGCTCTGCACAATCTCCCAGATCCGATCCTTGGCCGTATACTCGATCTGGTAGGTCATCAGGAGATGCTCGATGCGTGGGGTCGCGTCGATGATGGCCAGCTGGGGATCCGGGCCTAGCTCGATGCTAATGACATGCCTCACTTGCTTCTGCTCTGCACCCACAGCGGGACAAGTCACGACTACACTGGCAACCTGCGGGTACCGGTCGACGCGGATAGAAGTGTCGGCGGTTCGATCGACGCCGTCGATGCTTAGCTTGAACTTGTCGGGGAGGGCGGTTAGGGCGAGGAACCGAAAAGTCCAGGGCCGATGATGGTCCGTGATATGGGCAGTTAAAATGCCTTCTTTCTGGGTGTATGCGATTGTCTGCGTGTGTGGTCCCGCCGCAGGAGCGTCTGGACTGGCGTCGTCTCGTGCGTCTTCTAAAATCTCGGCGCGGCCATCCTGGCCGACAACGACGAGGACCTCGAATGCGTTTGGGTTCAGGCATCCGTTCCGGGGCGCGGCGTCTGCGTCTAGCGGGATGATGGACCCCTCGTGTGCGAGGACGGGGTATCCGTCCAGCGGTCGGTAGAAGGTCACGGTGTGGTCTGCATCGTAGACTGTGCCGGTGAAGATATCGACATGGCGGTGGGGCGGGGGCAGCCAGGCCTGGACGGCGGCCAGGCTGGTCTTGCTGTTTCGTGGGTGGACAATCGGGGCGACGAGCAGGTCGGCGCCAAAGTAGTATTGGTTCGGAACGGTGTAGGCCTCGGCGCGGTACGGGTGGTGCCAGTACATGGGTTGGACGAGGGGCTCGTCATCCCGCGCGCAGATGATGTTGCGCGTGTACAGGAAGGGCACGAGGCGGTGGCGAAGACGCAGGAAGGTGGACATGACGCTCTCGCACTCGGCCCGGTACAGCCAGGGCTCCTTGGACATCCAGTGGGACTGGGTCGAGTGCAGGCGCATGATCGGCGAGAACACGCCCAGTTGGACCCAGCGGGTGACGAGCTCGTCATCGCGGCCTCCAAACAGATGGCCGCCGATGTCGTGGCTCCACCAGCCGTATCCAATGTTGGAGGCCGTGGCCGTGAACTCGGGCTGGAACTGCAGCGACGCCCACGTTACAACTGTGTCGCCCGAGAACCCGATGGGGTACCGATGGCTGCCCGGGCCGGCGTACCGCGAGAAGATTATCGGGATGTTTCCCTGGCGGGCGTGGTCGAGGAAGTGGAAATGGTTCAGCAGCCACAAGGGGTCCATGCCGGGCACTTTGGAATATAACCCCTGCTGCCAGTCGATCCACCAGAAGTCACAGGCAATGTTTTCGAGGTTCCGGTGCAGAATGCCCAGGTACGCCTCCATGAATTTAGGGCTTGTTGGATCGAATAGAATCGGGGTTTTGTCGCGCGTGTCATGGCCGAGAGCTCGCGCCATCTCCTCGTATGGGTCCTCGTGCGAATGAATTCCTTGATGGGGATGGTCGTTGAGGGTGATCTTCAGATTCCGGTCATGAAGCTCTCGTCCGAACTGCACCGGGTCCGGAAACAGATTCTTGTCCCAGGTATACCCGGTCCAGCCGGAATGAGGGACGCGTTCGTCTGAAACATAATGCCAGTCCATGTCAATGACGGCGACGGACATGGGGATATCGCGCGCGCGAAACGTATCCATGAGCTGGAGATATTCCTCTTGTCGGTATGCGTGGTACCTGCTCCACCAATTGCCCAAGGCGTACCGCGGCAACTCTGGCTGTTTGCCGGACAGCGCATAGAATGCCTTCATCGCCGCTCGATACTCCTGGCCATAGCAGAAAAGGTACCCGTCCACGCGGTCACCGGCAAGTCGACCGGCGACGAATCCCTTGCCGTCAAACAGCATCGAATTCGAGTCGTCCAGCGCTGCATAACCTCTCCGTGACAGTGGGCCATGGCCCATATCGCACCGCCCATCAACCATGTCGAGTGTTCTAGCCGTGGCTCCCAGGTTGCCCTCGGGAGCATCGCCATACCGCCACTGCCCTCCATGCTTGAGGAATTTGCTATTAAAGTCCACCAGCAAACCATCGGGACTGAACCGTTTCTTGTTGTAGCTCAAATGCAGATACGGCGTGATAATCTCCAGATCTCCGCCCTTATCCACCACTCGAAACTCGGGCACCGGAAAGTCGCGATGGATGGCGAACGTCGAAGCCCGATCCTCGAACTTTCCAGGCTCGTCCACCCATTCATACCTCACGAGACGATCGGTCAGAACGGTGAAGCGGTAGTTCGGGCCAGAGACAATAGCCTTGGCGTTCGCCTGAGGCGTCGTACGGAAGGTATATTTGTCCATCGTGCAGGTCCAAGACAGATGATGGGGGCTTCCTCCGTTGAGCAGAGATGACGACGCTTATCATTCTCGGAGAAATAGCTACTTTTTAAGTACCAGAAGCATGAGACTGATCGTCTACCCCTAGCACCGTATTGGAGTGGACCAGCTCCAGAATTCCAGCGAATCCATTGCCGACAGCGAACTCATTGCAGCGAAGAATCCAGCGATTGGTCTGCAGCGACCTTGGGATTGACGACGTGGCTTCTGATCTGTTGCAGGATTGAGGGGCAAACAGATAAGTTGTCGATTTAGACACTCATTTCTCCATGGAAAAAGACAGTCTGTGCGATAGAAAGACTCCAAAGGGTGAATTTCGGCAGATGGTTCTGTCGACGGCGCGTGATCTGGATATTGCATAAAGTGACCTTATGCGCATAGTTTATATGAACGTTACATAAGCTATATCTCGCTGTTGATTGGCTAATAGATGGGCCCCAAATCTTGCTTTGATTGGCTGTAATTGTCAGCACGTGCTTCCCCTAACTGGAACTTAGGGCTTTTGGTTAGGGCTGAGCATCCATCGTCTGGTGACTTCCAGGCTCCAGCATCTGAGCAAAACATTTGCAGCCATTGTTTCTTTATCATCTCAGCCTACAATCCAATCTCCAATACTAAATAGACTTGTTCGTGGCAGAAGGAACAGGTCTCGCTTCCAAAAGACCCCAAGCATGACGCTCTCTCATCAGTGAAGTACAAGGTACCTAACCTGACCCTCCAGCTCGTACTCCTTACTCCTCTTACCTTTTTTGCTTTTCATTGCAGGCTTATGCTAATTTTTACACGTTGAAATTCAGTAGGGATAAATTCATATACCAAACCACCGTTATGATGAATGAGTAGGGGGAAACTGGCACGACAACAAGTTGGTCATCAGAAAGCAGAGAGCTCTCGTAGTTGACGTTTGGGAAGATTTGAACTTCCAGAAGAGCGAATATTCATACTACTGTTATTTCGGCTCTGTCAGTGCAGGTGATTATCTTGCAGAGAATGCCCATCTGACTGTGGCTGACGGTTGCCTGTTCTGCAGTAACTAATGATTCCAGTGATCCGAGAGTCATTTCTATTACGATCTAGGCTTGAATAGTTCCGGTACCTTCCTCAGTGGGTTGATGTTGCCTTTCTCAGAAGGGGGTCAAATCCAATGTGAAGCTGCACAAGGCTAGAAAATTCTTCTCGGAGAGGGAGTAGAGCGCGGGCACTGGACAGTTCTTACCTTCAGATGCCAAATACGGAGTCGGGGCTTGTTCTTGAGTTCTTGCTTACTCCGTAGGGCTGACTCGTCGCACCATTTGCGCTTCGAAACTGTCGACAGACTTTCGCCTTAGGGCTTCTTCCTCTTACTACTATGTTATTGATCAACTAGGATCGGAGCTATTGGGGTCAACTGGCGGAAGAAACCGGTAATCATCTGCAAAAACCCATTTCCGAGGTGCATGAAATATGACAAGAGGATTGTTACCACGACACATCATCAAGCTCCATCCACCGTCCAGCGCATACCTTATCCCCATGGACATCTCGGTGTTAAGGAGCTTGTGGCGTCTGACCCATGTCGATGCCGCACAGGGATCCAAATCCTTCGTGGTTGGCGAATCTAAACTCCTCTAAACCCGAATCCCGCTTGTTTTGGTCTTAGTCAGCCACCGGCTCGCCGGGATTCCCACCCCGACTTCAAATCCGTGTCTACACTCCTTTTGGGATATCCCATAGGTATTGAATATCTATCGCTCGGCCCGACTTGCTGTCTCTCGCACGGAGTCCCTACGAAGTACTCCTCCCTAATTCCGGACGGCAGAGCCCCTTTCCTTTCACCATGAACCCCAGCAGACACCCACAGCTTAAACCCGCAGCGGGGGTTCCCGCTCCGTACGGTCGGGCCTGCTCGAATTGCTCCCGTGCCAAATGTAAGTGTATTTTGCTTGCTGGCAGTAGTACTGAATGTGAAAGGTTTGTTACATGGATGCCCTGCTAGCCTATATGGATAGAGAGAGATAGGCTGATATTTCCCCCAAGATGTCACCGGCTAAACAAGGAGTGCCGGCCGTCTGCAACGGTTCGGAAGGCTGGGACCAAGCGCTCGTCGGCTTCCAAAACGTCCCAGCTAGAGGCTAAGCTCGACAGTCTTGTCTCTATGCTGCAGTTGAGCGGCTCTGGACCGCCGCTGCCGGCAGAATGGTCATCAAAGAACAACAATGAGCAGCATGGGAGCAACTCGCATCGTTTTCCACGGGAGGCAGATCAACGGCCAGATGTCGCTACATCGAGTTTACTCTCCCCATCGGCAACAAACTCACACCCGCACACTTCTTCAAACTCCCCGGGCCCAGTCGGAACTTGTCTTCCTCCTGATGAAGCAGAGGAATACCTAGATCACTTCCGTAGCAACAAGTTGAAATTTTTCCCACTCATTCACATCCCGCCAGAGATGACCGCGCACCAACTTTGGGAAAATAAACCTTTCGTATGGCTGAATATTATGCAAGTGTCGGCTAGAACCCTTGCCCAACAGGAGACGCTCCGAAGCCAAGTCAAATATAAGATCTATGAGAAGTTACTCGTGGAAAATGAACGGAGCATGGACATGCTGCTCGGCCTTCTCATAGCCCTCGCATGGTCAGTCAATAATTTAGAAATCTTATGATCTTGGCTGTAAACATGTGTGCTAACCGTGAGCACTGCAGGGACTCCATTCCTGTCGGGCCGTTCTATTCCTTGTATGTTCATATGACGATGGGGATCGTTGGTGATCTAGGCCTCAACAAGCCTCCTCGAAGAGAGATACCTCCACTGGCCAAATTTAAGCAAAGCATCGGCTATAAGCCGTGTGCAACCATGGTTCGAACCTCAGAACAACGACGAGCAGTCCTGGCGTGCTATATATGCAGTTCCTGGTAGGCCTCCCGGGGAGAGAAGCTTCTATCTGTAGCTAATGATGCTCGCGGCTCTAGCCTCGCTATTTGTATTCAGAAATCCGAGCCCCTTCAGTGGACACCCCACATGGATGAAAGTCTACGGATGCTGAGCGAGTCTCCGGAGTGCCTAGGGGATGAGATTCTGGTTGTCATCACTCGGTTACACCTAATTATGGATAAAGTCGGTCGCATTGTTCGCGATGGGGAGAATGACTACACCGCAGGCCCATTCTATCTCCAGGCTCTACGGACAGAGTTGAATGTCGTGAAAGGCAAAGTTCCCACATATCTGCAACAAGATGGTAAGCAAGCCTGCCTGTTTCTGAAATCCTCTGGTCGTTGTTATTCTAGCACTCTTAAAGTCTCACATGGAATTTCCGGAAAATTTTAGAGACTGTCCTCCCATATGTGCAGAGCACCGAGTTCATCATCCATGAAGTGTCCTTTTCCATTCCGCCGCTTCTGGCCAAGAGTCCCGACCTCCAACGTCTCGATAGTCTTTGCACGGCTTTGCATACAATAAAGAGCTGGTTCGACCACTGGCTGACCATTTTCCCCTCCCAACGCCGTGCGCTCTCTCTTCTGCACTATTTCCAATTCTCCCGCGCCCTGATCAACTTGTACCGGCTCTCTACCCTCAACAACCCGGCCTGGGACAAGAACTTGGCTCGAAACACAGCAAACCTCGTGGACATCTTGAACCGCATGATCCATGATGTGGAGCAGACGGCCGCACAGATGTCTTTGGACCAGAGCGATGGAGATGCAGAACTCCTATCCAAACTCCTCAAAATGCTGTACTCCTTCAAGCAAGGCTGGGAGCCGACATTAGTAGAGGGCATGGTTCATGAGTCACTCCCTGCAAACCCTCTTCTGGCCGATACATTGTGGTTGGACAATCTCGATGATTCGTGGATCATGGGATTTCTCAGTTCCTTATGACGAAGCTCTCTAAATTTTGAATATCACTTTTTTCTTTTTCTGACTTTTACATATTCATCTAACTTTTATTTTATTTATTATTTTATTTATTTATTTTTCTTTTTTTCATCTACTTCATTACTACACAGAGCAGTCATCTTCCTGTATTCGGCACGTCGGGCGATACGAGCGCCGATGCATAACTACTACCAAGCCCACCATTACGCAAGACTATAGGCCAAGTTCTTGGGTCTAGCTAGGGCTGCTTGCTCCAATAGCCAGCCCAGACAAGGCATTCGAGCCACAGGGCTGGCTTGTTCGCGGATCTAACAAAGATCCGGGCCCTTATTCCCGGCCCTTCCCCCACTCTGTGATCGGATTTCGGGGGATGGGAGGAGTGAATCCCGATACTTGATTCATGAGGGTTTTAGGCAGCTCTAGGGGCGGAGATTAATCACCAGGTGTTCGGCATGTTATTGCTGACCGAAATTTCGATGGGTCAGTTCGTTTACTACATAAGAAGCTCAGAGGGGAACTGCCATTAGCTCAGCAGGTTGCAGAATCTTATCCCGTCTTCGAAATACTACTTATTCTCGGTCTGTGTCAATCAAATCCGCTATTCACCATGGAAAAAAAGGGGGGTATTGAAGCAACCGATTCATCGAGTTCGTTGTCGGTCTCACAGCTGGAGGTCATCAGACACACCCCCATGGAGGACGCGGCAGTTATGTCGGATGGAACAGAGACCCCAGATACAGCTATGGCTGCCCCTCCTGATGCAACAGGCGACGAGGACAAGGCTGTCGCTCCTAAAGATGACAATCACTTTTACCTCACTGGATTCAAACTCTTCTCGGTCCTTGCTGCAGTTACACTTGTTTGCTTTCTTATCCTCCTTGACATGTCTATCATCGTAACGGTGGGTACTACCTGTTGATTGTTATACAAAGAAGAAAGTCTCGTTTTGAAATACCTCTGACAAGCTATCTAGGCTCTGCCGAAGATCACCGATCATTTTCACTCTCTTGAAGACCTTGGCTGGTATGGCAGTGCCTACCAGCTTGCCAGGTATGGAAACTCTCGGGAATCTCTGAAAAGGGAGGATTCGAACCGTCTTACGTGCCAACACATACTTTCTCCAGTGCCTCTCTCCAGCCTCTCACCGGGAGAATCTACCACAACTTCAAATCCAAGGTATGGCGGGTGGAGGTAGCCTTTGGTATCCGGTTGCGCTTGTGCTGACGGGTCTCTCTCTCCCAGTGGACCTTCTTGGCTTTTTTCTTTGTCTTTGAATTAGGCTCGCTTCTTTGCGCGATCGCCACGTCGTCCAACATGCTTATCATTGCGCGAGCCGTCGCTGGTTTAGGCTCGTCGGGGTTGATGAATGGCAGCTTGACCATCATTACCTCTTCAGTCCCGTTACAGAAATCGCCAAGTACGGAAAAAACGTTCTATTACATCTCTCTATCCTTTTCTGAACACCTTCACTAACACTCTTTTCTTGCAGTTTACGTGGGTATTATGATGGGATGTAAGTTGTTCAGAGGTCACTCCACCAATGACAGACAGACAGTATATTGATATTCTTCTACAATAGGCTCCCAGATGGGTATCGTCTTTGGTCCCCTGCTCGGTGGAGCATTCACGGAATATGTTAGTTGGAGATGGTGTAAGTCTTTCTCTTACTTCGCATCAACATATCAACTATCATATCATAAACCTGACCCATACGTTTCCCAACACAGGCTTCTACATCAATCTACCCATCGGTGCCGTGGTTGCAGCGATCATTATCTTTACCCGCATCCCGGACCAAGCTGATAAACCGCCACCGCTTTCCGTCGTCCGGGTCCTTCACAAGAAGCTCGATCTGCTTGGTTTCGCCCTCTTCGCGCCTGCCGCCATCCAGCTCCTCCTGGCGCTGCAGTACGGTGGCAACCAGTATGCCTGGAACAGCTCTACGGTCATCGGGTTATTCTGCGGTGCGGGCGCCACCTTCATCCTCTTCTGTGTCTGGGAGTACCGTCAGGGAGACATGGCGATGATCCCCTTCTCGATGCTCCGCAAGAGACCCGTCTGGTCCAGCTGTTTGACGATGTTTTGCATCTTTGCCATGGTTCTCTGTGCCGCCTACTATGTCCCCGTGTACTTCCAGGCTATCAAGAACACGTCCCCGATGATGAGCGGAGTGTACATGCTCCCCAGTATTTTGGCCCAGATGTTGTTTGCAGTGATGTCGGGAGTTTTGAGTATGTGCAATCGTTTTTATCCCTTTTACTTATTCCTTTCCCCTGCTAACGGGTCGCAGCTGGCAAACTGGGCTACTACCTCCCTTGGACTCTCTTCTGTGGCGTTGCCTCCTCGATTGGCAATGGTTTGGTATCGACCTGGTCACCGCACACCTCCACTGCCCGATGGGTTGGATACCAGATCCTCCTGGGCGCCGGCCGAGGAGCTGGAATGCAAACGGTTCGTCTCTGCTCTAATCGATACGGTCCCTCTAGGCATCAGTGCTAACCTGAACAAGCCTTTCATTGCAGTCCAGAATACCCTGCCCCGCGAGCAGATCTCTATCGCAATGGCCATCCTCATGTTCACCCAGACCTTCTCCGGCGCCATCTTCCTGACCTTTGCCGACGTGATTTTCGACAACAGTCTGAAGACCCTGATCCCCCAGTACGCCCCCTCGGCAAACTCGGAGGCGATCATCGCGGCGGGTGCCACCGCCTTCCGCGAGGTCGTGTCCGAGGACGCCCTTGAAGGTGTGCTGGTTGCGTACGCCAAGAGTATCGATCGCGTGTTCTACATGGCTGCCGCTGTAGGAGCCGCCTCGTTCTTCACCGCGTGGGGGATGGGATGGAAGGATATCCGGAAGAAGAAGCCCTCACCAGAGAAGGTCTAAAAAGGTTTTTTCACCCACGGACTATCTCTCCTCTCTATATTCACTTTACGTTTTTCGTTTCTTTTTTTTCTCCCCTCTAGGCATAAATTCATCGGGTTAGGTATATCATGGCGTTGTGCGCAACTCTCAAGGATATATATAGACAAACACACCCACAGAGAGAGAGAGATTGCGTTGATATATAGGAAATAATAATACAGCTATGGTACAATATTCAACCGTCAATAACCAGGTAACTCCTGAATCCAATTAATAATTCCGACGATGACTCCCTCGACCGTCCGTTCCATGCATGCGTCGTGTCCCAGCGGCCTGAAAGGTTCATTAGAGGAAGAACAGACAGTCACCTATTTAAAGCATACCTTTTCGCCTGGTCTGCCCGTCAAGCTCCCCTTCATCTTCAACATCGCGCCCGACAGCTTATCCCCCAGCGTGACCTTCCGCTTCTGGTGATGATGGCGATGTGGGAGAACTGATTCGTCGGCTCTCTTCTGGCCCCTGCGCCGGTTGGACTTGGACGTCGTGGTTGTTGTCGTCGTCTTGTATGTCTTTGTACGGGCGTTGGGGCCACGCAGGCGGGTCATCAGACTTGGCTTGGTGGTTCGGGTGGTGGTTTTGCGGCTTCTGTGACTTCTGAAAGGCATGATGGATAGTTGTATTTGTTGGATGTATTTGTTGTGTACTTGTTGAAGTGTGTTTGTTGAAGTGTGTTTGTTGAAGTGTGTTTGTTGAAGTGTGTTTGTTGAAGTGTGTTTGTTGAAGTGTGTTTGTTGTGTTCTGGTGATATGGCTTATATGACTATATATTCGGTGATGACGTCGACTTCGCCTTATATCAGTTCTAGTTTTGGAATCAAGATAATACACGCAGTATGACAGAATGATGCGCATGTCTATCAAATAAGATATTGCCTTCTGATCATTACCTTGTGGCTTGGATGATCATGCTGATCGTTGATCATTGCCATGACGTCATTATATAACTAGACCATACAATGGTGATATAGAATACAACTGCACTAGGCAATGTAGACAAGGTATCTCTTGGAAAGAAAATGGGCACTATGATAGGTTATTCAACCGAGACTGAGACTAGGTCTATTGATTCCAGGATCAGCCATTCTGATGGATATCTGTATCGGAGTTGGATCACTGCATCACGAGTCAGTCTTCAACCAATTCATTCATGACTCGATATGTCAAAGATCAGATGGATGATTTGAACACTGACTGAATGTCTGTCTTCTTCTGTGAAACACTCAATCTTAGGGTTGACTTCCAGAGCTAAGACAGTCAGCAAGATCACATCAAGGCTCAAGAACATGGATTCGAACATGAATTTCTCAGAAGAACAGATGCACCTCTGCCAATCCATATTTAACTGACTCTCAAAACGATAGAAATTTCGGTCTTATATACAAACCTCATCACAGTTGTTCTTTGGCAACCCCGCTGTAATGCAGGTAAGCGAGCGTCAACAGTTTAGGTGGACAGGCAAAACCCCCATTATTCCCCCACTGAGCCTGGCTGAATAGTTGTCATTATTAACGAACTGCCAACACCTTGAAGATTTACTCACCTGTATATATATAAATATATATATACCTTTATACTCTTTGTAATTTACTGGTACTATACCGATACTACCTCTCTCTGTGTGTGTTGTATGGCTCCTCGCAAGTTCCGTGGACCGAAACCCGGCGCTGCAGCCGTGACCCGTCCCCGCAAGGCCATTCAGGAACAGTCGCAGGCCTTCGAGGCCGTCAAGACTCGTCGCTGGCGGCAGCGGCGGTCAGAGGCCGAGCGCTGCATTGAAAACGCACGTACGGGTGATCGGCTTGCGGTGTATTACGCGCAAAAGAGCATCCGGGCGAAGCCGTCCTTCCAGGCGTTGAGTCCGGAAAAGCAACAGGCGGCTCTCTTCGAGGCAAAGAAGGAGGTCATGGACCGACGGTTGGTTTTTCCTTTTCCTCACCTTTATATTCGTCTTTCTTGGACCTCGTGAAAATAGACACTAACAGGTGTCTAGAGATAAAGGACAACGCTCAGAGGCGATGGTACGTCGGAATATTGAAGTCTTGGAAATTATAAAGAAGGCTCAGGCGGAGGTAGAGGCACGGAGGACTGCAAGCCAGCCAAGCTAACCTCCTTTTCTTCCTCCTCCTTTTTCTTTAACTTCTTTCCTAGTATGCAATGATACCACTTTGCTGTTTTCCAACCCTTCAGCGTCTTCAACCCCTGAAAGTAAAGTGATTCAGGTATATAGATCCAGCCAGAAGTTCAAGCCTTGAACACTAGTGCCGTTCCTGAACGATGTTTGTTGCATGTGAAGATATTGATCCTCGGATCAGAGCAGACAGCAGGGGAGAAAAGACAGACTGTACAGCTATTTGTCTCGAATAGATGCAGCCCCCAGGCACGGAGAGAGGACAACTCACTAGAATGTCACGTAACTCCTCTGGACGGCCCATGATTTGCTTGATGCCAGAGTTCCCCATGCTCGACACATGCAAATTCCTGGGGAACATCTCGGCTGTTCCCCATCGGTTCCCCCGCATTCCATCCCCCCCCCCGCAAAAATGCCCAATGAGATCGATCGACAAAGCCACATCTTATAGTATGAAAGATGAAGTGCAGAAATACTCCCCTGGGAATCACCCTTCTAGGAAATTTTCACCCGCAAATCTCAATCTGAGGGGGGAGAATCTTCCACGTCGTCTGGAGTTTAGTGATTCTAGAGGTCATGCTGGTCAGGCACATGTCAGCACGTGTCAGGGATGGTCTTGTTTTTTTCTTTTTCCTTGGAAAAGGAGAAAAAAGCATATAACCTGATAGATGTAGCTCAAGTCCATTATGTCTACTGTCAGCTGTTCTGTGTAAATCTTCACAAAGTCGATTCCATACCTCTACACTCACACAATGCATATTCTGGGCTGGACTTCGTTTTTGGCTCTGGGCGCCATATCCATGGCGAGCACCGTAACGTCGAACACGATTGTCCAGCGGGAAACAGCCCTGAATGAGTTTCTGGCCATCCTGCTCGAATATCTCCCAGACATCGATGGTGATATCACGGACGTAACCGACACGATCGCTGATTTCGAAGAGCTCCTGGCGGACTTGCTGGATATCACGACGACGTACAATGAACTCGGCCAGACGTGCACTGATTACACCATTATTTTCGCGCGTGGGACTTCTGAGCCTGGAAATGTGCTTACACCCTTTCCTGGATGTATGAAGAAAAGAAAAAGAAGAAGCTAAATCAGTCTTGGATACTAGGTCGGCGTACTTGTTGGTCCTCCATTGTTCATCGCTTTGGAGGATCTCATCGGTTCATCTGCGCTCACCATTCAAGGCGTGAACGACTATGCAGCAAGCGTGGAAGGGTATCTGGAGGGTGGCAGCGCTGTTGCCAGTGCAGAAATGTATGTCCATTGCTTTGCTTGATGTTGAAAGAACGTGGCTGACACAGTCCCGGGGATAGGGCATCACAAATTGAGAGTGCCGTTTCCGACTGCCCAGACACCAAGTTGATCGTGTCTGGGTACTCGCAGGGATGTCAGGTTGTGCACAACGCAATCAACTCGCTTTCTGCCACGACTGCAGCGTATATTAGCAGCGTCCTGCTGTTTGGCGACCCAGGTGAGGAGAGAGAGAGAGAGAGAGAGAGAGAGAGAGAGAGAGAGGGCACTGATGACTGACGGTTGTTAGATGACGGACAAGCCTTGTCAAATGTTGCTTCTTCCAAGGTCGATACCTTCTGCCATGTCGACGATGATATCTGTGACGATGGCGTCCTTATCCTCCCAGCGCATTTGACCTATGCAGAGAACGTGGCGGCTGCAGCTGCGTTTGCTGTTGCCGCTGCTAAGAGATAGAATTGGTTAGGTATGGAGACGAGAGGATAGGAGAGGAGAGAAGAAGGAGAGAGAAAGGAGGAGAGAGAGAGAGAAGAGGAGAGAGAATAGAGGAGAGAGAGAAGAGGTGGGAGCGTGACTTGCCCATCATGTGACAGGGACGAGTGGAAATACAAAGATATATGGAATTTATCAATCTAATTCAGGACTTGTGCTACATTTTGTCACAGAGACTTGTCTTTCCCATCATTATCCATTGAATCATTACTACTAAAGGACTTTAGATATCACGAAGCTTCCGATCACCAACCCACTCATCTTGACTCTCGAGACTCCCAGATGCCGGTAAAGGAGCTACCACGATTCGAGCCCTTTCGGATTCCTTGTTCCCCCTCCTTCCATCCTGATGTGTCTGTCCCTGTCCCTCGCCCTCTTTTCGTCTGCGAGAGGACCCCTTCTGCGGCATTTCCAGCCGGACCACCACTCCCCGGGGTTTGAAGAAGAGACCATTCCATTCCTCGATCTTCTGGAGGAGACCCATGGTGGTGGCGGCAGAGAGGTTCTGCCTCTCCTGATCCTTACGCAGGTTATGGATCGTAATCGCGGCGGGAACGGTGCTGAAGAATCCAATCACAAAACCCCCGAGGGCGAGGACGCCCAGTCCCTTGCCCACCGTCGAGGTCCATTGGAGGCCCGTCAGCTTTGCTCCGTTTGTGATTTCGGCGGAGAATTGTTTCCAGTGGTACTCGGAGATATCGTACCGGGAGAGGATCGGGGGGTATTCGAAGCCAGAGGTGACGCGGCTGGAGCGAGATGGGACTTGGAGGTCTGCGTTCAAGCTGGATACACTGGTTTGGGAGGGGGAGAGTGCAAGGTCTGAAGTTCGCGGTCTACTGTATTCAGTTGATGCCCCTGAAGAGTAAGCCGGAGGAGCCTCGTCTCCGTCATAGGGCGGTACAGCATGAGGATCCATTGTGGCAAGAAAGAGAGAACTCCTGATAGTCACTAATAATGGTCACGATACTATATAAGACGGGAGACTGACTTCACTACTTATGCTCGCAAGTAAGTAAGCAGGAGAGAAGAAAACTCTAATCCATAAACAATGACTTGATTTATTTAGTGTGTCGTTCTGTCGTGACATGGTTTATGCCTTGATTGGCATTCTAGTTCTATTGGAGGGCACCCAAAACGGATAGTCATACAGTATACAGTCTATAGTACACAAAAGCTCTCAGGCATTATTAATCCTTCTATATTGATTATGAGTACTTAATGCAGTCATAATCGATGCTATTGGCGAAATACTCGTAAAACCGGGGCAAATTGACTCATTCAAAGAAACATTTCTGCCTGGGAAAGATCTTTCTTTACCAGAGCTGGTTATAGAGATGAAGGTATCAGAGTGAAATACCTAAAGTATCTAATATCTCCAAAAAGCAGATAGACATTTATTATTCTTCTTCAAAAATAATCATGATGTACATACTGTATTTTAAATCTAAGAACATTAAGAGTTTCTAGCTGTTGCGGAGTATATCTATAATTACCCTTTAGCTGTGGTGTTCTTAGTGACTCATTATAGCACAGGCATAGATTAAGCTTAGTCTAGAACAATCAATAGTTTAATATATTCTTGATCAATCAGAGAAATGGGACCACTTAGTCTAAATAATGATAGCCACTTCGGAGGACTCCGTGCTTTGAACTACTCCATTAGTACCAAACACTCCGGAGTCCTCCGTGAACTCGTTGACCGCCAGGATACAAGCTCCATCCCTAACATAGACGGCAGCCAATACTCTGGCGAGTAGATAGTTTAAAACAAAGACTGGATCCTTGGTTTAAAAAGAAGAGAAGGAAAAAACAAAAGAAAAGAAACCTATCCCTGTCATACATCAGTCTTGGCAGAAATAGAAATAGAGCTTCGCATATTCACGGTTCGTGCGGGGCAGCATCATCTGGCCAGCTGGCAAGCAAGTAGTAGAAATTATCATACTAACAATCATCTAGACCATCCCCATCTGCTCACGGAATAAGAGCAGTAAGAGTCTTTCCCACCAGATCATCATGACCACCCGGTATCGTGTTGAATGTGAGTAAGCCTGCAGAACAGGCAGCCGCGTGAATGGCCAAGCTGATTCGGTCTCGATAGATGCGCTTAAAGTATGTATCGCCACATCTCTTAGATCCCTGGGATAGGTAGTCGCCAGAGAACAAGGGACTGATCAGGCAACAACTCATGGAACGTACAGTCTCATCGACGTGACCAGCTAGTAAGCTTCGATCTATTCGCAAAGAAAGTCTTTCGGCGCTAATCGTATCCCTAGATCGAATGGATCAAAGTAAGCCAGCAGCCAACGATCAATCCCATCAAACACTGACCTCAATAGGGTCTTCTGGCCGTACCGTTTGTGTTGCATTCCCAGCCCACTGCTGTCTACCAGGAACATAGTGTCAAGTTGGTGGCGGTGGCCGCCGATACGCATCAGCGTTATGCAGAGATTCTTCGAGATGTCCAGAACCTCATCATTGATCATAGTAGGCTACTTTTATCTCAAGTGAAAGAGAGAGAGGGAAAAAAAAAAGAAAGGAAGCTGACTTACTAGTCGAGCATGAGAATAACCAGGCTGCCGGCAAGTCCAAGTTGAAGCTGTTGGTTCCGACAGTGGGCAGCTTCTTCACGGCGCTCCCGCTTGAAGACGCGTTCAAGTACCAAGACCAGCTGCGGTTCATCAGTCGGCGGCGGTTCGTCGCCCCCTCGTTCAACGACGTGCGATTGATCCTCAACACGGCGCAACTTCTGGGCCTCGTGCGGTCCAGCGAGGTCGACCTAGTCACTTTCGACGGAGACGTGACGCTCTACGACGACGGCGCTTGTCTCACAGAAGACAACCCGGTCATCTCCCGCATCCTCCGCTTGCTGCAACAGGGCCGCAAGGTCGGCATCGTCACGGCAGCCGGCTACACGGAAGCCCCCAAATATTACCTCCGTCTGCGCGGGCTCCTCGACGCAATGCACGACTCCACCACACTAACAGACAGCCAGAAGAACGGCCTGATCGTCATGGGCGGCGAGAGTAACTTCCTCTTCCGCTTCGACCAGACCTCTCCGGCCCGACTCACCTGGGTGCCTCGCAAGGAATGGATCCTCGACGAAATGCGTGCCTGGCAGGAGAACGATATCGGCCAACTCCTCGACATTGCAGAGTCGTCGCTGCGCGCCTGCGTCGCGAACCTCAATCTGGCCGCCGACGTGCTTCGCAAAGACCGTGCCGTCGGCGTCTACCCGCTCGAAGGATGCAAGATGCATCGTGAGCAGCTCGAGGAGACCGTCTTGGTTGTCCAGAACACAGTCGAGAGATCCCCTATCGGCACCCGTCTCCCTTTCTGTGCTTTTAACGGTTAGCATTTTTTCTATTTCCTTTTCAAACTATACATACACCTTCAAATTCTCACTAACCTTCAAAAGGAGGGAACGACGTCTTCGTTGACATTGGCGACAAGTCCTGGGGTGTCCGTGCTTGTCAGCGGTATTTCGGGGGCATCGATCCCTCCAAGACCCTCCATGTCGGCGACCAGTTCCTATCCGCGGGTGCCAATGACTTCAAGGTATTTCACTTATCCTTCGCTACCTATTAGTTAGCTATTAAGTTATCTCTACCATGCTAATTATTAGGCTCGACTCGCCTCGACCACTGCGTGGATTGCCAGCCCGGCGGAAACGGTCCAGTTGCTTGATGAACTGGAGGAGCTGCAGCAGGAACCGAGAAGTGTTTAGGATATGCGTATAGCGAGATTTATATATATGTCTCTCTTCATATATCTATATACATATGTATGTATGTATGTTCGAGATAAGAAGACTGACGAGGGAGTGATGGGGAAAGGAGAGTGGGAGGAGACGAGGTGGGAGTCGAGGTGCACATGATTTTTGCTTGATTTCGGGCTTTTCTTTTATATACTCCAACTACATCTAATGAACTGTTCCATATGGTTGTGATATGATTATTTCGGCTTTACATGTGGATTCAATGTAATCTACTAGCCAAGGCCAAGTAAGAAACCATCGTATGAAAACTATTTATCAAGCTCTCCGTTCTTCAATGTACAAAAAGCACAGCGAGGGGATGATGTGAGAACATGGTGCGATGGATGCGACCGGAATATGTGCGTCTCAAGGTCGAGTTGCATAGCATTATTGAACCCTGACGCTGGGTTTTGTGCCACCTTTTCTGTCTTCGTCATTTCGTCATTATCGTATTTATTCTGGGGGGTGTCGTGGCCCTCGGTGGTCGCATCAAGCATCATCGTTCTGTCTAGTTCTTTCTCCCATGGAATGGAAAGAAGGAAGAGAAAAAAAAGAAACAATGGAGATATTTCCCGAAAAATGAAACAACAGAAGATATTTCAAGGGGATGAAGGGATCGAAGCCGGGTCTGAATGAAATATGACAACGTCAATGAATGCAAGAGGCGAGAGAAAAAAAAGGATGAAAGGCAGCAAGGCAAACACATCGAACCATGACTAGAAAAAAAACTTTCGGGAGAAAAGGCATATTTTCGTCTGCGTCCGGATCCTGAGCTCGATGGACCCCGACTCCGGTCTAGTGGAATGGGGAGGGGGGAGGGGAAGCACTTGTGTCGACAATATTTTCCGTTGTCAGTTACGTACTCTCGTAGCATATCCATTGTTCTGGCTTAAAGGTGCCTCTTCCGGAAAGCATGTTGACGACTCCCTGCAGCTCTAGCCAGAACTCGCTCTTGGGACGGCGGCGCGGCCAGTCAGTTTCTGTCTCCTCAAGACCGGTAGGCCCACCCATGGGCGAGAACAGTACTTGAGAGCCCTTGATGCCGATCACCGCGGCAGACAGCTCATCAACAGAGATCTCCTCGGGCGACTTGTCCGCATAGTTTTCAATGTGCTGCATGCACCTGATCGCCATGCGCAGTGCGCGCACCCGGTCCATGGGGGAGGGCTTGCCACCCTGCTGGAAGTGGCCGGGTACCGCCGCACGAGATTCAAAGCGGCCCTTGGCCTCTTCTTTGATCATGTCTGCAATGACCTGAGTGGAGTAGGTGTTTGAGGCGCACTCATTGCGCAGAATGATCTTGCCAGCACGGTTGGCGCCCTTGTCCCGCGCAAAGTTGTCACGCAAAAAGTCGATATCGCGCGACAGCATCTGGATGTCTATTCCCTCCTCAGGAATGTATACAGCCACCGCACCGACCGCTAAGCCCGCAGTGGTAGCAATGTAGCCTGACTTGCCGCCTTGGGTCTCGATGACGAATACGCGGCGACGGGAGGAAGAGGCAGACTGTCTAATAGCATCACAGAAGGTGATGAGAGTGTTCAGGCAGGTGTCACTTCCCAAAGAGTACTCAGTGCCCGGCACGTTATTCGAGATGGTTGCTGGCAAGACAACCATAGGGATGCGGAACGCAGGATAGGTCACCCGAGCCTTGCGTAGCTGGCTGACTGCAGTGAACGCCTCGAATCCACCGACAACAAATAAAGCATCAAATTTATAGAGCTCGAAGCACTTGGCAGTGGTCTCGAAGTCCTCCGAGGGCAGGCTGCGGTTGGTTCCGATCTCTGAGCCACCTTCATTTACCCAGTTGTCAGACTCCAGCCACTTCACTTCCCGCACGGAGCCAACCGGCTTATCGGCATGGTGCCGGCAAAGACCAGGGAAACCATTGTGGATCGCAAGGGGGGTGTGGCCGCGAGTAAGACAGTAGTTGACGGCAGCCCGAGTCGCTTGGTTCATACCACCGGCAGGGGCACCGACATGGATGATGGCGATACGCATCCTCTACTTTAAATTAGTAAAGTTACCTTGGGTACTTTCTAGTAGGTATGGCGTACCTTCTTCTCCGGTAGGAACAGCTTCGGGTGGTCAGGCGTGGCGGTGTTGAGGTAAGCCCGATGGTACTCCTTGAACTCGGCATCGCGGAGGGTCATCGCTTTATCAAAATCCTTGGCCTGAATGTACGAGGTGACTTCCTTGGTGAGACTGACAGCCTCCATCAAGGGTGTGCGCATAATCTTGTTCTCGCGGATTGTGATGACGGGCGAGGGAGCGTCAGGAGTCGTCTCCAGGACGGCACGAACGGCCTCAACTCCCTGAAGCGTCGACAGCCAACGATCGTAAGCGCAGGCAGCGCCGCCTCTCTGCGTATGGCCCAGGACAGTCACTCTGGTGTCCAGACCCAGCCGCTCAGTGAGGATATCTTTGATAGTGGACGAAGAAATTTTGTTCAGCTGGCGATCCTGGGCTCCCTCGGCGACAATCACGATCGTTATGCGCTTTCCACGTTCCTTGCGGTTCTAGCGAACTAGGGTTAATGCCTGTATGTATATTATTTAAAAGCAGCCTGTCATGTCTCTCACCTTTGTGATGATCGAACACATATCGTCTTCCCATCCATCGCGAGGGGGTATCTCCGGGATGAAGAGCCAATCAGCACCAGTGCTGATGGCGGCCATGAGGGCGAGCCAGCCGCAATGCCGACCCATCACCTCGATGACGAATCCTCTCTGGTGTGAAAAAGCGGTATCAAAGACATCGTCCACGGCATCACAGATCCGGGTCAGAGACGAGTAACAACCAATGGTGGCATCAGTGCCGGACATGTCGTTATCAATTGAACCGACCAAACCGACGATATTGAGGACCTGATAAGGCTGAACCTGCGCCTCGGTCAATTCGCCGTTGGCGACCAATTCCTTCAGGAGACCCGGCCACTCGGCACGAAAGACATCAGCACCAGTCAGACTGCCGTCACCACCGCAGACGACCAGTGCATCGATTCCCCGCAGGACCATGTTCTTCGCTGCGCGCAGACGACCAGCACGTTCACGGAAAGACGCACTACGCGCGGAGCCGATGAGCGTGCCTCCGCGCGAGAGCCATCCCCGCACATCCTCCCAGTGAATCTGACGGATCATATCACCACCATGAACCAAGCCCTCGTAGCCTTCAAAAACGGCGTAGGCCTCGCAATCGCTATGGATAGCCATCCGAACGACCGCGCGGACCGCGCCATTCATGCCAGGGGCATCTCCGCCCGAGGTCAGGACACCGATCCGGCGTCTCTTGGGGGGTTCGACGGGAGCTTGAATGGTACTCATCTCGGCGGGGGGACACGGTCCTACCACTCCAGCAGCAGTCGAAACTGGGGGACAGGACAGAAATGAGGGCCTAATCGGATTGAAAAGAAATCAGTACAATGTACAACGAAGAGGCAGGCCGTCAGCTTTCAAGATAGACTGACCGAGGGGTTGATTTCTGTGGGGGGGGAAAGGGAAAGAGAGGGATAAGAGAAGGTGTTCCGGTGAGTGAAAGCGGCGGGGAACAGTGGGCAAAATATCTTAGTGAAGAGTACGTCACAGACTTGCTCAGCAAAGCTGGCGGGCACAGAAACAGTTATACCAGAAGTATTTGTATAGGAGATCACGCCAGATGTGAGCAGACAGATAGGATGTCTCGCTATTCCCCCTGAATCAGGAGGGATGTCAGGAGAAACAAGTTCAGCCAGCAAGACCCTTGATTCAATGCCAATAGCTTCGATCAGTCCATTAAAGGAGGGCGGATTGACCACCTGGGCAGGTACGTCACCGCCTGAGTCCTGTTTAGGTTTAGCGCGTGATTGATGTCTGCTTAGTCATGGATGGAGGGGCATCCCTTATCTGGGAGAAAGTAGGGCAGGTTTAGCAGGGCTTCAATTATCATGTGATGCTCTTTCCATCGAATCTCGATGATCTTAATGATCCTCTGATCTTCAACAACAACGCCAGTCGAGTCTACAGGACAGTATCTGCAATCTGCAGTTTTGGCTCTGGATCAGTTCTAGCCAGTAGCTGGCTCTTTTATAATTATGCTAGAGATTATTTGCTGGAATCGTGCGAATAGGCACTCAGTAGAGTCCCTGTGTTAGTAATTGACAGCACAGCCTATATTATCAGCAACTATCTTGATATAGAATTCAAGAATTCTACATAAGTAAAAGCCTCTATCCTGTATATCTCTCTAAATTCCAAATCCCTTGTTTGGCCCAAGAATAGTTGCCTTATAAATATGGTGAGCTGTACCTGCAAGTTGAAGGAAGTGCTGACTGATCACGTAAGCTCCGCAGATCGTCTTGTTTGGCACCTTGACGTTGCTCCAGCTTTCCTTCAAGCTCAGGGCCCGTGGCTCGTCAAGGGCAGAACACGAGAGAGAAATCCATCATGTCTGAGTCATTTACCCTCCCACTGAGACCGGCGGTCCGCAAAACCGAATATAAAGATACGCTGCCGATCCAGATCGCCCAGATCAACGCGCAATGGGGTGCCTTTCGGGACGTCAGCGAGGAGAGTCTCCGGGCAGAGATCCAGGCAGAGAAAGAAAAGGGCGAAGAGACGGCAGACAATGAAGAGGCGAAGGGAGTGTCCGACCTAGACTCGACAGAGCGGTTGGAGCAATTGTACAAACGGCGAGCGGAAATTCTTCAATTCGCCATGTAAGTGAGATGCTCTGTGCCTCGTCTCTCTCTTGTCAGGGTGGTGGGTGGACTAACGGCCGGTAGGCAGGCACACTTTGAAACCATGTTTGCCTTAGATTTTGTCTCCCTCCTGCTCTCCAAGCACACTCCTCGCCAGGCGGAGACCTCCATGTCCGCGTATTTGAAACAGGTCACTCCGCTCGGTACATTGAATGCTGAGCCTGTCAATCCACCCCCCAAACCGGAAGCGGTGGTAAGCGATATCAAGACGGTTTCGCGGGGATGGAAGATGCAAAGCTTCAAGGCAGCAGCCAATAGGCTTCTGCTCGCAGCGACCAGACTCGAGGGCGAGGTGGCGGCGGAAACTAGATACTGGAATGAAGTGCTGGCTGTCAAGGACAAGGGCTGGAAGGTTTGCAGACTGCCGCGAGAGCGGCAGGCCCTTGGTGTTCAGTATGGGTTTCTCGAAGGTGAGAGAATACTAAAATCCCCCGCATCTTCTCAAATCTGCAGCTTGCTCATCACATATTACAGCTACGCCTATTTTCCGCGATCGCGGCCTTTATTCACTGGGCCGCGCCGATGATGGAAGACTGATACTTGATAAAGGGGTGGTTTCAACACGAGCTCGCACAGTCCGCGTGCGTATCAGAGAGAATGATCGGCTTATCGGTCGCTCGAAGCTCGTCTCCACGTCGTCCAGTAACCCAGAATCGAACGACAACCTGATCCTTCAGGCGCGCGATACACTATACGAGGAAGAATTGTTTCACGAATTGGTGCGCGAGGCACGAGTGGTGGCTAATCAGGGGGTCACAACACGCCAGAATTTGATTCAATTCGCTGTCGGCGAACAAGAGATTCTGCTTGATCTGGTAGACGTGGACCAAGCCATTGAATCGGAGAATACAGAACAATGCTCCGGCCAGCAGGGCCAGCTCGCGCAAGCGATCTGGCACTCAATCCACATTCTTCTCGCGTACTCCCACCGGCAGAATTTACGGCGCAGATCGCAAGCACCACCGCCGTTGTCTCAGAAGAAGCGACACCTCCCCGAATACCCGCTCTTACGACCGATAATGGCCTATTTACAACACAATGCCCATGTGCGATATCTTGAATCCTTCCTTAGAGACGTATTTGGCGTCTTGAAATCTGCCGGACTGAAATGCAACTTCGTCAGCTGTCCTTTCTCTTCCGTGAGGCTTCCCCGGCCAAATAGTGCTGGATCCAAGGTCGAAAATCTTGTTCAAGGGTTCCTGTCGCCGCTCGAGTCAACTTTTACAGCCTCCCTTCTAAATCCTCGAAGTTCTTTCAATGTGACCATCCGGACAAGCGTTATTTCCCCCTCGTTTGGAACGAGTTATGACATTTCTATCCAGCTTCCCAAGTTTCCGGATGTGCAAGCCCCCACGAACATGGGATTGAAAGAGGAGGTGACAGCAGCACTGACCCATTTCATCATGCTTGACACAGTGGCAGCCATCTCAATGTATCGCCCAAAACTCCCAGAACCACCCAGCCAAGTGCCACAGGAACCTTTAACGTGGGAGGCCACTTACCCCCACCATGGCGAATTGACAGGAAGCTCTCCTGCAAAGAAACCAAGCCAGAGGATGAGAATCACCCTGTCGCGTGCCGAATTGACCGCGGAAACTCACCCCGTACGAGGGTTCGAGATGCCCACGCCGCGCAACCGACCGACCAGCTCGAAGCCGATCACGTCGCGTACCTGGAAGCTCTTCAACACTGCAGCGGCACCCGACGGAACATTGATGGAGTTTGTCGCTGAGGCATCCAGAGCACACTCATGATATTCTAAAATACTACCAGCAAACACTGTTGTACCGGTGTTTTTATGGCGAGTGCATGGTGAATAGACGATGCCCCCTATTTCATAGATAATAATGATACCCTTTTGAAGTAATTTTGATCACATTTGGATATGTCGTCTCTTGGCTATACTGCACTGGCCAATCTGGACAGGAAGAAAACCTTCAGTCAGACCTGTGTACTCACTCGCCTTCAGTCTGAAGAAGTGAGACCAGTTTCGATTATTAATCCTTTTGCCCCTGAGGTTCTTGGATTTTGGACTAAATCAACGCCACGTTCAAAATTCTACAATGATTTGATGATTGTGACTGCATTTTAAACACATACGCGTCTAGTTGCCTACGATAGTTCAGAGAAGTGAGTATGGTTTACTTATTAAATGAGACTCAGCATCGCAGCTCAGAATGTTGAATAATCATCGCAAGTCATATTCGCGCTATACAATCAACTCCGTCTATTTATTTGACACCATTGAATGATCTGTGACATTGTCGATTCGATTTCATAATGTCAGACTCGATAGCAAACGTGCCCTCCACCATGAGGGCATGGATATACTCCCAAAAAGGGCGTCCGTCGCAAGTCATCCGGCTCGACCCGGCCTTTCCAGCGCCATCGGTATCTAGTTTGCAGGCTGGGGAGGTGCTCGTCAAGATCACGCATGCGACCTTCAACGCCGGCAACACGCTGCTCATGCAAGCGTTACCGACATTCCTCCGGAAGATGCCAGCCATCCCGGAGATGGAGTTCTGCGGCACGATCCTCGCGGCGGGATCCAATATAGCATCTTCGCGACCAGAGCTGGCGGTGGGTACTGTCGTGATTGGGATGTGTCCGTTGGGCGAGATGTTCAGAAAGGGCCGTGGCGTGCTAGCGGAGTACTTGGCGACGACCGCAGAGGCGGTAGTTTCTATTCCTCGCGGGATCTCGACAACAGAGGCCGCTGGAATCGGGGGTGTGGGATGCACCGCCCTACAGGTGACAGATCTTCTCGGCCTGAAACGAGGCCAGTCAGTCCTCGTCAACGGCGGTAGCGCCGGTAGCGGCGTGATGATGGTTCAGGTGGCCAAGTACCTAGTTGGTGAAACCGGCCGCGTCGTCGCGACGTGCTCTGCCGCAAACGCAGAACTGGTCAGAAGCATCGGTGCCGACGAGGTCATTGACTATCGGGTAAACCATCCGTTGTACGACTATCTAATCACACACTACGCTACACAGCGGTTCGACGCTATCATCGACTGCATCGGCATCCAGGAGCTGTACCTCCATTCACCGGCATACCTGTGTGAGGGTGGGAAGTATCTCAATATCGGCGCGTACGCTACCAAAACGACTCTTGCGGGCGTATTTCAATGGACTTGGAATCAATACGCGAATCGGTTCTGTCCGGTCTGGCTGGGTGGGATTCCTCGCTGGTACATGTTCTACAGCGCAACGCCAGACGTCCCGACGCTGAACCGAGTCCGGCAAATGGTGGAAGAGGGTCACTTGAAACAGGTGGTCGACTCTGTCTGGGAGATGGAGGATGTGAAAAAGGTAGGGTTCTTCCTTTTTCATTCTTTTTTTTTTTTTTTTTGTGTCGTGGCTAATACTTCCCCAGGCATATGAACGCATGGAAAGCAAGCGAACAAGGGGGAAAATCATCATCCATATCCAAGACTGAATTGCTTTCATGTACCTACCGTATATTTGGTATTTTGGAAATCACTAAGATTCCTCGTCCACAGTTGGCTATTTTCTTGTTGTACCTCGATTTTCAATTGATCTTCACTTGAGGATGGGTTGCCCGATTGTGTGGGAACAGCGCATACAATGTCTTCTAATGGCGAGACTAACTATACTGACTATACTGACTATGACTACAGAATCAGCTTTACGAGAATTTCAGCCCCTTCTGGCGTTCATCGGTTCTTACCTCGTATTCTGCGGCTTTTGCGGCTTTTCCAAGACTCACGCAAACTCCGGCCCCCACTGCAGGATATGACTTTATTTAAGTCGATAGAAATGAAGTCTGGAGGGATGAAAGCGATTACTACCTACAAAATCACCAACGGATCAATATTTCATTGCTGACTTAGCATCATCTTGAAACAGTTCACACATATCCCAAAAGCAATGTCGACGACTCGACTCACCCTGTATCGCGGCTGGCTGGACCCTGGCAAATACGTCTGGTCGCCCTTTGTGATCAAGCTGGAAGCCCGACTCCGCTTTGCTGGCATCTCGTACAAGACGGAGGGTGGCTCCCCGAAAAGCGGACCCAAGGGCAAGATCCCGTACGTCGAGCTATACAAGACCGAGGACCCGACGGCGAGCACCAGTCTCGGGGACTCGACGCTGATCATCCGGCATCTCGTCGAGCAAGGCATCCTGCCCGACCTTAACGGACGATTGGTACCGAGTGCACGGGCTGAAGATCTCGCAATCCGGGCGCTGATGGAGGAGAAACTCTGCTTTTATCACGTATTGCCCATGTTGCATATCGTTGAAAAAAAAAAAACAAAAAAAAGGCTGATGATTCGACAGACACGAGAGAGATGGACAGAAAACTACCACACCATGCGTGACCATATCCTGTCTTCTCTGCCCTACCCTGTGCGCGTAGTCGTCGGCCTCCTGATCTACCGCAACACGATACAAACGCTGCACGGGCAAGGAAGCGGCCGGCACTCGGCGGATGAGATTCGAGAGTTCCGCCACGAGATCTGGACGGCCATCAGCGATCTGCTGGTGGCATCGCGATCTGCGAAGCCGCGAGACCCGACGCAACCGTTCTGGATCCTGGGCGGCGAGCAGCCGACAGAGGCCGACGCGACGGTGTTTGCGTTTGTGGTTTCGGTTCTGATCTGCACTGCGTATGCTTTTCCCTTCTTATGATTCTATATTACTATGTTTGCTTGCTTTTCTAACGTGCCTTTTTAGAGGCCCCGAGTCACAGGGGGTAGTAAAGGAGTTCCCTGTCCTTGAGGACTACGCTCAAAAGATTCATGATCGGTATTTCCCGGACTATGTCAAGTGGTCGGATCTTTAGAGCCGCAAAGCATGGTGTTGAATGAAAACGAGAGCGTTGTATCTATCACTCCGATTGAATATTCTCGACTTGACGATGAATATACGCCGCCACCTCATCTGGAACAACCAGCCACGGCGAATGGCCCGTCTGCACCGTCTCCGTTACAATCCGCGCTCCCTTCTGCCGCGCCCGGTCGACCAGCATCTCCTGGACAGGCAGGGGGATCGCCCTGTCGTGCGCACACAGCAGGTATGAGCCAGGGATGTCGACGTACGCTTCGCCGGTGGCGGGGCTGTTCTTGGTCACCCAGGCGTGCGGACGCAGCGTCCCTGCCCAGGCCTGTCCGTCCGGGACGTCGTGGAAGAAAAGCGTATACGGATCCTCGGCCGTCACCGTGCCATTTGCTTCCTACGATTATTAGAAAGAAGATCAAATTTCAAGACAGGGAGATCAGATCAGTCAGGATATACGTACGTCTCTAATATACCACGGAGGAGGAGTGCCCCCAAACGCCTTGATAAGACTCTCGCCCATCTCCGGCACAAACGCCGAGATGAAGACCAGCTTCACCACGCCGCCCGGTTTTCCGTTCCTCTCGCGCTCTGTCTTTGACAGTCCGTCGAGGGCACTGCACACCGGCATCCCGGACCAGCTGTGCGCAACGACCACGACATCCTGTCCGGCGTCCGCGGCGGGCTCGACTGCGTCCCGCACGGCGTCGATGTCCGGCTGCAGGGATGTCACGACCGTCGCTTGTTGGATGGAGGGGAACGCCACCGTCTGGCAGGGGTAGCCGTGCGGACGCAGTCGGTCGATTAGAGGGTCGAATGCTGTAGGGGGGTACCATGCCCCGGGGGTGAAGATCAGAGTTGGTTTGGACATGGTGGGTGGTGTGTATATGGAAGGACAAGTGGGATTCAGCGATTTGGTTTGATTTCAATTTCATTCTTCGCTCTCCATGACCTCTTTATATAGCATTCAGCTTTAGCTGTAAGCACTAGAATATTAAGCTTAGTGTACTGCCTCAAGATTCACGCCATCAACTCCACTTGATAATATCAATAGATCCGATTGGCCTGTTCGCTACATTTCGTTGGATGATCTATTGTTTAATTTGCCAGATAATATAGTTTCACTGCGATCTACAGCGAGGGTATCATAGTGGCTTTACATGGTCATATCATTAGTGCAGCTATTTATACTACGAAATGACACTGTTCTAGAGGCGACCAGGATAAAGTTACCAGCAATGGCTTAAATATAACGATATGTCCATAGTTGATTCATCAATACTGCGTATATAATTAATACAACAATTAATGCATACCAGCCAACGTCAACAAATGCAATGCAATCAAAAACAAAAAAGAAAAAAAAAAAATACAACATAAATAGCAGTGACTGGACCAAAACGGAAGCAAAACAGATTCACCCCAAAACTAGTTGAGACTCGCAATGTCCCCTCCGTCGAAGGGGATGCCAAAGTTATCAAGGAGGTTCTTCGCGGCGGTTTCGCCCGTGGCAAAGGCGCCGTGCACGCATCCGTTGCCCACCAGGGTGCAGTGCTCGCCGGCGAACTGCAGACGACTTGTCTTGTGATTTTCCAATGCCTCGATAAGCATGTCAGGCTCGTCGCCCACCTTGTCAGCAGAGTAGGTTCCGTATCCCGCCAGCGGGTCTTGCGTCCAGCGCGTGGTCTCGACACTCAGAAGACGCGGAAGAGCCTTGTAAGGTTCCGTGCGGAGCAGCTTGAACAAGGGTTCGAAGAAGCGGTAGATCTCTTTCTCATCGGTCATCGCCTCGATGCGTTGCGTCAGGGGCTCCGCAATCTGCACGCAGAGCTGCTTGCTGGAGGTCATGATCCACAGGTTGATGGTCACCGTCGGGTAGGCGAGAATGTTGTCCGCTAGGGCTCGGGTCGACATCGACGAGCCATGTGATGAGGTGGACGAGCCGTACTGGCTCTCCTCCGGTGGGGATGGATAATAGATGAACTGGTCGTTGTCTTTGGACCAGAAGATCTCGCTAAACTCGAAGAAGACCTTGCCCAACGCCCCGTAGCTGAATCGGGATATTCCGTGCTGAATGTCTTCCGGCAGTGGAGGCTGGAAGGATATCAGGTTGTGGTGGTACGCGCCCAAGGGCACGGTCATCACAATTGCGTCACCAGTCACAGTCAGCGGTGCGTTCGTCGAGTCAGTGCAGAGAACGGATAGAGGATGGGAGCCAGTCTCATTCCAATTCACTTCTTTCACGAACTGGTTCAGTCGCACGATCCCAGGGGTCGCGAGGAGCGGTTTGGCTGTCCAGTCGACGATCTTGTCATATCCACCCTTCATGTACAGATTCCGCTCGGTGATGAAATAACTGAGATGCTTCGAAGACGCCATTTTGGTTGACGTGCCTAGCCACAGCTCCACCTCCCGGAACGCTTGCGGCGCCCACGCACGTTCGTCCTCCGAGATGAGCTCGTGGTTTTCAACGAATTCGCGCATGAATTCATCCGCCGGTCGGTCCTCCGCATCGGGATTGGTCTCATAGTACCAGGCAACATAGTCGGCGAATTCATCCGCAACCTTTTTCGCCTTGAACTGCGCACCTGCGCGGCCCTGTTCGGTGTAGAAAAGTGGCGCTCCATCGTCGTAGTAATACTCGATTCCCAGCTTTGTGATCAGCTTGACCATCTTATTCTGGGACGTCTCGTGCATCCAAGCAGCGCCTATCATTTTGTTAGAAACATGAGAGAAAATACGTATATATCGAAGCATATAACGAATATATACATATATATATATATATATATATATGCAAAGCAGGCATTGATGCCTGTTGGTAATAAGAAAAGAGACAGAGCCCAGCCAACCTTGGAGAATTCAGCCCGCAAAAAGAAAGGGCTGCCCTTCACAAGTGTCCACAGTGCGCCTCGCCGTCTTTCCCCACTGGTTCACACATACCAATATCCCGAACTCCTCCATGTTCATCCCGTCGAGTCAGAACCCGACCACCGATGCGGTCTCTGGCCTCGAGCACCACTACTTCCACCCCGTGACGAAGGAGCGTCGCTGCAGCACGCAAGCCACTGATACCTGCGCCCACCACGATGACTCGTTTTGTCGCCGGCACGGCCGGGGGCTCACCGTCGCTGCCGTCCGCCTCCGCGGCCCCGAGATCGGTGATCCCGACCTCGGGGCCACCACAATGGCTGGGGAGTTTCGAGGTGCTCGGCATGCGAGAGGAGAGGTGGAAGCTTAGAGACATTTTTCGCTGGCACGTCGACATGATATGCTGGGTGAGACGCTGGTGGTTGTGTGAGAATCTCCTGGACAGAGACGGTGAGTCGTCGTTAACACGCGGCGAGGGGCAAAAAAGGCTCTTATCGGCTTATCAGGCACGTGCAATTGGGCACGTGCAGCCAAGCACGTGCAGCCAAGCACGTGCAGCCAAGCACGTGCAGATCAGGTGACCATTTGGCGCCTGAGGCTGCCGTTCTGGGCGAGGGCCGGGACTAGGACTAGATAGGCAGTAGGTACATCACATGACTCTCTGGCGATTTAGTATTTGGTATTTAGTATTCTCGACTCTCCCCTTGTTTACAGCTTTGCCGTCGGCTCCAAGTCTTTCTCTGCGCGTCGGACACGCTCTTCATCGACCAGGTACGTCTCGGGGAACCACGCGCTCACGTCGTCGCCCAGCATCATCCGGGCAAGGGCTTCGCCCGCCAGGAGACAGTTGGCCATGCCGTATCCGTTGAACGCGGCGGCAATCCATTCACCGTTACCGCTGCGACGCGTTATCGACAAAGGCAGCCGCCCGACGACGGGCAGGCCGTCGGACGAGAAGCCCATGATACCGCTCCACGCACTTACCAGCTTCCATTGTTCCGACGGGCGGCCGAAATAGGCGGGGAGCGTCTGCTGCAAGTTGGCCAGGGAGCCGCGTCCGAGCGTGGAGTCGTCTGGGCTCAGGGTGTCTCGGAGCAATGTACGTTCGCCGCCGAAGTAGAAGAAGCCGGTCTTGACGCTCTGGGCGAGATAGAACAGGCCAGAGGCGTATTTGTCGGTTTCGGGGTCATGGGAGATGGGATAGTGGAGCCCCCATGAAAGGGAGGAGCCTTGGTTGGGAAGGCTGTTGCCAGGGTCCTGCACCGTCATGGTTCCCTTGAAGGGATAGATATGGCCTCGGAGAGCGGGCAGGAGATGCCCGGTGTGGCCATTCGTGCAGTAGACCACGTTTGCGGTCTGGATATACCCTCGTGGTGTGTGGACGGTGTAAGACCCCGAGCCACTCACCGCTGTGACGGGGGTGCTGGTTTCGATGGAGAGACGCGAGGAATATTTCTCTACCAAAGCTGCCCACACTTTGGTCACTAGCCGATAGGGCCACAGTGTGCCTGCCGGGACGAGTGCTCCTCCAGAGGCACCGTGAATACCGTATTTCTTTCTGGAATTAGTCTACGGTTCAGGATCTGGCGACAGGCACAATGCGAGAGAGAAACAATTCCATACTCACCTGGAGGACAGTCTCCTGATCAAGGATGGTATACAGCCCTTTCAGGTCTGGATGATCTTTCTCCAATAGAGCAATACTGCTCTGGAATCGGTCAAACATCTCCGGTGTTTCGAAAACCCGCAGCTTCTGCACATCCTGCAGTTCGCTCTCTTCCGGCGCGTACTGTCGGGCCAGGACACGCATCTCCTGTATGTTCCGGAAGGTGAACCGGACGATTTTCCCTGCCGCATGAGGCCCATAGGTCTCCGACAGACTCATGTACTCTTCTCCCGCATTTGGAGCCAACTGGCCACCATTTCGCCCGGTCGCACCAGAACACAACTTCCGAGCCTCGAGAACAGTGACAGTACAGTTAGGATTATTCTCTAACAAGGTCTTCGCTACGGACAGGCCCGTGATTCCAGACCCAATGATGGTATAGTCAGCAGAGGCCGGCAACTCGGAGGATTGCACCTCAGCCAGGGGGTGAGCAACATCCTGCCAGTATGGCTGCGTTGGATTTGGCCGGGGTAGGCCAGGGTCAGCGATGACAAGCTCGGGGATGATAGGTTCAACGTCTGCATCTGTCAGAGAGGGGTGGAAAGGACTTTCAACGAGGGATGAAGGAGTAAGTGAAAAAGGAACTAACCAGACGGCATTTTGAAATCGGCCGGATTACAGATCAGATCCCTACCGTTGCAGGGGGGGGTGTGAGCGAGAGGCTACTCTGTATTTATTGTCTGCAGAGACAAGATCACAGCGGAAATGCACGCAGGAGTGGCCATCAATCAAACTTCATTGTTCCCCGATCATTCTTATCTCGACCACCGCATATCGGCGAAAACGATTGGCCCCCGCAGCCGAGGCTTCTACGCTGGTGTCTCCATGTCATCTTGTTGCAGATAAAGATAAAGGAGAAAGAATGAAATTCAAGGCGAAGGGTAACTCTTTTGAATAGGTCAATGACTCGCAGCCGATGTCGAATGTCCGCCTGGTGAAGAGACATAGCCAGGGCCTAGGATTACCCTGTGAAATTTCTCAGCCATCATCCCTACCATCCCTACCATCCAATAGTCGATCAAATTCCTGACTTGTCGACACCGGGGTTCGAAGCCATTCTGGACAGGAGTGTCCACAATACGTCCTCAGGAACATGGTCTGCCATGATAAGGTTAACGGGTGAAACCCGGTGGCTGAGGCGATCAAGACAGCAAAACTGCAGTTGAAACTCAAAAGATAAACCAAATCTGGCATTCGAGGCGGTCTGTTGTCCTCTTATTCGAGCTGTTATTTGCCAGTGATGTCAGAATGCAGGTGCTCTCGGCCATGCATATTCCGACGTGCAGTCGCAGGGGTTGATCAGCTACGCCATGCTGGCTGCCACGAGGCTCTCTCAAACCTTTTCGACGGAGGAGATATTGTGCTCTTCACCGCCGGTTTGATGTCTCTCCTCGAGCAGCTCGAGTCACACAACTCACTCTCCGAGAGGTAGAAGAATTTCAATCTCGTCTAGTCATGTACATCCCTTGCATCAGGCGACTCACCCCTCGTGGTTGGAAGACAAAAAAGAAAACAAAAAAGAAAACAAAAGAAAAAACATTCGCAGAACTGCAGCAAACGCAGGCGACGGTTTGCCCTGTGAATCATCCTGCCTTAGAGCCCTGCAAGTAAGCTTCGCCAAGTGCTGGGGGGGGAACTCGCAGTGTTCTCGAGAGCGAGGGGTGCGCAATTATTATTTAATGGCCGTACCGCCCATTCGATCTATGTCTCGGAATCACAAAAGGAAATCGTTGGACTGGCTGAGCTGTCGTCGCGATGGTGGCCAAGATCGATTTCGCCCATGTGCGGTTGCCCGCCAGGAAAGATCTACAAGATGATGAGTATGGCGTTCAGCTACGAGAGCATGGAGAGCCGACAGAGCTGCCACGGCGCTTCTCTTCCTTTGCAATGATCGGTCTCGCCTTCTCCATCCTCAATTCATGGGCTGGATACACTGGTGATTTTGTGCCCCCCCCCCCCTCCCTTGATGCTCATAACAACAAGCGCTGACGAGGTTACACGTGCACTGCAGCTGCATTCACCACCCCTCTCGAAGCCGGAGGCGCTCCTGTGGTCTTCTGGGCACCGCTCGTTGCCTCCTTCGCGTGTTTGATTATAACCACTGGTCTTGCAGAGCTGGCCTCTGCGTTTCCCTCGAACGGGGGACAATACCACCACGTCTATATGGTGGCGCCCCCCAAAGCCCGCGCCGTACTGGCTTTCCCGACAGCCTGGCTCAGTATCTTTGGCTGGCTGTTCACAGACGTGAGCGCGGCGTTCTTCGTTGCCCAGCTCTGTGTGGGCATAGCCCAATTCTACTATGAAGGACTGACGGTAACGGCGTGGCAGATGTGGCTCATCTACACTTTGGTGATAATTCTGGCGGCCGTCTGTGTCTGTTTCCTGCCTCGGCTGATTCCACTGATCGAAAGTTCGCTCTTCTGGCTCTCCCTCGGCAGTTTCATCGCCTCGCTTGTGGCCATGCTCGCCTCCAGCCAGCACAAGCAGTCTGCCTCATTCGTATTCACACAATGGAGCAACCAGACTGGTTGGAGCGACGGGACGGCCTTCCTCCTCGCCGTGGGCCAGAGCATGTGGCCCTGGATCGGCACCGACGCAGCCACACACATCAGCGAAGAGACGCCCAACCCGGGCCGAAGCGTGCCCCGGGCCATGTGGCTGTCTGTTGTCATCGGCACGATCACAATCCTCCCTTACACGTTGGCCATGCTCTTCAGCATCCAGGACATGGAGGCCGTCTCCGACAGTGCCCTCCCCATCCGAGAGGTCTACCTACAAGCGCTACAGTCAACAACGGGAGCTACCCTGTTGCTCATCCTGCTGGTTCTAATCTTCTTCGGGGGGGTGGTGGGCGTGACCGTCACTTCGGGCCGTTTAATCTGGGCGTTTGCCCGCAACAACGGCCTCCCGTATTCAAACGCCTTTGCCCGAACCGATCCCAAGCTGCAGACCCCCGTGAATGCCACGCTGCTGACCGCGTCCTTCTGTATCATCTACGGCTTGCTCTACGTGGCGTCCACGCAGGCGTTCAACTCCTTCATTGCGACCGCCATCCTCACGCTGAACATCACCTATGCCGTGCCGCAGGGGATCGTGCTCTGGCGCGGACGAGACATGGCCCTCCCGCCCCGGCAGTTCGATCTTGGCCGTCGCTTCGGCACCTTCTGCAACGTCTTCTCCTGCGCGTGGGTGGCGCTGTACGCTGTCCTGTTCTGTTTCCCTATCAAGGTGCCCGTGCAGGCTGGGTCGATGAACTACGTCAGTGGTGTCATGGGGGGGATGGCGATTTTCATCAGTGCGATGTGGTGGTTTCGGGGGCACGGGCAGTTTATGAAGCGGACATACTATTAAGACACTCTGTCGCTAGTTACAACCTAGGTTATAATTCAATAGAAATAGAAATAGAAAATAATATGCTATGGAATACGCTGCTTCTATTTTAAATTAAGCAAAAGTCTATTCAACAAACATGGCGGCCTTGAAATCTTCTGTTCTGACAAACGGGGTACCGCCGCGACGGGTGAAGGGCCAGCGGATCTGGTTCGCGACGGAGATTTCGACCCCGAGATCGGTGGCGTAGCCCCAGACGAGACCCGGGTCACGCTGGAACTTGCGGCCGACAAGAGCGAAGTCGAGGCCGTCTTCCTCGACGACTTTATTGGCGACGCGGCCGTCGTTAAGGGCGCCGACGCCCGAGATGAGCAGACGGTCACCGACGGCCTGCTTGACGGCGACGGCAAAGGGGATCTGGAAGGCGACGCTGGAAGTGATCTTCTGCTCTGCGGCGATGCCGCCCGTGGAGACGTCGAGCAGGTCGATGGCGCCCTGGTCGGCGAGGGCGAGGGCGAAGCGGACGGTATCCTCTGTGCGCCAGCCGGGGGTGTCGGGGAGAGATTCCTCGCACCAGTCCGTGGCGGAGACGCGCAGGAAGACGGGGACGTCCGGGCCGACGGTGTCGCGGGTGAGCTGGGCGATCTCGAGGGAGAGACGGATGCGGTTCTCGAAGCTGCCGCCGTAGCGATCCGTGCGCGTGTTGACGGCGGGGGTCAGGAAGGAGGAGAGCAGGTAGCCGTGGGCGTTGTGGATTTCGATAAAGTCGGCGCCGGCCTTGAGGGCGCGCTGCACGGCGGCCACCCAGGCGGTCTTGAGCTCGTCGATCTCCTGCAGCGTCATGGCCTTCGGGGTGGCGAAGTTGCTGGCAAAGGGCACCGCGCTGGGGCCCTTGACATTGTCCGGCCAGCCGCCCACGGCCGGCGTCGCCAGGTTCCCCTGCGACGCGAGCCAGGGAGCCACCGTCGACGCCTTACGGCCGGCGTGGCCCAGCTGCACGCCGATGACCTGGCCCTGGCTGTGTGCGAACTCGAACACGCGCCGCATCGGTTCGATCTGGGAGTCCTTCCACAGACCCGTGTCTTGCGGGGTGATCCGTCCCTCGGGGACCACCGCCGTGGCCTCGGCCATGATGAATCCTGCTCCACGCATGGCGATGCCGCCCAGATGCGCCATATGCCAGTCCGTCATGTGTCCATCCTCGGCGCTGTACTGGCAGAGGGGAGCCAACTGTTCTCGTTAGCATATACCCTTTATCTTTCTCTCTCTCTCCCTCTCTCTCTCCCTCTCTCTTGCATCAGAGACAAACTCACCCCAATACGGTTCGGAAATGTCACCCCCCGGATTGTGATCGGCTGGAATAGCTTGGGAATAGCCGCGCCACTGGTCTGAGGACTCGCAGCCGTACTGGAGGGCGGCTCCTGCGCCGGGGTAAAGTACGAGATGCCCGCGGCGGGCTTGTTCTCGATGTCAGGGAAGGCAACGGTCATGGTGTCCCTCTTGATGAATAGTAGATGGATGTCGGATTGAGGGGGATCGGCTTGGTGACTGCAGCCTCACCACGATCCTTATGTATGATCGGTAACGGCCATGGTGGCACGGCCACTTGGAATATTGATTTGTAAGGCTCCGATGGCCTAATCGCGAATCTCCACCATGGAGATCCACCAACGCCGTGTCGCTTGGATCAAGGATGCAAAAAGAATAGTGGCAAATCATGGCAGGGATCGACGGCAGAGGTGGGCACGGTCCGATTGCGATGGAGAAGGTCGGAGAGTTTCTTCGTCGTCTGTATTGCGTCTTGACCAGGAGAGAACTTTTGGAGGTTTTTTTTTTTGCCGGGCGGATGACTTGGATGCCTTGCAGCCTTGTAGCCTTGCAGATCAGGCAGTCATTAACGTGCAAAAATAAGTCTCTGTTGCTGACTAATTGTTTTCTACAATAGAGCAATTCACTACTTTGGAGTCTCTGTCCCTGGTATACCTAACAATAGCTTCTTACAGCATTTCTGCCTTGTTTCATGTCAAAGGATACACCAGTACAACGAAGTTTCTAGAAGACACGATGACGAGAGAAGAGGACACCACCTATATCCTCCTCTATATTTTGTAGTGCTGGTAGTACCTATTACCTAATATGGCATCGGAGTTCGCTTCCTTGTAAAGTCCGAAGCTAACCTTTACTAGTTAGCATCTCGGCAGTAGCACCCCCACTAGGCTAGCGCTAATACCTTGTAGAGTGGCTGCCTTAGGTATCTGTTGCTGCCTTAGGTATCTACATAGGTACCCAGCACTATTCATCTGGGTAGTTATTGAGTACTCTGCCTAGATTGCAGCTCAACAGCCATAAAAATATAACATATTACATATAACGTATTTCTCTGATAATAATCTAGTTTCTTATTATAATAACCAATGAAATGATCCATGTATTAAGAATGTACGATGATGCTTATGGCCTCCATGGTCTCCGCGGGTCATCCTCCATGGAGCATCCCTACACCACATATATATAATGGCGACATGACGAGAGCTCTCACCACAATCCTAAATTCAAAAACCAAGAAGCAATAAAATGGACTCCATAGCTATTCAGATCAAACAGCTGGCGTCCTCTGCCGACGAGACAGGCCGAAGATATATCCTCGACACCCTCACCGAGCTGCAATGGCAGGTCGAAACGCCCTACGATACCCTAATGCGCTTCAAGATGATGGTATCTTCTCTCATCTTTGATGATTCTGTATGACATCCTTCTAAGAAATGTTAGTCTGGTCCGCTAGTCATAGCTCGGATCGCTGCTGATCTAGGCCTTTTCAAAATACTTGCTCGGAGCGAACAGTGCCTTGAGCTAGATCAGATAGTGCAAGAGACCGGAGGAGCGGAATCGATGATCAGTAAATATTTCATCACCCTCTCATTTATTAAAGGAAAAGCATTTGATTTGATACCTTAGGACGCCTGCTACGGACAATGGCCTCCTTCAGTCTCATCGAGGAGGTTGGAGTCGACCGCTTCACTGCCAATGCTATGACGAGACTGTGGGCCGAGCCGGTCCATGAAGCCCATCTCCACGTATCGTGAGCACTCATTTCTCTTCCTAACCCCCCATCCCAGATGAACGGATGTCATAGGCTAAGATCGAAGGTTCGAAATGAGTATCCGGTTGGGCGGGGCGCTGCCCGACTTCCTCGCCGAGCATGGATACCAGGATGTCACGCACCGGCGAGACACAGTCTTCCAAAAGGCCTTCCAGACAGACCTGCTCGCCTTCGATTACATGGCCACCCAGCCCGATCTGCTCAAGTCTTTCCAGCAGACGATGGGCATCAAGCGCGTCGTTGACTGGTTGTCTGTCTTTCCTTTTGAAGCAGCGCTGGGCGACTGGGATAACGAGGTGGATCGACCCCTTTTCGTCGATATCGGTGGCGGATTCGGCCACCAGAGTACTGGCGTGCGTCGTCGTTTCCCACAGATTTCGGGGCGAGTGATCTTGCAAGATCTCGAGGCGTCGTTGAAGCACGTCAAGGATCTCGAGGGGGTGGAGATCATGCCCTATGATTTCTTCACGCCGCAGCCAGTCAAGGGTGAGTGTTTTCTTTTTACTGTATATGTATATCGCATGAATCTCATAATAAGGATCACGGTTCTACTACCTCCGCATGATTTTGCACGACTACACAGACGACGACTGTCTGCGGATCCTCAACAATATCATCCCCGCCATGGACGAGCATTCCCGTATCCTCATCGACGATATTGTCCTGCCAGACACCGGCGCGCACTGGCAAGCCACCATGGAGGATATCTCCATGATGGCCGTGCACGCGGCCAAGGAGCGGACGCGGCGCGAGTGGGAGGAGCTGCTGGCACGCGCAGGGCTGCAGATCAAGGAGCTGTACACGTATATTCCGATCTTGTCGAACTCGGTGCTCGTGGTGGAGAAGATTCTCAAATAATTCCTGATAGAAAGGATAGGTTAGCCACAGATTCTCTTCTCAATTCAAATGAATCTCAATAGCGTTGGAAATCTCCGACTCGGTCAGGCTGAGAGCTGCGTTGAAGGACCTGCTGTAAATCTGCTGTCGATATCAACTCAACTATCAAGCTCAAGATTAGCAGGAATCATAATTCAATCACACAGCTGATTCGCCGAATTTTTGGCTCGCCAGTCTGGTTCTTGTAAGGCTGATAGACGGAAATTTCGTTGTGTGTCGAGGTATCTTCCCTTTTGGGCAGGTCACATGGCTTCCTGGCGTCTCTCGATTCTCTCACTTAAGCGCTTCACCCTCTCTTCCCCTCCTCCCTCTTGACTCTACTGCCATCAAGGCTCCCCTTTGCTTCTTGAAAGGAATAGAACCATCTCTCATCCTGTCCTTGTCTTGAATTCTCTCAAAGACTTTCCCACACCGTGACAAGACCGACCGTGAGGCAGAGCTTAAAGCTGTGCTCCACCAGTACAGGGAAGAGAAAGACCTACCAGGTGAGTTGCCCTAGTCTTTGAATTATCTCATGGAGTCTTGTTAAAGAGTGGTTTAGATTTTCGTCAACCTCTTCCATGACCGTCTGCTCGATCATAGCAGTCTTTGGGGCATCCTTCACAGCTACTATGTAGTATACCACCCCCCAGTCCCCCCGTGCCATCAAAATCTTCGGACGCAGGATGGGAGTCCCCAGGGACTCGGAAGGTACGAGATAGGTCCATCGGGTTTCATGTTATGGGGATGAAAGAAAGGTTGAGGGAGCATCGTTACTCACTCGGTAGGTTCGGTCGGAATTCGAGATTCCCTTTAAACTGCTTCTGGTACTGATGATGAGATCACCCCATCGTTCGAACGCTCAAAGCCGAATTCCAAACCACCGCTCTCTCGGTCGGTCGACGGCTGTCCGAAGGTGAAACTTAGTGGTCTCCTTGGAAGAAGAAAACCCCCTAGGTGGACAGTGGCGGGAACCTATATCACCGTCCTATTAACCTCTATATCACCGACGTTGCTAACTATTAATGAGGAGTAAACTAATGACTAGCTCACTAGCGAGGTTCTCGCTAAACTAATAGCAGAAGAATAAAACTGCATAGTTATTTCTCCACGGATTGTCTTGACATCATCCCACCTGTCGGCAAGGCAATAATGTGTTTCACGATGCTTTTTAATCTAACCGGCCAGGGATGAAACAATCGTCTGCTTCAGGGACCCCCGCCAGGCCATCGGCTAGCACTGACCTCCTCGAAAATTGCCGATATCGAAAATCAAAACCACTCGGAAGATAGAAAAATAACAGGGGATCTGATATCAAGGACTCCGATGTGGCGGTGGCTGTTGGTTTAGACGATGGCATCTGATCGCAGGACGGGCTTGCAATGGCAACAGATACAATGTGGGTTATTATTAACTTGAGTTCTAACAGATGAATCCATCTCCTCCTCCTCCTCCGAAGAACGCTATACCGATAATATCGATTCACTATAGGGCACTAGCTGGGGTGCCAATGCTAGAGCTCCGACGCATCCGCCACACAACGTGCGACGCGGGGGTCCTCTGCTTCAAACAGCTGGAAATTACCAGGAGACAACAGAATGTTTGAGCCTCCAAGGAAGAGGGTCCGCTAGTATAGGAAGACCGACGGGAAACGAGCATGTTTGATGCGCCCTATATATTTACTTGCGAGTGGCCGCTCGTTTTCTTCAAGATGATTGTTGTTTAACCATCCTTCGAGCAGGGCTCTCTGGCTGTTCTCGTCCTTCCTTTCTTTCTGTATACCCTGGTGGTTACGTTCATTCATTCTTTTCTACCCCTTCTTCTTTTTCTTACCATCATCAACATCATCATCACCATCACTACGATTCGCAACGATGAAGTTCATCAATTCATTCGTTAGTCTGGCGGCAGTGGCAGCGTCCACTGTGCGCGCCGCGTCCTTCAGCCGGCTGATTGTCGAGACCGAGATCACCGAGACCTTTGAGTACGTTCGCGAGACCACTGACAACGAGCCGTTGACCGGCGAGGCCTATCTCACCAACAACTTCCGTTGCAACACGGGCTCCTTCGGCAATGCCAACAAGACCAAGGTGTACGAGGTCAGCTCTGGAAGCAGCATTGGATTCGCCACCGAGGATAATGTCCAGAACGAGGCCTGGGGTCCCCTGCAGGTCTACATGTCCAAGGCCCCATCCGATGTGCGTATGTACGATGGCAGCGGCGAGTGGTTCAAGGTCTTCGAGATGGGTCCCACGGCCTTCACTGAGGAGGGTATCGAATGGGCCTCAACCGGCCTGACCAACTTCACTTTCACCCTGACCGACGAGATCGCCACCGGCCAGTACCTGGTCCGCGTCGAGCAGATTGATTTCAGCGATAGCACTGCCTCCGCTGGTGACAACGAGTACTACGTCAACTGCGCCCAGGTCAAGGTCACCAGCAGCAGCAGGTCCACCGTTTCCAGCTCCAGTGAGGTTTCCATCCCCGGTGTCTACAAGAGGTCTACCTCGGGACTCCAGTACGTCAACGGCACCGTCACTTCCGAGTACACCATGCCGGGCCCCGAGGTCTGGCCTAGCGGCAGCAGCAACGTCTACTCGGCCAGCAGCAGCGTCTTTGCTTCTTCCAGCAGCACTGCGTTTGCTTCGGCTAGCAGCAGTGTGTTCGTTTCGTCCAGCGCAGTCAGCCAGGCAAACGACGCCCAGTCCGTTTCTTATGACTACACTACCATCTACATCCCCCCCGCCACACCAGCGGCTGCTACCACATCCTCGAGCTCGATCGTCTCCTCAGTCGAGGTTTTTGTTTCGTCGGCCACGGCCGGGTCTTCCACTCTGCTTAGTGTGTCATCTGGTCTGCCCTATGGCGTCGGCGCAGTTGGTAGTTCCGCTATTGCTTCTGGCTCTGCTACTGCTTCTTCCAGCCTTGTCTCTGGCCCTGCTGGTCAGCCCTCTGCGGTTTCTTCCGGTGTTCCTTCTGGCCCTGCTGCTGCCTCTTCCGGCATGCCTTCTGGCTTTGCCAGCAAGCCCTTTGGTGCTTCTTCTTCTGGAATGCCTTCTGGCCCTGCTGGTCAGCCCTCTGCTGCCTCTTCCGGCATGCCTTCTGGCTTTGCCAGCAAGCCCTTTGGTGCATCTTCTTCCGGTCTTCCCTCCGGCCTCGTTGGCAAGCCCTTCGGCTCTTCTTCCGTTTTTCCCTCTGGTCCTGCCCCCAGTTCTAAGCCTTTCGGTGCTTCGTCCCGTCTTCCCTTTGGTGCTGACGCAGTTGGCTCTTCTTCTGCCTCGGTCTCTGCCAAGCCTTCGTCTTTCAACGTGAGCCCAAGCTCTGCTCCTATTGTCCCGCCTTCTGAAACTCCGTCTCCCCTGCCCGGCAATGCTTTCTCCAACGGAACCGCTCCGCATTTCAACCAGACCGGCCATGGCAGTCAACCCCAGAGCCCTTTCTCATCCAACTCGTCGAGCATGTCAGCGATTTTCAGCCAGTCCTCAAACATCGTCCGGCCCTCGTCGAAAGTGGCTCCCATTCCGCCTTACGCGTTTCCCAATAGCACTGCACCTTCGGGAGTTCTTGGAACTGGAGCTGTGCCACAGGGTCCTCTCCCTACTGCCACTACCGAGCTGATCACCACTGTTACTGGCTCTGGTCAGCTCGTCACCACTGTCATCGGAGGCACCACCACGACTTACGTGACGACCATCACCTCTACCACCGTCATTACCACGGCGACGGTCGTCGACGCTTCGACAATCACGGAATGGGTGACCGTCACCCTGGATGAAAGCTCCACACCCACCACCACTGCGGCCCCAGTAGTTACAACCGTTGTCGGAGCCACCACCACAACTATTACCGAGACTGATACAGTAGTTGACGTTTCTGTGGTCATTGTCGATGCCACAACCTCCACAGTTTGGATCACCGACTACGTTACAGCGACATCGGCCGCGACTTCGACTGTCACTGAAACCATCACGGACGTTGTCGACACCATCACCAAGACCTCGGAAGTTGTTCGCACTGTGACCGACTACGTGACCGTCACCAAGCCCGTCACTACCTCCAAGAAGACCCTTGTGGGCGGCCGCACTGTCACTCATTACGTTACGGACGTTGATGTCATCACCAAGACTGAGGTCGTCGGCGGCTACACTACGACCATCGCCGCTGCCGATGCTACAGGCGTCAGCGCTTCCGGTTCCAGCGGAAGCAGCAGCAGTGGTAGCAGCAGCAGTGGCAGCAGTGGTAGCAGCAGTGGAAGCAGCAGCAGTGGAAGCAGCAGCAGTGG